GGGGGGGGGGGGGGGGGGGGGGGGGGGGGGGGGGGGGGGGGGGGGGGGGGGGTGTTGGTGATGTCGAGTAAGAGGTGGGGCTATATGTACCTTCGTAGCCGTTTTTCGGTCTTGGGAGCTTTCGGCCGGCGGGCTTTTTTGGGCGGTGATTCGATATCGTATTCAGGAGCGTCGTACTGGTCTGCATACTGGTCTGGATAGTACTGGTTTTCGGCGTAGGTGTCGGTGTGGTATGCGTTTGTCGCTTCGACGCCCACATCGTGAGTCTGGTACTTCGGTTTGCGGCTCTCGGCACCGAGCTGCGAAGCCGATGCCCTGGGCACAGCAGCGCCTTGAGCTCCCATTTCCGAAGCAATGGTGGTTATCGAAAGTGTGATTGAAGTACGATTGAAGCTGCGTATTGGCCGGTTGACTTGCTCGATCGTTGGCTGCATCAATCAAGGGGAGAGCAGCTAACGACAATGGTAGAAGTTTCGATGGGGTCCGGAAATTGAGAAGGCGAGGAAAGCAATTTTGTGCGTGGTCTTGTTGACTAATAATTAATACCTACGTAGGTACTTACCTTCCTTCCTACCCTTAAATTCCATTCAGCCCTTTATAACCACCCCTTTCGCTCCTCCTTCCAACAGCTCCCCCATCCGGCAAATGCCCAAACGCGGATGGCGCATTTTGGGGGGCGCGGGCACGCTCGATGCTGCCCGCTTGCTCCCCTCCCTAAGTTCGATTCAGGGAGGGAGCACTACAGTAAAAATTCTTCGGGATTTTCGTAGCTGTCTACAACCTCCCCGGAGGAAGTGGGCAGTGAGCTTTTTGATTTTTTAGACCAGTTTTCTTGTTACAGTTGTTGTTGGAAAATCGTTCAACACTTCTTTCTTAATGTTGTATTAATTAATTCTCAATGTTTCTTTTTTTTTTTTGTCAATCATATATGCTGGCAAGAAAGCTCCGGCTTCTTATCACTTTTCAAGTTTTCCATTTTATCGCTATGAAAGCAAAGCATCAGGCCTAACTAAGCACATGGAAATCCGGTACACCATCCAAGCTCTCTTAGAGTCAACGAGTCCTCACATCCAGAATCAGCAGCCTTGAACCTTTCATTTCTCCTGTTTCTGCCTGCCCCCCTACTTCCTTCTTTTCCTACCCAATCTTTTTACCCTCCTCCATAGCCACACTCAGCAGATCTGCCATTTCACACCTCGTCAATGACGGTAGTGGTGCCACCCAACCTTAGCTCTGGCCTGAGCAAGAACCCATTTCCGCGTGTTGGCCAAAGCGGCGTTGTGATACCCTCGCTGGCGTACCGCTCGGTTGAAACCACTCTTTGTTCGCTTGAAATACACGGCCAAGTGACAGAAACTGAGTGAGTGCTTGTGATCGTAAAGGCAGTGGCTACCCAAGTGACTTGGCGAAACCGGGGTTTCGAGGATCTCCGGAGCGTCCAGGCGAGCATCGAACCAGACATGAGCAAAATCCTGGTCGGGTGGGATTGGTCTGATGACTGGCCTGACGTTTGCATCGTACTGTGGGTCGTTATTGTAGCCCGGTTTCGTCTTATCCATGGCCGTGCTGGTGCTTCCAAAGTGGGTGTTATCTTTCTTCTTCTTCCCAAGGTCGCCGTTGAGATAGTTAAGCAGGGCCAAGTTCGTTCGTGTGAGTTTTAAGGGGGGCGTTGTGCCCCAGGCACCGTAACAGCCCCCTTCCGTATGTCTAACTTTGGCGATGCGAGCATCGTTGCTGTCCTTGCGCTTAGCCGGCGTGATTCCCCCAAAAGCAGTACATCTTTTCTTCTGTGGTCTTGGAGCCATTGTGACAATGAGACGGTAGTGCCAAACAGGATTGGCAAGCTGAGAAGAATATTGAAGGAAGAACGGAGATTCAGGGCGAGGATGGCGTTATGCTTTGCCTTTTGTTTCGGGACAACTGACGCTATTAATAGTCCATTCCTACCTGTCACACAAGTACAAACTCAGCCCCTCAGTCAACAGTCTTTAGGTAATGGCTCATTCCTGACACAACTCGATATGACAGGCCATGTGTTTGGGGTAAAGTCATGCCGGCTGGTGTGGAGTTTCCGTCACAAGGATTGACATGCTTATTCATTCCATGGGAAACCAACTAAGAGAGAAATGAGCACTGATGAGAGCCTTGGAGCTGCTTAATTACAACCTCAGCATTCAACGACATGTATGCCGTCAAAGCTGTACTTGCATGGTTTTCAAGCCTTGTTCACGATCATGCTGGTGCTTGTCCCTTTCGACACCCACAGAAACACTCGCTAACACTAGTTTATTGTTTAAGCTAAGACGTTGCCATTGAGCTCAGGTATTTTGGTTATACCCTAAAGAAACTCCGTTCACAGCCTCACAGGTTGACCATTAATTGCTTCCAGACTCAAACTCTTTCAGAAAATGCCAACAGGACTTCCAAGAACATTCAAGCCGTTGTTTAGGCATTTGTTAACGGCTGTCCCATTCAATAAGCGCCCAATGTGTGGGAAATTTGACGTCACTCCCTGCGTTTGCTGCCAAACAACATGGAGTTATGTACTGGTTTCGAACTTGGCTTGACTGGTGGTTTGAACATCAGTGGGCAGCAAGGCCTGGAAACTGATTTTTCACAAATATCTGGCCGCATGAAGCTCATGGGTTTTGTCGTTAGTTGCCAAGAATTGTTGTTTGTTTTGCTGGAGGCAATATAATGATACGGTTTGTTCCAGCCGTCGGCTACCTGCACCATCATCATAGGAGATGCAAACGCACCACCGTGACCCCCTGTCTTCAGATTTTGAATCAGGAGTGGGAAAGATTGGGTGGCCGACGAGGGAAGGTACTGGAAATTCCGGAAAATAATTTGGATCCCTGGCATAGTGCCTTCCCATTACCCCTAAGTCAGCCACTCCTTCCTTCACAAGAAGTAACGCCTGGTTGCTTTGCCAGTTCCGGCTGAGAATTCTTTACCCCGCTAGTCTGTTCAATCTATCTGCCAGTGGGAATACCGAGCCAAATATCCGGGACCAAGAATCACGATCTTCCGGAACTTCCGCTGCCCCATTAGGTTCCACGGAAACCTTCCATGCTCCGCCCTTACCCCCGGCAGTCTCGGCATCCTAACTTTTCTACCTTACTTATGTCCAGTGTTTTAGAGCACAGCTATATTGCGTGCCTCACACCTAGTTGGTAGTACCGCGGATACCGCCGCACAAGGTTTTGAGTATCAACAACGGTTGGACAGTCGCCCACGGTGGGCAAAAGTGGTAGCCAGTATGGACATCGTCGGCAACGATCCGGACACTCAGGTCTGCTACTCCTTCATTCTACGTTTCCTTCGTCTTTTCCTGGTAGCCCACGCTGTCGTGGCCGTACCGTGTCTCTGAGACTGATAATTGGCGATTACTAACGAGTCCATCTTACAGTCCGCGATCGACATCATCCAGAGCCATGTCTTCTTCAAGCCCGAGGGGGATCACAGTTGGCAATCAAGGCCAGAGTTCCCGACCGCAGCCGAGATGCTTCAGGAAAAGTCCGATTTTGACAAGCTTCCGAAGAACCCAGTCGATGTGCCTTGGGCTTCCAAAATGGAGTATCTCACGGCGCAGTACGAGATTCTGCGCATGGAGGCAGTGGAGGGCTTGCGCCATTCCGTACAGAGTTTTGCCAGCAGACACCGAAGGGATATTCCCATGGACGACGATTTTACAAATGTCTATTCCCAGGTGTGTTCTTGTCTTGCCACGGAACGATGACGAGGGACTCATTTTGGCAATCATAGGTGCGGGTCAAAGAATATGTCCTCACGAACATCGGACCTGTCGCCAGAGTCTCTTTTTCGCTGCGGTCCAAATTCCGCATTTTGTGGCAACAATCCAAGAGACTTCAGCCAGGGAGTATTGTCGCCTTGTCTCCGAAGAGCGATGGATTCAAGAAAATCTGCAAGATTGCCACGATCGCCCAGCGCCCTTACGAAGACGGGCTCGATCAGGATCCCCCTGTTGTCGACATTCTGTGGACCGATCCCAACGATGCAGTCATAGATCCCAACATGGAGTTTGTTATGTTGGAATCGCTGTTCGGATATTTTGAGTCAGCCCGCCATTCCCTGATTGGGCTCCAACATGTAGCGAAGACTGAGTGAGCAACGCCTCATTTCTGGCAATTCGTCAGGTTGTAGTCCTGCTAACGTCCTTTGTCATCATAGCTCACCCATTGACAAATATCTCACTGGTTCGCACATCACGGATACAGTTCCTACCTTCGTCTTGGACAACCCGGGGATGGACCTTTCCAGCGTTGCTGGCAAAGCCACGGAGGACGACTCGGAAGCTGTGGAAGAGCTCAAGACCCACGACATGGTCAATGACGGGGAGCCCCCTGGCCTCCAAGATCTTACTTACATGGACGAATCTCAGCTTTCTGGCTTGTACCGCATAGTGTCCAAAGAACTCGCCATTGTACAAGGGCCCCCAGGGACTGGCAAGACTTTCACCTCGGTCGAAGCCCTCAAAGTCATGGTTGCCAACCGACGAAAACGCCGGGGTCCCCCCATCATTGTGGCTGCCCAAACCAATCATGCCCTGGACCAGATTCTGGTGCATTGTATCAATGCTGGCGCCAACGTGCTCCGGCTGGGAGGAAGGACGCAGAATGAGCTGATCAAACCCCGTACACTCTTTGAACTGCGGAATGAATGCGGGAAAAACCAAATTCCTGCCGACAACAAATTAGTGAGGATTGATCACGATCGGAGGACAAACGCGGGGAAGATCCAGGAGTTGGTTGATGGGTTGTTCAGTGATCGGTTGTTGGATCCAGAGATGCTTTTGGAATTTGGGATCATCACGAAGCAACAGCACGATTCATTAGTCGATGACTCGATGGAGTCGCACGAGGCCATGGATGTTCACGGCCCCTTTGCCCTCTGGCTCGGTGACAGCCTCATCCCGGCCAGCATTCGCGAAGACCGCCACCCAACAGTACTCGAGGTGACGGAAGCCGAAGTGAGACGAGACCTTCCGGAATTCGAGTGCGAGGAGGACGAAGACTTGGAGAATATTGCCGATGACAACGAGGCCTTGTTTCGGCTGAGGGGACCAAGAATCCAACTGGAACATACCTGGTCGGGCAAAGATCCAGCAAACCTAGCATCTTGGGGGCGAGCTGTTAACCGAGCTCTTCAGAACGACGATCTCTACAATATCGACAGAAATTTACGGGGCGCTGTGTACCAGCACTTCCAGGCCCGGCTGCTGGAGGTCATGTCCCCTAAATTCACTGCCTTGATCGCCGAAAGCATGGAGTTGTGCCAGAAGAGAAAGGCTTTCAAATTCCTAGGCAATACCCAGGTAGTCCGCAAACTGCGTATCGACATCGTCGGCTGTACGACAACGGGTTTGACCAAATACCGCGGATGCCTTGCCGCCATGCAGCCGGAATCACTGCTCATCGAAGAGGCAGCCGAGACTCGGGAGGCCAATATCGTTTCGGCCCTCTATCCCTGCATTCAGCAGCTGGTGCTGGTGGGAGACCACAAGCAACTCGCCCCCAAGTGCGACATCCAACGCCTGGGCGACCCTCCACACAATATCAACGTGTCGCTCTTCCAAAGAATGGTCAACTTAGACATGCCGTATGTCATGTTGAAGCAGCAGAGGCGCATGAAACCTGAACTCCGCCATATTCTGAATCCTTTCTACCCAGAGCTGTACGATCATCCCTCGGTGAGGAAGATCAACGAGCGCCCCGACGTGTTGGGAATGGGTTGTCGGAATCTTTGGTTGTTTGACCACACATGGCCTGAGGACAGGGACTCGGACGCGAGCAAGTTCAACGAGTCGGAAGCCGAGATGCTCGCCAACTTCTTTGCGTACCTTGTGGCCAACGGGACTCCCGCGCACAGGATTACCGTTCTCACGTTCTACAAGGGCCAGTGCAAGGTGTTAAAACGAAAGCTGAGGCGCCACCCATCAATCATGGGAGCGGTGCTCAACGTGTGCACTGTGGATTCGTATCAGGGCGAGGAAAACGACATCATCCTCCTCTCACTCGTCCGGAGCCCTCAACTCGACCGCTCCTACGCCGTGGGATTCCTGGAAGACGAGCGCCGCGCGGTTGTAGCCATCAGCCGTGCCCGCCGGGGCTTCTACGTTTTTGGCAATGTCGACAACGTTCTTAATGCGCATCAAGCGTCCTACCACCTCTGGTACAAGATTTGTTCTGGGTTCGCCGAGCAGGGATACATCGACCGCGATCGCGGTCTACCCCTCGTGTGCCAGCCGCACAACAAGCAGATCTGGATCAAGGAACTGGAAGACTGGGGCGACAACGCCGGCGGCTGCGACCAGGCTTGCAACAAGACCAGGGAATGCGGTCATAAATGTGTTCTCAAATGCCACGCGTAAGTGAAAGGCAATCGATTTACTTTTGGCACGGACTGTCCTAACCGAATAACATAGTCTGCCCCATGAAGTCCTCCCGTGTGGTGAACCGTGCCGTGAGAAGCTAGTCTGCGGGCATGGATGCCAAAGATTGTGCGGTCAAAAGTGCTTCTGCGACTGCAAAGTCTTTGAGGCCGCCGCCCACCAAATCCAGGACGAGCGCATGTCGCTGGGTGAACAGATGATGGTTATGGGCGCCGAGGAGACGGAGATGTTCAAGAGGAATCATAGACGCGCACCACCACAGGGCCCGGCCCTTCCTATCCTGGGACAAGTTGGGTTTGCAAAAAGTAGGGAAAGTCGGCCATTACCGGGCCAATTGCCGGGAGACGTGGCGCAATGGAGGGCGCTCACTGAGAATCCTGATGAACACGACCGGCGTCTGGACGAACAGTCAGTCGCATTGATGGCAGAGAAGAGAAAGGAACCAGTCTCGGAGCCCATCATTAGGGAGACCTACCGGCCAACGGGTCTTACCAACGGTCAGCGGGTGGCGGTCGACAAGATGCCGCCTGCGCAGAAGTCTTACAATAAGGTGCCCGGCGACAACTCCAAGATGCCACCCACCCAGGGCTCTTACAGTCGGGTGGCGGCGGCAGCACTTAGCTCAAAGCCCCCCTTTTCCACAATTGAGACAGCGTTTCCGAATGCGAAACCCAGCAAGAACATGGCCAGCGACACTTCGACAAATCCTAAACAGCCCAAAAACGTCGCTAACGGAAAGGTCGCGCAGCCAGGCCGCCCCAAATTTGCCAAAAGCCGTTATCGCTCTGCGCCGGGCAACAACAACCATACGAGCTGGAAGAGGCCGACAAAGAGTGGTGGCAAGCCAGAAAAAGATGCACTTCAGGAGCTTTGCGCTTCTCTCCTCACATCGGAAGCCGATTCCCAAGAATACTCGACACAGCAGCAACCTCAAGGCGGGAGAATGTCATCCCAAAGTTCATCACCAGTCCAGGCACCGCGTGTTCAGCGCAATTTGGCGACGGGTGGTTTCCTCGTTGACTTCGCGACCACTGAGGGAAGATCTTTTGGCGGGGAAACTTCTTCTCAGGGAGTCACAGAGCGTGTGGCCACGCCAAGCCTACTTGATATCGAACCCGAGGGCACGGGAATTTCGTTGTTAGAGGGCCACGACGGCCTTGTTCCTGGTTTGAGCTCTATGCAGCTGGAGAGTCCCGTGTCCCCTTCTCCGGTGGGGACAACGACTCTCGAAATGGAGCCAGAGAAACAGGGAGAGGAAGAGGAGTGGCTTATTCAGCTCTGAGCTTATTTCTCCGGCTGTTGGTTTCCGGAATCATTCGGAATGCCGAAAGATTTGCGTGTGGTTCAACGTTGAGTGTTGAGTCTTTTTGCGGTCTACGTTCCGGGCCAATATTTCGATATTCTCTAACACCAGAGTTGGTGTGGCTGCGTTTGTTTATCTACTTGCTTGGTGGTTAGGGTCGTTGGTGTGGACGGCGTTGGTCTAAATTTGTTAGGTTATGTTGCTGGTGTTATAAGAGGGGAATGCCTCGGGTATTCCATGTTTGAGCGTTGCAATAGGTCATCTTCAGGGTGGATTAGGAAGAGGGCAAGGTGTGTGCCATGTGTAGGGTAGTTTCGCCGTTCATATACGGTAGTTTGTTAGGCATGTAGTTACCTAGGGTAAATTAATCGCCGTGTTTTATATCTTTGGGCCGGTTGTTATGTGAGGGTGGCCAGTGAGGGTGAAACCCAGTGCCAATGCATTTATGCTTGTAATCGTGATCTGGGGTGAGCTCTGACCGATATAACATGATGATGCGATCACAGGATATGTGACTAGGTGTTATATTCCGAACCTTTACTCAAAATCGACTCAAAGTCTTTACTGCACCCCTCCACAATACAGCTCCCCGCTCTCCTCTCGCTTATCATTGGACTTCTACCCGCCATGGCCACAGCGGGGGGTAGTTTCATGAATAGCTGCACGGTAAATGTGAGTAACTGCCATGTCCGGTAGTCTAACGAGACTGTCGATGGAGTAGCCCAGTACTAAACAAGATGGGATAATTACCTATAGTGGTACATTACCAGCGATAAGCTCATAATCGCCGAATGCTCCAACGGAATAGGGCAGATATATCGCACCGTGGTTGATCTAGACCACTACATGGAGAATGTAGATAAGCACTTACGGGCGAAAGACAAGTGCAGTCTTGAACCATTGTTGTTTATCTGGGTATCACCAGGATAAATCGGCTAACTTAGTAATACGGCGTCTTAGCGGCGTATATACCATGAGTTGCTGTACGTGTGGGCGCGGAAAGAACAGCGGTGACGACCCAGCTTCATTGAAGTATGCCAACTGCTATTGTTGGAGTGGGAGCTCACAAATGCAGTACCCGACCGACATCGATTTAAATATGTGGCCTGCGCGCAGCCAACACCCGGGGGAAAAGTCCCCATTGCCTTATGACCCACTAGACGAGTTTCCAAGCGCTGTCCCTACGTATACTACTTCAATTGCCGCAAACCTAAGAGGTAATTAGGTCAGCCTATTAGCTTTCTGAGTTATCGAGGACTTGAGAGTCCATCCGAACATAATTAAGTCACAAACTCACGTAGCAGTGGCGGCGAATATCTCGGCCCGTTTCGCGGAGCTGAAGATGGCCAGAATCGTGGCAAAGGCGGCCGTGAATCCCACAATGGTCCCTATCCGGGCGTTTGTCGTGCTGAGGGAGTTGAGCACAAAGATTGCCAGCACGGGAAGCACCGACGCCAAAATGACGGTAATCAGGCTGCTGGCCTTGTCGATCCGGGAATCGTCGTACGACCTGATGCCTGATTCTTCGTCTACCACTCGTCCCATCTTGAAACGTTCGCCGCAGAAGACGTGGAAGATGCGGAGTAGGACATCGCGCAGGAAGGAGCTGAAGATGTCCTTCTCGGGAGGCGGCGGTCCGAGGCTGATGTAGTTGCTTTCTTCCGGGTCGGTCCATGTCTCGGCTTCGACGCCGTCGAGAAAGTTTTTGCCCCCTTTGGAGTCTCGCAGCCAAGCTTGGAGGAGGCGTAGTCCCTGCTTTTCGGGGGAGCCTATACGAGAGAGTTGAGAAACTAAGATAAGGTAGGTGAGCTTCATGTTAAACCAGTTAGAGCTGAAGCGCGGAAGACTCGGTGAACGAACAGTGGGGTTTCACCTTGAAGAAGTAAACTGTCTGGCACCGGGTTCGGATGTTTAGCAAGGACTGGCTTTTGTCGCTTTAACTTGCAACTGTGAAGATCGGGGAGGGAGTGGGACGGGGGAGGTTCAACGCACTGTAAGCAGTGAGCTTGACCTGGAGGGTATCCAGAAGCCTGATTTGCTCGCCATTCGCATCCGGATCCGTACTTCTGCTCTCGTGCAAAGAGTGGAAGTATGTTGCATATTCGGCCTCTGATTTATTGGTTGACTGGCTGTCGAGCTCGCAATGGCGACGATAATCAGACTCTAGTTGTAAAATTTCAGCTTGCAAGCTCAAGAGGCTCATCAAGTTCAACTCTCCAAATCTCCTGAAAATGGCGAGGTCTGGTCCATTTCTCATCAAGCTCGAGAGCCGATGATAATTCGCTTGCGACTTCAGGGGTATCGGATTTGCCATGTTTTTTGTTCTTTGGGAGCAAGCGACTCTGGATCTGCAGCATTTTCAGCGATGTTTGCATGACTGAATAATTTTTGAGACCTTTTCTCATTCGAGAGAAGCTGGCGTAAAGGTGCGCACGTCACACGTGCCCGACTCTTGCAAGGCCGAATCAGCAGGCAGGCAGGCAGGCCAATGAACCGAAGACGGAAACGCCACGTAGAAGCAGCTGGGAGCCTGTGAGGCTGACACGCAGCAACCTGCATGGAGAAAGCCTTGAACTCTTGTGCGGGGGCAGGGGGGCCATTGTTGATTCTAGCGAGAGTTTTGATCAAAAAGCCCACTGTTTGAAATCGTTAATCATTGTGCCGCTTCCAGCTTCCTCTTTGCCTATACGGGAAGAAATCATGGACGCAATGGACCCATTTTTCTCCTGGAATAACTCAATCTTTATAGCCTCGACGGCGCTGTCGACCCTCGCTGGCGCCGTTGCTCTCTTTTCATCAACTAGCTTCATTCATGCCAAAATTCGTGAGGCTGAGCGGACGATGGAAAGCTTGTCGAGGGAACTACCGACGCTTTCACACATTATGAAGGATATAGAGCAGGTTCTGGCAGCCGGCATGGGTGATTCGGCGCTCCGAAGCGATTCGACAGGACTCTTGACGGCGCTAGAGGCGGCATACTCTGAAGCTAAACAGAAGTTCCATGTTGTGGCAGACCTTTTCGAGGAAGTCTTGAAACTGAAGAACAGGGGTCGGTCAAGGCTTTCGGCGCTGAGATCCGGAATCGTCTTCATTAACAAGGGCGACAACTTCATGACTCATTACCAATCCCTGAGAGACTCGGCCAGTTTGGCCAGAGACTTGGCATCAGAGTAAGGACAGCCAGCCATGCCGCCAGAAGCTATAGAAACAAGCACTTGCTAACACAACACTGTCAGTCTCAAGGTGGAAATGCTCTGGGCTCGTATGGAGTAAGAACAGCCCGACGGTTGACCGACGGCCCACGGGAGTGATTGCATTCTCCAACAGTAATTATTGACTGACGTTCAATACAGCGCTCGGTTTAACGAAAGGCTTGTGGATATCGAGTAAGATAAGTGCCAACGGGATTTTGGTAATCATAGGGCTGACTCCTCGCAGCATTCGAGTGACCGAGCAGTTAACCCAACTGACGTGAGTGGAACGGCTCCCCATACCTACCTACTTAATTACCTATTATCTTACCCGTCACCTGAGGTACTGTACCTAGGTACACAGGAATGACGAGTAGCGCTGAGATTAACCGGGCATAACTAGTGGATCAATGGCCACCCTCCTCTTGGACGAAGAAGACGAAGAGAATGACGCACAGCCCACGACGAACCATTCCGGGGACACCAAGGGTCTTCAAGGCATCAGCAGCAGCAACAACACCAGCGGCCGTGGCGGCTTCCGCAAGATGGCACGTATCGGCAGGAAGATGGTTGAGTTGTCCGAGACTGGGTTCACCCAATCCATCGCTCTGATCATAGATACGGCACCAGTTCCAGGATCCGAACCGGGGACGTCAGTTTCAAGGCAGAAAGAAATCATGGCCATCGGCAAGCTCGACACAGCAAGCGACGCCAACCTTGTCTCGTACGAGATGCTCATCGATTCAGGCCTGCGAGAGGAGCTCCTAGTTCCCATTCCCCCATATAAGATTGAGCTGCATGGCCTGGAAGGCGCCAAGTGTACGCCCCAATGGGAAGTGACACTGCAGTGGTATAGACCTCGGGATATGAAACGGCGGAAAGAGAAGTTTTATGTCGTCAAGAACGCGTTGTTTGAAGTTCTCTTCTCGTCCGACAGCTCCTTTAAGCAGATATCAGACCGTTCCGTCCATTTGTCCTTGGACCGTTTCAAGCGGAAGAGTAAGTGTTCCCAAAACCTGCCCTCCTACCCACCTACCTGAGATTCACCGGTTAGCGGCGCACCACTAATACTTGGTTTCAGAGGAGGTACTGGTTGAGCTACAAGCCGAGGATGAAAACAGAAAGAAAGCATTAGAACGAGTAGAGAGGGAATACCGCGAGGCTGAGGCCATGAAGCGGGTTCCGGTTCGAAAAGATACAGGTTTGGGGTCAGCACCTGGGAGGACTCATGCATTGACCCGGTCTGCACCTTCTGGTGTCTAAGGTAGGTAATTAACAGACCAGCAGTGAGACCAGCCGCGAGACCATCAGTGGGGTGAAAAGTTTGGGTCGCCTTGAGCGAGGTCCTATTTACAAACAGCAGCTTTACCAGCGCCAGGCCAATTTACGGGTGATTTAAGGTACTACATACCTAGGTACCTAAGCAGAGGGCACTGTTCTATTAATTTACACTACAGGGACTCTCCTGCAGCCCACTACCTAGGTAATTAGACCCACAGGACGAGAAGGTCAAACTGGTGGCATCCGCAACAGCTTGGGGCTCCTTCAACTTCCAAATGCTGTTATTATCCTGTAAAAGTGACGATGAACGATCATGAGGTATCCGAATTAGGACATGAAATGCTTCACAATTGAGCTATTTATCTGTTCGATTCTAAACCCAACACCATCGCTCTTTGACCTTTAGCCGAAGGGTAGAAGATCAAGAACCTCATCGTCCTTTCGCCTCTAATCATGGCACCAGCACTTGGACTCGGCCCGAGCGACTTGAGCAGCCGAAATTGAAGCAGAACGCCAACGCCCTGGGTATTCATTGTCAACTATAACGGCCACTCATCACTCTCCCTCTTCCTGTTTCCCCCATAGGTACATAGGAATACCTCTTGAAAACAATACGCCCTTTAAACAAAGACCCCCATCCCTCACTTCGAAACCCCAATCTCATACCCAATCAACACCTCCGTCGAACTCCCATCCCACCCCCTCGTCCCCGCCGTCGAAATCATAATCCTCGACGTCGGATCCACATACAACTGCGAAATCACCCCGGCCCTCGGCGGGCCCGGAATAATAATAAACGGCACCTTACTATGCCGAAAAGCAGACGTATCCTTCAGATCATACAGCCTCAAAATATCATGCGAAGCACACACTAAATGTCTTCCATTCGCCATCGGTCGCACGCAGCTTACGGCTCCTGAGCCGGCGGGGAATTTGAGCGTGCGTTCGGGAAGCCAGGTGGATGTCGCGTTGTGGATGGCGTATTCTTCGACGGTGCCGTTGCGTCGCCCGGCATAGATGTGGTTGCCGTCGGGGGACCAGCAGGCGCCCATGCACCAGGGGGGGACGCCGCGGCGGTTGTTGATGCGGGCTATGGGGTCGGGGGTGCGCCGGTCCCAGAGGCGGATGGCGCCGTCTATGGCGGCGGTGAGGAAGGTGTTGGGGGAGGATTGGGAGGGGTCTGTGGTTGTCGTTCCCTGGGCAGCGGGTTGGGATTGTTGGGCGGGGTGGGTATAGACGAGGGTGGGGGATGTTGGGTGGGTATCTTGGTGTTGTTGTTGGTCTTGTTGCTGTGGTTGTGGTTCGTTGGTGGTAGTTGGGTCGGTTGATGGTTGTTGTTGTGGTGGTTGTTGTGGTGGTTGATCGGCTTGTTGTTGTTGCTGGGCATTTTGCTCGTTCACAATCTGACTCTGGACCAAGTCCATGGGATCAGAATGCGCGTGTTCCGCGGCCATGGACGTATCCCCTGCCTGAGTACTTCCAGCCGTGTCCTGCGCTGGAGGAACTGCCGAGTCCGCGCTCGCGTCTAATCCAGTCCCAGTCCCGGCCCCAGTACCCATATCAGCATCACCCATAGTGAAATCCCCCGAGTGGTCCAGCCCATGATTACCGTCATCGTGTAGCCCCATGTCCATAGCACGGGAGAACTCGTCGTCGTCATCCCCAAACGCTCCACCACCACCACCGCCGCCTCCTATCGTGTCGTTATCCCCAAACAGTGACCCGGCTGGACTCCCAAACAACGACTCGTGCTCTGGTGATCCCCCATCACCACCACCACCTCCACCACCAGCAGTAGCAGCGGGATCATCCGTCTGTTGCGTCTCTCCCAGACTCACACCACCACCCGCAACACCACCATCCCCATCACCCCCATCCCCCCCATCCTGAAAAAAACCATTCACCCTCGGCCTCGTCTCCGCAAAAAACGTCTCACTCTTCACCACCTCCACCTCACTCGCCTCCTTCGGCACCGGCGCCCCGCTCGCCGGGCGCAACTCAATCGCCGAGATCTGCCCCCCACTACTCTCAAACTTCCGAATCACATTCCCCGTATTCAAATCCCAATCCAGCACCGTCTTATCCCAACTCCCACTCAACACCGACTTCTCATCCGTCGCCAGCTGCAACACACTGACCGCATTCGTATGGCCCCCCTCTTTCAAACAATGAATCCTTTTCCCTTCATCATGCCGCACACTCTGCAAGTTTATCCCCCCGCTCTCTAACCCGCTCAGCAACCACAATGCATTCCTCTGCACCGCTAAGCTATACACGGGGGATAACACCCTATCCTCCGCGCGCGCACCGGGTGGCGCGGGTTCCTCATTCTCCCAGTAACTCATCAGTATCCCCGCTTTCGTCACGCTATCCACAAAAGGGTGTCGCTGCGCAACAGTAAGCTGCTGTTTGCCGTTGATCGTGCCCATGCCGTCGTACTTGCGGATGTAGCCGTCGGACCCGCCGGTGATCCAGTATCGCAGGTCCGGGGTGATGGCCATGGCGTTGACGCTGGTGGCTTGCGGGGCGGCCATGGTGGGGACGATGTCGTAGAGCGGGGCGTCGATGTATTCTTGGCGGAGGATGGGATGCCAGGTGGAGGCGAGTTTGGTTGTTGGGGCGGTGGGGGTTGTTGTGGATTGTGCTGTTGCTGTGGTGGAGGCTGTGCCGTCAGTGGTTCTGGTGGTGGTGGTGTCTGTTGTGCCGCCTGGGACGGTGTCGGTGCTTGTACTGGTTGCTGTGCCTGTGGTTGTGGTGGGAGCTGCGGTTGCTGGGATGGCGCCAGGACCGACACCGGCACCAGCGGTAGTCGAAGCACCGTTTTGCCCGGCGGCACCACCGCGCGAAGTCGGACGACTCCGAGGGTCGCGCGGATCGGCCGTGATTGTGGTCGGGGCTTGCGAAGCATCGAACGATTCGGCCGTTTCGGCATCGCCTTCGGTACCCTCAGCTTCCTGTTCATCTTGATCTTGGTCCTGATCCGCGTCCTGGTCCGGGTCCTGGTCATCCTCCTCTTCCTCGTTCTCCTCTTCGTTCTCATTCTCATTGTCATTCTCATTCTCCGCCTCGAGGTCCTCGGCGTCTTCCATCAGCTCGTCCTGATCGTTTTCGGAACTGGCGTATTCGTCGTCCATTTTGAATGGTAGAAAAATTGAGGAATATTCGAACGGATGGGGTTTCGAGGTTCAATGGGTCGGGGCGGCCGAGTTATGGCGCAATTCGTCGGGAAACGTGGAACGTGGAAATGGAAAAGCGAAGTTCAATCTTTGGGCGTGGCTGGACGCGAGGTCAAAGAAACCCCTGCTTGTAATCCCTGTCCGAGCTTCCCACTGCTCTGCAGCGCTGCGTGGGGGAATCACCCCGCAACCCCACCAAGGCCATGCAAAACCGCAGACGACGACGAATTCCTACTTCATAAGGTTTCCTCATGCTTCAAATGATACGTAATGTCGAAGAATAAACCCGATCAAGGTAATGCTGGCATTTCTAGTAGATAATACGATTTCTCGTCAGCACATCACATGAACCTCTGCTTCAAGAGAACCACTGCTATTGAATTATACTCGGCTATGAGGAATATCCCGAGGCGGACATGACAATGGCTTGATTGGAGATACCAGCCAACAGACACCCGGCCATCGAGAGCACACCCACAACCCAATCCTCCCCGACGAGACTCTGAAGCCCGATTAATGCCAAGGGAGATCTAACAGTCCATCTTGCGGCCGCCATATTACTAGAAGTGCAAGCTATACACGTCGACGAGATGCCCCGTCTATCATGACATAAAAATAGATCCTGTTGCCGCCCACAGGACCCAACAAATAACCACCAAAATAACCTAATCCTAGTCCTGGTTCTTCCCCTCGCCCTCGCTTGTCCCGGACGGATCTTTGGCCGCGTGAATCATGTGCTTGGCCGTCCGCCGCATAAACTCAGCCAGCCGCCTATCCCCCTCTTTTACCGCGCCTCCGGCATGTTGGGGACGATCGGCAACGGCGTCGTAGTCGAGAAGTAAATCAGAACAAGAGGACTCCGAGACCCGCACGTCGTGTGATGACGAGCAAGATGCCAGGGCTTTGCGAGCCTTGCCAGGCAAAAGGTTAGGCCGAGGACTGTTCCTGTCTTCCGTGGCGGCCACGGTCGTACCCCTAAAAGACCCAGAGTATTCACCACCAACCCTGCCGTGCGTGATATTCGGGGTGCCGATCCCGCGCGGCGTGGTACTGCGAGGTGTATCGTTGGTGACTTCCGAGTCACGTAAGCCTGCGAGAGGGCGTTCGTCCGCCTCCTAGTCTGTGCCGTTACCCGAGACGCCCCCTCGCCAGAGCCCATAAAACCCATCGCAGTTCTTCCACATCTTAATCGTACCGTCCTCCGATCCGGTCGCATACAAGTTTCCGTCCGGCGAAAACGTGATCGACCAGATCGGCCCGTGATGGCCCTTGTGGAGGTCCAACTCCTTGGCATCGTCCCAGTTGTACACCCGAGCCCACGTGCCCGGGTCCTCCCCTACCACAAACTTCCTGCCCTTCAAATCGAGGCCCACACTCGCGACCCCGTGCGGCAACTTGATCTGCTTCAAGTCATCCTCGGCCCGGATCCCGCTCCAAAAGTAGGCAGTCTTCCCCGCGGCCACCGCAAGAACAGGGAAACCGCCGCCGATATCCGTCGGAGCACTGTGCGAACGCGCCAGAGACACAAGCTCGCAAGACTTGATCTCCCCCTCCAACTTGACCTCCCGAATGCAGCTTCGCGACGGGAGGTCAAACCAACGGAGTGTGTCCCCAGAAGCGGTGATGATGACACTTGGATCCTGCGCCCAGACGATGAACTTGATTGTATCCTTGTGAGTCCCCTCTCCAATCTCGAACGCCTTGTCGGTTTCGATGGTAATGGGAGTAACCGGCGTCGGGCTGCCGGGTGAGTTTTCGCTGTGCAGTTTGTGGTCGTGAAGGTCAAAAATGCGGAGCTTCTTTTCGTACCCGCCCGTGGCAATCATTCCAGATTGATCAAACGGGTAAGAAATGGCACGGACAATGTGCTCGTGCTTCAAGTTGTACAGCAACTCGCCCGTGTGCGTATCCCAAATTTTCGCCGTGAAGTCGGCCGAAGCAGTCGCCGCAGTCGTCGCGTCGGGGCTCAGCCTCGCCTGCCACACAGCGCCTTTGTGGCCAAGGAAGGTGCCAATCCAGTCGCCCGTTTGGCCATCGCGAAGCATCGGGTTGCCATCTGTAGCGCGCGGTCTGGTCAGCCTAATGTTCCTGGACCTGGTTGGAAAAACCCCCGCCAACCTTTGCAAGCTGAGATCATGTAATACGCATCCTCCTTCTCGAGCGGCGAAAAGCTCAAGTGTGGTACCGGACGCGAATGGCCGTGGCACGTCAAAGGCACGTATTGACGTGGGGGGATCGGGTCACTCATGCTGGAAAGTGGCTGATGCGTCAAGATCTTCGGAATAGGTAGACTGAATCGATGGGGGTGATTCTAGTTCGGCGATCGGTAGTTGTCGAATTTTTCAAGCCCGAAAGAGTTAGAAAAGTGTGCCGATGAGAAGCTGTCGACAGAATGACGTGGTGGTAGAGGGCTTTGATGGCGGCGGGGGGACTTGTCGGGGTCGTTTCGAATGGAGCAGCCGAGGAAAAAAGAAAGGTTGAGAGAGCTGCGAAACAAAAGAAAACCAAAGAACGAGGAGAGTCGTAACGGGTCGTGAAGTCGGTTTGCTCGTCAAAAAGGAAGGCGGAAGATAGAGAGAAAGACGGGGCCAAAGCGGTCGTCTCCAAGAGTGCCGCTAGTGGACAGAATTTGCGAATTCGCAAAACGGAAAGAGGGAGGTGTCGTGACAAACTGCAGCCAGAGCCCAGGCGATGTTTCTCGCCCTGAGGTCAAGTGCGGGGTGTGCCTATTCCACATGCCAAGCAGGGGCGAGCTTGCCCCAGAAGTTCAAGGCGATGCCCCACTTTCAGGTCGTTGTTAGTTGTCCCGCACCCACTATCGTCATCTCACCGAGGAAGGGAGTTGCCTCCTGGTTCCAATCACTTCCATTCCACTTGCCTTGCCGTTCCTTACAAATTAGGTATTCGCCCCGGCTTTTTATCGGCATATTTGGGGAAAACAACAACAAAATCCACCAAAGTCTGGTCCGCCTTGCCGTAGCTTCAGCGTGCGTTTGGCTTTTTCCCGCGGGGTCTCCTCCAACCGCGTTTCCACTGCAGCTTGTCGCTTGCTACCTTGCGACCCCGCCTCACCCAATCGACAAACCATCGCCCGCAAACACGACGTTGGGCTGCGTACACCAAACGAGAATAGAGATGCCAGACTTCAAGCTTTCGGCCCAGCTGAAGGGCCACGAGGCGGATGTACGTTTTTAGTAGGATTCCCAAAGCCTCAAGGCAAACGCTGACACCGGAGTATCCAGGTCCGCGCTGTCTCCTTCCCAGCAGCAGGAACCGTTCTTTCGACCTCTCGCGATCAGACCGTCCGTCTCTGGCGTAAGACCGCTGAAAGCCCCCCCACATTCGACGAGACGATCACAAGCCAAGGGCACGGATACATCAACTCGGTTACGTCTATCCGGTCCTCGACCGAGTGGCCCGACGGGCTCGTCGTCTCGGCTGGTCAAGAAGCCATCATCGAAGCGAAGCGTCCGACCTTGACCACCACCGACAACGCCGACCGCCTCCTCGTTGGCCACGGCCACAATGTGTGCACGCTCGACGTATCTCCTCGAGGGTCATACTTGGTGTCGGGTGGCTGGGACGGGAAGGCGCTGGTCTGGGAGACTGGAAAGTGGCAGATCTCGGCCCAACTCGCACATCACGGCGAAGTCAAGAGTGTATGGGCGGTCTTGGCGTACGACGAGCACACGGTGATCACCGGCAGCGCCGATAACAACATCCGAATCTTCGATCTCCGCCAGGTCGACGGCAATGGCGAGGTAGGCCCGCGGCGCACGCTCAGCACCAGCTCTGTGGTGCGGGCGTTGTGTAAACTGCCAACCGGCATCAAGGGACACCCCAGTGGGGCTGAGTTTGCCAGTGCGGGCAACGACGGGATTATCCAGCTGTGGAAGTTGAACGGCTCTCAGGTCGGCGCGCTGCAAGGACACGACAGCTTCATCTACTCTCTCGGGTGCCTGCCAACCGGCGAGATCGTGAGTTCCGGCGAGGACCGGACTGTTCGGATCTGGAGGGGTTCGGAATGCATCCAGACCATCACACACCCCGCCATCTCCGTGTGGGCGGTGGCTGTGTGCCAGGAGAACGGGGACATCGTTTCTGGTGCGAGCGACAACGTGGTCCGCGTCTTCACCCGCAACGCAGACCGGACCGCGCCTGCGGAGGTGTTGTCGCAATTCGAGGAGTCAGTGCGGGCATCCGCCATCCCGCAGCAGCAGCTGGGTCCTTCTATCAACAAGGAGCAGCTGAACCCCAAGTCGTGGCTAGTCGGCAACGCGGGGAAGAAGGACGGTCAAGTGGTAACGGTTCTCGAAGACGACGGGACCATTGGGGCCTATCAATGGTCATCAGGTAGGTTCCCTGGGCTAGAGTCCGTGGTTAGTCGATGTACTAACGTTTACAGGCGAGCAACGGTGGGTTCATGTAGGAACCGTGGTGGACTCGACTGGTAGCAGCGGGCGAAAGAAGGAGTACAATGGGAAGGAGTACGACTATGTATTTGATGTCGACATCGAGGAAGGAAAGCCACCCCTCAAGCTGCCATACAACCTTTCCGAGAATCCGTACGATGCGGCAACAAAGTTCTTGGGAACGAACGAGCTGCCGATATCATACATCGACCAGGTCGCCAAGTTCATTGTCACGAACACACAAGGCGCAACCATTGGGCAAAGTGCCGAGGCTCCCTCCGCCGACCCGTACGGAACCGAGTCACGGTATCAACCAGGTCAAGCCGAACCGGCAAAGAAGTATCTGCCGCACAAGGAGTACCTCGTTCTCTCCCAAGCGAAGTGGGAGCCGGTAGCCAAGAAGCTACGGAGCCTCAACGAGAAGCATGTGGCCGCTGGCAACAAACACATCGCGTTGAACCCAGACGGTCTCAACACTCTTGACACGGCGCTCAAGGCCACGATGGGCACTCCGGTGCAAAAGACGGCACCGGCAGCACTTTCCGATGCCCAGCGGAGCGTGAGCACGATTGTGACACAATGGCCGTACGGCGACCGTCTCGCGGCTCTAGACGCCTTGCGTTGTTTTGTTGCCTGGCCTGGTTCAGCATCTTCCAACGACGCTAGGGACGGGAGCGTCGTTGAGGTCGCCCTTCGAGGCGCACTCGACATCCAAGACCCGGTCGCGGGCGATACATCCCTAGCCGACCTCATCAACTCCGTTGACGCCACCCAGCTCAATGTCAACAACGTCATGATGGCCCTCCGCGTGGTAACCAACCTCTTCACGACCCCCGAAGGCCGCTTTCTCGTCGCAAGCAATGCCGATTCCCTCGTCGCTCTACTCGCCCGCGTCGCAGGCGTCGAAGGCGGCGAACCCATCGGGCCAGCCAACAACAACATCCAAATCGCGCTCACATCGGCCGCCTTCAACTTTGCCTGTCTCGCCTTCAACGAGAAGGACTCCGTCCCGCTCGAACTGCTGATGCTCATAACCCAGGTCGCCCAGGCCGTGATCCAGAAGCAGAGTGATGCCGAGGTTCTGTTCCGGGCGCTCATGACGCTGGGCATGGTGCTGGCGGGCGGGGAGGAGGCCAAGGATTTGGCCAAGACGTTGGAGGTTGGGGGTGAGGTGGGTGAAGCGGCGAAGAAGAGTGGAGAGGAGCGGATTAAGGTGTTGGCGAAGGAGTGTTTGGGGTATTTGAAGAGTTGAGGGTGAGGGTTCGTTATTAAGGTCTGCGGGCATTCCGGCGAATAGACTTGCTTTGTTTGGGAAGAGGTTGGGCTCTTCTGGGTTATAGTATCACGTAGCATGTGTGTAGATTTGTGTTAATTGAACGTTGATACCCAATCTCGTGCCTCGCACCTAGTGTAGTTCCAATGGTCATGTAAATGGGATGTGGGACGTCAACATACAGCTCATCTTACCGCTAAGCACAACGAAAACCACAACCCAAGCCGCTCTCTCCTCGAACGAGAACCCAACCAACTCTCTAAAGTAGCCGTCCAGACACTCGGAGACCTAGCCCCTGCTTTAACAAAGACCCCCTTCGGTACTGGACAGTACCACCAAGATACCGCCCACTCAAGCAAGAAGACATCGTAGCCGCCCGCCCTGGTTTAAGGAGGTTGTAGTGTGATGGGATGTCATGTCCCGACTAGCTTGAAACGGTGGGCTACTTCATGAAGGGTGTGAAGGTGTGAAACCTGGAAACCATGAACCGCGAAACCGGGAACGAACCCCCCCTAGCAGCTAAAACCTTGGGGCATTTTTGTATTGGTTTGTTCGGTATTGACTTGCCCTTGTCTCCCTGCGGTAGCTTACACTATCACCTCTTACCGGCTTAACCCCTTTCTTGACACGGCGTGCCTTCTTCTCCGGTTAGGGTTTAGCCGGTTCTAGTGCGGGACCGCATGCCTCTATCCAGGAGACTGTTATGTGCCAGTGGGTTTATCGTATTGGATTGAAACGACGATTGGTCATGGCCGTGAACGATGGCTGGGGACAATGGCGAGTCGCCGGGTCTTGATTCTCATGATGGGGGTTGTTAGGATCAAGTGTAAATCGCTGGTCAAGAATCAAGAGGAAAAACACATGAGTTCAGGTAGGTGCTTGAAACATCTAGTATTTTAGACGGGCATGCCCGGTCGGAATAACGTCCTTATGAAAAGGGGAAATAAAAAAGATCTTAGAAAAGAAAAACAGACAAGAGAAAAGGCAAACAGCGCCCGTCACCGGATATATCCAACCCCTTAAACGCCATTCCCAAGATACCCCTTGAACCCCCCCCAAAGATAATCATCACATTGTACATGTCCCACCATCACCTCCCATCATCGCGTTTCAAGTAATCCCCTAAAGAAGCGCCCAAATCCCCCCCAACACCAAAAGCGGCGCGTACCCGCCCCAAGACAACAACTGCGGGACACTCAACCCCGCCGCACCGTTCGGGTTGGCACCCGGCAAGTCGCCTTGGCCCGACTCGCGCAGAGTCAGAGTATAGATGTCGGCGGCGCCGATGTCGGTGGAGTTGAAGCAGTTGGTTTCGTTGACCAGGGGGATACGCGGGTCGCCGGGTTCGGCGAATGTGATGTCCACGCACTACACAGGATATCATTAGCTTAGGTTTTTTAAAGAGGGAAATGGGGAAGGAACGTACAGAGTACAGCGCCGCGCCATGAAGAGCAGTCTCAACGACCTGAATAGTAGCATTATCACCAGCCTTGATGTTAAAGTCGCCAGCGTCGGCGGGTAGCGCGACCTGCGGCAGGCAGACGGTGCCCGGGTAAGGGTTCTTGGTCGGGCCGATGATCTGGAAGGGCGGGACCATGGGGTGGCTCATGTTGGGCGGACCGTGGAGACCGGGGGCGAACTCGGGGCCTTCGTTGCCGTAGCCGAGGTTGATGTAGATGAAGGCTGTCGCGTGGCCGGAGAACCAGCCCGGTTGGAAGGCGATGGCGCCGCCGGTGGTGGGCCAGAAGGTGCGGTTTGTTGTTGTGGGCATGCCGCCGCCTTGGAGGTGTTAATTACTGTTTAGATAAATTGTATCCCCCCGGGAATCAAGGCAACTTACATGGGTACATCCATTGCATGCCGTAGGGGAAGGTCGAGTTGGTGATCAAGCTGTTGCCGCGCCATCCTGGGTATGTGATGACGGTGTGGGCGGAGGCGAGCGCCGCGCTCGCGACGGTGAGGAGTGTTGATGAGAGCATGGTTGTGTGTGTGTGTGTGTGTGTGTTGTGTGTAGACGGGAAAAGGAGAGAGCGCGTCAGAGTCGCAGTGTCTCGACACCTTCGACAATTTTCCTCTTCCTCGAGTAAACCCCCTCTTCGAATCCTTCTCTGTTGAAGTTGAATGCGGCCCGGAGCGATCGCTTTCGACGGTCTCTGTGAGTGGCTGCTTGTTGTGAGACCTCTGAGTAGCGGGGGCTGGGCGTGATGTGACCAGAACGTCGACGACAAAAACGCTCAGCGAGGAATATCTCAACCTCAAATCGAGCAAAAATCGTTGGAGTCCGCCGCGTGTAAACTTGAGCAAAATTGAGAATAGAAGCAGGGGAGAGCTCCAACCGACAGCCTGGGCAGCAGGAGGGTAATATCTCGCTGCGATCTCCCCTCTCCTCCTCTTCCTCAAGCCGCCCGGGAATTGTGACCGAAGACCGACCTTGCATCCCCCGCGCGCGCACAGCTCCGGAGCGAGCCAGGGACAATCTCGACGGCTCTGTCCAATTCGCCCGACCACTCACAGGCCCGGAAAGACCAGAAGCTGCGCGCTCTGTGCATGCCGATGCTCCCGCCCCCTGTCACCCCGAGGACGGCCGCGGCCAATCGGCGGCCGCTCTGGGCCGCTTGCCTGCGGGCGAGTCGCTGAGCTGGGACCCGGGGGGGCAATTTGCAGATCCGTCACCTCGCCAAAGGTGCTCTCTCGTTCAGCCATCACCAACAGCCCTCCAATCGCCGGTCGCATTGCAGAGTGCGATTTGCAGCGGCCGTTGCGCTGTGGGACCTGAACGTTGCGGGTGTCCTTGAAGAGTAATGAAAACTCACGTTCGATTCGAGAGACCACCAATTCCAATTCGAAACTCGCGATACCTTCCCAAGCCTTTGTCCTCAAAACCTCGCGACATCAGAAATCTCGGCGAAGCTGAATCGCAAAGCGAAAGATGAAAGCGCCAAGATATCGCTAACGGCAGCCGCTGGTGTTGAGCGGTCACATCGCATTGTCAAGCTCACGCTCCACCTCGATCGCGGTCCGCCAACCTTGTCGCACGGTTAAGCGCCGAGATCCCCAGCCCGGAAACCAATGATGTGCCGCCTCCCCTACCGGGCACTGCCGTCCCGTGATACCCACATGTTCGTCAACGTCTGTTCTGAAAACTTCGGAACGGTTTCTTGGAGGGTGTGATTGTTGGTGCTGTTTCACAGTTCGAGAAATATTCAGTCAGCTGCATTCAGCTCATGTGTGGTTGAGGCATGGTAGTTGAGCAGGTCGATGTCGCAATTGTCGAGAGACAGAGGCTGAATGCGTTTTCCAGTTTGTTGTTTCCAAGCCACGACGATCTTGGTGCAAAGACAGCCCAGGATTAAAGCAATCCAGGGTATCTGAGCCTCAAATCCAATGAAGTCGGTCCAAAGAATTTCAGAAGACGACATGATGCGTCGAGGAGGCAAGCGCGACTTGACGAGTGGTCAAAAAGGGAAGGCGGTGAGCTAGTTCTGCCTATCAGATCTCTTATCGCCGGCCCATTGCCCCGCCAAACCCCAAAGTAAAGTAAACTTCAAGTCGTTCAACTGTAAACACTTCGAATGACAAACTTCCGGTTGATCTGTTTTGTTAGACCTGGCTTAACGGGGGACCCCATCAGTTTCCATTTCAGGCACGTTTTGCTGCTCATACCGCTGTTATATTTACGTGACCATTGCCAACTTAGCATTTTCCCTTATTTTTCATGATTTCATCTACAGCCCCCTTAATCGTTATTTCATACATTTGAAATGTCTGACCTCGTCGACCAAGGCGGAGGGTGGTTTCAAGTTAAACAAACCGGTCGCCGACTCCGCTCTGTACCAAAGCCCTCCAACAATGACGGAAACCCCGTCCCCAATACCGTACAACCAAATCCAAACCCCACACTCTCTCTCGAGGAGTTAGCAAAATACCATGAACTCGTTACCAAAGACTTGCAGTCATCCCAGTGGTGGCAACAAGTATTACAAACACTACAGTCCGCTGCCGACCAGTCCGGTAGTCTTCCCGCTATCAAAAAAGCCGTGTGTTTGGGGCCGGGTCCCTACGAGCCAAGTAACTGCAGCTCCATGACCAGGAAGACGGCTCACATCCAGACAGCTGTCTTTTGCTATCTTGTGGAGTATTTCAGTGCGTACATACTTGCCCTCACCATCTCCCAGCTCCCACTTACCTGACACCAAGCTAGAGGCCCAAACTGGCGAAGAAATCCAAAGCATAATCCAAGAACCCATGTTCACCGAGACCGACAAAGCCTTCTGCGCCACGCTGAGTCTCGAAGCCGTGGACAGCCCCAGGGCATTCTCAGTCATAGACGAAGAGACCATGGTGTTTGCCATTCATATGGAGCTTAGCACATACAGTCAAGCATTATCAGCTCACGTTCCAGCGCTGTTGGTGGGGTCCGATCCAGAGAACTGGGAGACTGCGGCGAGAGTTGAACCGGAGATACAGGCTGACTTGGAAGGGTATGGTAGGATTGGGCAGACGCATGGGAAGGTGGTGTTTCCGGATTTGGAGATGATGTTTTTTAGTACGGTTTTGTATTGGAGAAGGGGAGAGTCTTGATGTGGCATTCTGCAATCCCTAATTCTCGCTCCGAAATTAAGCTGAGCTCATCCCCACGACTTTTCCCCCTAACGCACCCCGAATTCCCACCGCCTAGTCCACGTTTAGCTGGCCTGCTCTACACTCCCAAGTAAGATCGAAGTCGACGTACGGCATCTTACGAGGCAGCCGAGTTATCTCAACCTAAATCCTCAAGTCAGTTGGAGAATACCCCGTAACAGCGAACCACCATCCATCCACAGTAACCCTCTCCCCAACCAAAAGGAAAAGAATCCTGAAAAATTACTCACATCCTCGTATGAAACCCCTTCCGGCAAGCCCAGCAATGGGTATGCGCAACCCTGACATGACTGCGACACGAGCAAATGCAGAGACACTGGTATCTCTTCTTCTTTTCCTCCTTCTCCTTCTTCTTCTTGTCCTTGCCGTTCTCTTTCTCGTCGTCCTTGCTCTTGTCCTTGTTCTCGTCCTTCTCGTTGCCCTTGTTGTCCTTCTCAATCTCCTTGTCGTGATCCTTGCCGTTTTCTTTCTCGTCGTCCTTGTCGTCGGTCTTATCGTCCTTGCCCTTGTTCTTTCCGTTCTCCTTCTCGTTGACCTTGCCATTTCCCTTCTCGTGGTTCTTGTCCTTATCTTTGCCTTTGTCTTGGCCGTTGTCTTGGTTCTGACCCTCGTTCTCGTCGTTCTCCATGGCGCCGTACTTATGCACGTACTCGCGGCCGAGCCAGCGTAGCCAGTTAGGCATGGCTGCTGTGGTTGTTGTAGTCTGGTTTGGCGGGTTTGAGGGGTTGAGGGGGTGGTTGGTGTTGGTGTTGGGATTTGTGGTAAGTTGTGGACGGTCGGTCGGGTTGGGCTGGTTTTCGTGAAGTGGAAGTGTTCGGGCGGCGGGGGTATTCTGAGAACTGTTACTCCCTAATGCTCGCACTTCATTTTTGTGTGTGCCCGTGGCGGTTGCCGAGCCCGCCGCCGGGTCGGCGGAGCCTGTGCTCTGATCTCGGAGCTGTGCTGGCTGTGGCACCGGTTTGTTCGGCTCTGAACATGCTGCATGCGAATACCAGGTCAACAAGGAAGGGAAATGCTTGGTGCTTTGGTCAACCTTCACATCACAGGAGACACCATGGCCAAACTGTGGTAACTTAAGACCAACTTGATTTAAGAACACTGTAACTCAAGACTATGCTGACCCCTTGCCGTAGAATCTCCTCCAAATCAAGACCCAAGACAACGCAAATCCCTCTTCACCCTCACCAATTACCAACATCTTATCTACCCACTCATTCCCTTGTTAGTAACTCCTCCCCTGATAAACACACAGAGAAAACCTACCTATCGCTCCCGATGCGACCCCGCCAAACAAGCACCACAAGTCGAGTTCGCCACACCCACCGCATTCTCACACAAACAAATGCACATGCACTTGTATTCGGTGCTCGACGCCTTGAAGCCCCGGAACATGCTGGTCTTTGAGGCAGTGCTGCTGCTACTACCACTACCACTACCACTGCCGGTGGTTGAAGAACCTGTGAGGGTGGTGGCGGAGCTGGAGTAGCTGCCGGTGGTGGTGCTTCCGCTTCCGCCGTAGAGGGTGGAGGAGCTGTCGGATTTGCCTGTTGAGCTGGAGGTGGTGGAGGGTTTGTAGGAGCTCATTGTTGCGGTTGGTAGGGTGTTTGAGGTTTGTGGGTTGGTGATATTGTAAGAGGTTGGTGAGGGAGAATGTTGGTTGGAAACTTTCAAAGTTGGAAGCTGAAGATGAATGTTTGTATTTATGATTTGGTATTGTGGTTGTGAACGTTATGGGGAAGATGTTGTGGTTGTGATTGTAGGCGATATTCCCATGCGAGGGGGAGGGTATTTATACTCATGCCTCAGTGCAGGACTCCTATTGAAGACCAGGTGGCCGTAGTGAACGTGGATATTCACAACAGGAGATGCTCTTTGTGATATTGTCTAGCTCCAACTATGAGGGTTGCGTAATCATCCTCGCTTTATGTGTTGTCCATGATTGGCTGGAGATTTGGGTAACCGTGGGAGGTGGGCGTTGACAGCAGTGCGTGAAGGGAGTTTTGCAGGGTCCTTTCTGCTGCTATTGTTGTTAACACCTCTTACTCATGAATATGACTCCCGTGGGGTTTGGATGAATCCCCCGAGGTTCTAACATACCTACGCCTTTGTAGCCCTAAGTGCCCTATTGGCGGCCGGGCTCCGGCCCTTTGAGAATGCAATGAGCGGCTGTTCGATACAGGGAGCTATAATTACTTGACAAAACGGTCCTAATACATGTCTGTGTTAATTGGTGTCAAGTAATTAATACACCGCCTTTACGTTGCGATTTGGAGTGTGACTCTCAGATCCACTGCTTACAACTTTCTAACAACGCCGGTTGAATTAACATGGGCATACCTTCATTAGCATCGGTTTGTTGCGCTTCCTAGATGATGTGGACATGCTGGTAGAAACATTTGACCCTTGATTACGTGTTCACGACCATGAGGGGGACACGCCAACTTCTTCGGAGCTTCGAGATCATGGGAAAACTTGTTGATTAACTCTTCGCATAAAGTAAGATGTCCTCTTCACAGAAACCAAAGTGTAGTGCTAGTGTGCTGTTGCTCAACATTCCCACCCCTTCCCACAAATCAAAACCGGGTATCAAAATCACGAACCCAAAACTAAATCACCGGCAAAACCACCCCTTTCCTCCTTCCTCCACCCTTCTCCCCCAACAACCCTCACACCAATCCATCACCTTCCCATCCCACCAGCCAATCTCAGCCTCAGTCGTTCCCACCCCCCTCACCCAAGACCCTCTCACCCAAGACCCCCCCAAAACTCACGACGCAAGATTCGAATGCGTCCCCGCCAAACAAAGCTCACAACCCCCCCCCCCGGCAAACTTCGCCTTCGCCAAACAAATACACCCGCACGTGCACCGTGTCCCGCCCGGCGGCCCCTAACCATCACCACCGCCGCCTTTCTTGTCCTTCTTGCTGCTGCTGTCGTCCTTCTTGGGGGTGTCGAAACTCGACCAGAGCCAGGTGGTCTCGTGTTTCTTGTCCTTTTTTTTGTTGGTCTTGTCGGTTCCCCCCCCACTGCCGGGACCGGAGCTGCCGCCGGGACCACCGGGGCCGCTGGCTGCTCCGCTCGGGGGTGCGGTGGTAGGGTAGCTTGGGTGGATGATGATGATGATTGGGAGGCAGGGGACGTTGGGGAAACGTGGGAAGGCCGGGGGGAAGTTGGGAGGGGCCTGGAGAGGCGGGGGTCGGATGGGGAGGTCCCGGGGGGTTGGGAGTGGTGCGTTGATGCAGGTTATGGTGGTGGTTGGTTAGGTATTGGTGAGTGAGGGGGTTTGGAGAATGTTGGTTGGGTGTGCTCGTGTGTGATTGTGTTGGTGTTGTAGTAATTATATGTAGAGCTGCTGAGCTTGAATGTATGAAGGTTGAGTGCATGAGTGAGTGAGTGAGTGTGAGTGAGTGGGTGTTGAAGATTTGGAAGCCCTCAAACCCGGCGCCGAGACCGATATTTATACACCACCGGCGGCACCATCTTGCACTGAGCGGAAATGTGTAAACGTGTCCGTCCCATCCCAGTGGTGAAACGATCTCAACCATTCCCCGCTCCTAGACAAGATAATTGCATACTTCCAGGACAGGTGTAGTCAATGAGAGGGGCTGACAGATCACCCGCCTCTACAACTCCACAACCGGAATGTAGATTATCATTCAACTAGTCTTTCTTGACACGTTTTCGCCCAGTGACGTCACCCATCCCATGTGCTTTGGTGATCGTGAGTCCCTAGGTTCCCTAGATGGTCTGCTCGCCCATCGTCTGCCCAGCTGCTGACCTCACTTCGAGGGTCCTTTCAGTACTTCACGGAGATCTGGCCGGTGAACCCTCCATGGCGACGTGGCCTAGCTGATGACCCAATTAGAATATTAGATGTATGATGTTCAAGCCACGGGTACGATACCAAGCCCTGAACACGTAGCAGTCCCTTTCTGAGAATTGGATATCTCTTTTGGGGGCGTGATTCCATTGGGCACGGTCACTGGTGTGAGCTTGATACAAGCTGAGGAGATGTGATATTCTACCTTTGACACGTTTCCTCAAGGACTCGAAGACAGCATCTGGGAAATTCCTAGCACCCTTTGCTTCTCTGGATAAACACACACACTATCATACGTTGGGAGTCTCCACTGCGCAGCTTTTACCTGTCTCGGTTCTTTACATTTCAATAGCTTCTAGCACCCGTCTATGAGACAGCCCAGGTTACGCGTGAACACGGCCTCCAAACCCCCCTGGGCGAGGTCTGTCCACCTAGGTATCTCCTGATCTGCATAATCCAACGCGAGAGAAGCGAGGGAAGTTGCTCTTGACGTGTCTCTTAGAACTGCAAAACATTCCAAGTGAATACGATGGCAGTGAGGAGTGAGAGGGTTTTATGTGTTAACAATCATAGATTGTCCTGTGCATACTCCAGCACTGACTAGTGAAGGATCGTTCCTATCCTGGCTACCGCCTCCTAATCTCCATAGTCACCTTCCACCCAGCCCATGCTCCTAGATTCCTAGCCCCTGTGAGACTCGGATCCCACGGCCCAGTCGACTGTTAATGACCCCCAGATTCACCTCCTCCTTCGCCTCGGGGGCTGTTCTCAGTTATCCAGTCCGCAAACCACTCACCCGAAAAACGACCAGAACGACTTCCGTTGCCCCGTTCCCCTGCTCTTACTTTTGCTTTTGCTCTTGCTACCACTCTTACTCCCGCCCTTGCCCTGCCCCTTCTTACTCCCGTTGTTGTCGTCCTCTCCACCAGCACCACCACTACCGCCAGACACCAAGTACTTTCTATCGCACTCAATGCACATAGGCTCCATTATCGAATGTAAACCCGGCGGCTCAAGGGTCATGAACTGCCCGCAGTACGGACAGACTGGAGGAGCTTCGACTATGGGGGACTCCACTATGGAGGTCCCGTAGATGGGGCCCCCGTAGATGGGGGCCTCGTCAATGGGGTATTCGTAGATGGGACCCTCATAGAAGGGGACCTCGTCGATGGGGTCCGGTGTGGTTTCAGTTTGGTAGACAGGCTCAGGAGCGAGCGGGACTTCTCTGGCAGCTTTGTCTTTGCCTTTGTTCCCTCCAGACTTGCTGCTGCTGCTGGGCGTGTAATGGGGGACAGTGATGTGTAAACCACTATTACTAAATCGACTGGTGGATTCGATGGGTGGGATGCTGTTGAAGGCGGTGGGGGCTGTTCCGCTGGGTTCGCTGGTTGAGCCCATGGGGCTGGCCATGGCTAGGAGCTGGAGCGTGCTGTTGTGGCTGGCGTGGCTGCTGGGGCGGCTGGCGTCGCTTGAGCTCTTGCGGGAGGATGAAGCGCGGGGCATTGTGGTGTGTGGTGATTAGGGGGTTGTTGGGTGGTTGTTGGGCTATTGAAGGGTCAAGATAGTGTGGAGTGCGTGAGTGGGAGGAAGAGAGTGTGGTAGGGAGGATGCTTGGTAACGCGAGAACCGGGTTTAAATAATTAGTTCTTTGTAAAGGCTTAGTTCCTGGATAGTTAACTTGCCATGTAGGCCTTGATAAAAACACTGTTCATGTTATATTATTCACTGATTTTCATCCGTCCGATGGCCAACCCAAGCCTCAGATTTCCTCGGGGAATCAAAGAACCACCTGTAGGATAGGCATCACACAATTTCGCAGCTAGCCAATGCTCGGTGAGAGTGACAGTCACGCTCCTCGTCAACGTATGGGATGAGATAGAGAACAAAGACGACTCAGTCACGATGGTGCATGTTTCACAAAGAAGAGTAGAAGGGTGAATTCCCAATATCTCGGGTACTGATGCAACACTTATCGAGTTCTTCAACTTCAAATTTTTCCACCATGACAGCAAGGCTGAAGAAGTAGCAATGATTGGCAAGGAGGCTTCAGCTACGTGGACTCCTTGATTCGCCAGCCTTGTTTTGTTGTTCTCAGCTTTACTCTTTTATGGGCGATACAATGGCCCCAAATATGCGGTTTTCAAAATTTATTTTTCTTCTTCGCAGCGTTGTCCATTTGCAGCGTCGTCTAGGACTTACAGAATTACAGTTCATCACTTCCTCTTGCCAAAGATGTAATATTGTGTTTTCCCAGGCTCGCGGCAGAACTATCGCTGTTGTTGAGTCTTGAACTGAGTTTAGGTCCGGGCAGTGTGGGCCTCTAAGAAGTGCGGATTTCACGATTGCGTGGGGGTTCAATTCGCGTTGTGCTTTTTCTAGGCACGCTGGGATTGTTTTTTTGTTTTTTTTTCTCCCCATCCTTTTGGTGATCAGACCCCGAAGCTCCCTAAAATCTAGTGTAGAATGACTTGTTATCCACTGATGATAAACATCATCATTTCGAAACATTCTTCTTTCCTCACATGCCGCCTTTCCAAGCCCTTTCTATTTCTTCGCTCCTCGGAAGATTTCAGAACCCACATGGCATCGGGCTAACGGTGCGGCTGGTCAATCGCGCGAATCGGGTGTCCACACTTACCCGAGTTGGGAAGGGGCGCTTTGGTCGCGTTCCGGCGAACCGAGCTCGTGGTTTCCTTGCAAGCCACAGGCTGGATCAGGAAATCCCGTCGTTTGTTCAGCTCGAGTTTCTTCTTTTTCGGCCACTTGCTCTTCTTATTCTTCCCACTCTCACGATAAATCCACATTCCCCTGAAAACAATGAAAAGACACCACCATCTCTGCAAACCGCGCCACCCCGGCCACCGCTGAGCCGTAATAAACTTGCACGAGGTCACTCTGCGCCGTTGAGGTGGGTGACAAATACCCCCACCTTCGCCCACGATGGGGAACCAAACCAGGCAAGCACTGCAACCCTTGAGGGGTCCAAGCGCGGCTCTCGCGACGCAATTTCGCGAAATTGCAGCGACCAGGGCGGACGGCTCTGCTGGAGTGGGTGGATGCGACGTTGGCGGCGTGCAACTGCAGGGCTGATTTCGAAAATGGCATTTGTTCCTGGGCAAACCCGTTGCTTTGTTGGCTGGCTGCATGACCCTTTCCGCTGCCCCCTTTTTGAAGGATTGTTGTTCCTTTCCCTTCAACATCTCACATTGAGTTTTGGGTGAACCACCAACCTCGATCGCGACAGTTTCAGGAACCTGCGACGATTTTAGTCCATCCAACGCCCAGACCTTCGGACCGGAACACGGAGCGGAACGGAGCGGGGCAACTGAGACCTGCCACGCGAGAATGGGCCCCCGGCTCTGAAACCGGCAACCCGAGTCTCAGTCATGGATCGAGCAGCGCACAGGGGAGCCCCGTCCCACCGTCCCTTCTCCAACACCAGCAGCAACCACGACAGGAACCACCAACACGGCAACAACAACAGCTTCATCGACCAGCAGCGAGTCCGCTTTGCAGAGGGCGGCAGCGATACTTCTTCGCAGGGCCCCAAGGTGTACCAACCAACCCCACGCCGAGCCAGCTCAGCGGCCGTGTCCGTCGTCGCGTCGTCTGCTGCGTTGCCTGTGTATTGGGACGACAAAGGGAACGGGAGGGGGGGGGACCAGGGCAGTGACGCGAATCTTGCGGGATACACATTTTATCGCGAACGGACACCAACGCCCCCGGATCATGACGGTTCAGAGAAGCGGCATCATCATGGAGGAGGAGGAGCAGGGAGTTTAGTACCTCCCGGGTCGGGAATCGAAACTTCCACGGCGGGTGGGGGAACGATACGCAGCGATGGTACCTCCACGGTTGGTGGTGACTACAGCATGAGGCGGCTTCACTTGACCGACGGTGCGAGTTGGGGTTATCCTGACAACAACAACAACCGGACGCCTTTGAAAAAGACAAGGCGGTTTTGGGTGGTGGTTGTCATTGGCATTCTGATGTTGATCGGGATCGGGCTTGGAGTTGGACTAGCGCTGGGTTTACCCAGGGATCATGACGCTGCCGTAGGGTCACCAGCAAGGTTCGTCCATCCATCACGTTTTTACGTATACACAAACATGCCTCTAACTTCGCTAGCAGTAATACCGCATCCACACTCTCAGGCCCCACACCACCCTCGTCCCCAACAGACCCAGCACCCACTGGCACGGCAACCACCGCCAGCGATCCACGTCCGACATACAACTCAGACTGCCCCACGTTAAACAACACCATCTACCACGTCCCAGACTCGACGGCAAGCTTCCAACGCGTCTGCGGTGTCGACTACAGCGGCATCGGAGCCGTGGACATAGCACAGGAATGGACCGAGAGTATGGCCGAATGTATGGACAGGTGTGCCTCGTTGGTCTCGTGTACCGCTTGCTCCTGGGGGTATTTGAAGGGTGATCAGGGGGCGAAGCACAGGTGTTATATGAAGAAGAACTTGAAGAGGGCTCACGCCGCGGCGGGCGATTGGTGTTTTGCGATTCTGCAATGATTATTGTACTTTGAATGGTGGGCGGTTATGTTATATTTGGTTCGCGTTCTCGCATAGCGATGGGATTTAGATGTTTTGTATACTTGCCTAGGGAACTTACGATTTCACCATGTACATAGACTTGATGAGTTATGTCTTGCCGTTATGGCTTTTTAACCTGGATACATATGCCGCTCGTGGCCATTTCGTTTGACGTTTTACATTCTCCAACGAAAGACATAAAATCCAGCGCTGCCTAAGGTTTCCGCGCAGGTATCACCTTCGCCGCCTCCAGCTCGTCAAAGACATCCTCAAACGACTTCCACGTATCCTCGTACCTGCATCAAACCACCGTTAGCATGATTAATTACCTCCCATCCCAGCAGCCCTCTCCCAAACGTCCGCGAGAAAGAATCAAGAAAAAGAAATAAACTTACCCCATCCACCCCGCCTCCCGCGCCTTACTCATACTCTGCACAATATCATACTCCCTCCCCAACACAAAATCTACAAACCCCCACGTCGCCTGCTCAAACGCCTCCCGCTGCAGCCCTTCCCTCTCCGCCAACCGCCCCCACGCATCCTTCACCTCTGTCTGCTGACTCCATTTCACCAGATTCACCCGCTGCGACAGCACACTGGGCTCCTGTCCAACGGTAGTACCCACCAACCCGGCCTCTTCAACCGCGACGCTGATCGGTGGCGGGGTGTGGAGTTGTTTCGACTGCGCGAGCGAGCTCGCGGGGGATGTGAATTGGTCCGGGGGAACGTGCATGCCGTAGCGGTGGGCGACACGCGGCCAGAGATCGGACCAGGTCTGGGCGTCGCCGTTGACGACGTTGAAGGCTTGGTTGGTGGCGCCGGGGGCGGTGATGGCCCATTCGCTGAAGGTGGCGTGCAGGCGGGCGGAGGTGAAGGTGTCGAAGCGGGTGTAGAAGATTTGGGAGCCTGGGAAGGGGAGGGGGGTGGGTTTGGTGGTGTCCGGGGGGTTGGGGTTGAGTTCTTTGGTTACGGCGACGTAGAGCCCGATGCCGGTGGCTAGGTTCATGAAGTTACCGGTGGCGAAGCCGATGACGTCGTTGGGGTAGGTTACGGTCCAGGTGATTTTGCTGGGGTTGCCGGGGCCGCTTTGGGCGCAGAAGTTATGGAGGATTTCTTGTTGGCGGTAGTAGAAGTTTGGGGGGAAGTCGGTGCCCGTCAGCCAGGGGTCGGACTCGAGGAGGGGGTTTTTGGGTTGGCCGAGGTGCACGCCGTACTGTTTGGCGCCGGTTACGAGGAGGATGCGCTTGGTTTTGGTGTGGGGGACGGCTTTGAGGAAATTGTCGAGCATGTCACCTGGAGTTGGTGAGAATATGATTTAGTCGCGGCCCTCAATGGGATGTCATATTGGGAGGGATTTCAGGGGTAGAGCAACCAAAGCGTACCGTTCACATCCCAGTTCGCTTGCTCAGTGTCTTTCTGGAGATATGCCGTGAAGAAGATGTACTCGGCGTCGATTCCTTCTAGGTCCTTACCCATCTGCTCGGCAGAACTGAGGAGATCAACATGCTTGTGGACCACATTGGCCGGGTACTCGTCTTTCTTGCTGCGGGAGAGGGCGTAGATTGTCTTCCATTTCTCGGGGGTCTTAGAAAGCTGTTTAACAATTTCTCTGCCGAGAATGCCTGTTTTTAATTATTAGCTTGAGATCGGGGCTCTCCCGAATGAAATTATGAAAGTGATCAAGTACCTGTTGCGCCGACGACGATAGCTGTCGACATGATTGATGCTGTCCCACGTGAATGTCTGGGTGATCTGGGTTATCTGGGTGAGTTTGGTCCTGAGCCTTGAGCAAACCGTTGGTGATTTTAGGAGGTCTCCCTAGTTGTGTGTCCTTTATAGCCGGTTCAACATGCGTCGCTGTCGTCTCACACGCTAAAGTGCGATCCAGTCGCCTAATATCTCCGAACGCCCATTTTCAGGATGACGTCAAAGACGGGTAATGATCGGCGACAGTGAAACGGTTTTCAACATCAAAGCATCATTCGCTTATACATCACCTCAAGATCGCCTCGCCGTCCACGTCCTTTTCCATTCCATTTTTAAGCATTGGCGGGAATAGCTGGAGATACTTCACTATAGGAAGAAGGTAAGTCCGTTGGTGGATCAAAGGCCCATAACAAGAGGGTCAACGACTCAACGCTTTATTATCCCCGCTCGGAATAGCCTCGGATAAAGTTCGCAGTTCGCTCTGTTCTTCCGCTCGTGCGAGTCGGTGATGTTTTCGGGGAAAAGAGCAACCAATATCTGTAAAGGGTTTCAAGAAAGTCTGGAACATTTATAATGCTTAACATGGCCTTGAGGTGGGTACTAACTTGTGAAAAAATCAAAATAATTAGCATTGTCACCGCCAAGGCAAGGATCTCTTTCGTATTAGTTAGTAGACCGGAGACACCTGTTTTCATTATGGAGGGCCATTTTCTGCTCAAAGGACGATTTTGAAACGGATACTCAAGGATAGTCTTGAAGAGGAACGAGTGGTGGTAAGCCTTTCCTCGAACCGAAAATGAACATCGTAGAACTGACTTATCTTCACTGGGATATCCAGGCGCGCTACGGCAGTGATTGAACCCTCACTCGGCCCGAGCTGGCGGCCTCTCTAGCTGCTTCGTCCCCGCTAAAATGCTGACTACTCCATAATGTGCCGTGAAGTCCTTGCCGGTCAAATTTCAATGGCCGAGGCAAAACCGGCTGTGACTGTTCGCTGTCGTTGAGATCTGAGTCCCAACTGTTGACTAGTTGAAATGGTACATGACGGCGGGAATCTGGGAATGAACGACTCGGCGAAGGCGATTGAAACGTAGCGACAACCGACACCTGGCATCGTCAACATCTACAGGGTGCCTTAGTGAGATGGCAGTGCGTTAGATAGTTATTGTCTTGGCGGGCTCCAATATCACCTTGTTGCCAGTTGGCGTCGGTCACGCAAGAAGCAATGGAGCCATGGCTGCAGATGGCTGCACGGGACACGAAAAAATGGAAGGGACGGTCCACGATGTTTGACGGGCTTGGATTGGAGCGCTACCCGCGCGTTCCATGTCTCATTTCAAAATTTTCAAACAAGAGACTTGGTCCTCGGTCTCCTCCAACTTTGTCCCCTGCTTCACTTCCCAGGTAATTACCTGACTTTGCCCTCAAAAGATCACTCCGCTCGGCCCTCCTTCTGCGGCCTTTTGTCGCTGCCTAGTCGATTCGGCGCCAAGGAAGAGGGAAAGACAAAACAAAGCGACATTTTGTTTTCGTTTCCTGCCGTGTGTTCGTGGCCAAGACTCGTGGTCTAGAACCCTCGCCCAATCGCCCAATACAATTTGGCACAGTCAAGCCACGTCCCAGCGAAACTGCGAAAGCCGACCAGTAATTCGTGATCAATGTGCGCGCCGGGGTTTCACTGCAGCAAACCATCCAACCGGCGCGTGGGGCGGCATCACCCGCCATTTCGAGGCCCTCACACGGCCTTTTTCGCTGCAATTCGAGGTCGTTTGCTGTGGTTCCCAGATTCGAAAAGGCGGGTTCCTGGCGGGTTGCCTCAACCTAGCCGCGGAAAAGTAGGTTTCAATACTCCATTGCAGTTGATTTCCCCTGGGCCATCAACGACCAGGTATTCACAATATTATGACCCTCGGCAAGAGAGCTCGGCATCTAATGACGTCTATACCGCCATGCTGGTTTGAATCCCATCGGCCTTCGGGGCTCTCACTAGTTTTCACGACTACCGGTTCAACGCAGCGGCGGGCGTCTTCCTCAAGCCCGTCGCCACTGCGCCGAACATTTCGCCTTGGCTGATCGCCGGCGGATGTTGATGTCACGGCGCGTCTCAGACACAACCGGCGTCGCCGTGCCGTTCGGCGGGTGCGAGTCGTCTGATAACCCCGTCGAAAACTGGGGAACCATCCGACACTGAATGGCGGAGTGCCACCGGCACCACTGCACTAGGCATCGCCTTCCTTCTCGGGTAATACTGCGGAGGCCTTCAGCCACACGGGTGACCCCGTCTCAACACTCTCAGTAGTAAGCAGCCCTACCGAACTCGGCTGCATAGTGCATGGGGATATGTTAAAAGGGCGGTCGGCTTGAGAGACGGGCCAATGGACTTTACTGGCGTCTGCTCCGCCTCAAGCATGCTCCCAAGCACAGGTTTGAAACCAATCACAATGGCCAATCGGCTCGCTTAACTTTTGCTGGTGGCCCCGGGACGGTGGGACGGACTGCAAAGCGCCTGCATGATGAGTCGAGATGATCGTCACGTTACGTTCTGACATGCTGCTGGCCGGGGTTGCCCAAGCTTTGGGAGCCGTAGGGCTGAAGGTTCAAACCGGGCCGGCCTACCAAGTGGGGAATCGGCGGGGGAAGACTCCCACACGGTGTTACGGGAACCATTAGTCGGGTCCGGAAATGCTACACGGCCATCGCGAAGTCCGTCCCCACACGCTGCATTGGTTGATACGTAGCTGCTGCGCCATCAAGCGGTTCATGGGGGCCGTATAAGAATCTATTGCCAACCCTGTCAACTATGAGTGTGGAGAGATAACAAAGAAAGCACGATCCTTGACCTTACACGCTGCCTTACAGTATCCTCGATCGCAACAAGTATACGAATCGGTATTATGGTTCCGTCAAGGGCAACATTATCCCCCCAAGTCTCGCCGATTGCGGGCCCGAAGGTTCGGCAGGTTTGGACCGCGGAGGAAGACAAACTTCTCGCCGAGGCGGTTGCGCTAGGTGAGTCATATCTTTGACGGCTCTCAACATGTCCTGGCATTGACACTCCGCAGAGTCACCGGAGAAGGGTTCCGTCAGCTGGCACCGAGTGGCTACACACATTCCGGGACGCAACAACAAGGACTGCCGCAAACGATGGCATTACAGCATCGCCAACTCGATCCGCAAGGGCACCTGGATGAAGGAGGAGGACGAGAAGCTGCGGGAGGCCGTCGGGCTGTACGGGGCGCGGTGGAGCAAGATTGCCGAGGCTGTCGGTACGCGGAATGGCGATCAGTGCTGGAAGCGGTGGTATGACTGTCTCGACCCCCGCATCGACAAGAGTCCCTGGACGCCGGAGGAGGTATGTTGTTGATAGTACTGAAAGCGGGGTTGATACCGTTCTAACAACCTCACTCCCAGGACGCCAGACTGCTCCACTTGGTCTCACAAATTGGCCGCAACTGGAGCGATATTGTCCACGAACACTTTCCTAACCGCACCTCGCTGGCCGCCAAGAACAGATACAGCATCCTGCTCCGTAGACGAGAAGGCAGTAACAGTCCGACAGCGGCCCGTGGATCATCATCGTCCGTCCGCCACGCGAAGTCCGGTACCGGTCGGTCCTCAGCTTCCACGCCCTCGCTCAGTCCTAGTCCATACCTCGGTGTGGTGAGCACACCAGCGATTACGCCGGTGCATACGCCGGAGCCCGAGTTTGCGGCACTAGATATGATGGATGGGGATTGGTTTGAGTTGGGTTTGAAGGAGGTGGATGTCGAGGGGTTTATCTCTCAGGAGTTGTCGACGCAGCAGCAGCATCACAGCGGCTATGTCGCGGGCGCACAGCTGGTGGAGGAGACACCGCGGCATCTCTCTCAGCAGCAGCAACAGCGAGAAGCGTTTTGGGCTCAGTCACAGCAGTACGCATTTCAGGCGGGTGTTGCTGCACTGCCGCAAATACGGATACAAACAAACTTGGAGGGGATGGGAATAGGGTGTGGTAACGGGGGGCTTTATGGGCACGGGTATCAAATCGACCCAGCTCTGAATCAACAGGGTTTGGGGCTCGCCGGTGTTGGATATGAGGGCGCTGAGGCTTACCAAGGGCAAATACCATACCCGCAAACGTATGAGAGTGGAATGGGGTTGGGGATACAGGGGCAAAGTCAACATTGGCCACGGGGATTCAACATGGGAGGTTGGTGAAAAGAAGTAAGGGGAATGGGGATGAACATCTTCCCATCGATGATCGAGGGTATTATGGCATGTTCTAAGGGATACCCAGGTTTCATTCTTTAGCGATGACGGGAGTGTGAGTTTGGGGCTTGTAGCAATGGGAACTGAGAAACCCGGAATTGAAATACCAAGATCAAAAGCCACTTTGCACCCGAACTGGAAACCTGGACTTGCTGGCCTGGCAAAAGCGCTGGGCAGTATCACCTCATTTGGTAAAACTGTCCAATCAATCGAGCGTCCGAACTAAGCGCTTTCCCAAAGCCACTGTTCACCGTGGCTTAGCCGCCGGCCCGCATCTAAACATGTGGGCCACCACCAAGCGGACAGTCGCGCGCTCATCAGAAACATTCATGATACATCCGGTATCAAAGGTACCTTCCCCTTGAGGTGCGATGCCGTTTAAACGTAACGGCGCTCCTCTTGTCTTTTCGTTCCAAATTGCTTTCAGATTGAACTCCATGACGCATTTCCTTTTACCGCACTCTCCAAGATGACCGATCCCGAATGGCGACTTTGGGTGGCGACCGGCAGCTTAAGGTCAGGAGGGCCATATACTTGACATATCATTGACTTTGACCAGAGGAGGCACTTCGGTGTGACATACGCCCCAGTCAGTTTCCCGACCGACCAGGACGCCGACGACCAGACGACTTACATCAACAACTACCCCTTGTCTGCGTTGAATTTCTCTTTCCCAGTGAAGGCAGTCTTCTTGGCAGATTTGAAGGAGTTGGACCGCTTGGGACCCCAGGTGGATTTGGTGTCCTACCCAGGGACCCCGTGCACAACGCCGGGGACCACGGTGGCTGCATTCAAGTACTGGTTCATGGAGAATGGCATGTTCAGGACCTGGCACGAACTCAACGATTGGAGTCGACTTCCCCGTGACCACCCCCATATCGTCCCTTTCGATTCTGTTGTCCTTGATCACAACGCCGGCGGTATTGTTGGGTTAACTAAGCGATACATCCCTGGCGGGACCCTACGCGAGAACAACGCTACGAAGAGACGCTTTTGCCTCCGCTGGCTTCACCAGCTCCTCTTGTGGTGGACGACCTGAACTACCGGTATGGGATCATGCATCAAGATATCGCCGCACGGAATCTCGTCGTTGATGAGAACAACAACCTCCGCATCCTCGACTTCAACTATGCGATCAGGATTGGCAAGGACTACAACCCGGCACGCGACGATATCAAGGGCGTAATTTTCACACTCTTCGAGATTGTGACGTTGTATGAGCACTTCCGCGAGGTTCCCATGCGGAGCAGGACGCCGAAGCGGTCCTGAGGATGACGTGGGAAAAGCACCCCGACGTCCAGTTGGATGCTGACCTTGAGGTATTTCGAAGCACTTTGGGCACGTGGGTCGCGGAGCTAAAGGCAAAGGAGTTTACCCCGAGAGACACGTGGTATGTGACATTCGAGTTGTTTCTTCCCTTTTGGTGGTATTCTCCCGGCTCCCAAGATATCATTCCGCTCTCTCAAGGGCCCCTGAAAAAACGCGGAAACGGGAAGTTTTAGCTGATGGTGTTGTAAAAGGCTGGACTGGCCTCAGATGCCCACGCCACCTGCTGTTGAGTTACCAACCTACGACAAAGAGGGAAAGGTGACCGGGACCAAGGTGAAGTCTGTTCGAGTTGTGGAGCGGAGAGATCTGGTGGTACTGAACAAGCAGTTTTGGAATTGGGAAAGGCCGGCAAGCTACAGCTTGACGGAAGCCCTTGCCAAGAAGCAGGCAGCCGAGGAAGAGACTCGGGCAAATTGAGGGGAGTGGAATGAGGGTGACAGCGAGACCAATGTATCCTCGTAGTAGACAACGGGGGCTGTATGTCTACTTTAAGTTTCAGGATGAACAGAATTCGCCGGTGGCACGCCCCTTGAAGCGACGGTGTTTACCGATACAACCGAGTAGTCCCTCTTCTAAGTTAGCCGCCTAGGTAGTGTAGGCCGCTTCTAGTCGGGCTCTAGACCAGGCCTAAGCTGGGTATAGAGCCTGTTAGGTACTGACCCTGGATATATATATCCCAGGGGAGGACGGACCTCCAGGATATAAGGAGCCCTTGGCTAGGCAACCCCGTAGATAGTTCTCTTTCTATAAGCTTTCTCAATAATACAATCGAAGGCCTATCTGTATCCCACCATAGGGCTAGTTCCTCACAAATAGTCGAATTAACACTAGATTCTGTGTTGTGCATCATTGCATTAAGCCTATTTAGGAAGGGTGAGTGAATTGCTGCGTTACCATGCCTTATAAATCTTGTAACTCACTGACAGATCCTATCAAACCAAAACCTCACTTCACACCTAAGCAATTAACTATCAAATTGACAGGAATCTTATTTCTGGCACCCCAACACCCCCTAACCCACATCTCACGAGCCCGGCGTGCCCAGCACCATGCAGCACGTGCTCACCTCGTGCCCGACCTTGCCGACTTCAACCCACGCCAAGACCGACTTCGGCCCCACAAAAGGCTCCACTTGACGGTTTTTTAATCAGCCGATCTGATAAGATCCTGCCATCTTATATGTTCCACTTTCAACCTTGTCAAAAGCCCACGCCCCGAGAACGGCGGGTTCGGTTTTGCTTACTTGCCCCTCTTTGGATCCTGGAGGGTTGGATTTTTGAGGGGGCTTGGGTTGAGGGTTTTATTTATTGGTTTGTTGGTATCCTTTTTTTAGATTCCCTTCGGGATCTCGAGCCTGTAAGACTGCAGTTTTGAAGGAGAAAAGGCGATGAGAGTACGACAATGAACCGCACACTCGCTTGCCTGCGGCTCATCCAGGTTCCACATCGACACTTAACCAGCGTTCCTTCGTTCGTACGTCCCATCTGCCGGGATGGGGTTATCAGCGCCCTTTTATCTTCCGGAGACGGTGGTGCTGATGAGGGAGGAGACGACCTCGACTGGATGAACGACCCAGAGAAAGTGGAGTATATCCGACAGCTTCTGGAGTTGCTGGATGAGGCGAGGGTGATTGTGGCTTGGTATAATGTGGTGTTTGTTGGGGTTATGTTGGGGATGGCGGGGTGGTTTTGGTTGGGGAGATGGATGGATCGAAACGGGGAGAGGTTGTTGATGAGGGAGGAGGTGGAAGAGGCCCAAGGGAGTGAGGAGGGTGGTGAGGGGGATGGGGTATCATTGGGGATGGCTTCGTCGTCGTCGTCGTCGTCGTCGTCGTTGAGTGGTACAATCGTGGGAACAGTGACGCCGACAGTAGAAACGAAAGATATCGACCTCGAACGAAGCCCGTTACTAGGCTGGAAGAGGACAACATCATCACCACCACCATCATCCTTCCCGACGATACTAATGAGACTGCGCAATACAATCCACGCCTGGCTCCTCCACCAACCACCCCCCCTCCCCCTCATCCACCGCACCCTTCCCTCCAACGGCACCACCCTCACCGTCCTCCTCTGGCTCGCCCTCAACCTCACCCTGCACCTCTACCGCCTACCCCTGCACTGGGACTTCTTCTTCATCTTCGCCGACCGCACCGGCTGCGTCTTCGTCGTCAATTTACCTCTCCTCTACCTCCTCAGCGCCAAGAACCAACCCTTACGTCTACTGACAGGATACTCCTACGAGGCGCTGAACATCTTCCACCGACGGGTCGGGGAACTGCTCTGTGTGGAAGCGATCGTGCACGCGGTGGGGATGGTGCTATGGCAGTTTGTGCTAGCGCGGGAATGGCTGGTGGCGTCGCGCTCGGCGTATGTGTATTTCACGCACCCGATTATTCTGTGTGGGTTGGGCGCGTTGGTGGCGTATGAGGTGGTGGGGTTCACGTCGCTGGCATCGTTTCGGAGGAGGTGGTATGAGGTGTTTTTGGCGGTGCATGTGGTGCTGCAGGCTGGGGGGTTGGGGTTGTTGTGGTTTCATTATCCGACTAGTCGGGTGTATGTGGCGGTGTCGGCGGGGGTGTGGGTGGTGGATAGGGTGGTCTGGAGGTTGGGGTTGAAGAGGGTCGGGTTGGAGGCGGAGGTGGTGGTGCTGGATCGGGATACGTATGTGGTGTCGGCGGATTGGGAGGTTCCGTGGCCGGAGAAGTCGAGGTTGTCGTGGTGGCCGTTGATTCTGTCCCGGCCGCGTCGGTCGATCCTTCACGGTTGGGAACCGACCGACCATGTCTTCTTGACCGTGCCGGCTCTTGGACGCTCCCACACGCTGCAAGCTCACCCATTCACCATTGCTTCGGCTGCACCGGGGCGTTGGCCATACGAGAAGGAAGCAGAAGACGACGACGACGACGACAAACACCAACCGACAACCCCCGTCCAAACCCACCACGCCCACCTCACCCTCCTTATCCGCGGCCATTCCGGCTTCACCCGCGACCTCCTGAACCACGCCCGCACTCATTACTCCCACCAACCTCTCCTCGGTCACCCTCACCCCCTCAAACTCCAAATCAACCTCGACGGACCCTACGGCTCGCCTCACGCGCTCTCCATGCTGCGCGCGTCCAGGCGTGCCGTGCTGGTTGCTGGTGGAAGCGGGATCGCGGTGGTGTTTAGTTTGGCTTGGGCTTTGCTTCCCCCTCCTCCGGGGATAATCCGAGGAGATGGAAATGGGAGGAGAAAAAAGAGAAGAAGAAAAGTTCACCTCCTCTGGGTCACGCACTCCCGCGAGCACCGAGCCTGGATCCCGCGTGCCCAGCTTGAGGAGCTCGTCGCGCGTGGGCTGGACCTGGTGATGCCTGAGCCGACGGTGGAAGCTGGACGGCCGGATGTGGAGGGATTGGTTGGTGCGTGGATTTCTGATACTGAGGATAGAGAATCGGACGTCCGAGGGAGAAGAGAGGTCGGGGTGGTGGTGTCTGGGCCGGACGGGCTGAATCGGATGGTGAGGAATGTGTGCGCGCGGGAGGTCGGGAAGGGGAGGAGGGTTAGGGTGGCGGTTGAAAAGTTTGGGTGGTAAATAGGTGGTCGTTGTTCATTGTCGAGACACGGGTTTTGTATATGGCGTTGGGTGGTGAATTGGACGTGAAGCGATGTGATACTGCAGATAGCATATCTATCTAAAGCGACATTTTAGACATCTTTGTCTTTGTCAGCTTTACCTTGATTTCCGTTCCCTGACCTTTCTGACTAATTAACTGATCAAGTAGCCTCGGCTGAAGCTTACTTTCAACTTCCGTTTTCTAGAAAAATCCAGGTGTCCGAATCCCCAACAGTGAGCGAAACAACAGTTCCACCACACCTCTTCAGATCTTCACAGAATTGAGGGCAATTGTAACCCAAAACCTCGTAAAACTTAGCAGAAGAAGTCGACAGAAACTGCAGCACACTTGAAAGGTCGGGAGTCCTAGAGTGATGGAGTGATGTGAAGAGTGGGGCTGGTGTTGTGGGGTGTTTATGGTAACAGATTGTGGAGATCATAAAAAGGTTCCAAAAGTCTTGAATAAGAAAACGCCAAAAGCTCGCCCCTGGGGTCCCGAAGGCCCCAGGGGTTACGAAAATCTGTTGGTGGAAAACAGGTTTTACTGTTCAAGGTGCCTGCCGAGGAATCGAACCCGGGACAGGCCCCCAGACGCACTATGCATCATAGGTATAGGAGAGGGAGTTGAAAGGCCCGGTGAGTTATAAAGGGAGGCAGGTGCTCGGACTGCCCACGAGATTGAGGCCTCGGGCAGCACCAAGGGAACACACGTTTGATTGCAGGTGACGAGACCTCTTGAACCCACCGGACAGTGAATGGGAAAGGCCCTACAAGTTCGCTTGAATTTGATTTTCTTTGTTCACTCTAAAAGGCCAATACTCTCGGAAGGAAGTATCGTTCGTCCAAACGATGGCGTATTTTCCACATGCACGTTGTCACGGAAAGAGCGGTTTGGGTTCAGAACCTTATCAGCAGCGCTGTACTAAATTAAATTTCTCCAATGCAATGGTATCCTAAACCCGACATTGCAAATGATATGTATTTTATTCATGTGGCCGCTCATGACGTAGAAAACGATCATCCCGTGTACGTGCACGCTGTCAGACCAGCTTTTAATCTCTGACCATGGCGGCAATCCTCGCTTTCTTCTTTCTCCCAACTCCCAAAACGCCAAACACTTTTAATTGAATTCCACTCCTCCAACAATGCCCGGCCCCAAGTTGTGCGGCCTAGCCCCCCGCAGGCACAGACGCCGCCAGTCCGCGAACCCAAAGACGTGTGGCAGCCCAAGTCCTGCCCCAAGTCCAACACCGCCGACTGTATCGAGATTTTTAAACCTACCCGTCGACATTATCGTCTACCTCGCCAGAGATCACTTGTCACCAACCGAAACCGCCGCCTTGTCGTTGGCGTGCAAGCCGATGTTCAACCTCCTCTTTCCAACAGCAAAACAAGCTCTCATAAAGAAGGGGCCGTCGGCACGGGCGGCCCTGCTCGAGTTCGTGGAGAAGGAGATCGGGAATGAATGGTGGTACTGCTCAGACTGCAAGATCCTGCATCCCATCTATACTATGGTCGGGCCGACCATTCGTAATTACTACGACCCGTTTCCGTTGCCCCCCGTAAGGCGTCTCCCCCACCGCCACCACTCCTGTTATCTCAACCGCCGTCACCTCTACGGAAGCGTCGTCGTCGTCGAGTACCCGGCCGTCCGTCTAGTCATGAACCGTCATCTCTACGGCCCGCCCATCGGCCTCCCCCTAGAAATCTTCAACGTCCAACCGACCACCACCACGATGGCACACAAAGAGAGACCGGCCCCGCTGCCGTGGGAAGAACGATGGTCTGCCCGGATCCGCCAGAACGAGCTTCTGCTATGCGTCAACCGAACGCTGAACGCCGTTGGATGGACGGACGACGCCTTGCGTGCTGCCATCAAAGTCGAAGGGCGGGAGCTCTGCGGGCACATCTTCACGGCAGGGTCGACATCTGCCGTCATCCATTTCGCCATCCCGCCCTCAGCAGCATCAAAACCAGTACCCCCGGGCCCACCCCCATCTCCCACTTCATCATCACCACTATCGCCCGCATCTCGACCATTCATACCCCGTGACAGCATTATGGACTCATGCAAGTTCTGTTGTACGGATCACGTGATAAACATCGAACAGAGGCGGGATCACCCTAGTCGAGGGGGGAAGAAGAAGAAGAAGAAGGTTGAATCCGGTGACGATGCAATCGAGCCAGAACCTTATTGGCACATCTCCATCACATCGTATCATAGGCTCGGTCGTGGCCGCTCGCATGACGACCCGGTCTGGGCGGCGTTTGTGTCGTGTCAGGGATCGTGCCGACACTACGTCCGAACCAAGTTGAGATGTCCCTCGGGTGGGGTCAAGGCGATGTGGGAGTCTGAAGAATAGCGATGTTGGGATTTTTGCCTCTCTTGGCTTTTCCTTGCTTAATATTTAACACATTGTGGAGATCTTAGAACAAGATGAGAGTGACGGGAAGGCATGTAACACTTGAGCTACCGATGTCCAATAGCCGTGTATTAAGGGGGTTAATGGCTGAGACACTTGATCGGTGTCTTGCGATATCCCGCCCACCCTACCTTTATTTTCCTCAAAATGGACAAAAGTGTGGCCATTTAGGCTCACAGAAGGCAATTGTTGTTTGTTATATTCTCAAATGAGTTGGAAACATATAATTTCAATCGGTGACTTATATGACAACTGTCTTACCAGCCCTCTCAAAATGGGGGATCAGTGGAAGACAAAAAGAAGAAAAGAAAAAACATTTTATTCTAACTACTCGTTGTTGTTGACCGGAGGGTCATCCCACATCTGCCCAGAGAGGCGTCGCAGCTCTTGTGTCTGTTAAAAGTCCGTTTGTGCCTCGCATTGCCACAACCCCCATCCCTCCTTTCCAATTCTCCTCCTTCAGCACCTAATTACCTCGAGAATCAGCATTGGAGCCAGGTAATTAGCTTCAGAGCCGCCCTTGGTAGGAGGGAGAGCGAGAGACAAAGCAAATCTCTCTCGTTGTCTTTGCCCGTAGATGAGAGCAGTAGTAGTCACGTTTGAGACGCTACCTACTAGCGGGAGGAAAAACAAACAAAAAGTAACCAGCTAATTTCTGGCAGACAACGCAGGGAGCACAACCTATACGCCGAAATGGGTCCGAAAAACGCCGGCGACGGGGGACGTGGACGTTAGAACCTATGGAAGGTTTCTGGCGGTTATGGCTGGCTGGCTGGCGAGCAACAGCCCCCTAAGAGAACGAGACGTGAAGCGTAGCAGTGAAGTCCTCGACCTTCCTTCCCTGGCCAGGCACTGGACTTTTCTCGCCTTGCATGGCCGCAGCGGGATCATGGATGTCCATATTCTCCACACGGACGGGTAAAGGGACCACCCCGTCGGCCTCGTTGTCTTCAGTGGAGTCTTCCCCGCCGAACGCGTCGCTGAGGGGAGGAGGAACGAGCCCTCAGCTGGGCCTGGGTTTTATGTCGCAGCCTGCTCTCGCTCCAGCCACTGCGCCGTGGAGCAATGGTTCTTGTCTTGGGCTCGGTACCTCGCCTACGCCGGCGTGTATTCTAGGGATGTGCCTGGGAGAGTCAGGCTTGAGGGGGAATATCAAGGGAGAGAGTCGTTTATGTCTGGGCGAGAGCGTGGGAATGTTGGGTTGGTATCGGGCTAGCGACACCTGGGGGTGATGTCAGAGCAGGCCTGTATGACCTGTGTTGCCTGGGAAGCTTGATGGTATGCGGTATTTTCTTTTTCTTTTCACGTTTTCTTTTTTTTTCATTTCTTATTGCAACGTTTAAAATACGCAATCACTTAATTGTGGACAGCTTACCTGGTAGACCTTAGGCTAGCAGAATGGTGGACACCTCGACACAACATTGAGAGCTGTCTGCAGCAGCAACAAAATCTGGGAGGAGGTCTACGGTTATGTTCGTCGCCCAAGGCATTGATCGTAGAGATTGTAGAAAACCCCGCTGCGATTTCAAAGCAGCTGGCCATTTCTACACTGGCATCGCGATCCATGATCGCCAGCCCGCCGCGAGAACTCCCACAATGAACGCAATGTAGCCGCGTTGTACCCTGAAAGCCAGGCAAGTCCGACATTGCACCATGTTATCCCCGCGGCATACGGACAAAGCAGCTGCCATCAATCTCTGCACTGAACCAATACATCGCCATTCAGCAGACCGCCGTGCTTGTTCTCGCACAGTGATTACCGCCCGCCGCGGGTTGGCGATCTGCAATGTCGACCGGGTCCTTGTCTGCGAGGTTATCTCGCTGGCGGTCGACCGAGGAACGAGTACTACATTTCCAGCTCATAGCCCGCGGCGGTCAATCACCAAATCGATGGTCTTCTCGTCCCCGCCGCCCGCACCAGGGCGCTGAGAAGGGTGGGACTGGATCTGTCCGCCGCCTCGGGCTCCGCGATCACAGTTGTCTGTTGCCTCGCCGAGGGTACGTGACAAAGACTGAATGGGGTGCCCGCCGCGTTCCATATGGAACATGCTGACCCGCTGCGTTCTGCAGAGAACATGTCAACCCGCCGCATACTCCGGATGACCAGTGAACTCGCCGCGTCGGGCGGTGTTTGCTGAATCTTTGCCCTTTGTGGTGGTGGAGTTATATAATTATCTTGACTTGGAGCGAAACACGCCCATCATCAAGGGCTATGGTCTGTACACTGCCGTCATTGTGATACTCCCAGAACATAGAGTAGCGAGTCCTCCTTCAGCGGTCGCGGCACAGAAGGTGCTGAGTCGCTGGCCTTTGACTTACTCCGTCTCTCTCAAAGACATCATGCTCTTGTAAGTCTTGTTCAACAGCCTCCTCTCGGTCTTATCCGGCTAAATCAGCCGAACGCCCGGTCCATTCCTGAGCGTACTTTAGTTACTTCAAAGTCCTTGATCTTCTCCGCATCCATTCTCCTGGACCTCCGGACTGCCTGTATGATTCGCCGGGATTTTCCTTACCTTGCCGAGTTTACGTGAGGACCGCTCCATATACAAGGACAGCGCTCTCGTCAACCACTTTGAGCGGGCCATCACATCAAGCATCCAACTCGACTTAGTTCTGCTTCTGTCTCAGGATATCGATGTACCCATTGAGATCCGACAATCCGGAGTCAGTCTTGAAAACAATCCATCATCTTACCGAGCCCACTGCTAAAGCGCATGACGAAACACCAAAGTCAACAACAACAACTCGGCCCGAAAACCGAGTCATCCCATCCCCAGCCCCCTGCCTCGATCCATCCCCACCTCAAAGAGAAACCGGGGTCCCACCAAAAGAAAATGGGGGTTGCATTCCGACGCGATGCCGCAAACCATGTCGATTAGCGTCCCCATTTCGCGCGCGGGGGGATGACCCCGGGCGCCGGCACGGCACACCCAGTGACCCAATGGGTGCCAATCTGCCAAATTCGGCACTGCTGATGAGCGCCCCCCTCACGCCCATTCGGGGTTGCCGGGGATATTTTGGCCCAATCGTGAACCTTGAAGGAGTTGCTTTGCGGGGTGGTGGGCAGCTGAACTGCTGAAGAAGGCGGGGGAGATGGGTTCTTGGGGGGACCCTTTTGGGTGAATGGGGGGTTTCCCGGGGGAAGGGACGGCTTGGAAAGGGGGGTCGCCGAGGCTCTGGTTGGTTAATGCCCCACTGCAGTTCGTTTTGGTGGAAGGTGTGATCAGCTGGGGGAAAGAGAGCCGAAACTCTTCTGGGCAAGGACGACCTTTTGGGTCTTTCCTTCTCTTTTGTTTTTGTTGGCAGCGCGAAGTTGGTGAAAGGAATTTTCTGCCTTGCATTTTTGAGCCGGACGCCCGTTTTCCAAGGTTGGGGATTTATGTCCTTGGTGGGCGAGAGGTTCTCTGTCACGCCGGCCGGCCGGTCCTGAGCGAGGTCCACGCGACCTCTCCCAAAAAGCAAACACACCCACCACACGGGCACGCACACACGCGCGGGGAGAAAGAAAGAACAACCCACAACACAACCACGCGAATGGGCACTCCTCAGGCTGACTCGGAGACGGAGACGGGGCGCTTGCTCGGGGCGGTTTTGCGAAATGAGGGCCCCGCGTCGTCTTCGGGGCTTGCGACTCGAGTTTTACAGCTTGCTCGTGTGATTCTGAACCGGAGCGCCGAGCAGCACCCACCTGCTGGATCCTCGAGCCTGACGACCCCGAGCCCGTCGGCGAGTGCTAGCTCACCCACCGCGACTGCCGTGTCGAGTATGGAGGACTCGCGTGTTTTTCCGCTGCACTCGGGTGGAGGGGCTCAAGAAACGGAAACTTGGGTCAAGGCGTTGCTGGTGTTGTTGGCGAGGCTTGCTGCTTTTAGCGTGAGTTGATTTTTTGGCCCCTCAACTGTGGAAGGTCTTGTCTTTGCTAACCACCCTGGTGATTAGGATGTGTTTCTTTCCGGTCTTGTAGGTTTTCTTTCAATTAACGTATTCAACACGTGGTGGAAGATGCTGATCGACTAGGTGATACCCTTAATTCCGACCATTCTCGAGCATCGCATCCAGGTTCCCCAGCAGCAAGGTGCGTGATCTCCGACCACGGCAGCTTTTACGGCTACTAACTGCTTTGTAGTCCAAATATGGACCTCCGTATTGATATCGGCCTATGGCGGCGCACTCGCTGTGGTCTCTCGTGAGCTCACTTCACCATCGACCCCCGTTTTTGTATGCTAACGACGCCCAGCGTTAATCCCCTTGCTCACCCGCCAGGGTCCGTTGAGCTACGTTGTGCTGCTCGGAGGCCTGGCATGCTCTGCTGCCGCATTTTCTCTGCTGCAGTCGTCCTCGGGCATCCTGCAATTGATTTTGGCCCGGGCCGTTCATGGATTTGCCGCAGCCGCGATCACCGGATCGTCCGCCGGCTTGTTTGCGACTGTTACGACCGCCGGACCAACTTGGCTGTCACCAGCCTTTCTCCAACACACTGCGATGACAGGAGCCCCCTTGGTTGCCGGGTTCCTGACTGACCACTTCGACCTTGACGCCATCTTTTTTTGCGCCTATGCGCTCGTTGCGTTGAATATGCTGCTGACTTTTGTCGTTGGTGGCGCCACATCGCTGAAGCTGGCCGGCTCGGTGGAAGAGACCACCGCGCTACTCGGGCCAGACAGCCAACAAAGTGGTGGTGGCTACGGTACGATGGCTTCTGGCTCCGACGGCTTTAGCAGCAGGAGGTCGTCTCGATCCGTCTCCCCGACGACAATCCCCGCACCACGAAGCCGATTGAGCGCGCCCGCAGCTCTTCCCGCCGGCATTCCTTGGTCGCCACGGCTTGTCGGCGCCTTTGGCGGATATCTGGCCGTGAACTTCCTCACTTCGGCCCTGCAGAGTGTGCTCCCGCTTTTTGTCGAGCGGCGCTTCCACTGGTCGGCGCTGGAGACCGGATACATGTTTGTTCCGCTGTCGGCCCCCACCGCCTTGATTGGTGTGGTGACAGGTGTTCTGGCGACACGTGTACCGGGCTCCACCCACTTCCTCACCTCGGCAGGGTTCTTGGCCTGCGTGCCCGCCTTTTTATACCTGGGCCAGCTCCGCGGGCACAGCTGGGTCGTGCAACAATCATTTTTGCTGACTCTGAGCGGCATTTCGTTTGCAACTGGTCTTTGCGGCGATCCCATGGTCCGAGAGATTGGGAATGCCCTCAGCGCTTCCTCTGCTGGCGACCCGCGCGCCGCTGCAGCCATGACCACCGTCGTCCCACACCTGGCCGTGGCCTGGGGCGGCCTGATCGGGCCGCTATTTGCGGGAGCGGTCAATTACCTCTGGGGATGGCAGACCATGAACAAGTCGATGGCCATCGTTGCGGGCGGCACCAGTCTCGCCTCGTTGCTGTACGTCCGGGGGTATCTCCGCAATTCTCCTTCGAACAGACGGTCCCATGTTCTTGTTCCGGGACGGCCAGACGAGGAATCCGGGTCCCTCCTAGCCAAGGGGAAAGAGGGCAGCTATGCCCAACGACACGGCTCGACCGACAGCAAACCCCGCTCGCACCGCCGGCATTTCAGCGTCGACAATTTCTCCGTCGCCAACACGACTGGCCCCGGCAGCGTCGACTCGTCCACCTCCTCCGTTCGATTCCAAGCGTCCCTCGAGACCCCCGTGTCGGGCCCGACGAACCCAAATCCGAAACGATCCATCTCTAGCGATGCCGCGAGCAAGGCCAGCAACTCGGAGCGTCGCTATGTCATGCGTGAGGCCCCCCATGCACCCGCAACCGACCCATTCCTAGCCGCCGGCAGCCTGTACGTGATCGACGAGGAACGCGATACCGCCCACGGAGTTGAGAGCCGGAGGAAGAACCGCCGTGTCGTGGTCTTCCCCGAAGGCACCGCACCACCGGAGCTCCTGGAGCGCCACCGCCATCATGTCGTCGCTATCAACGCGCTCGATGGCTCGGCTCAAATGGTCTCCAACAGCACCGAAAACCACGCGGTGCACGTGACAGAAGAAGATGGTGACGAGGAGGATGACCTTGCGTCTGAGGTGGAGAGCTCGCGGCGGTATGTCGTTGTCGTTGTGGAGGGTGAGGAGGCCGAGGAGTGAGGACCAGGTTTTGAGAACCGATGGAATGGGAAAGGCTGGGCAATGACCCATGATCTGAGGGTTTATGTATGATGACTGGACGATGGAACTACATGGAACTGCATAGGAGGCTAATCTGGAATTGACATTGCGCTGTTTTGAGCACTGTTTTTTTGGCCCGGAATGGACGTCATTCCGCAGGTGTTTTAAGGTGCAGCAAACCCACCATCGACTGCATGAAGGTAAGGTTCAGTCTTATCCCTTGCGAACCTAACAGCAGACTACTAGACTTCAGGTTCACAAGACTGTCTAATGGTGAGTCTGGGAAACTATATAAGAGGCGGCCGTCCCCCAGTTTGTAGAGTTGTCTTTTCTGATACCCATCCGTCCACAGTTCGTTCACTCCAGTCTATCACTACAAATCTACACTCGTCACTTGACATCTCTCAGTCTCAACAGACCAACCTCAATATCAACCCAAACATCACAATGGTATGTCGTCATCATCCTTCGCTATGTCATTAGCCTCGGCCTCCTCACCCTTGTGCCTTGGCTAACACATGGTTAGTCTTCCCAATCTTTCCAATCTCCCCAGCAGGCGCAGGCCACCACCCCCTCGCGTCCTTGCGCTACGTGCCGGCATCTGCAGAATCTCAACTGCATCACCGAGGAGCAGGCCAACGCCTGCCCTCACAATTACACCGGCACCCCCGCCAACACCCCCGCCACCAGCCCCAGCACCCGCCCCGTCGCCAACACCACCACCGGCGCCCTCGGCGTCAACAACTTCCCCACCCCGATCACCCCCACCCCCCCAGGCCCCCGCGGCATCATCACCACCGTCCGCGGCCCCTTCACCCCCCCCCCCCCCCCCCCCCGCCTCCGCCCCCCCCTCAACGGCCGTCCCCCGCGGGACCCCATCGATCCCCGCACCCACGCCCTCAACCCCCACCGACAAGGCCACCGCGGACCCTGGAACACCCAATACAACAGGCGCCGCTACTACGGTCGGGAGTACGACCCTTGGTCTTTGGCGGAGCGTCCGGTTGAGGATTATGGCGAGGCGATGGATGATGGGCGGTGGAGGGAGTGGTTGCCTGCTCCGCCTGCGCCGGAGGGGGGGAGGAGGAGGTTTGTGTTGGCGCCTGTGGTGAATCGGGGGGGACAGGGGGTGCAGGAGTTGGAGGTGGGGATGGCCCGGATGGCCCGGATGGGGTTGGGACAGCGACAGGGGGGAAGAGATGGGGAGGATGGAGAGAATAGGTTGCCAGAGGTTGCGGCGCCTAGGTATACCGCGCCGGGGGAGGAGGAGGAAAATACGCCGCCGCCGGAGTATGCAGAGGTTGCTGCTGCTGCGAGTGGGCCGGGAAGGAGGGCATACCCGCCGGTGAGCGAGGTTTTTTATGTTTCGCAGCACCATGGTGCTTTCTTTTCTTAGTTTTGGACGGATGTAGTTACAGTAACTAACCGCTTCGGTTCGGTACCGTTGCAGACCTATGACGAAACCATCCTCGCAGACATCCACCCCCCGCAACACCACCCAACCCACCACCGGCCCCCCTACCACCCACCAGTTGACCAAGCCCAACGCCCCCCGCAATACCAATACCAACACCAACCCCACCCAGACGAAATCCACCTCCACCTATTCAACCCCACCCACCCAGTCACCTTCGACGGCAAACCGCGCCCGCCGCCGGGGTATATCCTGCGGAACCCGCAGTCCAGACAGGCGTGGTATGATCGGCACGAAAGGGAGCCTGGGTTGAGGCAGAATGCGAGGTGGGGGCGGTGTGCGGCGAGGGGGATGATGGAGGGGCGGGTGTTGAGGGTGCCGGGGAGGTTGGGGAAGGGGAAGAAGGGGGGAGGAGAAGAAGTACCATTCGAACTCCCGAGCCCGCGCGACGGGATACTCAACGCTGAAGTTAAGGGAGGGGGGGAAGAAGAAGTGAGGGGGGGAGAAGAAGCGAGGGGGGAAGAAGAAGTGAACGGGCCAAGGTGTCTTGACTGTCTTCTTTAGTTGTTGTTTGAAGCTACAGGTTATGATGATGGTGAAGATGGTGATGATGAGGCTTGAGGATGGGGGTGGAGATTGGGGGTTGCTGGTGCTGATACTGCTTTTGTTGTGTCTGTGCGAGCATCCTCTTGATTGGGGAGATTTTAGTTCGTGTTTGGTTAACGTTGTTGAAAAAAGAAGAGAAAAAAAAAAACATCGTTTCAATACATGGGGATCGATTCTGAAGTTCTGAATTATTGTTCCCGTGGGATTAGAGGGTTAGAAAACATACAACTGCCCTGAGTTAATTAGCCCCTAATCAGCTTCTTTTCTACTATAGTTGAATTTGAGGTTATCCAAAACTCGAGATCGTTTTGTATTGAAACTGCTCACTCTGACTCTGCTGCACATGCACTGACAGAATTCAAACGGTGCCGATTCGTTCGCACGGTGTAATAATAATTACCTGACCTGCTTCGTTCCCTCGTGGCTTCTTGCACTCATCAACCCCAGATCGGGGCTAATAAACGACGGATAAGTTGATTAACCGTTCTTGAAAGATCCCGGAGGTCGTAGGACATTTACGCCTGGTGATCTATAATTAGAACTCTCTAAACGGTCGATTGAAGATTTCGCTTGGAAGTTGCACGGGCCGCTCCGAGGTGTGATGTCATCTGGCCATGGCCATTCGATACACAGCACTTCCGTTGTACACACACAACACTACATCTGTTTGTGCGTATAATACTTTTACTGGTTGAATCCGTCGTTTTGCACGCTGCATAAGCAGTGGATTTGTAAGGCAAATGTTACCGGCAGTATTAACTAAGTTCTGTCAGGTCCTCCACGACAATCATTGGACGTTGAATGTCACCTGAGTACACCTTTTGATTCGACACCTGACGTTAAAAGTGAAACCCAGAACGGATAAATACAACCCTCCCCCCAAACGTTCATCTCCGTTCTGCTCAATTGTTCTATCGTACCAATCTCAAAACAACCCCTTTGTCCCTCGACCTATCTAAATCCGCCGTTTTTTCCAAACTCAAATCACTCAAGAAAACGGTTTGGCCACAACTACAATCAATCCGCTAGCGACTTTTCCCCAGCCAAAACCTCGGAAACACACCCACCAAACCCACCAAACCCCCGATTTTCTCACCACTCAACATGGGCCACTCCTACGCCAAAAAGCCAGGCACCACAAAAGCAGCCCGTACCCCAGCCCGTCAGTCCCTTACCCCCTATCTTCCCATCCCCCATCCCCCATCTTGCTCGCCAACTCTTCCTACATGGTCGCAACTGACAAGCTCCCCACGGTCCACAGAATGGACAGAACAAGTGCGACACAAATACTGCGGAGCGCTGGACATGGGCCGCAAAGGGAAACCCAACAAGGTACACCGGTGCGAGGCCTGTTTGGCCATCAAGGCGCGCCAGAGCAGAGGGAGTGGTGGTGAGAAGGCGATTAAAGAGGGGAGACAGGAGAAGATGAGTTGGCATTTGGGGGGTGGGGGGAGTTGATTCTAGAGAGGTACGAAGGGGGTTGTGGGAATTATGACGGAGTGATTGAGGAGGATCGTTGTACATATGGAGGGTGGTTCTGTGTAGCCTGAAGACACAACAAGGACGTCAAGCTGAGAACGAATTGCACTCTAACTTGGAAATAGGGAGGAGTTGGTTCAATGCTAATAAGGACGCGAGAGACGATTAGATACCTACCTACAGGCGGGTTAGAGAGCAACACAACAAGGCTGTACAGTGCGGTACACCGTACGTCAGCCCGGTTGGGTGAAAGAACGGGATGAAAGCGATTTCCCGTTCCTTCCCTCCGGGGGTATATAACCCCCCTCCACGCACCAGCTGCCAACACAATTCAATGGCATGTTTGGTCAAGTGGTCTATGGCTGTCCTTTCTGGGCGGCCACCACTCCGGCACCGCGGGTTCGATTCCTGTGGTGGGTATTGGTCCATGGCAATTTCTATGGCCTTTGTAGGGTCGCTTGCGGCCACTACCCCATGTCGTGTACGTCTGTGGCAATGTCGTGGGTTTTGGGGGTGGCCAAACAAGTCATTGAAGCCTATCCGGCTCTCTTTTTTCGAATTTTGAGCAACTTCCATGATAGTATTTTGGGATAGGTTTGTTAAACTCTTGGTGTCGTGAAAAGTCCCCCGACTTGGGGGCTATCAACCCTAACTAACCCTATTAAACATCACGTTGAGATCTCGGTCCAACGGTTGATCATGCGATGCCTTGGGACAAATCATAAATGCCTTTGGCGTAGATACGAAACTCGAATGAAAACCACAAGGACGCAAAACGACAAGTTAAACTCATGATAGACAGCTCAGATTCAATTTCTCCTCTCCCCACCATCTATTTCCACCCCCCCCCCAAAACCTCTCACATCCTCCAACAACCCCGCCATGACTCTTTCTAAAGCCCAAATTCTTGAGCTTCGACTTTCGCTCCAGCAAGCAGTGGTGAGCTGCTCCGAGCGATGTTTATACCAATCTTCCAAATGGTGAGGTGCCGCCTCGGCCTCAATCTCAAGCGGCTCGATCTGCCTCTGACTCTCGGGCCCGAGTCGCTGCCGCGCTGCCGTGGATGTCCACATTGATTAACTCTAGTTCACAAACAGGATGGCGGCACTGCTCAGCGCGCTCCCAGGACACGACGTCGGGGAAGATGTAAGCTCTGTTGGGCGCGTTTTCAACCCACCCGCAAATCCCGCCCAGCTCTACTTGGAGCAAACCGAGTTTCCCAAGTATCTTCTCGCCAAGTCGTTGTTTGACTGTCGCGAGTTTCAGCGATGTGCCTCCGTCTTCCTACCTCGGCAGTCCATCAGGAACACCTGGACCAGTCGGCAAGGCACCGTGTATGACAGAATCAGCCGGAAGGCTCTCTTTCTTACCCTCTACGCACTCTTGATCGCCGGTGAAAAGCAGAAAACGGAGCAGAAGGCCCAAGTCCTCGGGACCGCCGACAACGGGGCTACTGTGAATCAGCAGCTGCCTGACATCCGACACATCTTGCAAGCGTCCTTGGATCAGACACACGAAGTGACCATCGAGAATGATTCCAGTCAGGGCTGGCTAGAATACCTGTAAAGGCGCTTTCTATTCAGTTCCTCCCAACCCGACTCTTGTGTCCGAAATTTCTCAGTTGCAAAGCGTATTCCCCCACAGTCTATTCTTCGAAAGCCAGCGCGCCCTCGCCTTCTACTATATAAAAGGTAGTAGACCTCCTACTTTCTCTCTTATCTTGGACCACGACTTTCCGCAAGCTACCGAGGTAATAATAGCCTAGGTACTAACCTAGTTATAGATCTGTATGAGGCGAATTTGCTCTTCTCAAAAGTCCTTGCCCTGGACCCGCGATATCTTGACTTCTTCGATCACTACTCGAATGTCTTATACAACCTAGGCTCCCACGACAGACTCGCGTTCGTAGCCCAGCTTGCCTCATCCGTCGATAGTCACCGACCTGAAACGTGCCTTGTTATCGGCAACTACTACTCTCTTTCGTCGCGTCCCGAGGCTGCCATCACATCCTTCAGACGAGCTTTGGTCCTCGACCGTAGCTGTTCCGCTGCCTGGACTTTACTTGGCCACGAGTACCTGAAAGCGCAGAATACTCACGCCGCCATCGAATCGTATCGGCATGCCATTAGCCACGCCCGTCACGATTATCGAGCCCTTTTCGGACTCGGCCAGGCGTACGATGCACTCGAGCAGCCGGATCTGTCGTTGCACTACTATCTTCGGGCCAGCACCATACGGCCCAGCGATACGGACCTGTTGCAAGCAGTGGCCACCGGCCTGGCGGCGATGTCTCGGCTTGAGGAGGCGATCAAAGTCCTGAAAAGGGCCCTTGCGTGCAGCGCTTCAGAGGATGGGGTGGCCGCGAAACAGACACGTGCAGAGCTGCTCTTTCGGTTGGGGGGTCTGTATAACGAGGCGCAGAATCGCGAGGAGGCCACGGCATGTCTCGAAATGTGTCTAGACAAGGCTCTTGAAGGCGAGGCAACCTGCCGTCCGGCGGGAACAAGTGAGCGCCTGGACATGGCGATGATACCCAAGGCTCAACTGCTGCTGGCGCAGTGGGCCGTGGAGGACGGGGACTGTCCGAGAGCTCGCTATTTTGCAAGCCAGATTGAACAGCAGAGCGAGCTCGGGAGAGAAGCTCAGGACGTGTTGAGCAGATGCAGTGCAGTGGAAGATTCGAGGGAATAGGCAACGCAAACGGGATCCGGGCTGACAAAAGGATTCAGTCTTCACAGGTAAAACTAACGTTACCAGAAGGTAATACAATGTTGGGTCTAGCTCACGATATAGGGTGACCAGCACGCCCAATGATGTATTACTCCCTTCTATCCCGCAAGCAAACAAGCTCCAACTCCACCCCAAACATTGCGCATATAAACAACACGAGCCCGATCAGGCCTAGCCGTCACTGCTCCTCGTTTGCCCTTTAATTCGGCCACGCTAGGGGGAAAGTGGGAATGTCGTCTCTGTACACCAGTGCGTTGCGCTCCATGTGTTCGCCAAGTCCCTTCATGCTGTTCTTCAGCCAGCTGTTTCGGCGCAGCGTCTTTTTCAGCCTGTCGTACTGGTTGATAACATCCCCGTGCTGTCATACCAGCGCGCGATGTTGCTGGCTACCGAGCACCTCTCGCCGTATCCGCCGTTTGGCGTCCTCGGCCTGAACACGGATGGCGTTGAAAGCCTGCTGCACCTGCGGAAGCCTGAGCTGTAGAGCATGCCACTCAATGTACTAAGGACCTCCGAGGGCCCAGCATTCCTGAGCCGTCGACGGGTAGTGCGCAGGGGGGTACTCGTTGGATTGATTCTGGGAACTCATGTTGTACGCCTCCTGGTGCTGTCTCCTCAAAGGGTTAGTAAGGGCCATGGTGCCTTTTTTGACGTGAAGGGGTAGCTACCAATGAGTGACGGAATGGAACTCTTGTCTGACTTGTAGATGGACCAACTGGTTGTCGGTGATGGGAGGGGTGGAGGTAGGGATACGAGCTGGACGAAGACCGGGAGGGAAAACAAATTGGAGTGCCTATGGTGATACGGTAACTGGCTATAAAGCTATTGATATCCTGCCTTCGAGATCCAATTCTTTTCTTCCTCATCATCATCATCATTGCCATCATCCCTATCTTCTTTCTACTCGTCTTATTCTTAAGAGCTCTCCAGTATCAGCATCGTATTGCACTCTCGTCTCGCAGGCCGAAGACCATTCATTCACGGTTCGTATTCTTAGCCCCAGTCCCGCTTCCGTCCCCCACGCCGGAGTTTTTGAAGCCTGACCAACTCGGCTCAGTTCAAGCGTCCTTTTCTATCTCGATACACAAAAAGCTCAACAGCGCGGTGTTCTCTCGTCCACAGCGCAACCATGCCAGCCACTGCGACTGATATTCGTTGCCCTATATGCCGCACCCGCAACATGGGCATCATGCGTTCCCTCCAATGCCTAATGTATGGCTACTCTGCGAATGTGGTTTTAAAATATGGCAATGGACGGTGCGTGGAGCTCGGGCGGTTGGCCGTAAAGATGATGGGCAACTATGGTACTACGACGGCCATGGTGGATTGACCCCGAGTGGCTAAGGTACTAAATTCTCAACGGTGCAAGGACGGGAAAATCACTCGTTAGTCGGGGCAGGGGGTTAAGGTTGGGTGGCCTCGTAGTGCTTGGGATATCTGGGATTTGGATGGGTGAGTGCGAGGCTGGACCTTGTACGCTGGCGTGATTGTTGCCTCGCCGCTCTTTCTGGAAGTTTGGATTTGGATGGGGAAGTGCAAAGCTGGACCTTTCACGCTAGGCACGTTGTTGCCTCGCCGCTCTCTTTTCAACAAATATTCAGCGTTAGACCTAGGAGCCGCCTTATATCAAAGCGCATATACCGGTGTTTACCTGGCATGGACATCGCCTATGCCAGTGGTCATGTCAGGGTTAGGGTTAACAATGGGCTTGTGGGTCCCCCAGAGTGTGGCCTGTCAAGCCTGTCTCTGTCATGAAAAAAAAAAAAAGCCGTTGCACCACCGGTTTTTTTGGCTGCCCTTATCTCTGGATCAAAGCCTGGTTTTGCTGACGGTCAGTGCACTGCCACACAGTGGCTTGACGTGGCTCTGAGGCCCGTGTAATCCGTACAGAAACCACGGGGTTTCCGTCAGGAAACAGTCTGTGTTAACCTTCTCTCAGGAGCTCAGACCAGCTATCGGCGGTTGTCACTCTGAGCCCCACCCAGATTTCGACAATCAGAGGTCGTATCCTGTCACCGCGAGACGCTGAGCTGAGGCCGTCATTACATTAAACCCCACTCGCCGACCCCACTCAACCCCTAATATTCTGTAACAAGTAAACAAACCGTCCCTCTCCCAACTCCTTAATGTGTATGTACACCCCATCCATCCCCCTCTAACTCAACCCCCCCTCAAAAAATCCTAAACTCCCTCGCAGCCCCCACCGCTCCCTCCCACCCCATGCCCTCCCCGCCCATAACCCCAAATACAAAAACCTCCCCAACCATCGTATACTCCCCCGGCCTCGTCCCCCCATTTCCGTTTCCACCCATCGAAACAGGCCTCAACAAATAAGGCGTCTGCCCTCCGTAAAGTAACGCCACCACATCCCCCTGGCGCGCATTCCACGGCGCCAGCCCGATATACCCGCGCTTGGTCACCAGCAAGCGGCGGTGGGCGCATGCGGTGAGGATGCGGTGGGTGTAGGTGCGGTAGGCGGGGGTGTGTTTGAGAGAGCGGGTTGGGGGGTGGTGTAGGAGGAGGGAGGTGCGAAGGAGGCGGAGGGTTTGGAGGAGGGGGTTGTGTGATGACGTGGGTGAGGGTGCGGGGGGTGGTTGGGAGGTGGAGGATGTGGTGGAGGTGCTGGCGCCGGTGGAGGTGCTGGTGTTGGTGGACATGGTGGAGGAGCGGGTGGGTTGGCCAGGGTGATGGTTGTGGTAGTGCTGGCGGCGGTAGGGTCGTCGGTGGCGGCGGTGTTGGTGCGGGCGGCCGTACCAGCGTTCGAGGTAGGCTGCGTGGGCGTCGGGAGCGCGGGTGCGGGTGGTTTCGTTGTCTTCTGCGTCGTCGGTGTTGTGGCCTGCGTAATCGGCGATATATGTCCGCCAGAGCGCGTCTCGTCGGCCCTTGTCCCCGCCATAGGGACACACCAGGCGTTCACGCAGCGCAATCTCCTCCCATTGCTCCAACGCCGCGACCCCCTTGCGTGTTGACGGCGGTGGACTGTCCGGCTCTGGATGCCACGCCCTGCCGACTTCCTCGATCTCATCGAACCGGATCCCACCCAACACCAGCATCCCGGGACTCGTTCTCCTTCCATTGCTACTCGTACTATTCCTCTTCCCATCCCCCCCCATCGCCACGGGCAACAACTTCCCCGCGCGATACCTCTGCACACCGCCCCTGAAATCCACCAACGGCTCTGGATCGCGCTCCGTCCACCCCGCCCAATTCGGCACCCACGTCGGCAGGTAGTCAAGACCATCGGCCATGGCGTCCACGAGATCGGCTTCCTCGCGCCACTCACGCACACAGTTGAGGATATCCAGCGTGCCGCGGCGTTGGATGAGATTCTGCGCGAACTCGGCGTACACGTGTGCCGACGACAGCGAGGGCTCGTATTGTCGGTGGAAGTGGTGATCGTCAGCCGAGGACGGGCCGAGGAGACTGAGAAGCCCAAAGATGCGGTCGCGCGGGTCGTCACAGGAGAGCGCGCGGAAGGTGTATAGCAGGTCGTAGACGTTGAGCTCCTGGTGATGGCTGTGACGGTGGTGGTGACGGTGGTGAAGGTGGCTGTTGGCTTCTCGGAGATGGCGGGCCGCTTCAAACTCGGACGCCGCGAGGAACAGCCTCGCTTCGGCTGCGCGTTCCTTGGAACTCGGCTTTGCGATTCGCAGCAGGGCTTCCCAGGACAACTCGTCGTGGGATCCCGCGCCGTGGAGGAAGACCGGCCTTTTCGACGCCAGCGCGGGCTGGATCCATGCGAGACGGGCCGGTTGCGGTTCCGGTGGAGTCTCGGGTATGTTTTTGAGACTGCGAGACGGAACAAGGGGCAGGGAAATGGGAACGGCCGGGTTGGGGCTCCGGCTGCGACTGCGACTCCTACTGCGGCTGTTCCGGGGTAAGGGGTGGATGGAAACGGGGTGTTTGTGGTCAACGCTGAGTTTCGGGGGCGACAGCTGCAGGGCAGCAGCCTCGTCGATCCAGACATACGCGTGCCGGGCCTCGGCGTGGATCCACGACAGCAGGCGCATATGATGGGCGCGCTCTTGTGAGTTGCGCTGGTGCACACACACGGCGTCAGTCCATACTCGGACCTGGCCGCCGCCGGTCCTGAGCGTAGGCCGGATCCGCTGCAGCGCCGCGGCGACGGGGGCCTCGACGTGCATCGGGCGGTCGTCGACGACGATCTCTTTGAAGGACTCGTGGTCGCTCCATGCGTGGGTGAGGGTTTCGAAATCGGGGTTTGACGAGAGCGAGACGATCTCAAAGTGGCCGATCACGGGCGCATCTCGGTCGGCGGCTTGCAGCACCAGCAGCCGGATCTCGTCCCGCGCCAGCGCCGTGTTGAAGTGGGTGGATTCAGCCATTTTGGCGGTTCATGGTGTTTCGTGTCATCGGTCGGGTTTCGTTCATGGCGGAAATGAACAGGACGGACTAAAATTTGCCGCTGGCGGTCGGTGTTTTAAGAGAAAAGTCATACTAGAGGAAGCTGAGGCGCATGACTGTGCATGGCCGTTGCCTGCTGAGCCTTGTGACTTGTGTTTCTTAATTTGTTTGGATCAGCAGTGAGACACTGAGGACACTGCCAATAAACGTGGCGCAGCCCACTGCAGCACTGCACCTCAGTGGTGGTGGCCTATGACAAACCGTTCAGATGACTGTGCCCATACGCAGGACTGCTAAAAGGTGTCCTATTTTACGCGTGTTGAGAGTCCTGGGGCAAATCCTCACAACTCGGGCACTGCACAGTCACAAAACTGTGTTTTGTCCTTTGGGCAAACAACTACAGGTTACCAAGATTACTCGGGCAACTAGAAACTTTGACGGAGGGAAACTGCCCCACCTTCGAATGATACAACTTGATCAGTAACTTACATAGGTAGGTACATACCTAAGGTACCTATGTAGTAAGAGGAGAAGATAGTCTACTGGGGGGGAAAGGAAAACAAGAATGTCGAATGTCAAAAATTTCCAAATTAAAATTCCAATGCCAGAACGAAAAACCCAGATGAGTATCAGAACTTAGCCAGACGCTGGTATGTACATACATATCCTAAAGAACAGCACACCTAACAAGTACCTAGGTACCCTAATGTTCACTGACACTCGCACCGAGAATCCTGGCCGGGTGGAGTGGGTCTGACGCGGTTGTCGGTGGGGCTCTTCTTTTTCGAATCGCCGCTAACCGCCATGTCGCTCCACCGCTCTGGGTCGTCGGTAACTGCCGTGTCTTTTTCGAGTCGTGACTCCACTGCCGTGTCTTTTCGGAGTCGTCAATCCAGGGTCGTGTCTTTTTGGGCCGTGTCTTTTTGGGTCGTGTCTTTTTCGAGTCGTGTCTTTTTCGAGTCGTGTCTTTTTCGAGTCGTCGGTACCTGCCGTGTCTTTTTGGAGTCGTCACTCTACCGCCGTGTCCTTTTCGAGTCGTGTCCAAGCTCGCCAGGTACTTCCGCCGTAAACAGAAAGGACACTTTCTTCAACACTGTGCTCTCCCGCCTTGTAAGGAAATATGGAAACGTTGCGAAAGGTAGTAAATGAATAATCGGGCGTTTTGATCGATATTATATTAGTTTATTTTAGTCTTGATTGACTGATAAATCTACCGAGCATATTTCAAGTTGTGGTTTGGTGTCCCTGTTTTTTTTTGATCGCGAGGAGTCAGGGTCGGGTACATCATCAGGGTTAGGGTCTATCCTAGCACCCAAGCCAACGGTGATGTTTGCTTTGGCATCTCATAATTACAAGCCACGAGATTAGATCACATAAAACCAAAGGTTGACATATTCATGCCATATCGGATATGATAGAGTCTCAAATTCAAAGCGATGCGGAACTATGAAAATGGTGTTGATCGACCCCCGTCTTTGACAGTGTATTCGTCGCTCAAGCGTATTTATTAGTGGATTTCCGTAAACGAATAATGGCAACCGCAACTGGGCTTCTCAAGACGAGCGCTTACAAGACCAAATCACAGCTCTATTCCTGTTAAGACAACAGAACACGACCGGATCACGAAGCCATGTGTCTAGTCAAGAACAAGTAGACCTTCACAGAAACATGTCACAAGATCACCAGTGGGCACGCACAATACAGGTATCTCAAGAACCCAAACCCGGTGGTAATCTGGAGCCCATTAAACTAATACACTAAACTACCAACACAGCATGGCGAAGAATGCGTAAGGGGTATCAAAGTAAGTCTCAAACACCACCCAAAGAGCACCATCACCTCCCCCAACCGAGCGGCCGATTAGTATTACATGTTCCCTTTTTCCCAACCCAACCGGTATATAAGGTACCTATCCAAAAGACCCAACCGAACACCGAGACCCTTTGTCGAGTGATCAACAAAAGGTCACCATTACCCCCGTTTATTATTACATGTGTCCTTTTTCCCCCGACATCTTGTTCTGCTTCAACCCAGACCCTTCCTTATTTCTTCTCCTCATGAAAAGCTCTCCAAGCTCCAGAGGCCGGGGACAAAGTCAAGTCCAGCGAGCCAGCGCCGGTACCAGAGCCTGAACCAGAGCCCGAACCCGAGGGACGAGAAGCGGAGCCTCTAATGTTGAGGTCACTCCAAGTCTGGGTGCGTTTGTCCTCGCCCAGGAAGCGATTCAGCGAGTAGTGGCCTGTGGAGGCTTGACGGCTGCCGGCGCCGGTGGTGGTGAAGGATCGGAGGGAGGGGGTGTTGGTGTTGGTGCCGGTGTTGGTGTTGGTGCCGGTGTTGGTGTTGTTGTTGTTGTTCGTGTTGGAGGTGCTCATGGTTGCGGTGTTTGGTATTGCCCTGAGGCGTCGTGAATCGTGATGAAGCTTTTTCGGTGGAAGTCTACTTGTTGTCAGGTGGTTAGAAGGGTGTCGTGGACAGACTGAGACCAAGGGGGCGAAGGGGTTACTTACCGGTTGAGAAGTAGGGTGAAGCGAGATTCTGTGATATAACCGGATAGACAGAAAGCGCCCGATGGTGATGTGATGATGTGATCTGAGGATGATGTGGGAGAGATGCGTGTCGAGAAGAAAGCCGGGCAAAGGGCACCCTAATATACCACAGTCCGACCCAGAACCCAGGCCACGTCGTCTGGGAAGCAAACCTCTTGAAACCGTCAACAACCATCAGGGCCATGGTGAAGGTTTCGAGAGGCCTCCGTGGTATTTATACCTCCTACACCTAACGAGTCAGTCAGTCCGTCAGTCAGTTAATTCGTCCCAAAACTGCCCTGTAGGTCACCCCAGCCGGGGGCGCCTCGGTCGGGTAACAACTCAACGACCCGTCGTCGCCTTGTCTGTCCCTACCTGCACGCCACCGACGGAACCGAAATCTGCAAACTTGACCGCCCCGGGTTCTCAAATCCAGCCTTCCCGCAATGCCGGACGAACAAGGATCTGGCACCGGCGGGTGTGTCAGTTCTGCCTCCCGCCTGCCGCCAGGCTCGTCATTCATGCGCATTCAGGAACCGACACGACGGGCCCATCGTGGGTTCTCGTCCCCATGACCCGGCTTTCTTTTTCCTCCTGCAGGTACAGTTCACCGAAAAACGACGGAGTCGGGGACGAGCGAGTCATCGCTCATTGCTCAGCGGTTCTCGAACGTACATCTCGGGCTTGCCTAGGGCCGCGCAAGAATAGGACAGAGTCTAGGAATCCAGGATTAAACAGAAAATCCGCGTCTCCGCGACCTTGACAGCCCAAATTTTCCTCTCTTTTTCCTGGTCTCCCGCCTGCGCAGCTGGGCTGACCTGGGCTGGCCTGTTGATTCGCCAGGCTCCCCTTCTGTCTGAGATTCGACTCCATGGGGAACGGGGGAACCGACCATCGGCATCGCACGTCAAGGAACGTCAAAGTAACGGTGAACGGGTCCCGACGGACAAAACCCCGGGGTGGCACCCACCCAATGAGTCCCGATCCATGAAGAACGCGAGCAAAAGCCACGAGCCACCCCTCGAGAACCAGGGAGCCCGCCCCCCCCCCCGCTAGGGAACACGTGGGAAACATCGGATCATTCCTTTTTACGGCGAGAGGCTCAGAATGCCCGCCATGCCCTTCAAAACCAGGAGAAGGCGCCTCGTTTAAACTACCCGATTAGGAGGTCAGCCGAGCGGCATTGAAACGCAGGCACGCAAGACAGGCACTTGGAAGTCCCGTCGAGCCTATCTCCCCGAGTCCGTCGCCCACTGAAGGAACCCCCCCGTTTTCGTGAGTTTCAACGCCGCTGCGAGATGGGTGGGCACGATGCATGGATGTATTCCAAACGATCGGCACGGGGGTCGGGATTGGGACCCGGCTGTCAGCGTTTGACACTTGACAGTCCCAGGTTCCCTTGTCACCCCTGTTTCCCTTTATTTTAGGTTTATTTTAGTGTAGTTAGTTAATATTTACTTTTTTCCTTATTCTGTTTTGTTTGACCCTCCACCCCAGTCCTTCGTACTATGGACCTATCCAAGGCACCCAGCCCGTTTCCGAGGACTCGGCCCGGAAACAATTGTGTGTCTGAGCTCAGGCGGTGGTTGCTGAGCTGGCACCACCGGTACAGCCTCGATTCGACAGCCTTAATATTTCGAGGTCAAGAACACGGACAAACAGACGGACAGATAGATAGACCGACAGCACAGACAAACAACCAACCGCCGAGACCGCAGAGAAGCCGACTCGGGATTGGCTTTACTAGCCATTGATCAACGGTGGGACTCGTCATCTGAACAACTTTGCCGTGGGTGGCCTTGGGTTCCGCAAGGTTCCGTGGCCAGGACAATGGCAGGTTCCCGGGAGCGAGCTCTTGGGAGAATAAGCGAAGATGCGGAGGAGAATGGATCAACGGGGATTTGGAGGCCCTCCAGTTTGGAGGGAGAACTGCTTGAAAACAGACAGATACTGTACCTAGAATACCTTAACGCTACCTGCCAGACCTGAGACCCGCGTCGCGTCGTCCCGTTTCCGTCGGTCCTTTCCCCCGTTCAGTGTTCATTTTTCGATCCTTGCACAGTTGCACCTTCCAAACTTGCCAGTTGTGAGGTCTGATCCTTGCCCAACTTAACTTTTCACCTCAACCTTTTTTTCCTGCGTCCCTGCTGACCGTTCCTTTCCGGACCGTCCTCAACGTTTCTCTCATGCCTTGTGTTTTCTCATGTCTTGCCCCCTTACAGTTCAACGCTCGCTTGGTTTCAGGTCCCCCGTCTCACGAGTCCCGCCCCTCCAAAAAGCGGCTAAGCCCATGCCCCACCCCCACCACCGACGGGCCTTTTCTGCTGACGCGGTACATACACTGGTGTTCTGTATTGGATGGAGGTCATGAAATAACCTTTGCCCAACTCCGAACCCCCAAAGCCGTCCAAAGGGGCAACGCCCGTGAAACCTGCCTCGGTTGGCTGGTAATCTCTCCGCCGAGCCACCCACCCACCCACCCAGCACCACGCCAACCTTCGGTCCGGGACGTGTTACACACATCACCCAACTCAGTGCTCGCGGCCTCCGGCGCAATCAAATGCCTTGCAGCTTACTGCATCGTAGGCGCGTCGTCAGGGTCTCTGATTTGGTGGGCTTCCACATGGGAGGTAACAAAGTGGGGCTTGCTCGTCCTGTTCACCGCCCCGCTGGTTCGCTTTTCTATAGGTATAGTGGAACGCTAATGATAGCTTCTGCAACACCACAAGTCCACAAGCCCAACGACTGGAGGACAACGGTCGAAACGGTCGGGGTGTTTTGGGTGGCAAAACGTGGGTCGGGCATCCATGGGACCGGCCGTGCGGCCGTGCCAGCCTTGCTGCTGCAGTGCTGTTGCAATGCTGCATGCGAGTGAGCCGGCCATCCAAGAATTTTAATTTCTTCTTCAGGATTTCTAGAAGGACCTGCTTCTTCCGGAGTTTAGCTGAAAAGCGAACGTGACATGCCAATATCCCGAGACCACCAATCGGTCCCGTGATGCATCACCCGGTCTCGACCGGATAACTTCCATCCGACGAGGCTGGAATTTTAAAAATTTTCGTGATGAATGGTGCGCGCACACAGAAAGGCAAGACGGAGATAAACCCGGTACCTTAGGTAGGCCCGAGATCACAAGTCCGATCAGCCCAATCGTGTTCTTTTCGTGATCCAAAACGCCACAGTTCAAGCCTTACTTTACCGTAGTACATACACACATACCTTCCGAAACCGGATAATGAATAACAACACCACTACTGAAATCGAGGCCTCAGAATGGGCCGGTCTGCTGTGACACACACACACACTTCGTCCGCCTAGTCATAGTTAACATTTGTTTTACTCGCAACAACCAACAACCTAACCCACAGCGCGCACAGGCGTCAAAGGTCAAGGCCAAGGCAGACTACTGCAGCAGCAGCAGAAGCCCAACACCAGACAACTCATCATCTGATGAAGTCGCATCACTTCTTCTCTGCGCTCCCTCCCCCTTGCCTCGTCTTTTCCCGTTTTGTTCTCTTTCCGTCTTCATCTCCCTCTTCCTATTGCACCATTCTCCTTTCTCTCTCACCGCCAGAACGCACACCAGAACGGGAAGAAAACGCCCGACATCATTCATTCACGCTGGCGTGGCTTGGGCAACTTAACGCGGGAAAAGTAGGTGAACTAGGCGAAGAAAATCAAGGCCGCTAAGAGGACAAGTCAACTCAAGCAGCACGACTTGGTTGGCCCGACTGACATGGCTCACACACAACGGTGAATTGATCAGCTCGGACGGCGCGCGAACAAGTCAGGCAACTGACGCAACCTGGAACCCAGGCAGTGCGGACAACCGGGACAGCCTCAAACTACCCAGACAGTTGAGACAGCGGCAACAGTCCAGACGGCTCAGCCCAGCCCAGACAGCTCACTCAGCCCAACGCAGGCAACACAACCCAGACAACACATTTCAGACAACGAGACAGACAACATGAACAAAGCGAAAAAGCGAAAAGTCCAATTCAGCCCTGCCATCGAGGCAAGACATTCATCCTCTCTCGACAACCTATCGATCGATATTCATCTTCATCCCAGCATCACAGTCCATCCACCACCCTTCCCTCTATCCGTCCTTGAATCCATGGATCCATCCCCCCTTCCACCCCTTCACCTATCCTCTGCCCCTGCATCCATCATCAGATCCCGATCCCGAACCCCAAGCCCCCAAGTACTATCCCGTTGACCAACCCCCACCCCATCCCGGCTTATAGCCGATATAATATACACATTATTAACCCTAGGATTCCGTCGTAGACAAAAAACAAAAGAAAAGTGTGATAAACACAAAAGATAGTAAGTCTCTGTCTCTGACAAAATCGAGCAAAAATCCCCTCCAGGCCAAAGAAAAAAAGGTATAAACGGAAAGGACAATCGGGTCGAAAATGAATCGAACAAGTACACACACCACGGCGAGTACAAATGGCGGGGCGTGAGCGTTTGGTTGGAAGTGAAAACTTCCCATTTCAAAAACCCCGTCCCATTCCCCGTCTTCTGTCCTTTCCCCGAACCCCAACCAGCCCCAACCAGCCGAAATGATGTCCCATAATACACACCGAACCGCCGATTCATTTGTACTGTGCCTCCTGATTTCCAGCATTGTCGTGTCCAAAATCGCCCGCCCAAATCCAGTTGGTTTCCGCACTCTTCGTCCAAAATCGTCCTGGGCCGTCTTGACCTTTGATCTCGACAGAATCGTGTACACATCTCTGCATTTTGCCGCTCCCATTTCGTCCTTCCCGCTACCGTAGCTCCCTTCCCGGTACCTCGATGGAGAGTCTACTGCTGGTGGTGTTGATGCGGCGGAACATGCTGCTGCCAGCCCATAGCCATTGCGTTCGCAAATACCGATTCGTCCACCACTGTCCCGGCCATGCTGCTCCAGTCGTCGTAGACGTTCATCGGTGCGAGGAGGTGGGGTTGGGGCGCGTGCTGTTGCTGTTGCTGCTGTTGTAACAAATGTTGGTGTTGCTGCTGCTGTTCGTGTTGCTGCTGTATTTGCTGTTGCTGTTGCGGGCTCATCTGTGAAAGTAGTTGCATATGCGGGTGGACATGGGTCACGTTGAGATCGTAGAAGGGGCCGGGTGCCGGCGCCATCATTGGGTGTTGGGAGAAAGGAGAGATGGCATCCTGAGGCGATTGAGGCATCATTTGTTGTGGTGGCGGCTGCTGGGGAGGCACTGTTTGTTGTTGTTGTTGTTGTTGGGGCGGTGTTTGTTGGGGGCTAGGGAAAAAGGGGTTGTTTTTCACGTAGGCGGAAGCAATGGACGCGATGCTGCGCTGCTTCTTCGGCCGCGGTTCCTGATCGTACGGATGTAATGATGACTGCGCAGGCGGCGTATGCTCGGGCGTAGACATGTGTTTCGTGAGGGGAGATGACTTCATTGCCATCTTGTGCTTCGGCGGCTCGGAGATCGGTCGTGCATTCGGATCTGTGGACGGTGGTACGGGTGCGACGCTGGGCTGAATCTCACTCCGGAGACGGATCGTGGCCGCCTCGTGGGCCAGTCGGGCCAGGAGCTTCGGGTCGTCTCGGCCTTCGCAAAAAAATTCAAGGAGATCCTGCAGTTTCCCCGGACAGTCACCCTCCAAGAAGCCCTGTGCGTGCCCCGTAGATTTGGGGTCCCATTCTAACATGGGCTGTTGGTTCCGGGGGAGGTTGCCGTAAAGCTCCGAATCGAGGTCCTTCCATGCTTGGCTAATCGTGGGCTGATGCAAGAGCCCGTAGATGACGAGTGAGTGGTTCCAGTGTGACTTGTTGCAACCGTCTTCGTAATGCCGGGCAATGTGGTCGAAATAGCGGTCACGACTGGCTAGGAATCCGCCGCAAAACCCACAGGCCCTGATGGAACAGTTAGTTTGGTATGTTTGTCTGCAGGAGACCGGCTGGTGGCAGTGTTCATTGGCGTTGGTTGTACCAAACCTGCATCAAGCGTGCAAAGGTGCAATCAGATCCCAACGAGGGAGGGTAAAAATAGAAAAAGAAAAAGAAAAAGAGACAAGGGCAAACAAGATGAAACATACCATGCCGTCTTCTTTTGTGTGTACTTCACCACGCGATCGGCGTGCGGGCAGGTGGTACAGCCGTGGGCATTCTTGTGGTGTTGGTTGAAGGTATTCGCACCCCAAAATATCCGGTTGCAGTTCGGGCAGGGGTAGCGCTTGTACCGCTCGTGAAACTCGTCCTCGTGCCGTTTCCAATCGAATTTGCGCTGAAAGGCAACGTCGCAAAAGGTGCACCAGTAAGCGCCCTGTGGTTTGGAGCTACCTCGACTGTTGCTTTTGGGCGGCGCAGGCGGCGCAGGTTTGGCCGGTGCGACAACATCCTGAAAGCCCGTCCCGACTCCTCCCCCCTGAGATGACACAGAGCTCATCGAGGTCGCCGTCGACATGATACTGGCCCGGCCGGATGACTTGGAGCTGGTCGTCGAGACAGAAAGCCGCATGTGCGGGCTCGGATGGCCCATCTTGGTCGGGAAGGTGTGCTGTAACGGTTGCGCAGCCTGCTGCGGGAAGCCCGCCGTGTCCATCCCCTGTGGTGTTGCGGTTATTGGTGTCGTCGCTGTCGGTGATGTCGCGTTCTCTGTAGCCTTGTCAACACCAGCCCCTCAGTTGCTCCAATTCGCCAGACCATTAGGAGAAAATACGCGGTCGCGCGCGCACGGTGCATACCATCGCCATAATTCTCCAACAACGCGCGCAGCAGCGCTTCTCGTGATAGCCCACATTCGGTCAATGCTTGGACATGGAGACGCGCCGCTTCCAGGCTGTCGGCTGGTGGATTGCGGAAGGGATCCATGGCGAAAGATCGAGCGATTCGAGGCTCGGCTCAGCCTAACTTCCGCTCCGCATCCAAAGTAACAAGCGCAAAGACAAAAAGACACAAAGTAAATAGGTTGGTAAGGAGGGAATAGTGGTCGGCAAGTTCGCAAGTGCCGTTCGCTCAGGCAGGACCAATCGTCGGTAGTAGGTAGTAGGTGATGAATTGCATCTGGCAAACTCCGGCGTGGGTTGGTAAGTGACGGTCAGTCGATCAGTCAGTTGATACCTCTCCCTCGCGTGCAATTGCACCACACGCGAGAAGCAAAAGGGAAAGGAAACAAGAGGTTGAGAGGGAAAAGACCGAGAGCCGCGGGCGAGGCCACACACATGCGGGACGACCAGCTAGGAATATAATACGAATGCACCCCGAAAGGGACGGTTGCAACCCTCCTACAAAAAACGCAACAGGGGCAAGGGGGCAGGTTCCAGGGGTGAGGGGGTCAGTTGTTCCTCCTGTTTTTTTCCCTGTCAGTCTTGGGGCCGAGCAAAACAGAGGGAAACACCCCGACGGCACCGAAGCTGGGCCCAGCGGGCTGCTGACAATGGACTGAGTGGACTGTTGTTGCGCATACTGCGCAGTAACGAGAGCGCGAAAACAGCTCAGGAATGGAGACGGCAGGGACGACCCGAAGCAGGCGAGCGGCGCATGGAACGCGAAAAGACCCCAAAACGAAGTCCCGCCGAGCCGATTTCCCCTGTTCGCCAGCTGTCCACCTCCCAGGGGGTTCCTTCCGCCCCAGTCCCAGGCATCCAGCTAGTCAACTCTCAGTCGAATGGGCTTTCCTCTTCTTGATCTTTTCCGATAAAAAAGCTCTTCTGCTTGGGAAAAAAAGAGCTCATTCCTCGCGAAATATCTCTAAGCACAAACCAGAAACGAGGAAACAAGAAACAACCGGGTGCGGCAGATCGGCCTGCCAATCCCTTCCCCCCTCCCTCTCTCTCGGCGCTCAAATTGGAACAGGCAAAACCCCAAACCAACCAACGCGCCCACCCGCCCCGGTCTTGCAGGTTCTCACTCTTTCCCGCGTCACCAACCACGACCCGCCTCGTCCCCATTGGCGCATTCCGCCAAGCACCTCAACGACCCCCCAGCAACGCGCTCGTTTTTGCGTGTGCGCGCCCAATGTCCGAGCTTTCCCCCCATCTCTCCCCTCTTTTCTCTGATCCCCAAACTCACTTGTAGACCCCTGCCTCACCTGAAACAGCAGCAGCTCGTTAGCGGGAGCTCCACGGGAAACAAAAGACAAAAGGCAAAGAGGCGCCGGCTGGCGTGGCCTTGGGGCTGTTTCGAAACATCTCAGGGCGCATTTCTTGGTTTTCGGTTCGCTTCCTCAGGCGCAGCTCTTGTCGCAGGCGTGGAGTTGCCCGTCGGCGTGCGACGATCAGGCACCGAGGCGAGCAAGGGAAGGAGGGGCAAGATGTGATTGGGAACGAGGATCATTTGGATCATTTTTCACGATGAGTTTTCCGTTTCCCTTGCTGCGAGTTTCCGTCACGCTTGTTTGCCCCCAAGCCTGTCCGGTAGATCTGGCGGAACAAGATCCAGCCAGAGAGAGAGAGAGCCTTGCGCCTCCGCCGCGCGCTGAAAGAGATATATGTGGCTTCAACACATCGCGTTGCATCAATGCATTCGCATTGTCCATTTTGCATTTCCAGCCGCCAGCCGCTACAAACTAGTCCACCCAGTGCCGGCGGCAGCGCCAATGTGAGTGGCTCCGCAGGACCCTTTCTCCGCTCTCATTCGCTTCCTGTTGCGGTACCAAACTCCTTCAGCTGCTTCAGCTCCTACCCGTGTTTTCTTTGCTGAGAAAGCGACAAGCCGAGATCTTGGCATCCACTTCGGCGGCGGGTAACAGCAACGAGTTTGCGCGCATAAATAAAGGGAACCTGGAAGGCCTGAAAGGTTTCTTGCCCCCAATTGCGGCGGTGCTCGAGGGCGCGACCAGCTCGGTTCCCCTTTCCGTTATTATTGAGCCCCTTCGTACGACACCAAGATATCATGTAGGGCGGCGGCTTTCTCCGCGCTGGCATGCGGCTGCTTACACTACACGAAGGGAGAGCAGCACCTCAGGTTCGGCTCAGTTGGTTTGTGTCTATCACCGACTGCGCCGTTGTTTTCTAACCTCGCCTCTCACCTTGCGTTGCTTGTCCTTTCTTTGTGATTCTCCGAAGAGTATCGTCCCTCTTTCATCCCATCTCATCCCTCATCATCCCACCTTTCGCACCCCTGAACCCCACAACTCGGAAAGTAGTTCGTCTCAAAAAATCAGCATGCGCGCCTCCCGAAACTGCGCGCCTCCTCCGCTTTCGTCACACCTCTTCGCATTGTCATCTTCTAATCTGCCCTACCAGCCATCAACACCTCATTCCAGCCCAAGGTGCGCCGGGGAAGGGCACATGACAACCCAGAAATTTTTCTCTCTCAAAATCTCGGTGGATAGGCACATGACAAGGATACCAAGGCCATTTCTTTTCACTTCCCAGGAGCAGATCATCCTACCACACACGTTGTTACCAGCACACGTTGTATGTCGTCACTAGCGCAGGGGTAGGGTCAGATCACCGCGACTCCCCGGGAGCTCCCTGATTTCCCCGAGCTCTCGGATAAGAGAGCAAGAAAACTAGTTAGCTCTTGCACGTTTGTTTCTGCGTTTCACCAAGCTGCTCTTGTGGGTCTACACTACACTACACTAGGCAAGCTGGGTTCCCGAGGCTCCCCAATTGCTCCCCAAGCAACGCATCACTGCAGTGGCAAGTGACCCTTGATCAAAAGATCTGCATTACGGATTACCTCCGAATTGTCCAGTCCACACCCTCAAACACCGAAAACACCGAACAATACGGATACCGCCATCATTTCCGCTGAACCGGCACTGAACCGGACCGGATAACTAATGCTTGACAAAGAATGGCGGGGATTTGCCCTGCTTGGCGGTATCATGATCCACGTTGGTGGGTACGATCTCGGTACCTGTACACTAGACTACACTAGGTGGGTTGGTGTGGAACTGGGTGTGGACAAACTCACTCGACAAGCTCAACAAGGTAGGTTTGCGCGGGTGAGCATGGATGAAGCTTGATCTCTTCCCTACCTACACTAGTTACTAGTACGCTATGTGAATGTCCGAGAGCATGAATGGGAGATTGGATGCTAAATCCCGGGTAAGTGGAATGTAACTGTAGATGATTTCTTTCTTCCATTATTAAATGATTGGTGAAGTGATACAACGTTGAATGTCAGAATATTTCCTAGGGTGCCAATTAGTTTTTGAAGACTCTCAACAGTGCCATAACCTGTAGATTTTCTCGAAATGAAGACAAGATTCTAGTAGCAGTTGGGTATCGATCAACAGCAAGAACTATCACTACAATCTCACCTCCTACCTCTCCCGCACTGTCATCCATTCCACAATATACCATAACCCCATCGCATCATATCACGTACAGTACACAAGTTTGGGGTGTAAACCATCACAGATCAACGCCACCGTGCCTTATGTCAACTTGGCAATTCCCTCTCAAACCCTTCCTCTTCAGATCGTGTTGGAGGCCCCTTCTTTAAATCATCGCCGATATCGAGTGGTCATATTTTGTAAATGCAAGGCGCCAAGCGCCGGGGAGATCGTCGCCCATCCATTATCCAAGCTTTGCCAACAATCCTCCATTCCATCTCTTCCATGATCCTACATAGGTCCCGTGGCGTTAGTCCAAATCCTGACAAAACATACTCCCACAGACATCAATCCACCATCATAATGCGCCTAAAAGGATGCTAGTGCTAGCAATTAGCACCGGTCTGCTGAAAGAAACCTCGGTTTTTCACCGCAAACTTAGTGAGTGATCCCGACACCAACGAGGTCACCTCCCCAACAAAATCACAGCACCTCAAAGCAACTGAAACCCCGCCTCTTCCAGCTCATCCCCCACAGGCAACATCGGCCGCCCTTGCATCGGAAAAGGCCAAAACAGCGGATTCTCCAGGGCGTCTGCCAACTCCGACGTATTGCTCGGTTTCCCGATAGCTTTCATATCAGGCCCCATAAGTGACGGCGAGCCCCCGCTGCTCCCTCCGCCCCACGAAGAGCTAAAGTCCGACTCGAGAAAGTTGGGCGCGAAGAAATTTAGACTCGACGTCAGTGGTCTTGTAGCTTTGTCAAAATGGATGTCTTTCTTGTCGCGCCGTTCTTCGTCTCCTTTATCTCCGTCTCCTTTTTCTTCTCCTGTCCGACGCGGCAGTTTGCTGGCGGTGTCGCCCGTGGTCTTGATCTCCACGTCGATGTTCCATTTCTGGGCCAGGAATTTGAGGATGTTGAGCGCTTGCTCGGCGAAGTGGTGGCAGGGTGCCATCTCGGTGAGATCGGCGATGCCACGGCTGAGGGCCTCGACGACATGCGGAGCGGGTTTGGCGGGGGGTTGTTGAGTAGGGGTGGGGGTAGGGGTGGTGGGTGTTTGGGACGTATGGCCGGGCTGTGTCTTGTTTGGGGACGCAGTCGTGTCCTCGCTCTTCGACGTAGTTTGGGAGTTGGTTGTTGCCGCGGCGATAGCTAGGTGCATGATCGAGGACGTGAGGACAAAGTATGGGACAAAAGACGGCGTCCGTCTCAGCGTGTAAAGCTGCGCGTATGAGCGAAGCAGACCGGTGATGGCGTCAGCAGCCTGCGAGCACACATCGCGGGGGGAGATGCTAGACCCGATGATGCGTAGCTTTATCAAGGGCCGGAATAGGAGGAGGATGGCGAAATGATAGTACATGCTATTGATTGTACCGGTGGTTAGTTGGGGCCCACACCCTGGCCAAGAGCTTAGAATAATACTCACTGCGCAAACAAAACGGCAGGGGTGAAATTATGGCCGAGCCGCAACACTTCCGGTATCCTATCATACCAGTTCAGGTATTGCGTGTAAATCGTGAGGAGATCCCGACTCGTGAGGGGGCGCCCGGGGGAGTGGAGGATGTACAACGACTGATGAACAAGCTCGCTGAGTTCACAGAAACATTTGTACACAGATCGGACGTTGGACGGTTGTTCGCAAGACTGTTGGAGTGGCGTGCCTGCGAAGTGACTCAGCTCCCCGTCCTCGGGTGGTTTGGAGAACGCGTATTTACCATCATCGGTGACCGGAATCCAGAGCGACGCTTCGATGTCATCGATGATAGCGGGCTTCGGGGGCAGCCGCGGAAAGCACGAACACTGCGGGAGCGAGCCGGTCGCCAAGGACCAGGCGCTAAGTATAAGTCAGTAAAGGCCACCACATTGTGAAATGCGTTCCTTTGCAACGATTTCAGAAACCCCCCCTCCACGTTGACTCTAGCGTAGTGCCCAAATCTCCGTGGTTGGCTGGGTACTTACTGATCAAGAGCAAACGCCCCCCAAAAGGTAGCCGCTTGCACCGCACTCTCGTCATCATTCCTGCCGTCGTCCTGCACGCGATGTAACCCCATCTCGATAGCCAACCGGATACTCTGCCCGGCATAATACCAGCTTTCCGAGTCTCGCCCGCAGCTTGCCTCTCGGATCGACATGATCCCAAGAGCCTGAATGGTCGTGAGCGTGTGGTGATCTTGTTCCTGGTAATACAGCCGCTGGCACTCCTTGAAGAAATGGTTGCCCGACGTGTACGGGTCGTCTGGGTTGGACCGCGTATTGGGTTGGCTCGAGAAGCGACACCCCAGGGCTAGCAAGGCGTTGACCAGGATCGGGGAGCAGAACCGCGGCCGGCCGTCGGTGAAGTCCTTGAGAAAGTGTTCCTTGCTCAGCGAAGCAAACGTAGGGTACTCCCAGCAGAAGTAAAGGGACAGCAGATGCGTCACGAGGTTCGGATCGCTAGTCAACGTCGTCCACGTCCCCGGAGGTACTTGCATGTCGTACTCCGGGTGCAAGACACCCCCAAGGCGGCCTCGCTCGGTCTTTGACCCCTCCGCTCTGACCACCTGGCTCTCGATCCAATGGCCAACACGAGCTTGCGTTTGCTTTATAGCCTCCGGGTTCCAGTTTGGCCCTTCGAGGTGGGAACTGCTCGGGGTCGGGTGGCTCGTCTGATGGCTTGACGAAAATTGCCCGCCCCATGGGCTCTGCTGTTGATCAGCCACGTCGTGGCGGACGGGCTGCTGCTGTTGTTGACCTTGGTGCTGACCCTGGTGCTGACCCTGGTGTTGACCCTGGTGTTGACCCTGGTGTTGACCCTGGTGTTGACCCTGGTGTTGACCTTGATGTTGAGGTGGCGGCAGCGGCGGCGGGGGATTGATCGGGCTGAGCGAGGTAAATCCAGCCGGGAACCGGCCATAACTGCTTGACCCGGAAATGCCGTACCCCGGCATTGGAGGGGCGGTGTTGCCCTGGTTCAGCAGCCGGCTGATTGAAGGTAGAGCACCGCCCCCGGAGGGTGTCGTACCGCCCAGCCAGTCCGAGATGGACTCCACGCTCTGACCGCTGCGCAATCGCGACAGGACTTCCTCCCATACATCCGGCCGGACAAGGGCAGAAATGACCTGGTCGTTGTTCCGCTGCTGGCGCCGCAGTTGTTCGATCTCATGGCGGAGGGTCTCTTTGGACTGTCGAACCGGTATTTCGTAGACGCACTCGACGCCTTTCTGCGTCTTGCAGCGACCACACGGCTTTTGACCGTCGCACTGAACCGCGCACAAGCAAACCGTCAGCGTGCTTCGGGAATATTTCAAGCGAAAGTTCATCACAAACAAGCCAGATAAGGGACAACACCACTCACCTTTGCCCTTTTCTTACGGCACTCGGTACACGCGTTCGGTGTCACGATGCCAATCCCTCTCTTCCTCTTCGACGATCCCGACGTCGGGCCCGTCGGGGGCCCCGATGTGCTCGGCGACAATGCCTGATTGGCACTCGACGGTGAGCCCGCGGGTTGAGCGGGGACCTGCGATGGTCCAGCCCCAGACTGAGGGGGGGTGTTCCGGGCGTCACCCCTCTCGTCGTCTTCCATAAGGTCCATATTTTCCCATCCACGGTTCCGCGGGGTCGACGGGCTGTGCACCGGGTTCAAGTCTCGTCCAAAGAAAACAATCGGGAAACGCGCGCGTCGGAAAAGCCAACTACCATCGTCGAGAACCGCGCACCGGTCGCCGAACGGCAAAAGTTCAAGATATGCGCCTGGCGTGTGGCGTATTTACTACTAGGGAGGAGGAAGACAAGAGTCAGATTCGTCCCAACTGCCGGGGGCGTGATGAAGTTTTGACCCTCGGCGGGGCGTGTCGTGTCGTCTCGGGGAATGCACACATGGCCGGGGACAATGGTAGCTGACGACAAGAGGGAAACTGTACCTGGCTGCATTCGGAAGATGAATATTTTAGGAAGCCGTTACCATCCACCCCTGTCCGTGTATCACCGAGCTCCGCGTCGGCTGTGTGGGGTACGCGTCGGGCAGGCCAGTCCAGGGGTGGGGGTAAGAAGATTCGCGACAATTGAAAGACAACGCTCGTTAAACACCAAAAAAATGTAATTGGTAGAACGCGTGTCGCGAGCTTGGAAGCCACCGTAGCAATTGATTCTATGTATAGCTTACTGCTGTCCTGGACTGATTGTAACCCTAATTCCGAACAGCCGGTAGAACAACAACAGTGCATGACGAAACATCGAAAACGCCGGACTAAAGCTTCCGCCAAACGGCTTGCGAATATGGTATGGGGCCGTCGACGGACCGGCGCTCGGGCCATATTAGGCCTGGGCTTTGCCATGTTCGGAAACCCTTCCGATGGGTCAGTTCAGTGTGGCAAGACTTGTTTTGAACATTTAACTACACTAACGTTAGCGTTGAACGGGAGTTATCATAAACAACATCCAACCTGATATCTCCTAGTCTCTTTTTTTCCTAGCCCGCACGAGAATGGATTAACTCCCGGCTTCTCTAGCCTGAAACCCACGCAGTAAAGGTATCCTAGTGACGCACCGAAACTTGTGGATCGTCAACCGCTCGGGACTTCATCTAGAACAGGCCAGAACAAATCCTGAAGTGATTTCTCGTCCCATTGTCAAACCCACCGAGCCAACAAAATGAGCAAGGGGCGAACTTCTCGAAGCGGTGCACGTGTATTTAATTGCTGAGATACTGAAAGACTGTATCTTCAAGATGTAACGGACTAAACAAACCCTTAGTACTGTGTATGCCGTTAACATGCGTCAACCTCGAGGTAATTTATATGAGCGTTCCCTAGTAGTTGCAAGAAGAAAGCTTGGAAAAAGAACTCCTGGCGGGAAAAAAGAAAAAAAAACACAAAGGGAGAAAGAGAAGGACAAAAGTGTAAGATGCATGTTCAGTCACAGGAATTATATTGCCCGTAGAAAAAAAGGTTCCAAAACGCGGTATGTACACCCAAACCAGACTATGCGTATAATTTACCTAGGTTTTATACCACAAGTCTCTTCCGTCCCAAGCGCGCCCACCCAACGCCTCGTTACCATCTCTTTCCCAATGCCAACCATCACAAAAGAAATCCAAGTAAGCGTGCTGTACAAAGCCGAATAATATACAATCATAGCCGCGAAAAAGAGAAAGACAATGAAAAAAAAAGAGACTAGAATATCCCCCACTACCCAAGTCAGCCCTCCGGCTGACCTAGTCTCCACCTTCCTTCCTCCCTCAACACCGCTCCTAATACCCCTTCACCGGACTCCGCACCCGACTCCCCTTAACAGGGCTCCTCGTCCGTTCCCTCTCCCCTTTACTCGGACTCCGCCTGCCCGACGGCGTCTGCGGCGGTAGCAACATCTTCGCCTCGGGGGACGCCTCCGAGTCCGTAGCATCGTTGAAGAAAAATTTGTTGCGGATATGCCGCGGGGTCTGGCTGAGCGGGGCGAAGAGATACGCCTCGCGCGGGTTATGCGCGACGGCGGACCCGAGGAGTGAGGGCATCGCGGGCGGGGAGTGCAGGGGCGGCGCTGGAGGGGGCGGGGGGGTGTGGTGGGTGAGTGTGGATTCGCGTAGGGAGCGGAAGCCGGCGTTGCTGCCGACGACGGCGACGACGAAGAGGGAGAGCATGAATACCTAGTGATGGAGTATTAGTAAGGGGGTAACGACCTGAAGGAACTATGGGATAGGGTAAGGTCGGGGAGCTTACCCAAGCTTTGACAGTCAAAACACCCACAAACTCATTCACAATCTCGGCAATGTTCCGCACCGAGACCTGGAGCTGCATGATGGCAGAGGCGTCCTGGTTCATGCACGCCTCCCACCGGTTGCACTGTTCCTCCAGCGCAGGCGGCCGTTTCCCGGCCGGGTCGCAGTTGTTCTTGACAAAGTCCGTCGCGCACGTCGCCATCTCATGGGTCAGCGCAGCCCGGGCTTTCTCGTTGGCGTAGGACAAGTCGGATCGGATCTGGTAGACGACGAAGAGCAGCCCGAATACCGCCAGACTGACCATCACGATGTTGAAGCCCAGCTGCAGCCATTTGGATAGGATTGCTGGGGCACTCGGGTGGTCGCTGATGGCGGACAGGAAACCGCTGAACCAGCCCCGTTGTGGGCCCGCAGCCGCCTTCCGCTCCTTCTCGGGAGAATCCTGGCCGTCCTCCCAGTCGCTATCTGAGTCATCCGAATCGTGGGAGAGGCGTGGACGAACACTTCCTACGTCCCTGTCACCTTGCTGCCTCTTTCTCTTCCTGACTTTGTCCCTGTTCCCTCTCAAGATCTCCCCTCGCCCGGACGCATGGTTTTTTAGCAGCGTCCTGCTAATCAACGACCTGCCGGCGGATGGTGTGACTGGGGACCGGAGCATCTCGTCGTCTCGATCAAATTCTGGGGTCTCAGCGGGCATGTCGGACGTATCTGTCATGGCGGGACTGGATTCGGCGCCGGAGTATGGGGAAAACACCAGCTCATCGAGCCGCCGCTGTGGTGTTGTGAAGGCGGGATTCCGGAACGCCGGCGCGGATGGCTTGTGCTCCAGCCGAGGGGTGAAGAACGAGGCGTGTGGTGGTCGGGGCTGGTCCTGAGTTTTGAAGGGCGATTGCTTGAAAGGCGATGGCTTCAAAGGTGTTTCCCGAGGAGTACCCGGGAAGGCAAACGGGTTGGGGTTTGATGATTGTGGTTTGGTCGGTGAACTAAGGCTGGCTAGGTTGAAGGAGGCCCGTTAGCATGCTCTCCAGAGGGCCGATGATTATCTTTAATAGCACGGAAACGCGGGAGAGGCTTGTGCAAAATTGCGCTTGTGGCCCAGCATCGGGAAATAGGAATGCGCAAGCCATGGGAGGCGGTAGCTCGACTTACAATTTGGATGGTCCTTGGCCAATTTTGCAAAGGGGCTTGACAAATCCATCGGACGTTTTCCCCCTTCATATTCCCAGTCCATCGGGCCCTCGTACGTTCGGCGATTCATAGTGAAAGAAAATGTATCAACACGTAGCTATTCAAGTAAGCAAGCTGGCGTGGGCCGTGAAGTGAGGACGTGGGGTTGCGCTGTATTTTGAGTTGCGCGGAGCTGTGGGAGGGAGGATGCGACCAGACTCCAAAGTCCAGAGGCGTCGTTAGTGGCAACCACTGGAAAGTAAACACGGCCCGGCAGATTTCGAGAAATGCGGAGCCCCACTTGCACTCCCAGCACGCGCCATCCGCGTCCTCGAACCGAAGAATTCCCGACCCTTCCAAGCACGGGCCACTTCGCCGCGTCCGCAGGGCTGCGACTTCCTCGAAGGCAAACGAACCTCGACGACTTCCCGCCTTCGAAGACAAAATTCCATCAACCAACTTATCGAAACCGTCATCCGCAGCACCCGTCATTCCATTTCGCCAATTATCAGGGCTGTCGATTCTTGACACACTACGCATTCCTGGTCCTACTTTTGATACCCGATTCTTTCGAGCAAGCCTATCTGGACCTAGTCGTCACATCGAGCCACCATGTCAGACGCCGGGTCCGCCGATCCGGGCCATGAAGAAGAGCGCCCGGCCGACATTCACGATGATGACGACGCGGGTAATGAGTCCGACAAGGACTCCGATCTGCTTTCCGAAATCGACGAAGACCAATTCGAGGATTACGATCCCGCGCTTGAGTCGCGGCCCGTGGAAATCGACGAAAATGTTGCAATGACCCTGAAGGCTGCGAAGCGCAAGCAGGCCGATGGTGGAGCATCAAAGAAGCCGAAGGAGGGGCGCAGGCCAAAGAAGAGGTCGAGGGCAACGGACGATGAGGTTGGCGAGGTGGAAATTGGAGAGCGTCGCCCTAGAAAGACTCGTGCCACGGGTGAACGTCGGGCTGCTGCGAAAGAACCCTCGAAAGAGCCGGAGGAGGAGGACGAGAATCTCACACCCGAAGAGCGCCGCCGTCGGGCGCTAAACCGAGCCATGGATAACGCTCTAAAGAACCCCAGCAAGCGCCGCAGAAAGAAGGACGAAATTGTATGCAACATCGTTTCCGCGTTTTTGCGTGTGACGGCCGGCTAACAGATTGATCCAGGACCTCGAAGACGAACTCGACAATCACATCGCACGTCTCATAGTCGCAATGGAGCACGCCTGCGAAGCAGACAACGAAGCGCGCCTCAAGGGCGTGGCTGCCACGAACAAGCTAAAGCTTCTGCCCAAAGTAACAGCCATGTTGAATCGAACAGCCGCCCAGGACTCGGTTCTCGATCCCGACACCAACTTCCTGCGATCCGTCAAGTTCTTCCTCGAGCCGCTGAATGACGGGAGCCTTCCGGCGTACAATATCCAGCGCGACCTCTTCACAGCCCTCGCGGCGTTGCCCATCAATAAGGAAGTTCTTTTGAGCAGCGGCATCGGCAAAGTCGTGTTTTTCTACACACGCAGCAAGCGGCCTGAAGCCAGCATCAAGCGGATTGCGGAACGTTTGGTTGGCGAGTGGAGCCGACCTATCCTAAAGCGGACGGACGACTACAAGAAGCGGCAGATTGAGACCCGCGACTTTGATTTTGCGTACGTCTCCCTGGTCCTAACCCATTCCCGCGTCTATGTACTAATGACCGAGTTTACAGCGCCGCCAAATTGGCCCAGCGCCAAGAAGCCGCTGCATCAGGCTCCCAAATCACCCTCACCCAGCGTCCGGCCGGTGGCAAGTCGCGCTTGGAGCTGGAGCGTGAGCGCCTGCTCGCGCCCGAGGTCAAGAAGAACAACCGTGCGGCGCCGGCTGGCCTGCCCGCCAGTTACACTGTCGCGCCGCGTAGTACGTTTGATGCCTCACGGGCTGCGGCCGAGTTCCGTCCCGTGGGCGCCGCGGGCTTGGAAGCGTTCCGGAAGATGACGCAGAGGGGTAAGGGAGGTGGACGGCGCTAGAGCGCCGGCGGAGATGAGGTTTAGCGCAAGTAGGGGATCACCCTATGCCGGAGCCTGGTGGGCTTATGGATTGGGGGGGTTATCTGGCGGAGAACGGTCACGGCTGCTTAGTTTGGACGCGGTAAACGTGGCTTAGCATTTCCCAGTCTCAAGGCACATGCGCTGCGATGGGATACGATGCAGTGAGGTTAGGAGTAAAGGGTCAAGGCTGGATGGACATTTTCTAGAGGGATGTTATTTCCAATCACAGCGATAATTCATGTTTTTCTCGGCAGTGCTCAGGGTCCGGCCCAATCATGGCCATCTGGATAGCGGACTGCACTTGTGATCCCGTTGATTGTGGTCCGATCCCTCCGAGGACGGCCCCCTGTCCACGGCAAGAAACCAGCGTGACTTTTAGAAGTAAGGTTCTTTATATGTGGAATGGGGGTAATGACCAAACCACAGCGTGGGAGAGCAAGCAGGCTAAAGTCTGCAAACGCACCTCAGAAGCACAACTCATACAATAACAAGAACTTTTCAAGAAAAAAAAGGGAAAAGGAAAAAAAGAGTCCGTACAAGTACCAATAAAACCCAAGCGGCCCCCGAAACAAGGTAACCTCACTACTGACAGGAAGTATCAGATACTAATAGCAGCAGTCTATAATCCAGCATGAGTTGCGTAAGTGAGCTTAATTCTCTGCCACCGTGTTGAATAGACCTGAGATGTTGTGTTTCTCTAAGAAAAATAACGACCTCGAGCTGATATCGCCAAAACAACAATTCCCAAGAAATCCATACATAAAATGAGAATCCCATCATCAGGTGGTCAGTCAATATAGGAAGCCCAAACAAGAAGCCCAAAACAAAACAAAAATCCTAGAGCAGAGATGAGGGACCGAGAGATGAACATCCTGAGAAGAGAAGGGAGGGAGAAGGAGTAAATAACAAACAATGGGGGGCCAGATAGACAAACAACCTGGAGATTTTCATGTACTCGGTTTAGTTTGTCGTGGCCGAAACGAAACACAATAGCAGTGATGAACGTTAGCAGGACGATTCAATTCCTCTCTTTATATCCGTGAGTTGTCACAGGACCATCATCGTCAACGTATCATGTGAAACCATGAAGCTATCAAATCATCATTCGTCATTCTCACCATTAACCGCCATCATAATCATCACTATCATCACCATGATAATCACAACATCAACACCCTCACCATCAAGACATCATCACCTTCACCTTCACCATCACCATCACCATCCTCACATCCCAAAAGTCACACCAGATAAAAAGCCTGGACACAGAAAAACAAATGCGCTGTAAGCGACAAAAAAAAAAATGAATGACACGTTACTCTGCTCTAAAAGAGAACGTAAAGTAGGTAGGTAGGTAGAGGAGGTCATGACATGACATAAAAATGTAGTAGGTACCTAGGTAGTTAGGCCTGAGTGTGAGAGAGAGAGAGCACCACAATAGAATAAAACAAAAAAAAAAAGTTAAAAAACAACACAAAAAAGAGTTCAAACAACATAGACAGCCAAGTTTCAGAACCCAACTCCTTCTTTCCTTCTTTCCTTCTTTGCTCCTCTCTCTTTCTTTCCTTCTTTCGCTTTGATTGGTTGGCGTCCGTCCGTTTGGTTGATTGATCGCTTGGGTCATAATCCATCATCTCCTCCTATCCATCCCACCCGTGTATCCATTCATTGGCCCATTGCCCCATATGCTCGTCCGTTAGTACGTTTATCGGTCTGCTAAAATAATGGCCAGAATTTTGGCTATGATAAACCAACCCAGGCCGAAGCAGAACTTTGACAAGACAAACTAGACAGAACAATCCCACCTCTTTCTTTCCCTCATCCGACCTCAACCACACATATGTTTCCATGCCCGCACGAGACCCGGCCAATCCTATCCATCCCACCCCATACCAGTATCCATCAAACCATCGCAGTGTCCCATTCGATTCCCCCTTTTTATCGTGTTTTTTGCTCAACATTGGTCGGTTCGTCCGCAATAACGGCCTTACCGCTTCCGGACTTCATTGGCCCACCCTTCTATACCCTCACCCCGGCTGCCCACCTCCACCTTCTCAATCTTCACGCCCTTCATCCCCGGCGTGTCCTCCAGCCAGCCGTGACCCGCCATGCCGCCGGCATTGGCCCGCTTCTCCGGCATGAGCTCGAGCATGGGGGTCAAAAAGTCGGCGATGCGACGGCCTTCATCCTCCTTAAAGTGATACTTCTCCCGGAGGACGTCAGGCAGTGCCCAGTGGCGCAGACGGTGGATGTTGCGCAGCTCCCCCTTACGGTTGAAGATCTCTTGCGACCATTTCCCTGTCATGCAGAGGGATTTTGGGAATGGGCCGAGAAGTTCGATGATTTGCGCGATGTGGTCGTCGTCTTTGCCATACTTCGTGCCAGACTGAGGGTCGAAGAGGTAGTCGCCCGTGATGAGCTCAAAGACCTGCGCAGGACCGTGTTAGCGATTGGAACTCTAAATAATAGAGAGAGAGAAAAACAGTAACGAAAGGCCAAAAAGAACATACCATGGCCGCCATGCTCCAAACATCTGTACTCGCCCCCCACTTAGCCCCGAGAATAACCTCCGGCGACCGGTACTGGCGCGTCTGGATATCGTTGGTGAAATGGTGGTTAACCCAGCACGCATTGCCGAGATCCGCAATCTTGACGCTGATGATGTCAAACGCCTGCATATCGTCGGCCTTGCGCTTCTCGCCCGTTGTCGAGGTCGGTGTCGCAGTCTTGTCGAGAGAAATACCGGAAACTTCCCTAGTAAGGATATCGGCTGTTTTTTCCCGCTGCTTTTGGTTATCCTCTGTGTTCTCCGCGTCCTGCTTAGGTGACGTGTCTTTTGGTTTGTTCCCTGCCGCAGGTTTTGTTAGCGAATGGGATGTCACAAGAAAGTTACTCGCCGTGAGGACGTCGCTTACCCTCCTGCAGCATCTGGCCCAAGCTTTGGGCACCTGGGGATGGGAACAGGTTGCTGGCGTTGAAGCTTGCATTTAACGGTGACGGGAGGGGCTGGCTGCCTGTGATAAGGGTCCTCCTCCTCCGGCGACCATTCCGATTGTTCTCCTTGTCGTTGGTTTCGCTCTTGACGACCCGCTTCACGATCTGCTCGACATCGCCAATCTCTATGAGGACGTTCTCGGGCTTGAGATCGGTGTGAATGATGCCGCACTCCCGATGCAGGTAATCCAGCCCCAACAACACCTGTTTCGTGATTTGCTTGACCAGAGGCATCGGGATACCTCGGTGATTCCACTTCTTGATCAATCCCAACAGGTTCTCCCCCAATACCTCAAAGACCATGCAGACATGGGTGCCGTTGGGGCCCTTATGCTCAAATGAATCCAGCAAGCTGACGACATGTTTGCGGCCGGGGTGATTCGGGTTCGCCTGGACGATCTTGTTGAGCAGTTTGATCTCGTCGATGGCGGTTTCGGTGTAATGGGCGGCGGAGCGGACGACCTTCAGTGCGACGTGTTTCCCCGTGTTATTGTCTCTTGACAGCCACACGGTCGAAAAGTGGCCCCAACCGAGTTTCCGTACGACGGTGTACTTCCCGTCCTTGAACTTCTCCCCGATTGTGACTGGGTGGTACCCTCCTTTGCAGTAGTCTTCCGAGTCTTCCTCATCGGCGGTGTTTTCGGCAGGGTCCTCGGGGGAGGATGGGGAAGTTGGTGAGTGTGTCATGGTCGAACCGAGGTGGGTGGCTCTGCAAAAAGAGAAGAGTGTGAGTAAATTATTCAATCATTTTTTTCCTGCTTGATTTGAAAGTTTCATTGCGATAGTTATGGGATAGGTAGGCAAGCACGCAAGCAGGCCGCTCGATTTCCGGGCGACACTGTCCTCATGAGCAAAGAGCCGACTGTGGCGGGGGTTTGATCGGGCTGCTGCATCTTTGCGCACAGTGTGCCGAACTTTCGGCGGCCCGAAACCCAGGCAACGGCGGGCGGGGAGGACAAGCGGATGCAGGGCTGTGTGGCTGGGGCAGAGCAAGCAAGAGCGGGGAGGACCTTGACTTGAACATTGTCTTCATCCTTGGACTGCTTGCCCAGGGGCTGCGCAGCGGCGGCGGCGGTAGTGATAGTGGGAGTGGTGGCGGTGGTGGTAGTGGGGGTCAATAAATACCAGGTGAAGGTGAGAAAGTGGTGGTTGGAAATGGTGGAGGTTATTGACGACTGCTCAGTGGCAAGCTTGAAATGTTCAAGGTTGTAACAGGGCCCTGGTGCGCTGCGGGCGGGAAGAGTCGGGAAGCAAGGGGGAAGAGAGGGGAAGATTGACTGGGCGGCCTGAAAGGCTCACTCTCCAAAGGACATGGGAGGGGGGAAGAATGCGAAAAGACAAAAAGCGAGCCTGGAAATGCGCCCTCAGCACCAGCTTGCTTGGCTCACTCGAGCCACTGAAGTTGCCAGCCACGGGACACACAACCCACAGCCAAAACAGCCAAAATCTGTGCGCCTCAGGACTGGTCTTGACCGGCCAAGCCAGGTCCAGGTTCAAGATCTTGTTTTCCCCCATTGAGCCTAGGATTTTCCACACACCCATGCTTCGCACGCAGCGTGATGCGACGGCGTGAGCGCATGGGCAAGGAGAATGTGGGCTTTTCCCCTCCATCCGCTTAGGGGAATCGTGGGTCCTGCCTGTCGCACCCCGCCACCTTGCTGAAGACATGCGCTGCGCTGCGCAATGCGTTTTCAACCAGGCCGAAACAGCCCAATCGCACGAATCCAGCACGCGCAACCAAGGAGCGGCTGGCAGACGTGCAGCTTCGAGAAACACAGGCAGGGGAAAGAACCTGGGAAAGGAGACAGAGAGAGGGAAGGGAGAAAGAAATAAGAGGGAAAAAATTGGAGAAATCAGATATGCCCGGATGCTGATTCCTTGCAGCAACGAAAAGAGAAGAACGAACGAAAGTACATACCCAGGGCCGTCTTTGGTGATGATCGGTTTGAGCCCGTCCTTCTTCCTCTTCTTATTTATTGCCGCGCTGCTTCCGTTAGAAGGGGCTGGCGATGCTGGTGCGCCTTGCGGCAACTTCTGCGCTGTCTCGTCCTTTGTGTGTTGCGCTCCGTTCATGGCGAAGGAAAGCAGCGAGAGAAATAAATCGGCAGCCAAGGTCACGGAAAAAAAGACCGATCGGGAGACGGGAGCTCGTGCGCACGCACTGCCTGCCGACTTGTTCGAGAAGGATATCGATGGGGTCGGTGGAGAAGGGGCAATCGGTCGGATGATAGAGGGGCTCCGTCGACGTCAGAGCAGCGCAAAAAGAGGGAAGAGAAATTAGCTAGGACCTGTCCCGATGATTTTGTCAGTCAGCCTGTCGCTTTTTTCTCTTTTCCATTTCCTTTCTCGCCCCAAACACCCGGCCACGTCGGATTCTAATATGCCACACGGCCTAGCTCGATACCGAAGGAACGGGCAGGTGGGGAGCTTGGTGGCTAAGTTCCAGATTACGACGGCGTGATGCTCGCGCTTCCACCAGAGCGACCTCCCCGGGACGCCCAGCCCCACGACGATGCGGGATCAAGTCGCTCGTGTGCCAAAACCATTGAGCCTAAGGCGGGAAGCTGAGTGGCTGGGATTCTTCTCGACCGCTTCATCAACAATCCGGAGGGTCTAGAAGCCGCACAGGAACGAAAGAAGCCGGAGTTGGAATGGGTGATCCGGCCGGGCACCCGCAATCGATCCCCAGATCTGCTGTTACAAGCGTTCGAAGGAATGGACGTTCGATGAGCGTGGCTCGCTGGTATGATTGTCGCAGTCGACGAGGCCTCTTTGGGTCGGGGCAACAGGCCTGGCCTGGATGCTGGGCGGGTCTCGGCGGGGAGGTATGGACGAGGGGTGAAGCACGGAAAGGAAATGCAACACTCGCGGCGGATCCTATCATCACAGCATTGTCTGCTTACCTGGATGAGGAGGTGGTCGTTGTTGCGGAGCAATGGTTGTTGCGATGGTATCGTTGGAGATTGTTTTGAGGTTGCTAGGCGGGTGATTCTTGGTGTTGGCGTTTAGCTGGCCGAATCCGGGTCGGACGTCATAGACGGGAAAGGGACGGAATCGGTAGGTTGCGTTGCGTTGCGCGCGCGAGAAAAGCGGCGCGGCCTTGGAAGGTTGGTTGCGCAAGTTGCTGCAAGCGCTGCTGAGCGATATGCACCACAGGGGAGGGTTAGTTTTTTGTGTGTGCGACCACAACGGTTAACCAGCTAGTTAACGCTGTGTGCTGTGGTAGCTTTTGTTGTGGGGTGTTTTGCGAGGCCGTGAGATGCTTGCGACGGAACGAGGGCGGGGTTTCAACAGGGAGCAAAGGGGAAAAAGATGTCTGGGAGGAATGTCGCTATGGATGCTGCTGTTCCAGAGAAGAAAAAGAAAAAAAGAAGGGAACCGAGTGCCAGGCGCCCGGGCACAGTGAGGATGGATTCCGAGTCTGCGCTGACAGACTCCATCCACTCATCCATCCATCAGCGGCGGCAGGCGCAACCCATGATGCGACAGAGCGCACACAAGAGAGGATGGTGGGGCAGCGCCGGGCCGGGCAACTCGGGGGCTTGGCTCGAGTCTTGGCTCGAGCTTGGCTTGTTGCGATGTCGAGTTTCTTCAAGTTGGTAGGGGCACGGCCAATCCGGAGTCGTCCCGGGGTCTGAAACCCGCCATTTGCTACTGGGGGGTTTGCCGAGAACCAGTTGATCGAGCAACGTGATTGCAGCGGCTTCCGACCTCGTGCTTTCCCGCGGCGCAAATGATGCAATCCTGTCGCCAGCCCCTCGCTCTGCAGCCTAGAATATCTGCCTCGAGCCTCCCTTCGTATCTTTCTAGGCGTTGAAGAAGCGACGTCGTTGCCAGGGCACGGTGATATCGCAGTGACGGATCTCGAAGAGTGACGTTTGGCTCTGAGCATTTGCGACTGAGCGTTGCATGTTCTGCACCTGAGCGGCTTATCACGATGCGATATTCTTCAATTCCGCTGATATGCGCGAATTGAACGTCTCATCATCCATTCTCATCGATCCCTGCATCCGATGTATCAACTTCATCCGCATCAACAAACAAGTCAGCTCATCCGAAATCTATTCCACAAAACATGTCTGTACATAATAAATACACAAGAAAGTAAGTACTGCAGCTGCAGAATTGGACATCCGCCCCCCAAACCTCATCAACCTCATCAACATCTTAATACCTCAATACCTCCCCCTTCAACTCGACCCATCCATTTCCTAAGCCAACCCACACCGTTCCCGACACTCCCTAACATCAAAAAACGCCCCCCTCGGCACCTTCGCCCGAAACCTCTCCAGCTCCTCCTTCGTAACCGCCCCCTCCCCAAACGAATTCAGCACCCACTCATCCGGCGACTGATCCAGCGCCTGCGGCAGCACCAGCGCCGCGCCCGGATCATCCGATGAGAAAGCCGCGACGGCAAGGGCCGGAGTGCACTGGTTGTTGAACTGGGCGTGGAAGGAACCCTGGGGGAAGATGGTGGTTTGGTTGGCGTGGAGGGTGGTGTGGATGACGCGCGGGGTGACTGTGCCGTCATCACTGGGGGCAGTGAGGACGCCGCCTTCGGGGATCATTTCGGTGTCGATGGTGCCCGCGAGGACGACGAAGATCTCGGCGGAGCGGGGGTGGATGTGCAGGGAGGCCATGCTGCAGGCTGGTGGGCGGGAAGAAGGTAAGTTAGTGGCTTGGTCATAGTACCCCGATGAGTTACGGGGGAAAAGACGTACGGTCAATAGGGTTGACGGCCAGGGCGATGTTGGTGCCGACCAGCGCGGGGAAGGACTTCCGGTTGGCCATGGGGAGCGTGGCGGTGTTGAAGTCAAAGACAAAGTCGGAGTCCTTGGACAGGATATCGTAGCGGTCGACGGCGCTGGGGAGGTTAGTACGGGTAAGTTAGAGGGAGTGTTGACGAACATACGTGTCGGCGAGTTGCAGCTGGGCCGGGATGCTGAGGGCAGCCGCAGAGCCGGCCAGCCAGGCGGTGTTCAGGATGGTGTTGAGGAGCATTTTGTGCTATGAGTTCGAGTGATATTGGAATATGCAGAGGGAACTGACGGATACTCAGGTGAGTCTAACAGTTTGTTAACGTGTGTCGAACGATAATCAAGGTGAGTCTTTAATGAGTAGGCAGTTGGATCTGTAAATGTCGCTGGATTGTGAAAATATTGCATTCATTCTAGCGAAACCGACAACTTTATATCCCAATTTTTCAACATGAAAATTCTCAATGTGATGCTTTTGCCAAGCTGGTGATGTTGAATACGCTGTCAGCCGCGCTTATACGCGCTGCTCAGCCCTGTCGAGTCCACCTGAGTCCACTGGGAGTCCACTGTGCGTCCACCACAAGTGGCTTGTCTGCACGTCACAGCCTGACTGGTATGCGAAACGAGAAAATTCGACTTAAAACATTGGCAGCAATTGGATTATTCGCGAATGGAGTCGTCCACGATTGTTGACCACGTGGTGTCTAAGACCTGGTGAGTTGCGCACTGCCGAGCGAGATACGCTTTTTGCTGAAGTGCGGTGCAAGAGCGCGATTCTTCGATCAAATGCGGAGTGGTATTTGCCATTGAGAATGTCATTACTAAACACATGACTAAAATTGAAGATGAAAACTTTGTACGTGCGAATAGACGAATCTGTAGAAAGTTGCAAATGGGAACTTGCTGCTTTTTCTTTAATGTTATAATGCGTTGGTTATATTATTAATTAAGTAGTAACCAAATTGTAGTCCATGATTCCACATCATTGTTACCAAGCACGTGTTTGAGTCAAAAACTATTCAATCGCAACTCCGCTCGTATATCCGAGTCTGTACCTCCACCAACTTGCCCAAGCATTCGCTATTCGGCATTGAAGCCTCGCGCATCTCATGCGCGCTGCTGACTGATGGCTGCCATCACGCGATTGGAGCATATCGGAAGTAACAAACCCGGTTGACTCATCATAACGACGTTACGTTTGGAATCAGTCTACTCTGCAATATATGTAGTACGTACGAACTTCCTTCGCGTATTCATATAAATCGACAAAATATCGACGGGCAAAATATCAGCAGACACACTCGTTCCGCAATCGATTTCACACCCACCACCACCAATTCATCACTTCCTTGAATACCCAGTGTCACTCCACATTCCACCATGGCCGCCCAAACCCCAACCACCATGAAAGCCATCCAAATCCTCGGCCCCAAAACCTCCCCCGTCGTAACCGTCAACCCGGCCCACCCCCTTCCAGGCCCTCTCCTCAAAACCACTCACCACAACGAAAACAACAACCCCGACACCCAAGAAGACTCAAAAGACTCCATCACCAACACCCTCCTCATCCGCGTGCACGCAGCCGGCCTAACAGCCGACGAACTCTCCTGGCCCGAACTCTACGACAACCCGACCCGCATCCCCGGTTGCGAAATCTCCGGCGTCATCGCCTCCCTACCTTCTTCGTCTTCCGCTTCTTTCACCAATCCTCTCAATTTAAAGGTCAACGACCCCGTCTACGCCATGCTCCCGGCCACCCACGGCAGCGGCCAGGCTGAATACGTCCGCGCCCGGCCGGGAGATGTGGCGTTACTCCCGGGTACACGCGGACCTGGCCAAAGGTCGTTGATAACGCATGCTCAAGCTGCAGCGCTGCCGATACCGGTGCTGACGGCTTGGGAGGGGCTGTTCACCCATGCCGTGCCTTTGCTTGCTGGTTCTCTGCAACGCCGGCAGGCACTACAGATCGGTGAGAGGCACAAAGTCCGTGTCTTGGTTACCGGTGCCTCTGGCGCGGTAGGACGCATGGTCGTCCAGCTTGCTCGGCGCCGTCTGGCTGGTGCGCTGCAGGCTGCTCTGCATTCCAATCCCGGTTCTGCAGCTGGTGAAGGCAACACAGAAACAGAAATCGAAATCGAAATCCTCGCCCTCGCCTCCCCTCAACACCACCCCACCCTCCACCGCCTCGGCGCAACCCACACAATCGACTACCACAACCCCAACTGGCCGACCACCTCCCACGTCTCCCAGGGTCCCAACCCCAACATCGACCTCGTCTTCGACACAGCCAGCCCGCAAACCCTCACCCAATCCTGGCCGACCCTCCGCCCAGACGGCGTACTCCTCACCATCTCGGACCCCCCGCCCAAATGGGCGTTTGACAAGTCTGTTACCCCCGACGAAGTAGCGCCCGGCACAGGCAGGGAAGGGGTGAGGTATGTGTATTTCATCGTGTCGCCTAATGGGCCGGTGCTGGGAGAGGTAGCGGGGATGTTGGAGAGGGGAGAGTTGGAGGGGGTGCCGGTTGTTGAGTTTGGGGTGGATGAGGGGGTTGAGGCGTGGAGGTGGGCGGGGGAGAGAGGGAGGGGGGGAAAGGGGGTTGTTGTTTTTGCTTAAGGAATAAGGAGGATGCTTAAGGGGGGGCCTAAGGGGGACCCTAACCCTGGGTTGAACAAATCCTTAGTGAACACTGGAGACACGCTGGGATTGGACAACCCTAACCCTTACCTCTTTCCAAAACTGTGTGTATCCAATAATATGTCAATAGTTACCTCGACACTCTCCTCAACCAAATCTTCTTCCTAAGTTCTCCCAAACTCTTCCCTGCTTCCAGCTTGCCGTCTTAGCTCATCAGCGTACAGCCATCCCCCCCATCCCCCCCTCCAACAACGCAACCTCGACCTCGTTAAACCCCTTCCCCCTCGCCAAATCCCCCGGCGTACTCCCCTTCCCATTCCTTGCCCCCGTCCACGCCCCGGCCCGTACCAACTCCCGCACTGTCTCCACATCCCCCTCATACGCCGCCGAGTGCAGCGGCGTCCACCCCTGTCCCTCCGGCGAGTTCACATCCACCAGGCCATACCGTCCGCGGTCGAGTCCTAGTAAATATCGTACCGTGCCCACGGCGTCCTTGTCGTGTTCGCCTACTTTGCCCTTGCCGGCGCCCGCGGCTAGGTTGATGACCGTCCATCCGGTGCTGGTACGTTGAGTGACGGGGCCCCCGGCGAGGACGAGTGCTTCGACAATGGCGCGGAAGCCGCGTTCGGCCGCGCCGTGTAAGGGGGTGAACCCTTTGTCGTTGGCCACGCGCAGGTCCGCGCCCCGCCGCAACAGTTCCTGTACTGTACCTATCCACCCTTGGCGCGCGGCGATACCTAGGGCTGTCCACCCGGCTGCGTTCCGCGCGCTGTCCAGCAGCGCGGGACGTTGATCCAGCAGCAGGGAGACCACATCGGTGTGCCCGTTGCTCGCGGCGGACGTGAAAGGCGCCCAGCCGTCGGTGGCACGCGAGGTTGGGTCGGCACCGCGTCGCAGGAGCAGGGAGACGACGGCAGCGTGACCGTTGACGCAGGCGGAGTGCAGCGGTGTGAAGCCGGAGGGAATCCGGGTGGCCACGGTGGCGGAGTGGTTGAGGAGGAGTTGGACGACGCTGAGGTGGCCTTTGGAGGCTGCGGCGTGAAGGGGCGTGGACTTGGCATTGTTGGTGTGGTTGATGTTGATGGGGGCGTAGGCGGTGCGGGTGGTCAGCAGGCAGGATACAATGTCGGCGTGGCCGTTCGACGCGGCCGAGTTGAGCGCGATATCGCCGTCGTTGTCGATAGCGTTCGGATTCGCGCCGTGGGCGAGCAGAATTGGGATGATCGCGGTGTGCCCCTCGTGGGCAGCAGCCTCGAGTGCGGTGCGCCCGAACTTGGTGCGGGCGTGGATGTCAGCGCGCGGGTTGTTCGAGGGGGCCAGCAGCGCGCGGACGACGCCGATGTGGCCCTTGAAGGCAGCCGCTGCGAGGGGCGTCCAGCCGTTGTTGGTGGGCGTGTTGATCAGGTCCGGACGGTACTGCAGCAGCAGGGCCACGGCATCCGGATGGTCGCCTGAATTGGCCGCCGTATACAGCGGCGTCTCGCCGTCGTTGTCGGTCTGAGACGCGACCGCGCCATGCTGCAACAGCAACCGCAACACCTCAACGTGACCCTCCTGGGCCGTCGACCCCAGCGGCGACCGACCCGTCGTTGACCGCGTGTGCACGCTGGCTCCACGCGAGAGCAGCAGCGACACCGTCGCGGGGTGCCCGTTGAACGCGGCCACATGCAGGGCGGTCCATTTATTCTCGTTCATCGCGTGCAGGTCCGCGCCAAAGTCCAGCAGCACCCTCACGGCATCGACGTGGTTCTCCCACGCAGCCCCGTACAGCGGTGTATGTCCCGAATTGCAGGGCACATTCAACATCCGTGTATTTCCCCAGGGCCCTTGAAGCAGTGCCCGGACGATCTCGGCGTACCCGTTCGACGCGGCCGTCCGTACCGGCGACACTCCCTTCTCGGTCCGGATCCCCTGATCGGCCCCCTGGTGCAGAAGATACTGCACGACGTCAAGGTGGCCCTGGCTCGCGGCGACACACAGTGGCGTCCAGTCGTCGCCGTACGTGCGGTCATCCTTGTCGACCCCCCACTCCACCAGCATCTTGACCGTCTCGAGGTGCCCGTGCTTGGCTGCGCCATAGATGGGCGTCTGCTTGTCGACACTCGCCTGATTCGGGTCGGCGCCGTACCGCAGCAGCAGCCGCACCGCCGCGGGGGATCCCCAGATGGCTGCCCCGTTAAGCGGCGTGAACCCGACGTTGTTGCTCGACTTGTAGTCGGCCCCGTGCTGGATCAGGTACTCGAGGATGTCGACGTGGCCCACGCACGCTGCCGAGTGTGTCGGGTGCTGCCCGTGCTCGCCAGTGACGTGTAAGCCCGGAGCTCCGCTTTCGACCAGCCGCTTGATCTCGTCGAACCGGCCCTCGCGCGCCGCAATGTGATATGCTGTCGGGGGTGGGCAGTCGTCATCGTCGTCATCGTCGTCGTCGTAGTCGTTTGCGTTATACTCCTCTTCCGAATCTTCCTGCGGGATGAAGTTGCCGAGCACGGCCATCATGCCGGTGGCTTGGGCGTACGATGGTGGGGGAGCCGAGCCGTGGCCATCCTCTTCTTGTATCCAGGTCTGCGCTGGGTCAGTAGGGGCAGGTGGAGCAACAACAGGGGCAACCGCAGGGGCAACAGCAGGCGTAACAGCAGGCGCAGGGGCAGATGCCGGTGCGGTAGACCGGGGAGGTGAAGCAGGCACATCGGGCACGACAGAGAAGTCAGGCAACCCAAAGTCAGGCAGCGCCGAGTACGACATGGTGTACTCGGCCGAAGCAGCAGACGAAGCAGCAGACGGAGCTGCCGGAGGAGCCGGAGCAGGCGGAGGAGCCGGAGGAAACGCAGAGTGGGACATGGTGTACCCGCTGCCTTGTGCTTGAGCTGGCGCTGCCTGGCCCCCTGACGGTTGCTGTGAAGACGTTTGTTGTCCGCTGTACGACTGATATCCACCGGTTTGTGACTGCGACGGTGCCTGATATCCGCTCGAAGGCCATGGCTGGGGAGAAGGCGGAGGCCGTAGTGAGGGTGCCGGGTGAGGAGAGTGTGATGTCGGTGGGTGCGGTTGCTGAGGTCCGAGGTATGGCTGTTGGCCATACGGCTGTGTAGGCTGTGGAGGTTGTGCAGGCTGCGGGTGATACTGTTGAGGTTGCCCTTGATGCGGTGGAGGCTGCCCGTAATGTTGCTGTGGGTGCGGCTGCGGTTGCTGCCAGTGACCTTGCTGCTGACCGCCATAGGGAGCCCCGTACTGCTGGGGGGGTACCGGTGCAGGAGCGGGATTGCTCGCCATAAACGAGTGAAACCCCTGCGCCGCTCCGATCAAGCTCCCCAGCGTCAGATTCAACTGCTTGCCCTCCTCTTCCTCGGCCGTGCCCACCCACTCCTCGTTCCGCAACGATGCCTGTGCAGCTGTTAAACTCTGGATCTCCGCATTCAGCGCGGCCAGCGAGGCATTCGGCGCCCCCGTACACCTATACCCAAGGTCAGGTCAGTAACCCGGGCCAACCCCTATCCAGAGACCCCTGATCCTCAGAAAAGCAACTTACATCTGCATCATGACCAACCCCACCCTCAACCCCCCGTCTTGCACCAGCAACCGCCCGCGATACACCGCCAGCGTGCGAATCCGCATCCCCAGCTTCCACGCCGACTTATTCACTCCGAAAAAGCTACTCCGCGTCACACTCTCCACCACAGGGTCCAACTGCCCTTTGAGCCCGCGAAAAGTCACCCCCACGCTCGCCAGGTGCTGCTGCATGGCCGGCCACATGCCGAACCCGGCCGCGCGGTGCGTCATGAGCGTCGGGCCGTTGGCGTTCCAGACGGCGTGCATGCCGTGGAGCGTGGGGAGCAGGAGCTGGCGGACATCGTGGATGAGGCTGGAGAGGACGGCGTCTTGGTCGGGGACGGCTGCGTTGAGGATGGCAGAGGCCGCGTGGACGGTCTTGGACGAGTGAGTATTAGAGTGACTTAAATCTTAAAATGATGTGAGTTTGGAGTGAGTTGCCATACCTCATCGCAGGCAGCTTTGAGGCCCCCGCAGTGCGCTCCGATCGAGAGGGGATCCATCGTTGGTGTTTCTTATCCCGTTTTCCTTCAAAATTTCACCCTGTCCCAAGTATCGCGGAAAACCAAACTACCGATATTCGATTCCCTCGCACAGGACCACGCTCCCTTGGCAAAGTCAAATCCCGACATTTAGGCGGCATCGCGTCGGTTTTGGGTATTTCTGCCCATTTGTATCACGTGATGGTTGCTCCTTTCCCGTCTCAGGAGGTCGTTCAGCTCGTTGGCTGTGCAGCGCGGTTTGGACGACATCGACCCGTCTGAAATAAGTTGTCGTTGCGAACGGGGGTGGGGTAATTGGAGGGATAAACCCCGCCTGAGATCCTGTATCCTCTGTAGCTCGACGCGGTTCGTCGAGATTTTGGTTGCATTGAGCGAGTTGAGTCGTAACGTTCGTGTACATTTGTACATACCTCGACTAACGATGTCCGAGTAAGTGAGCAGCAATGCATCGAGAGACCTGACGTTTTGCTCTGGATCGGGGACCCCCCGCAGTTTATCCACAGCGTTTGAGACACCTGCGCAAGATTCCTTAAGTCATGCTTGCGAGGGTTGTTCATTCGTACCCATGTCCTTTCCAGTGGACTCTGGATCTGTAACAGCGAAAAAGGCAAGATCGGACCACAGCTACGCGCTGGCCAATGGAACACACAGGACATTAAGAATTAAGCGAACTTAAACCCGTGACAAGGAACAAAGGGGGGATGGTATACACGAGTGTAGTGTAGTGTAGTGTAAATGGCTTTGCATTTCTTTAACGTTAACCGACAGAAGCGAGAGATCAACGCGGTAAAAAATGAGACATGCAGAGAGCAAAAACCGAAAGCGCAGGTGACGCTAAAAGTTCGAAGGGGAGGCGCCTTCCTAAAATCGCATCTAGAGTCGCAACAGCCCGTGAAATCAGCTCTGCCCCAACAGCCCGGTTTCCAGGTTCTGAAGGCCGGTGTGCGTTACAACCCTCTCTGATTGGCTGGCGTTTCCCGATGAAGCCCGGACTGAGATCCGGGGTCCTGCCTGTCATTTTGGTGCTATGCTACAGAACCAGGGGTCTTTGACACCACCGTTGTGCTGCCATGAGGCCCCCCCGAGGTCCGCCCCCATTCAGCGTTGCAGCCGAGAATGAAAGCCGAGTTCCGTATTCGGGGAAGCTCACTTTTAGGTCAGCTCGAGGTCAGCCCCAAGTCAGCGCCCCGCCGATTCGATTTCGTGACGAAGGAGAGTACCCCGGCCTGAAATTGACAAGTTTGCGAACACCGACCATCGATTATCTCCGCTGCGTTTCGACCTCGAGTCGGGAACTGCGCTCGTGGGTGGGTGTTCTGCACTTGTTGGGCCTGTCGCGCCCTGGCTGCCCAGCTCCGTCCCTTGCCCGGGTCCATATCCCGCTGTGGGGAAAGCAATGAAACCTGCTCCCGATCACCCAAGCTCGACCAGATCCTCATTCCGATCCCCGATTTTTATTATCCATTTCTTTCCCTTTTTGAGCCAAGGTGCGTGACGAGTGACGAGAGACCCTTCCCGGCCCGAACGGGGCAGGCGAACGAACGGGGTGGGGGTGGTTTAACTGCTGTTGTGATCACCCCTTTAAATCCGGCGTTCCCGTTGTCCGTCGCGCGCCCAGCTCCGAGACATGGCGCGGCCTTCTAACTAGTTATTGTTCGCTTGCTCTCTGCGTTCGTTGAGAAAACCAGTTGTCAAGGAACTGTCAAGGGATGGCGAGTTGACACGGCGACAGCAGCAGTACACTTTGACCGTTCCTGACCGTTCCCCGGCCGCAAGTCAATGAACGATGAGCACAAGCCAGTAATGACTCGGGACGACTTTCTAACCCCTCAGCCCCCTTTTTGATCTGGGCCGCCTATAGGTAAGCCATGACTATGACCGTGATTATGATTATGACTGTGAACGCCACTGCGCGCGCGACCACGACCGCTACCATGGCGGTCGTCTACCTCGCCCTCGCGACCAACCCCACCGGCGTGACCATGCTCTCCGTGCTGTGGTCGCTGCTCACGCTGTCGGCCGCGTTTGTGGGTTTGCGCATCTACAGCAAGCTCAAGCGCAACCGCATGCTGTGGTGGGACGACTATGTCATTATCTGTTCTTGGGTGTGTATTCCATGCTCCTTTTCGTTCCTCCCGGTCTATTAGTCACTCATCTGACTCGACTCGGAGTAGATCTTCCTCCTCATCAGCTGCTCCTGCACCACCTACAACACCCGCCTCGGCTTCGGGAGACCGGCCGCCCAGGTCCCCTTCGACAACTACCTCCGCACCGGCATCACCAGCAACCTCTCCGGGTCGACTTCTGTAGCCGCCGTCGCCTGGAGCAAGACCTCCTTTGGCTTGACCCTGTTGCGTCTCGTCAATGATCGGCGAATCTTGCGGGCTTTATTGATTGGGATGTTGATCGTGGTGATTGTCACCCACCACTGCAGCGTTATGTTTTTCTGGTTCTCGTGCGATCCGCCGGAAAAAACGTGGGACCCGCGCGTCGAGGGCACGTGCTGGTCGCCGTCGAAGTTTGTGACGTATTCAATATGTGTAGCGGGTATGTGTTTTTCTTTGCTTTGCTTGCAGCCCAGAAACTCATGCAGCTGTTTTTTACTTAGCCTGTTCCGCCGTATGCGATTTCACACTGGCACTGGTCCCGTGGGTGGTGCTGCTGCGGTTCAACATGTACAACGGGGAAAAGATTGGCGTGGCCATTGCCATGAGTATGGGTGTTTTGTATGTCGACCTCGGCCCTTTGCCCTTTTAACCAGTGCCCGGGACTAACATGACCGACTGTTCCAGCACGGGTATCGCTTGTATCATCAAAATCACCACCTTTTCCGTATTCTTCAGTGACGACTTTAGCCGTGGGTTATCTCCCCGTTTCTTCCACTACCCCTTAACCCCCCTCTCCAACAGCCCAGCTAACCTGTCGTGTTTATTATCCACCAGGAGACTGCCTGGGTCTCATCGTCTGGAGTTTTATGGAACCCTCCGTTACCATCATGGCCGCCTCCATCCCCTTCATGCGCCATCTCTTCAAGTCGCTCAGTCGAAGCACGTGTGGACAAAGCCACGACCTTGAAAACGACGGCAGTAACAACAACAGCAACAGCACCACCACCAACACCAACACAACCAACAGGACCACAAACACAGCGGCCAGTCATACGATCCGCCACAGTCCGAGTGCAGCCGACTTGGAGAATATTTATCGCGCCCCTAACATTCGCACCCGACTACCGCTTCCAAGGCCATCGTTATCAATATCATCGGGGGAAAGTGACATGTTTGGGAATGAGGGCTGGAGAGGAAGGATAGCGCGTTTGATACCCATACTAAGGAAGAAGAGGAGGAACCCACCGTTCGGCGGAGATATGCTTAGCGACGGGAGAGGAAATGCACCGAACCAAGACAAAGAAGAGGCAGAGAAAGAAGACCGCAAGGCAGAGATGAGGAGACACTGGGGCCAACTTTATGGGGGGTTGCAAGGGCCATCGGGAGAAAAGTGAAGGAAACAATACGGGACGTTTAAGGCGCATTCATGATTGGGTAGAGCATGGGAATGGGAATGCATTTTTGCGGCATATGAAGGATTACACGCATGGGTCTTGGGAACTTTGTAAGCACGGCATTTGGGCGATATGTTGGTTTTGATTGGGTATAATACCATACACAGCATCTCCTTGTACATCAAGCAGCTCCAAGCTCATGCTAAAATAGAAGCACAAACGGTCATCTCGACCGTTTCACTGATGTCCCATGTTCCCCTCAGCCGCACATAACAAACGCTTCGTCTCTCATCTCACGGTCTAGTCTCACTCTCATCACGCATTATCATCCCACGTCACAGCCCGATCCCGCGCCCACGTCCGAATATCTTCAAAGTTCCGGCATGTGTGCAGCGTCGAAAAGTCCGGCCACGGGTCATTGTCGCCCAGCTCCGGGTACACCTTGAAGGTGAACACGCCAATATCCGCCTGACACATCAGGGTCATCCGCAGCGTTTCCAGGCAGTGGTCTAGCCGCCGTTAGTAAATTTCCCTTCAAAGAACAGGACAACAATATTGGGTTAAACAATACTGGGTTAAAGAGGGAAGCAAACAAGAATACATACCAACATGCCCCCTGATATCCGCCACAGGCGCGTCAATATCGCCCCCCGTATGGGAGTAGTGCTCCTTCCAGGTAAACTGCCGCAGCAGGTTAAGACAGTGCAGCTGATGGAAGACTTCAATGGCCGCGCGGTAGCCCTCGCGGCCGGTCTTGGGGTCAGTGATCTTTAGGGAGTCGGCGGAGAGGCCTAGGCGTTCGACTTCTTCGTGGGATATCATCATGTCGCCGACTGTGGGGTTTTGTGTCAGACTTGGTTCTGTCAGATAGGGAGAGGGGGAGGGGAGGGGGGGCTTACCTCTGGAGATTTTCTCCCACTCGTCGTCGACTTCTGGCCCCTTGCCGACATAGGGTGACCATTCCATCACGGGTGTCAGGTTGTACCGGACTGTATCATACTTCACAACAGGTGCTGCGGGTGCTGAGGGTCACACATAGCCCGTTAATAACACGCGGTCTTTCCATCTTGGAAGGACTCAAAACTTACAATAGGTGGAATACTCCGTCGTGACAGTAAGGTTGGACGGCCGCGCATTGTGTAAGCAGAACGCGAGCGTAAAGAGGGTGATGGAGATCGAGAGCGACGCGACGTGGGCGATCCAGATCCAGTGAGGTTCTATCCTCCGACCGTTTTCTGTCTGGAAGAACAGCCTTAGGCTGGAATCGCTAGACCGACGCTTCCAAGGCTCGGACTCGATTTGCTTCTCCTCCTCGAGGAGAGGTATCGGTGTGTAGTCGTCACTTGGCATGGTGGACGGTGAGAATTATTAGTTAATAGAGGTAAGAGGATTAGTGGACCATTAGCGGGTGGTGATGAAGCTGGAATAAAGGAACAACGAAAAGAACGTAAATGTCCCAAGTGCCAGCACACGGACAAGCAGCTACTATCCTGTCTAAGGCGTTCACTGTCGACAAAATCCAAGATTATCCAGAGACAGAAGCAAGTGGACGCGAAAGCGAAAGGCCAAGCGAGCTTCCATGGGAAAATCGACGATTTACACGTCGATTATGCAGAAAATCAAAGCCTCCCGCTGCCTGTCGGAAAGCTTGACTAGGAGGCCAACCTGGTCACGACCGTCTGGGGCATGCGCTGAGGCACAGTTCAAGTTTCACCCTGCCAACGCTGGGGTCTGGCGCTTGAAAGAGACAATGAGGGTCCGAGCTCGCGACATGAGATGAGACGACAGCTTCGGCCGGGGCAAGTTGCTTTCTGTTCTCGAAAGGCAATTTGGCGATTTGGAGGTGAATGTTCTCGACAATGGGGCGTTGCACTCTGTGTTTCGTCTTGGCGCAGGTCGTGATGTGTAACGGCAGGGGTCTCCAATAAGTGAGACTGTGGTGTTCGGGAATGCCAAGCGAGCTTCAAACTCGGGGATCTGGCCCAGGAACCGGCCGGGATTGTTGAGGGTAAAACTGGGGATGACCGGGGTCTGATTGGTGGCCCTGGATCGTTGAACTGGGGGTGCTGTAACAGGGGCACCACACCGCACCAGCGTTTGAAGACTTGGCAGCCCGCCAAAACGGGCAACAACGGGTAAAAAAGGCCATCAACCAGAGACCAGCTTGAGGCCAAGGCGGCCTGGACGTCGTTCATGATCGTCCCCCCTTGGCACGCACTCGAACCAAGAATTCGACATTGACATCACCTCCACAGCCCACTCTAGCCACCATGTTGACATTGTCTTTCTCCCAAACGGCCCGTATAGCCTGGCCTGACGGTTGACCCAGGCCAATGCACCGGACACTGCGGACCATGCCGTCCACTTCGGGCACCCACTGCAGGACCAATACTAGGTAACAAGGGAATCGTCTCTTCTTCGTTTCCCCCTAGCAAAGTTCGAACCATATCCCCGTGGTTCTCCCCCAACCCAAAACACCAAGGACCCCATGTCGCCCATCAGCCTGACACCTGGAAGATTTCATCTCAAGTTTTCCCCCAGTTTTTCTTCTTTCGTCCATCGGCAGCCAACCGAGCAGGCCTACTACGGGTGACCCAGCCGCCTCGACCCATACGCCCCCCCAGCCGACTCCAGAGCGCGCGCATCATGAAGCGATGCCACAACCTCCTGACTCGTTTCTGACCGTCTTAACTCTTCCACATAGGAGAGCTTACCTCTTTTCTCCCCTGTTGCTTCGCCACGGGCCCGGGCCGTGATTGGATTGTAGATGTTTGGGGAGAATGATGGGCAAAGACGAAAAAGTCCCCTTTTCCCTATTGGAGACGTCAGATCTCGTACATCTCTAGAAAAGAAGGGGGTTGTGAACCCTCCACATCACAGATACAAATACTCGAGGTCTCGGCGTTGCGGAGTCTTGTTATCTGTCTCTTCCCATCCTCATTCTCTCAACTTCTTATCTCAGAGCCGCTTGAAGCCCCGGTGCCTTCAGGTCACTTCGGTTCATTCTTTCCTTCGTTGATCTGAATATTTGTCACCCGCTGCTGGCCGGCGTTTTTTCACTTTCGATCACTCGTTGAGTTTTCTCTTATATCAACACCGCCAAGATGCATGCCACTTTTGGACAGTTCCTTGTCGCGAGCGTGATCGCCACCTCGGCGGTCTCGGCGTTCAGCTTCGCTCCCACTGGCACCGAGGTTGCCCGGCTGGCGGTATGTTGAATTCGAGATCGGAGCTGGGGTTTGGGAAATCATGGGGCTGACCGAGGTTGTGTGTTAGGTTCCCGTCTTGGCCTTGGCTGTGCCTGCCTATGGTCTTGTAAGTCTACCGTTTCGTCAATACCCCTGTTATAGGCTGGTTGTCTGTCATAGTAGTCACGCTAATACCATCCACAGCCCCATCACCAGGGCGGTCAGAACAAGAACGGCAATGGCCGGAACAACAACAACCGCCGCGATGAGGAGGAGCTTGAGACCCGCGAACCCCATCACCAGGGTGGCCAGAACAAGAACCAGGGCAACGGCCGGAATGGTAACAACAACCGCCGAGACTCTGAGGTAGAGACCCGTGAGCCGCATCACCAGGGCGGTCAGAACAAGAACGGTCAAGGCAATGGCCGCAACAACAACAACCGCCGTGATGAAGAGGAGCTCGAGACTCGCGAGCCTCACCATCAGGGAGGCCAGAACAAGAACGGCAATGGCCGAAACAACAACAACCGTCGTGACTCTGAGGACGAGCTGGAGACCCGCGAGCCTCATCACCAAGGTGGTCAGAACAAGAATGGCAATGGCCGGAACAACAACAACCGCCGCGATTCTGAGGAGATTGAGACTCGCGAGCCTCACCACCAGGGTGGTCAGAACAAGAACGGCAACGGACGTAACAACAACAACCGTCGTGACTCTGAAGACGAGCTCGAGACTCGTGAGCCGCATCACCAAGGTGGTCAGAACAAGAATGGTAACGGCCGCAACAACAACAACCGCCGCGATGAGGAAGAGCTCGAGACCCGTGAACCTCACCATCAGGGTGGTCAAAACAACGCCGGCCAAGGCAATGGCCGCAACAAGAACAACAACCGCCGTGATACCGAGGACTTGGAGACCCGCGAACCTCACCACCAGGGCGGTCAGAACAAGAATGGCAACGGCCGCAACAACAACAACCGTCGCGATGAGGAAGAGCTTGAGACGCGTAAGCCCCACCACCAGGGCGGCCAAAACAAGAACGGTAACGGCAACGGCCGGAACAACAACTAAGAGCCCCGTCAAGATGGCTGAGTCAGCTGACGAAACGGGTGTTTGGTATCTCTATTAAAAGGGGTAAAGTGGGATGGTAGATATGAAACGGGATATGTGAATGAATGGATGGATGTTGTATATATCACCCCCTCAACACAAAGTACAGTATTTAGCTAGGCGAGCTCACAGACTGGCGGAGACTTGCTCTGAGAGTCGAAGTCACGGTACGGGCTCAGTTGGCTAGGGTATGATTTCCTTATCTGGTAATTCAATTGGTTGCGCACTCTAATTAGCATCGTCTTTTCTATCTTTTCTCTATGTATTCGGGTTGAATTGAACATCATAATTAAGAGCGGCTCTGGAAGTGATTTTACGGGAAGTATGAAACAAGGGGAATTGTGTAATTATGTAATTAAGATGCTTAGAATCCGCATTCAAATTCCAAACTGCTCTCAAACTCGGGGTGTCTCGAAAGAACAACGTGGGAACAACGAAACAACAACTTTGACGCTAGCAATTGCTCTCCAAAGCCACCACCGTGCGTGCTGGTGTAACTTGTGGGACACTCGGAAGTTTGTGGCCGGGCCTAATAATTAACCCCTAAGCTATGTACTCAGTGAGCACGGATAAGTTATACCGTGGTTGAATTAATCCCGACACCATAAAATTGATGGTTGACAGAGGCTCTGGCCCCAAGCATGTTTCACTCGATGGCTAATTAATCTAAGAGTTGACTTTTTTCACAAACTCTTTCGAATAGCTGGCGTTGGGCACTAATCAAGACTTGTCTGACTGTCCAGCGCTAACCCTCATTGAAACAAAAGAAAAAAAACGTTCAACTCAGAACGTAGTCATCATGTAAGATACCTCCACGCCATGCAAAGGACTCATGATTTGAGTGAGTGGAAACGAGTTTCGTAGTTGGCCCCAATGGCAAGTGTGGAATAGTCACCATAGGTTGGTAGAAGGCCACGGACGACGGGAATGATGTTATGAACTTGCGTATTAATTATTTATAACCTTTCCGCCCGAGTAACCGAACCCCTATTTTTGATAATCACATAGAAGAATCGTTCACCCGACTACCCACCCTAGATACACCTCAAAATCCACACACCGCTAGACAAAGTAAAGGGTATCCCAAAATGTAACACCAGAACCGGAACCAGAACCAGACCAACCCGACCAACCCGACCAACCCGACCAGCCCAAGAAAACAAACCAGACCCACCCTACAAAACATATCAAACCTCCTCCTTGTCCCTCGTATACTGATGCTGCGGATGCAACCGATGCGTCCTCTGCGGCCTTTGCATCCCATTCTCACCCACCGCCTCCAAGTTTCTCCCCCTTAACTCCCCCATCTCCACCAAATTCGTCTCATCATCGTCATCATACTGCACGGCAAACGTCTGATGCCGAATGATCCCCGTCCCCGTAGCGCCCTTGGACGCGGTCATCGAATCAATGCTGCCGCTGCTCCCAGGCGTCCTGGTCGTGAGGTCATCGTCGTGCCCGACATAGGTGTCATCACCCCCGAAGGTTGTGGTCGCGACGTTGCCTAGGGGCAAACCCTTGTGGCTAAGCATTGACCTGTCGTTCGTGTCCAGGCCGCTACCGCCCAGTTTGCCGGATCTGCCGCTCATGCCGGCACCACCAGCACCACTAGCGCCGCCGGATCGGCCGCCGTGGGGACCACCACCACCAATGCTTGGGTAGTACCCGCGGCCGCGGTTGGCATAGCTGCTGCCGCCGCCGAGACGGGGGAAGTAGCGGACGAGCATGAGGCGTAAGGTGGGCATGCAGGTGCACATGATGCCGACGTTGATTTCAACGGTGGACCAGAGCAGGACGGGGAAGTTGTCCCAGGTGACGTTGGCGGAGCTAGCGAAGGAGACGATGGCGTGCAGGCGGATGATGGAGACGATGGTGACGAAGGTGCCGACGATGAACATCATGGCCACGCCGATCTTTTTCTTCCAGTGCAGGTTGAGCGAGCGGATCTGGCCGAGCGGGATCGCGAGCATCCAGACATCGAGGGCGATGCTAATGGCGGCGTTGGACCAAGCGATCGCGCTGACGTTGAGGCACATGCCCTCGTGCTCACCGTCCCACTGGTTCCAGAAGTAGCTCATGGGGGTGCACTCGAAGATGGTGAGGATCGTGAAGAAGACGCCGAACAGCACGGTGAAGACCATGGTGCCCCAGAGCAGCCGCCGAACACCCTGGCTGGGGAAGATACGCAGGTAGAAAAAGAGCAGGCACAGCTTGACGAGGGCGACCTGGATGAAGTAGAAGATGGCCATGAGGTAAAAGTAGAGGAGGAAGTGCGTGATCTGGTCAGGTCGCAGAGCCCAGATGTCCTTGCCTGTGTCGGGCGCGGTGCCGATGTGGATAAGCACGAGACTGGGGAGGGCGAAGAGCACTAGGACAATGACCACGTAATCGTCCTTCGCCATGTTGCGCATGACAAAGAGCTTGAAGCATACCCTGATGATCACGAGGCCGATCGAGATCGAGGCTAGTACCATGGATGTCGTGTCGTACGTGGAGGCCCGGTTGCGCACCGGCAGGCCGCATGCTGTATCCGTAGCGTTTTTGGCCACTTTGAGGCGTTAGCACCGAAGGAGAGACGCTGGGAAACTGAGAAACATCTAGACTGGGATACATACCCAACGACTCCTTGACCGTACAGTGCTTGGTGACACATGTCGAAATATTCGTTTGAAGCGCTTCGTTGTTGCAGATACAGCCTGGCGTTAAGTCCTGGGAGCAGGACGAGTGTGTTACGCCGTCGACAAGGCAGGAAAGCTGTTGAATCACAAAGCATCCCATCAGTCGGCTGCTTCTCTCCATACCCTAGGTCGAGATTCCAAGACCGTTGTCTTTTCTCGTCTCCCCATTTCTTCCAAAGGTCTGATGTCAACATACCGCACATTGTGGGAGTTGCTGGAGCACCGCAGACATATCCTGGGCCACCACCACCCGCGGCACCAGGGCTGCCAGAAAGGCAACAGCCAGGCTGAATATTGGCCTCATACTGGATATGGCTGTCGAGGTCGAAGGTGTCGCGTGTGGTTGTGGTTGTGGTTGTGGTTGTGGTTGCACTTATCCCATATGGTGCTGGCTTGTTGTAGTGAGCGAAGCAGCGTCGAACGGGGCGAGGAACGAACGCGGAATGACGAAGAGCTCCCGCCAAGTTGATGGATGAGACGACGGATGGGAGACCCGCGACTTTCTATCAAATTATTAGGCGAGACGCAGATCGAGAAATGGAACCTCAGAGGGGGCAGTGGGGTCGGGCCTGGCGAGACCTTGACTCGAATCAACGGGATGTGGTGGTGGGAACAGGGATGGGAGCACTCCTGGGCTGAAGAGGTGAGGGGGCGAAGGGGAGAAGATCTCCCGCATTATCCTCCCGCAAGTGATGATGCTCGCAAAGTGGCCACCCATCGACAGCCCTAATCCAGGGCTTCCCTCGATCGCAAAGAAGTGGAGAGCGTAGAGCCAGCGAGGGCCGAGAGGTGCGTGCGGCCTGTCAGGTCTGCCAGGGCCATGGTCTCCGCAGGACCGCGGTGTCAGGAACGACGTACACTAACTAGTGTAGTCGTAACTTGCATGTGGACGTCTGGAAATAGTGTGGAAAGGATGTGCGCAGGGTATGGCACGAGGCAAGGACCGTTGCACATCGGCACGATGTTGCGCAACGCGACTAGCTGCACCCCTCGATGCCATGATTTTCCATGATTCCCACGGTTTTCTCCAGGTCCCTTGTCGAGTTCGTCCTTCGACCTACACTACGATAAGACATATGAAGCTTCGTGCTTGCTCGTCAAACACTAGCTCAGTCGGCCGCAGAAGCGCACGAAAAACGTGGGAAGGACTAGGGATGGCCGCCGGGTCCTCCGACAGCGCCCTCCAAGGAGACGGCCGGACCTGCTCTTCGCAGTCTAGCAGCAATTCTGTTGTTCAGTCTTTGCCGAGTAGTGTCGGAGGGCGAGGTGCGATTTGGGAAGTCGTCTTTTGACATGTGCAGTGACCGGTCTGGGCCAGGGGACCTGCTTGCAGCCTCTGAAGGCCAAGGCGGAGCCACAGGGGCATCGCTTTGACGGCCAGGGGGGTTTGGCTCTAACGCTTTTTAGGGGGTTTCCCCGCGGTGGAGAGGCGCCTATTCGACCGAAATGGGATTTAGCGTCTCCGCCCATTGGTCGATCTTAAGGGTTCAACGCGGCCCGAGGAGAACTCTGCGAGCGCAATCCTCTCATCCGCGGCACAGTCGATTCGCCCGTCAAGTGCCAGAATTGCAGACCGATCTGTCGGGCATGGGGTTGCATCCATGGACATCTGCAATTGTGAGACCGTCATGAACCTGCTTTACCATGCGTCCTGCCACACCGAAACAGGACCGAATGGGAAAGTGTTTGCGGGGAAACGAGGCCGGGGGGCCTAGTGTAGGTGGGAGGCTCAGGGGGCAGTTCCTGTGAATGCAAAGTCGGCTTGTTGGAAGCCGCAAAATTGAGAGGGGCGCGTCGATAGGTATTTCGCACCTCGGGCCATTTTGTTCCCGTTGCGTTTGCATGAGTGGGAGTGGGTTATGTGTGGATATCAGGGTCCTCTCGAGAGGGCAGTGAAAACCGCACAGGCTCTTCGGAGAACTCCTCCTTGGGCATGAGAGGCGTCATTGAAGGTCGAACGGCGAGCGTCTAGAACCTGCACGTAGTGGGTAAGTGTGGGAGGATGGGACAAATTCTCCTTGACTCGTGCGAGTATTTGTTGATGGCGGGCCCCCGTGGCTTGAGCGCGTCTAGCTCGCCCAATTTTGTCCAGAATCGCCGGAGGTTCCCAACTGGGGAGGAACACCGGGCAGGCCTTCCCAACCAAGGCAACGGGCCAACCTCGCTGGCAACTGGCAGAACCAATATTCACTCCACCGGCGTTGGCTGTGTGGTCTGTGCCTGGCAGCCTGAACGGACTTCGCCCCTTTGTGCGACGGCTGGCCGAGGCTCCCGTCAGGGGGAAAGTGCAACTCAAGGGGCCGATTAGAGACAGCAGATTGATATAAGAACTAGAGGAAGGAATGACAGCCTTGGCGCCTTCCTGTTGCTGAATGCTGCATTGCCGACACTCTTTTTGAACAATCGAGGACGCCTCGTCAGCCTCGCTTACTCCCCCGCTCTCGTTACCTCCATCTTTGGGAGAATCGCAGCCGATTTCTCCGTCCGTTCATTCTTAACAGCCCGCCAGCAAAAAAGATAAAGAAAAATGAGAGTAGTCGACGCCGCCGTCACCCTCGGGGTCTGCGTCGCCGGGGCCACCTCCAAGCAGTGCCTCAGACTCCCCAGCGATCCCGAATGGCCCAGCCAGACCACATGGTCTCAGCTCAACAGCACCGTGGGTGGTCGTCTGTCCGCAACAGTGCCCCTGGGGTCTGTCTGCCATGACCCAACCTACGATGCTGTAGCGTGTGCGAACTTGCAAGCCGCCTGGACGGTGCCTGGGACCCAGTTCGTTTTCCCCTCATATTCTACTGGCTTCTGTTTCTTCGCCTCGTCCTGCTATGGCGATATTGAGCATGGATGATGGATGGCGAGCCCGGACTAACTGCTCCTGTCGATAGCTTAGAATCGGCTTCTTCCGTCATGCAAGCCTTCTTTGCAAACCAGAGCTGCGATCCTTTCACCCCAACTTCGACCCCGTGCCGGCTCGGCAATTATGTGAGCTATGCGATCAACGTGAGAGGCGCTGCCGATATCCAAGCGGCTATCAGGTTTGCCAGCGTGAACAAGGTGCGCTTGGTGGTGCGCAACACCGGCCATGAGTGCGTACCCCGCTTCTCCCCCCTATTCCCCTGTCCACTTTTCCACATTGTTGGGATCGCTCGACTTACATGGGTGTTCCCAGCTATTTTGGCCGCTCGACCGGTGCCGGCGCGCTGGCCATCTGGACGCACCACCTAAACAGCATCGACTTCATCCCCTGGTCGGATTCCCAGTTCACTGGCACGGCGATGAAGATCGGCGCTGGTGTCATGGGCTACCAGGCGGCTGAGGCTGCCGACGCTGCCGGCGTAGTGGCCGTCACGGGTGAGTGCCCGACCGTTGGGCTTGCTGGCTTCACTCAAGGCGGCGGCCACTCGTCGCTCAGCACGAGCTTTGGCATGGGTGCCGATCAGGTTCTCGCGTACGAAGTTGTGACCGCCGATGGCCGGCTCGTCACCGCGTCCCCCACTGAGAACAGCGATTTGTTCTGGGCGCTTTCCGGGGGCGGCCCCGGCACCTTCGCCGTCGTTGTCAGCATGACCGTCCGGACCCATCCGGCCGCCAAGATCGGCGGGGGGATCGTCCAGTTCGCGTCCGCTCTGACGACTAAGGAGAACTTGAACGAGGCCATCTCGACCCTGCATGCCCTGCTTCCCGGCATGACGGACCAAGGCGCTGATGTCCTGTACACCATCGCCCCCCAAGGCGTGATGATTCGCCCTGTTACTGTCTACAACAGCACAGCCGACTATGTCAGGGACACGGTCCTCGCGCCTTTCACGGCCAAGTTAGCCGAGCTGGCCATCCCGTTCGTGGCGGAGTACACCACGCTTTCGTTCCTAGATCACTACAACAAGTACATGGGGCCGCTTCCCAACGGCAACTTTGCGGTCGAGTCGTACCAGTTTGGCTCTCGCTTGATCCCGCGCTCTGTGCTGGTCAACAACAACGATGGGCTACAGGCCGTGATTCAGAACCTGACCAGCAACGGCGTGATCCTGGCTGCCAGTGCAGCCAACTATAGCGCGCTTCCGGGTTCTCCCAGCAATGCAGTGCTCCCACAGTGGCGGGACACCACCATCCAGCTCCAACTCGTAACGCCATGGAGTTCGGACCCGGCAGCCTGGCCTGCGATGTTGGCCGACCAACAACGGATCACGCGCGAGATTGTGCCTCAGGTGGAAGCTGTCACCCCCGGCAGCGGCACGTACGTGAACGAGGCTGACTTCCACCAGCCTGACTGGAAGGAGACCTTCTTTGGCGTCAATTACGATCGCTTGCTGAGCATCAAGAACAAGTGGGACCCGGCGTCGTTGTTCTACGGTCTCCTGACTGTCGGTAGCGATGCCTGGACGGTTGACAACAACGGCAGGATGTGCCGGACTTGAGGGGCGTCCGAGTGTACCTGCGGGGTGTTGTTGTCTGGTGATTGATGGTGGGGCCGGATGCGGCATGACACTAAGGCTAGGGTTGGGGAGTCAGTTTCTCTTTTCGCTTCTGGTTTTGGCAACTGCCATTTTGAGATACCACGATGAACGGCTTGGATATGAGTAATTTGTAAATGTGATCCGTCAATTCCATCAGTAGTCGGTGTTACCCGTACTCGGATTTTTTTGCCCATGGATCATGTTCTAGGGTGTCCTTCCCGCTTTTGACGCGCTCTTGAGTACCAGTCGACGGTGATATACAAAACTAGACGAAAATGACGATGTCCCAAGTGTTAGTTAGTGCGGAGACGAAGGATGGATCATCAAGTTGATTCGCATTCCGAACGTCCGCGTGGGATGTCCTGAAAGTCTCACTCCGACCCCCCCAGGATGTCTCGAATTGTGTCTCGCTGGTCGGGGCTCGGGGGTCCGGAAGTTGCCAGTGGTTCCATCCCCCCATGCCTATAACTAGTGAGTGTACTGTTGACTGCGGGCAAGACAGCAAGGCTGTCCTACCGAGTGAGGTTATCAAGGATGAATCTTTTCTTCAGGGCCTGCTAAGTGGATCATGAAAAAAAGCAACTAAGGTTTGTTGATCACAAGTCAGCCAGTCAGCCTGCCTTGCGTCATGTTTCACTGCAGTTCAAGCCCTTGAAGCCCCCCATTCCATGGGTGAGCCACCACATGGTTGTCGATCGAACCATGGCATGCAATGCCTAGCCCCGGGTTTAAGTCGGGTTCAGCATTTAACGTTAGGATGGTGAGATTGAGAGTTTCCTATCTTCCAGATATTGATTTGTTGTGATCTGACCCGACTCACCGTAGTCCGCGCGAGCACGAGATGTGTGTGTGTCTACAATCTGTGTGGGCAGACGGGGAGCCGGACAAGAGGACGAGGACGAAGTCGAGCGAGCACACGAGCTGGACGAACGGACGGACGGATAAACGCAGATCTCAACTCAACTCAATCAGGTAATTTCGAGGTTACCGGCCGTGCGGCTGGCATTTTTCGGTTGTTGACGGACAGGAACGTGCGTCTACCTTCGCGGCTTGAGTGGTTTGCATGGGGTTTCGGGTTCGGCAAAGGTCGCAATTGCCGGGGCTGCTTTGCGTTGACAGATTTTCGACGGTGGAATGACCGATGTCTTCTTACTGCAGTGTCGTGGGTGTGGGTTGATTCGGTAAAGATATTTGGGTGCATGGGCCGTCGGGATAAGAATGTTGCCAAGCTTGCCAAGGATACCAAGGCTCGCAGGGGTGGTGAAATGCCCCTGGGGATGGGGCGATCGTCGATGCTGGGGGGTGTCGTTTGTGATTTGAGGTTGCAGTGGGCAGTTGTTGTTTGGAGTCCAGATTCGAGATTGGTGGGGAAGCTTGTGTGGTATTCGTAAATTGCAGTTGGTTTGGCTTTGCTCAACTTAGAGTCTTGCTGTTGCACATTTACCGAGTTTCTTTTCCTACACTATCTCGATTGATGCCCTCCAGCAAGGCAATAGTAAGAGGGGAACAAAGATTTAGCGTCCTTGGAGGTGTAGCTCCAGTCGGCTGGGGTGTTGAACCCGAGGTGGTGTGTGCTCTGGGCATGCCAAGACCCTCGAAGCCTCGGCCGAGGCCGTTTTGGTGTTTGGGTGTGTCTTGGAACTCTTTTCTCTGCAGCATCAGTTGTTTCTCGCAAGCTTTCCCTCAACTTTCTCATCGCACACCCACCTTTTGCCCCAACACCCCGGTCTCGACTCTCCCCTCGGGTCCCGGTGGTCCTGGATCTCCAATCCCGCTGTTCGCTCCCGTCCCCGCGGGCTCCGGGAGACGATCGCGCTAGTCCCAAAGTGGATGTTGACCTTCTCCCTTCTTCCCCTCTGCTCTGGGAAAAATATGTTCTGAGTCGGCGCGAGGAAGGTCCGGACAATGCCGAATTTCGAGGTCTGGAGACTGTCTGAACGATGGCCGATGCCGGACAGCTGAAATACTGAGCGGGGTTGGACCGAAAACAGGTGATGTGTGTCTATGTTGGATTTACTAGTGCTAAACAATAGACCCAGGTTGACTTTGAGAATCTGTGCGTTTGTCAGTGAGAAATACGAGCTCTCGGACCGCTTGCATGGGAGTTCGTCAACGCTTGTTGGGATATGATGCGCAATGTTACCTGGTTGATTCCATAATTTGAGGTCGCTGTGGAAGAGGGAGAAAGAAAAAATGAGAGAATATTGTGGGAGGAGGACGTGGCTCTGCGACTAGAATTCGGGGCGCTCGATATGTTCCGTGGCCCTTCGCTTCGCAAGCGTTATCTCAGACTAGGTCGCGACTGCGCGTCAAGACAGGGCGTTTGGCCTTGTCGGTGGCACTCTTCTTGACACGCGGGGACAGGAGGGCAGTGTTGGCGTCGTAATGGGCCTGGAGAGTACGGATGCCAGCGCGCAAGAGGGTGCCATGAGCTCTGGTTCCTCAACACAAGTCTCATGTCCCCGGCGACATTCCACGCAGGAGCGGTTTTGGTTCCGGGCGCAGTCCGTAGGGACACCTTTCATGAGTCTGCCCGATGTCGACACACGGCATGCAGAAGTGTTTCTTCTCAGGACGGAGCAACGACTCTTCTGCCTCGTGCTAGTACAAGATGCTGGTGCTACCGCCAAAACACGTCGGTCGATTGACGCGGGAGCGGATAACGTGTATCGAAACTGGTTGAATCTCCATGTTGGGGACACCGAAGTGTGGTGGTAAAACGTGCCCTGAAATGGCGAAAGCTGAGGTTTTGATGAATTGGTTGCATTAGTTGTAAAAGGATGATGTTTACCGACTGTCCTATACATTTCTGTATGATGACTTAGTCATGCGTGACAGGACGTAAGGTATGTATGGGCTTACTAGGTGATTGCAGTACCAGCGACGAGTAGCGTGAAGTCGATGGGGGTGCTGCTTCTGGAGCCTAAAATTTGGAGCAAGTATGATTGCTTTGGTAGCGGTGCAGGGCTGTAGAGCTATGGTGTCGAATTTCACAAAATTTCCTTCAGAGAAGTGGTAGAGGGATGGGAGCGTGAAAAATACAAGTCGACTAAACATAGGTCACAAATCACATGTCATTACAAAACAATTCTAGTAAGAGGCAACGTCCGCTTGTGTTTTTTTTTGGTATTCACAAAGAAAGAAAGAGAGAAAAAAAAATTACAAACACCCGCCGCCAAGCCGACTTGCGAACCCTTCGCGAGACAAAACCCCCCTTCACGGCATCCTCAACCCCGTGCACAATTTGTCCCCTTGGCGGTCCCCCTCCCCCCCCTTCGCGACGGCCCCAACACAAAGCCCAGCAAAAACGGTTGCGGTTGTTGCGGTTCCGGCAACGCTGCCAAGGGGTTGTTATTGTTGCCGCTATATAGCTGGCCAGAAGTCTGGTTCGATATGGGAGGCAGCTCAGGCGGAATCGGGATATCTTGGCCGTACCCAATGATTGGTTGGCTCGCGAAGCAGCTCAGGCGCGATCGGGATATCTTGACCATACGAAGGGTTGAATGGTGGGGCAACCGAATCGTTGGTTTGCTGCCGAAGCAGCGGCACCTCTTCCTGTGGCGATTGATGCTGCTGCTGCTGCTGTGAAGCATCGAAAAGCCCGCGGTTGGGGGACGGGAAGGCGACTGTGGGTGCCGGCAGGTTCCCGAAGTTGTGTTGCGGAGCGCCAGACGCAGCGGCAGCGGAGTTTAGTTGGCCACTGTAGTTAGATAGAGGACCAGGCGGATAAGATGGGAGTGTATGTTGCCACTGCCCCAACCCGGTCTGTTGAGGTTGCTGTGCCGCTTGAGCCCGCTGTGTTGGCTGAGTCCCCTGCGCGGGTGCCTGGGCAGCGCCGACTTGACGGTTCGGGTTCTCTGGAGAGATATGTCAGTCTGTGGACAAGTGTATTGAACAGCTGAACACTATCTGCAAGTATCGGCAGTGCGACAGAGAAAAGACTTACCAGGATGTGTCCTCCAGGCCTCCATCACTTCCGGGGGACAGCCGGGCTGGCGAGGCTCAATACCGCGCTGCTGGTCCTCTTCCTCGGTGTTGAGAAAGTCGCCGAGGGGCCAACCCTGAATACGGTCTTGGTGGATGTCGAGCCACTGGCGTAGCCGTAGCTGAGGCTGGCCGCCAAACCGGCGAAGCCGTGGGAATATCTGCTGGAGGTAGAGCAGGTCGTCCCTAGAGATGTTAGGCGCAGCGGAAGGCCGGAATCCCCTCTTGGCCCACTCTTTGAGCTGGTTGGTTATCTTCCTAACTCGGGTCTGTTCTGTCGGCGGGTACTGGGGTCGGAACTCCCACCCACGGTGCATCAGGACGACAGCATCTGCCCGGAGGGGACGGCCGCGCTTGTCCGTGGTCAGGACCTTTGTCTCGGTAGCTGGGATGTTGGGATCCATTGGTATTGATTGTGGGATAAATTTGCTTGGATGTCGGGACGATACTGTCGATGGTGTTATTCACTGTCCTGCGTGAATGGAGAAACTGTCAGCCCCGTCGCCTGACCGGTCATGTGCACGCCCGCGTCGCGATGTGTGCGGCCCGATGGCGGTGTTGAGCCCCCGAGCGGGCCACGGGGGTTGACAAGCCGCAGTGCGGGCGAGAACAAAGAAATGGAGGTTTCTGGTAAGGGGGAAGGGATGGATGAGGTAGAGGTAAAGTGTTGCTGGACGGAAATAACCGGCACTGTATGTGTGGATGTGTGACTTGTCACATTGAAACTTACAACAAACAAGAGCTTGGTATGAGGCTGGAGAGCACAAGACAACCTAGAGCTGACCAAGAAAAAGCCGGGAAAAGACCTGACGCCGAGAAGTTGGGTTCCGGGTGCTCAAGCTGCTCACAAACTGGGGAATGGCCACCGTTAAGTGACCAAGGAAGCGGTGGAAGCGGTGGGCTGGTGAAAAGAAAGCGAAGAAAAATTCGACAAAGTCGAGCCCTTGAAGTCGGAGGTTGAACGCAGAGTGAAAATTGTGAGGAGGTCAAAGTAAGAAGATCTCAATGATGTCAATGATGAAAAGTCAAAGATGGTAAACCTGTGAAGCTTGCGTTTCAGGAGAAGGCCTGGTACAGCTTCCTGCGATTTCTGGGTGACGTTGACCGGTCGAAGTCGTGTGAGAGGAGGAAGAGGAGAGGAGGGAGAGAGAAGCTTAAATAGAAAAGATTCCGAGCGTGAAGAGGGCAGCAGAATCAGCCCTCACCAGCCCAGGACCCGCGAGGACCCGCGTCACCAACAATGCCATACAATAGGCCGAATGAGCTCCATGCCCCGTGTTCTCCGCCAAAATACCAGCCCTCTCTGATCACGACAAAGGCTGGAGGCGGCCATGGCCCGGACCCGCCTCTCGACACGGGCAGGAGGTGATGGTTTGAAAAATTCTCCCCCAAACATCCAAAATCGAGGGGTAGCGAGGCCAAGATGGCTCAAGATATGTGGCTCTGTGGGAACCGAAGACCTGCGATGTCGTTGTCGTTCTCATGCATAGCGACATATGCGACATATAACGTTGACCGAGGTGAGACTCTAGTATTGGAGCATGTTAACCACAGTCCTCTGTGTTGTCACATTGGAATCGACTACTTCACTTGAATATTTGAGGCAAATCACTATGACAGGCCCGGCAAGAAACGTTGTGAATTTCAACTCTTCACTTCTCGGCGGAATGCTGCGGAACCTGAAAGTCGAATTTCTTTGATAACCTACCCGACTCATTCTAGAACACAACCATGTACTCGCGTTTACTCGTGTGCTTTGTGTTTAGTGAAAATCTTCCCAAGACGAGGTTGAAATTCTGGGAAGACACGACCGCTTACAAGCTAGACTTGTTGATATTGATCAAACCTGTAATTAGTCATGTAACAGGTAGTTCGAGAGGCCGAATAATTAAGTCAAAGAAATGCCATGTCGCAGCAAATTCTAGGCTTCGACAACCATGTCGTTGGGCAGTCTTGAACACAGAAAGATATCAATCATCCACGGTATCAGCCATCCGAGATCTGGATTTATTGAATTTATTGACACAATTATAATAATGCCTAGGGAACTAGATAAGTAATTAACCCACCAGCCCAGCTTTCATATCTGCCCTTGTGGACTTCTCCAGTTCCCAAGTCCTGACCTCCGTGCGAAAGTTCAGTTTCCCAGGGCTCTTCATCGGCCACTGGTCCAAGAAAAAAAAATACAACACAAGGAAGCTACAGAATCTTGTATGTCACTCTAAACACAGAAGGAACATGCAAGTCGAGCGGAGTCTACAATCTAGTGCAGACTCAGTCCGGCCTCGCCGCCTCGGGCCTACCTATTAGATGGAACTGCACGTCTGGCCAATGACGGTGAGTACATTCACATGCGCCGATGCTTGGGGCAGGTCCTACCGAGCCAAGATAACCTTTTTTTTTTTTTTTTTTTTTGGAAAATTTACAAGCCACTGTGCTCGACGTCGATGGCTCTTTCCCTGTCATGAATTTGTGTATTATGGCCTGGCCTGAACTCTTGAGTTTTCGCTTTCAAAGAGGTTGGAGCACGGGGTCCCTGAAGCTCCACCTCAAATGTTCCTGATGATGTTGACGTCGAGAAATACAGGAAAAACCGGGCTCGGTCCTGCCACGCGATGCCTTGAAATCGAGTTATATTATTGTCATTGTAACGTTATTTCTCTTCAGGTCCTGTCGGAAAAGAAATCAAAAATAAAGTCTCGGCAACTCTGCCCTGTCGGAGGCCTGCGGATTCGGAACAAATAGCCGACGATCCTGCGCCAAGATTCCAAGACACAAAATAGATGAACTGCAATACTCTTTTTCCCAATGATCGACGTCAAAACAAAACGGCCGCATGTCGGCCACACCCGGACTCGGTTGGTTAACGTGTTTCTGGACCAACTGCTCAATAAAACCACAGTCCAGACCGAGGAGCGGGGGGGGTAGTGAGCTACTTTACAACTTTTATACAAACTGCTTCCCCACACATCTTGACTTAACGACCGTTGCTCGTTCGCTTTTCGCCGTCGTCGGCAAGCCGCAAATGCGCAGCAAGCCATTGGTCCGCTTTCCGGTAAGCGATGTTTCCCTCTTGCTATTCTGCAGTCTCGGCAGTCCACGTCGTGTCCGACCCTGCTGACAGAATAGATTAAATTTTCTAACGTCCTGCATTCACCCGGACCAGTCGGCAGGCGTTGCGAACCGTTTCGATCTCCCGGCGAGCTGGACAACCACAGAGCGCGACATCCCGAGTCGTTCTACCGGCTTTTGCTATCAAAACTTTGTTTAAACTTTGTTTCAAGCCCGACGGTGCCATGTCACCCTTTGAGCACGCTAAGCACGTCTCCGGATAGCGGATGCGACCGATGCGACGTTCGTGCTCTGTTCGGGACAGTCATCCCGCGTTGTCTGCCGGCTTTGGGTCTTAGCCTTGGGAAAGACCTGGGAGAGGCGAACGACCTCGTAGGAATGCTTGGAGCACTACGACTGCGGTTCTACCTTGAGGTGTATATCTGCTGATGTATGTGCCGACGGAGAGATAATACTCCGAAAGCAATTCGCTAATCCTCTGGCTCTCGTCTGTCTGCATTGCATAAGGCCGAAGAGCAGCGGCAGCTCGCTTCGATCGCTTGGAGGGATGCGCTCCTATCAGCCCAGCAAAATACGGATCCGAGTCCGTACCAGCACACAAGGCCCCCGATATCCCAGGCATCTGCCGGGATCCGAAAACCCACGGTCCACGGCCATCCCGGCCGGGGTTACACTAGCTCAAGACAAACCGCAGGAGCCAAGATCTTCAAACTTCGGTTGGCAAATCCCGGGCGTCAACACGCACACTAAGTTCCGCAGCCTTGCTTTCGCAGTTTCCTTCTTCATCCACGGACCGCGGAACAAATAGAACATTGTGGTAATGAAAGGAGATGCACCCGCGGAGATCAACCGCCCCCAAACTCCCATGGGCCCCAAAGCTCCCAGGGTTCCCTGTGATCCCAGCCGACCTTATCTGCCGATGACACGGAATGTTAAAAGGTTGTGGGCGGTTGTTTTTAGCAGGGGTGGCATGCTGACCGGAACAGCCCCGAGACCAAGACGTATGTACTATGTAGGCCCGTACAGATTTAGATGAAAATCGAGTTGACAAGTTCCAAGCCAAGAAATCGCAAGAAAAGCGGAGAAAAAAGCCGTGGACGAGGCTAACAAGCCCCCTCACCTTCATCCCAGGCCAGAGGCTTATAATGGAGGACTAGCCCTCCTTCTCTCTGTTCTTTTCCCCTTTCCCCCCAAGCGGGTTAGTGGTAGATCTCCCGTCGAACAAGGTTTGCTTGCCCTGTCTTGAAAAAAAGACCATGGCTCGTCTCACCCTTGCCGGGCTGCTGCTCGCAGCCCTCGCCTCGGCCGACGATGTCCTCGATCTCCAGAACAAGGGTCGGCCCAGCATCGACGCCCAAATCGCGCTGTCGGCGACATGCACCCAGGAGAAGCTGGCCGTGCGCCGTGAATGGTACGTTCCTCACAGTCACAGCACACTCATCGGGACTGGATAAATCGGAGAACTGGGACTAACAGCGGGAAAACAACAGGGGCGACATCTCGGACGATGAGAAGAAGGAGTACATCGCGGCGATGCTGTGCCTGATGGACTCGCCGTCCAAGCTGGACCCTACCCAGTTCCCCGGCGCCAAGTCGCGGTACGATGACTTTGTGGTTGTCCACATGAACCAGACCATGAACATCCACGGGACGGTATGTACTTGCTCATGACTGGCTGGGCTAGACATCGCAGACAGAGAACCTCCGCTAACTTACCCAGGGCAACTTCCTCTCGTGGCACCGCTACTACACCTGGGCGTTTGAGCGGACCTTGCAGACCGAGTGCGGGTATAACGGGACCCAGCCGGTATGCTCCCTTTTCGTAATTCGGGATTCCGTAGTCGTTAAGGGCAAGGACTGACCTTAGACAGTACTGGGACTGGGGACGCTGGGCCGAGGACCCCGAGACCTCGCCTATCTTTGACGGAAGCGACACCTCTCTGAGCGGCAACGGCGAGAAGATTGCCCACAACCCGTCGGGCTTCATCCCGGCTGGTAACGGCGGTGGTTGTGTCCTGACCGGGCCCTTCAAGGAGTAAGCTTTCCGCCCGTTTTATTAAAAAAAAGGAAAAAAAAAAGAAAACGAAAAAAAGGAGAACTCACTAACAACCCCCAGCATGGTCGTGCACCTCGGCCCCGTCTCCCCCGCCACCGACCCCGCGCCCCCCGCCAACCCACGCACCGACGGCTACGGCGACAACCCGCGCTGCCTGCGCCGCGACATCTCCAACCAGCTCTCCAGCAAATACCTGCGCACCTCCGACATCACCTCGCTGATCACCGGCTCCGCCGACATTGGCACCTTCCAAACCGTTATGCAAGGCACCGGCGGCTTCGGCGGCGCCACGGGCATGGGCGTGCACGGCGCAGGCCACTTCACCATTGCTGGCGACCCGGGCGGCGATTTCTACACGTCGCCGAACGACCCGGCTTTCTGGCTGCACCACGGCATGATTGACCGTACGTGGACGATCTGGCAGAGCCAGAACTTGGCGAACCGCACGCAGGTGATTTCGGGCGGGACGACGATGTTTGGGGGCGGACGGGCGCAGAGTTTGGAAGATCCGGTGGATTTGGGGGTTGTGGCCGACAAGGTGTATGCGATTAAGGAGTTGGTGAGCGTGGTGGATGGGCCGTTTTGCTATGTCTATGAGTAAGCGGGAACAGCACCGCCCGATTTTGATGAATGAACGAGGCTGGGACGATGATGGGTTAGCTAAGAATGAGATTGTGGCGTGTTGTTGATCAACCGAAATGAATCAAAATTGCTGTTGTGAAACCTATCCGGACCGTTGCTGTGTCTTGCCGGATCGTGTAACCCGCTTAGGCTAAACGAGAACTGCAAACTGCGATATGCGAACCCTAATAATAAGCGATTCATCACATGATTTCTGATGTAACAGAGAGATAACGACACAAACTAACATACGTCGTCTATTGTCATCTAGCGTCATGGCACATCGCTGATCTAGTGCATCCACGTTATAACAGAAACTCAGTCTATCATATAGAGCACCACCAATCACCCTCAAGCCAGCGTCTTGATCTCCCCGTCCTTGATCTTGCCAGCGCCGACGAGACGCTCAACCTCGGCCTTCCACACCCCCTTAATCTCGTCCGCCACCTTGAGCCCGTTCAGCTTGCCGGCCAGCGCGGCAATCTCATCGGGGTCAATCTTGCCCTGGACAAGCTCGACGTCACCAAGCACCGCATCGATGGTCGCAGCCGAGGCGTCGCCCTCACCAGCAAAGTAGTTGGCGTCCTTCACCGAGCCACGCAGAACACGCTTGTTCTTCTTGACCGCGTTCTTGGCCGCCTCCTTGGCCTTCTTGCTGGCATCGCGATCCGCCTTGGCCTTCTCCTCAGCTTCCTTGGCCGCCTGGGCTTCGGCCTCCTTCTTCAAGCGCGCGTCCTCAGCCGCCTTCTTCTCGGCCGCCTCACGCTCGAACCTCTTCTTGTTCTTGGCCGCGCTGGCCGCCTGTCGGAACCGCTTGATGCGCTCGTCGCCGGCAGAGCAGTCGTCCAGGATCTTGCGCAGGCGCGCGTTGTCCTCGGCCTTCTTCTTCTTGCGCGCGTTGGCGTTCTTGCGCTCCATGTGCCGCTTCTGGTCGCGGTTCTCGTTGTCGTCCGGCACGTCCTCGTCCAGGTACTCAAACGTGCGCCAGCTGTCGAAGTTGTACCAGAAGTTGTAGAAGTTCTCCACGTCCTCCTGGGCCGCGTCCTCCCCGCCAAACGTCGGCACCGGGTGCACCTTACTGAACCGCGCCTCCGACTTGAACACCTTGCTCCACTGCTTGTAGAAGTCGCCCTTGGCCAGCTGCTTCTTCGTCGGCGGCTCCACATCCGCCTCCTCGTCCACCGAGTCGAACTGCCTCCGCTTGATCGGGTCCAGCAGCACCTCCGTCGCCTTCTGGATGCACTTGAAGAAGTTGTCGTCGTCCGCCCGGCCCGCAGCCGCCTTCTTGTCCGGGTGGTGCTTGAGCACCTTCTTGCGGTGAGCCCGCTTGATCTGCTCCTCCGTCGCCTTGTACCGGTACTTGGACAGGCCCAGCACTTTGTAGTGGTCCTGTGACTTCCAGTCCTTGGCCTCGCGCTGCAGCATCATCGGGTCCTCCGGCTCGCTGATCTCGCCGTCGTCGTTGTCCTCCACCTTCTTGGCCCGCTCCTGCGCCTGGATCCGGTCGTCTTCGGAGAACGTGCGCTTGTGACGCGCGCGGCGGGCATGGGCCAGGAAGTAAGGTCCCACCGGCTCGAGGGTGCGCTGCGTGGCCGCGCTCTCCTGGGTGATCTTGCCGATGGCCTTGAAGTTGTTCTCGGCCTCCCAGCCCTCGGGGAGGACGGGGAGCGGCAGCGGGATGACGGTAGCCTCCATTGTGCTGCTTTGAGGACTTGGGGTGGTGGTTGACTTGTGAGCGAGAAAAAGAAAATCGGGTGAAGTCGTGCCCAACTTTAGGAGGGGCAGTTTTTGAGCTGTCGGCCGGAATTTTTTTGGTTTGGCCAACTGCCCCACCAAAGAACGCTTTTTTTGTCGGACCAATCGGGTCGGCTTAAATGGCCGGAGGGAAGGCCCACATGTTTTTTGCCTCGCTCGTTTGGGGCAACTCCGTCTGGGACAATTGGACGCAAGATCTTGAACTTGATATCACAACTTCCCCCGAATCTATCTGAGGTGAAGTGGCCTTGTTCCCCACGATAGTCTCCCATCACTATGGCCGCAGTCAGTGCCTACCGGAGCCTATTGCGCTCCGCACGCCTTGCCTTTCAAGGTATGTCTCAGACCCCCCAAACCTCCCCCCCTTCGTACACACTTAGGTCTGCCACTAACACCATGTTAGGCGATACTCGCATGCTCGACGCCGCGAAACAATCCATCCGCCAAGGCTTCCGTGACAAGGCCTCCCTCGCCGCTTCAGACCCAACGATCCAGCCTGCGATTCAACACGCCCTAGACGTCGCTAACTTCCTGAAGACGAATCTGGTCCAGGGGAAGCGGGACGGTACCACCTACAGTAGGCCAGCCCGGAACAGTCGGGGTCCATAGGGTTCTGGTCTCGCTAACGTATGGGTGTTTCTAGAGCTGCGTATTCACGAACATACCGAGCGGGGCGATAACGAGAGCATCAAGTTGGCGGGGAATAACACGGCGAGTATGGGCGGGGTAAAGTGCTGCTCGGAGAAATAGGGGAATACCGGATTTAATTGTCTAAGCTGGCGCTCAGTAGAAGACGGACGAAAGATCAAGGAGCAAAGGCCAGAGCCAACGGCCAGGGAAACCTGTGTATGATATAGCCGTCTATGATACCCCTCGATGTAACAACAGAACAGAATGCTGGACATAGAAAGAAAGACAACAATGCAGGACAGATATCCTTTTACTCGCCTCGCCTTGCTAAACCGGAAACCTGACATGAATCATGATCTCCAACGCCATGCAACCCAGAGTCGAAAGAAAAAAACCGTGGCTAGTTCCCAGCCAAACTAGCATACTCAACGTCGGCAGCCCCAGGCGGTGCAGCCACAGTAAGACCTAAGAGATTGTCCCCTGGAGCAGCAGCACCACCAGTCTCGCCTCCTTGCCCACCACTAGCCCCTGCGATAGCCTTTTGCGGCGGTCCCCTTCGGTTCGCCTGGGGGAACGCCGACCGTCCGTCACGCAACATCTCAGTGCGCTCCTCTTTATCCATCGTGCCAATCGCCTTGGGCACGCTCCACCGAATGCGCAGCGGACAACCCGAAATGACGGCCTTTCCTTTCAACTCAAGTGAAGCCCTCTCCGCTGCGTCGCGCGTCTCGTAGTTGACAAAAGCGCAGTGCGTCATGTGTGACACGACAAGCGACTTGATCTTGCCGAATGCCTTGAAGAAGTCGCGGATTTTGTACTCGGCCAAGTCGTCCTCGATACCGGTGACAAACAGCGACATGATGTTTGGGTCGCTGGGCGGCTGCCAGTCCTTTGGTCCTGGCGGGGCGGTGTTGGCGACTACTGGTCCCTTGCGTCTCCCGCCCCTCGCGCCAACAGCGGCCGCCGCTCTTGAGTCTCTTGTCCGTATCGGCCCGGGGCCTCCCACACCCGCACCCACCGCGGGATTCCCACCTCTCGCATTCCCTCCACCGACAGCGTTCCCCTCCGTATCCACCTCCCTCCCCTTGCGGAAGTATGGCTTACTCTGTGCCAACCTCCTCAACAGTTCCCGCGCCTTCTCATCCGTCTTCTCATACTCCTCGACACCCGCGCGCCCTTCCTCAATCGCCTTCTCATTGTTCTGCGCAAAGTATTCCCGGTTAATCTCGCTCTGCGGGCCGGGCGCGATCAGCTCGAGTGCCTTGTCGCGGATGACGATCGGCAGGCCGAACTGCAGGTCCATGATGCAGCACTGGCAGGCGTTCTTGAGGCGCGCGCAAGTTAAGCAGATGTTGGTGCGGCGCTTGCGGCCCTGCGCGCGTCCATCGCCTGACCAGCTGAAGATGGTGAAAGGCCGCGTGCAGAGCTTGCACTCGGCGCCGTAGTCCTCCTTGAGCATCTTGACGTAGGGGTTTTCGGGCAGGCAGTTCTCGCATACCGAGGGGAAGTCGGTCGTTTCCCACCCGGACCGGTTGAGGTCTTGTTTGATTTGGGGGGGCATAGTGATGTGTTGCTATCGTTTGTCGTTGAAATTACAAGGGGGTTATCAAGGGTAAAATGGACGTTGTAAAGGCAGATGGGAAAGGTTTCTTTCGTCGGCTTGCTAATGGTCAAAGTTTACTTTACTTCCAGAAATGCCCACAGCGACGAGGAACCTTGGTCGCTTGTGGCGGTTTGTGGCTGGCCTGATTGATAATCCTTATCGGTCGCCACGCAACGGCGTTTACTGTGGCTGGTGCATGGTCCAAGCGCCTCTTATTCGTGTTCGCGTTCTTACCGCCTTCCCCTTCGAATTCGTGTTTCCAAGGGCCTCAAACTCCCATCAGTGGAGGAAAAGTGGACGCGAAAACGGATTTTTGAAGGACGAAATTTGCGAATGCGCTGACCCAACCTCTGGAGGGGGCATCATCCTTATATGTCCCATTGGTGTACAGTTTCAAAACCGAATGCGAGCTCTTGTTCGTTGTTTGATCATGAATCCAGCCCGTCTTTTGCATGTGCTTTGGTGGAGCGCGCCCCTGGAACCAATTGACCCATGAGATTTGCTCGATTGGCGTCGGCTCTCGCGCACCCCTGCCCCTTTCTCTGGTGCCATGAACAAACCGCCTATAATTAATAGGGGCCCGTGAAACTTTTTTCCCTTGCCAACTCGAATAAACACATCACCGCCTTCAACACATTCTCTCTTTCACGCTTTACTTCCGGTTCTCCTATCCTTCATTTCAAACCCATACGCATTCGACCCTCGTCTCGCATTCCTTCCTCTCTCTTCAACATGGCCCCCCTCGCAAAAGCAAAGCTGGAGAAGGAGGACCACAAGCGCGATGCCGACTTCATGAAGGCCCTCCACGGCAAGTCCACCGAAGCCGCCGGTGGCTTCGCCGCTATGCTTTCCAAGGACCGGGATGCGAAGAAGCTCGCTGTGGACGAGTACTTCAAGCACTTTGACAACAAGCGCGCGGAGACTGAGACTGATGCCGACAGAGAGGTGGGTTCACCGCCTGGCACTTGAATCGGAATGGCGCAATACTAACACGGTTGAAAGGCGCGGACGAAGGAGTATGCTACTCTCACAAGGCAGTAAGTGAACCAATCCGTCGACGATACCCTACAGGAGAAGTCCCACGCAAGCACTAACCTCGCCGTCCTGCAGTTACTACAACCTCGCGACCGACCTGTACGAGTATGGCTGGGGCCAGAGCTTCCACTTCTGCCGCTACTCGATCGGCGAGTCCTTCTACCAAGCCATTGCCCGTCACGAACACTACCTTGCGATGAAGGTTGGCATCACTGCCAACATGAAGGTGCTTGACGTTGGCTGCGGTATCGGTGGGCCAGCGCGCGAGATCGCCAAGTTCACCGACGCCCACATCACCGGTCTCAACAACAACGACTACCAGATTGAGCGTGCCACGAGGTATGCGGCCCAAGAAGGGCTGTCTCACCAGCTCAAATATGTCAAGGGTGACTTCATGGTAAGAACGAATCCCAGAAGCAAGTTCCTCCAGTAGCAATACCCAATTTGCTGACCTCCCGAAGCAAATGTCGTTCCCTGACGAGTCGTTCGACGCCGTCTACGCTATCGAGGCTACCGTCCACGCCCCCAAGCTGGAAGGTGTCTACAGCGAAATTTACCGTGTGCTCAAGCCCGGCGGCACTTTCGGTGTGTATGAGTGGCTGATGACCGACAACTACGACAACAACAACGTTGAGCACCGCGACATCCGCCTTGCGATCGAGGAAGGGAACGGTATCTCCAACATGGTGCGCATCTCCGAGGGCCTCGCCGCGATCAAGGCGGCCGGCTTCGAGCTGCTGCACCACGAGGATCTCGCCAAGCGCGACGACCCCATCCCCTGGTACTGGGGTATTGCCGGCGAGACCAAGTACATGCAGTCGTACTGGGATTTGTTCACCGTCCTCCGCATGACCCACACCGGCCGCCGCGCCGTGCACGTCTTCACCGGTCTGCTCGAGACCATCGGCCTCGCGCCCAAGGGCACCAAGAAGACGGCTGACTCGCTCGCCAAGGGTGCCGACGGCCTCGTCGCTGGTGCCAAGCAGGACCTTTTCACCCCAATGTACCTGATGGTTGGGCGCAAGCCTGCCAACTAAAAAGCCGTCTCCGATAAGGGGGCACAGGCCTGTTTTCTTCTTCCTCACGCTACGATGGGATGATACAATAGACTGCACGTAATGTGGATGAGCGGATGCAGGAGCATGGGAACGGATGGGAACGGGATAAAATATTTTAGTTACTAATATCGGCCGTGGGCTCTGGGCAAAACCCACCGCCTTCATGTATATACACGTAATACATTTTCTGGCGACATTATGGAGTTCAGTACCGTGTGCTGTCATGATTGGCGTACGGGTTCCCAAAGCACCCCAACGGTCTGGTCCGACCGTCTTTGCATCACAACTACCAATTCCCGATATCGGGATACAAACTCTCCCCGTGGCCCCTTCCGTGTTTTTCCATTGTACTTTTTGCAGTTTTTCTTTTTTCCTTTCGGGCGGGTTTCCCTTTGCCTCCCATACCTAACATCCCACCAAGCATCTATCATAGTAGAGCCAGACCTTATCTCGAGCCCTGTCAACGCGCGCTGTGCCCCACCGATTTTGGATGCAGTGGAGTTTTTGCTGCTGTCAAGTTCGAAATTTGGCGGACGAGCACCCGAACTCTTGCAGGGGTACGCTTCCACTAAGCCTATCTCGTACTAGCGCGAATTGATTCGTTGGGGTTCAACGCCAAAAGTCCGGATGCTTGTCCCAAGCTTCCCGATTGACGCAGGAAAAATTCCCTCTGGCACTGACAACCGCCAAAAAAACTCCCCGTTTCCACATCATCACCTTCTCGCCGCCTCGCCGGCCTCCTTTGATTGATATTCCGTTCCGTTCCACTAGCGGACTCTTCAATCCCACCCAGTTCCCTCGTTCGGGCACTTTTCCCCTCCCCACCCGGACTCCGGCCCTGCCTGACGCTCCCCTCCTCCGACCCTTTTCTCCCAACAAACCACCACAAACCATCCATCCACCATGTCACGGTATCTCCGACCAGCGGCACGGCTTGCCGCGACCGCGCGCGCTTCCGCCATCCGCCCTACCGCGCCTTCTTTCTTCCTCTCCAGAGCCGCTGCTGTGCCCAGCGTACAAAAACGGACATATGCCGAAGCGTCCGGCGTCAAGGAGTACACGGTCCGCGATGCCCTCAACGAGGCGCTCGCCGAGGAGCTCGAGGGCAACTCCAAGGTGTTTGTCATGGGCGAGGAAGTCGCCCAATACAACGGCGCATACAAGGTCACCAAGGGCCTGCTCGACCGGTTCGGTGAGAAGCGGGTTATTGACACGCCCATCACGGAGAGCGGCTTCTGTGGTCTGGCTGTCGGCGCTGCCCTCAGTGGGCTGCACCCTGTGGTAGGTTTCTTGGCATCGATACATTTCTCGATGAGCTCAGCGCATGGATCCAGGCTTCGGGAGTTAGACGTCCGGTAGACACTAACCATTCCTTTCACGCGTAGTGCGAGTTCATGACCTTCAACTTCGCCATGCAGGCCATCGACCAAATCGTCAACTCGGCCGCCAAGACCCTCTACATGTCCGGTGGTATCCAGCCATGCAACATCACCTTCCGTGGCCCCAACGGCTTCGCCTCCGGTGTGGCCGCCCAGCACTCGCAAGATTATTCGGCGTGGTACGGCAGCATCCCCGGTCTTAAGGTCGTCTCTCCCTGGTCGGCCGAAGACGCCAAGGGCCTGCTCAAGGCCGCCATCCGCGACCCCAACCCGGTGGTTGTGCTCGAGAACGAGCTGCTGTACGGCCAGTCCTTCCCCATGTCGGAGGCCGCGCAAAAGGACGACTTCGTCCTCCCGTTCGGCAAGGCCAAGATCGAGCGCGCCGGCAAGGACCTGACCATGGTCTCGCTCTCCCGCTGCGTCGGCCAGTCGCTCGTGGCTGCCGAGAACCTCAAGAAGAAGTACGGCGTCGAGGTCGAGGTCATCAACCTGCGCAGCGTCAAGCCGCTTGACATCGAGACCATCGTCAAGTCGGTCAAGAAGACCCACCGCCTCGTGGCCGTTGAGTCCGGCTTCCCCGCTTTCGGTGTCGGCGCCGAGATTCTCGCCCTCACCATGGAGTACGCCTTTGACTACCTTGATGCTCCCGCCCAGCGTGTCACTGGTGCCGATGTCCCGACCCCCTACGCCCAGAAGCTCGAGGAGATGAGCTTCCCCACCGAGGCGCTTATCGAGCAGTACGCTGCCAAGCTTCTCCGTCTCTAAATCGACAGACGGGGTCGTGTGTTTGTGATGGATGCGAGGGAGTCACCACTGGTTATCAATAGACTTTGGGTGTCCTAAAACCGACACGGTGGTAAGGAGGACATGGAGGGGAAAGGGGCTGACTATGGGGGAATGGGATGAGATCATGGAAAACAAGTCAACACCAACCAACCAACCCACTCATCACCCTCGCGCTGCTGATGTGATTCACCAACCGGGGAGAATGTGGAGGACAGAAAAAGTAATCTGCCATCCACGCTTGCCTGTTGTTGTTGTAGCCCAGCCACATCATATTTATTTTTATTGTACTGTGTCTTCTCTTTTGTCCTTGCTAACGAGGGACGTCAAATCGGGGAGGCGGGTTTTGCAAGGCGAAATGTAGGGTTGGTAATAGACAGGCGGTTGGGAAATGCTTTATTCCATGTACTTGTATGTTTTGTCTTCAGAGAGCCATGCCTTCCCCCTCCCATGCGACGCAACTTCAACGTAGCTGTATGAATATCTTCCGCGGGGGCAAGCAAGTAACGCCGGATGCAATACCTCGACTCCGACGGTGTATGCTGCATCTAATCCGTGGAAGCCTTCGTCTTCGTGAATTTCATGATCGTGGACGTCGTTCTTGTGGATAACCTTCGTGTATCGATTCCGCTACTTTCGTTCCGCCATGCTAGCCTTCTCAACGAAGCCGCTATCCGAGATAGATCCCTGTGACACCCTTAAATACCATGCATAAAGCATAAGGCAGTGTCACCAGAGATGTCCGCATCGGGAACTGATGGCGTAGATACAGTACAATACAATACAATACCACCAACGCCCCGGAAATCTGGTCCCATTTCCTTTCCTCCTACCAGTCTTGACCTCCTGTTCCCCCCTCCAACTCAACTCAATGTGGCCCCCTTGGTCAGGCAGAGTAGACATCTACCCTCCATCACACAACCTACTGCACCTTCCCCTCAACGGCACACGGTCCCAAACCAGCAACCGCCTCATGTCCACCTTTGCCCATCCCCCTATGAAAGAACGCGGTCGGTGCCCGGCCTAGGGGGCATATCTCAGGCGGATTGCTGCGAGTCTCGGGGAAATCCTTGGTCACGATGATCTCCGTGCAAGGGGTGAACTTGGAGGTGTCGTCGAACAGCCAGCCCGCGCAGCCGCCGTCGTCGTGCGCGAGACAGGCGGCGCAGCACTCGGCGGCGGAGGCGGCTTGGGCGAAATCGGTGGCGTAGCTGCCGACGTCGGTGCCGACCCAGTTGATGGGGTGCAGGAAGGTGTTATCGTCCTCGCAGTCGATGGTGGTCGGGGGTGGCGTGGGTTTGGTCTGGGGATGGGTTAGTCGGTTGGGTGTAGCTTGCCTTTTGGGGGTTTAGATGTGGTGGGAGTGGTTTAAATTTCTGGAGTTCTTGCTTACGGTTGACTTGGTACTGCTAGTGGATGACATGGTAGTAGTTGATGTGGCCGTCATCGTCGATGTGGTGGATATGCTCATGGACGTAGTGGTGGTCGTGTCAGTTAGAGAGCTGGGAAGGTTAGTGGGCATGTTACTTAGTGTCGGAGGGTCAGGAGGGGGATTCATAGTGAGATCAGACCTGTTGTCGCCTGAAAACTTGTTCATAGCACCCAAAATGGCCACCACGACACCCGTGACGCCGGCGGTACAAAGAATGAAGATTATCCACTGCCATTTGGAGTACCTCTTATACCAGGGCGGGTCGGCAGGCTCAACCCACACACTCTCATGCATAACTAGATCCTTGCTGCCAGCCGTGCCGGGATGAAGCGAAGATCGAGTGTCGGGGTCGGCCGGAGTCCTATTGTTGCCATTGATGCCACCGGTTGTAGTTGCGTCGGCACCTCCGGAGCATATGACCTCGGGGTAAGGGTTCTGGAACGTCTCGGCGTACTGGTAAACCTGGCCAAAGGTCTTGAACGCGGCCGGCGGGGGAGACCTCGGGGCCTGCGACATAGGCCGCGAACGCGGATCACCATCGAAGGTCGACGACATGGTGGTGACAGTCCAGCGGGTCGCTATGCTTTAAATCCTCCTAGCAAACGTCAGTTTTCAATTTCGGATACTCCCGTTGGATTGCGACCCTGCAGCAGCCTTCAATCAAAAAAATCAATCAAAAGCAACGCTCAACGTCCACCACGGGTAGCCGCGTTTCGGTAAGATTCAATCTCCAAGGATATGAAAGTCGATCTTAAGGCAACGTCCAAGTCCCCCTAGCCCAAGGAAAGAAAAAATACCTTACCTTTTGCCTCGTCAAGTAAAGTTGGTTTGTGTTGAGTGGTGACCACTCTCAAAGTGCGTGTCAAAGATCCGCATCTAGAGTCAACGAGCAAGTTGGAATGGTTTGCAACTACCCGTGTACTTTCTTTCAAATGCCTCTCGGCCCTACGCATCAGAAGCAGCGGGAAGCGGGCAGTGGCAGGTCTCAAGCTCTGACACGCATGCGAGAAACAAAGGTGTTTCCACGTCGCCGGGGCAGTCACTCAAAAACGATCGCAACAGAACGCCGAGCCACAGCATCGATTCCGGCCGCTTCCGCTCGTTTCAGGGCCATTGAAGGCGGGGATTATGGTCTGACTTGTGGCACAATAGCAAGACTAGACGGAAGTTACACTGTCACCCGCAGCTTCCTGATCCATTCACTCTCTTGAACGAAGAGGTGATTAAGAACCGTCATCATCGAGTCTCTGGGTTAGCTTATTCAGTGTTTGGAGCCACGACATTGTGAGCTATGGAACACAGATCGGTGTGAAAGAAAGCCGATAAGGTGTTGAAGGATGCGGGTACTAATGCGGAAACACTGTAAAGGACCGTCCCTGTCTCAGGCAAAAGCATTGAGGGGAACCTCATGGGGCAAACAGTAAGGTGCCTAGGGTTGCGACTTCCCTTCTGTTCCCACAACCATTCAAGTTTCACACAGTGGCAACGTGGAAAAGCGGCTTAGCAGGGCAGGCGCAACCGGCCTAGGGTGATCCGATGAGCTCTAGTCATCAAGAGCTAGAATTAAGATTCTGCCCCGCATTTCCGGTTTTGATTTTATCTTCGTCGTCTACGTGCGACCTCAATTGAGTTGTTGTGTTGTTTGAATCGTTGAGTCGTTGAGTCGTCGAACATCTGGTCAAGCTTGGCTTCGAATACCTTCGGTTCCCTTAGCAACAGGGATGCCCCTGAATCACCGGCAACATATCAACAAAGGGGCCGGATGCCCCTTTTTCGAAGCGGAAGTCGAGGTATGTTGGCCGCTCCGGTTTGTTTCCGGGTCTCGGTTCCACGCATTGCGGCTCGCGCGGGGGTGCAACCGAACAGAAGCGAACCGCTTGAGCTTTGATGTGACGGATGATGGATGACGTTCTTCAAGCGGTGCTGCGCGCGGCACTGAAATTTCCTCCTGCAGGCGCAAACCAACGGAGGAGGCCAAATCCAAGTTCCGGCTTGCTTCTCCTGCCAAGATTAGTGGCTGCAGGAGCCGTCGTCGGCAAACCCGGTGCCGGCCACTTTCCGGAACCGCCAACCCGGGTGCTCCCAAGACTGATGAACATCTCCCGAACTATCTTTTTTTGGCCCTGCCGAGCGTTGTAAGATCAGCGCTTCTCGGCTTCTCCGCCAAGACAAAATGGAGAAGGCCCGAACGGCGTTGGATCGACGCCAACTCTTGCCTCCTCGGGCCACGGAGGTTCGGCCCAAAAGTCCGCTGTTCTCCAGTTTCCCCAGTTGTCCAAACGTACGCGACAAATGCGAACAACACGAGGCCCCCTAAGTTCTCTCAATTCTGTGCGAGATCAACAGCTCCATATGGCCAGCCTGCATCTCAAGGCCTCAGCCGGCCAGTGTCAGTCGTCGTTGAAGTCGTATCTTAGACGGCCAGCCAAGGAATTTCGGCACGGCAGCCAAGCCAGATGACGACAAATTAATTTTCTTCGAACATTCTTCAAAGTCTCGAAGCCTGGGTGTTGGGAAACTTGGCACAGCCTGCAATTTATTTCGCCTTTTAACCTGAATAACCCGCACTATGCCATTGGTGGCTCGTCCTGGCCTCCCCCGTCTGACCCTTTCGACGACATCCCCTGTCAAGCCAAGCGCGCAGGCGGCAGGCCAAGCCCAATCAACCTGGTTTCGAACCTTCCCCATACCCCACAACTCCTGTGCTCCCCCAATCTGGCCTTGGCAATGAACAGCCGCATCGCCGCGATGTCGTCCTCCCCGTGGGGGAACGGTCATCGGCTTGCTGGAACTAGCCCTGCTCGGAGTCTTGGCCGTCCGTTCCGCCCGTTTGTTCGTGTGCTTGAACCTGGAAATAACTTCCAACATCTTTCCTTGGAGGATGGTTTGTCGATCACTGCCATGAGTCGACAACTTCTTGCTCGCCCCTGGCGGTCCGCAAGCCGCTTTGCTGGGCGAGAAGAGTGGCTGTCCAGATGGCCGATATCCGTGCCATGGCACCCAACGTCTTCTTTTGGAAACCAAGTTAACGTTATGAATGATTCCGTCGAGGGATCGACACCAACCCCCGTCCCATCCCCTTGACCCCTCCATGATCATGCCCATGACCTTGACCATGACCATGACAAGGACGCGCGCAGGATCAAAAGTGCGAGGGCTTTGAAGCAGCAACCTTCCCGCCTGGGGAACGGCGCGGAGGCTCCGATCGAGTATAAGAGAACATGTTCACCCTCCCCTTTTGTTCCTGAGCTTCTTGTGTTTTCGTCCTGCAGCTCAGTTCGCATCTTTGAGTAGTCAACCCCCTCAAAAAGCTCCTCAGCAGCATCATTCAAAATGCGTTTTGACGCCACCACCATCCTGGCCCTTGCGCCGCTCGTCGCCGGCCACGGCGCTGTCGTCAGCTACACCATCGACGGCACCGTCTACCCCGGCTACACCGGCTTCTCCCCGGACTCCAGCCCCGACACCATCCAGTTCCAGTGGCCCGACTACAACCCCACGCTGGAGGTGACCGACGAGAAGATGCGCTGCAACGGCGGCACCAGCGCCGAGCTCAGCGCCCCCATCGCGGCCGGCAGCAACATCACGGCCACCTGGGGCCAGTGGACCCACTCCCAGGGCCCCGTCATGGTGTGGATGTTCAAGTGCGACGGCGACTTCGGTTCGTCGTGCACGGGTGAGGGCAAGGGCTGGTTCAAGATCGACCAGATGGGCCTGACCTCCGGCACCGACCTCAACTCTAACAACTGGGCCACTGACATCGTCGTCAAGACCCTCGAGTGGAGCAGCAAGGTCCCCACCAACCTCGCCCCTGGCAACTACCTCATCCGCCACGAGCTGCTCGCTCTCCACCAGGCCAACACCCCGCAGTTCTACGCTGAGTGCGCCCAGGTCGTTGTGTCCGGCAGCGGCTCGGACAGCGTGCCTTCTGACTACCTCTACGAGATCCCCGTCTATGCGCCCCAGGACGACCCGGGTATCACTGTACGTTTTCCCCTCTATCCCACCCATCTACACACTACAGTTGAACTAACAACCTTTATCAGGTCGACATCTACCAGGGCGGTCTTACCAGCTATACCTGCCCCGGCGGCGAGGTCTGGAGCGGCTTCCAGTAAATGGAGCAGCAGGAGACAGTCATTGGCGATGATGTCGGAGGCACGGGATATCCTATTATGACTGTACATATGTCTTAACAGTCTTCTCATTTCTTTTGCAGTCACTGCATGGCCGGCGCGTGGTTTTGGGAACTTGGATGGGGGCTCTGATACACTGGATGGGTGGGCGGTTCCATAGTCCTGTTGGTGGTGGGCAAGCCGATAAAGGTTTTAGCCTGTTGTGCTTTTGCCCGGTGGGCTACAGTCATTATGAATGAATGATTGATGGGTGCCAACAAATAGCTGGTTTTGCGTCGTCTCGTGCTGTTAAAACTGTGCCTTCCCCCTGTATCGTTGCACGATACGGCCCGTGATGTAAAGGTTGTCTTTATTTGAGGGTTGTCACATCCAATTTCGGGTTCAGCATGTAAGCCCTTCATCTTTCTTGCAACTTCCTCAGTGGTGCTGGTCAACATGGCTTCTACACGGGTAATCAGTCGTTCAACTTCTTGTTACTTTTCTATGTGGGTTTAGCAAATAATTAATATGGTGCAAGCCGGTATCGAATTACCTCCTGATTATTCCCGACTCTACGAGGATGGATAGATGATGTACAGATTAAATTAAATTGCTCACTTTCTATTACCCCCCCCCCCTTCTCCTTACCTGACATGTTTGTTTGTCTTGACTGATTTTGTGGCTGATACTTACCACTCCGCAGTCCAACTTTCACGGTGGTTCCTCTGCCTCATGGAGGGAGCATGGAGCACAACCAGCCGACTTCTGTTTGTGTCTAATACAGTTTAAGTTATCATTGAGTGTAAATAAAATAATGCGACTCTCGACAAGTCAATCCCTAAATTTGGTGAATTATTTTTATACATTTCAAAGTCTTAAGGTTTTGAGCAAAGACATCCTCTACTCTTGAAGTATCATTTCACCTCCTCGCTGGTTGAAAGGGAGCAGGCAAATTAAAACCCATCAATGCTTTTGACCGGTCTGAGAAGCTTCTCCTAGTCAATACCAAGTCTGGTGCCCAGGGCCTTAATCTCACTGACTTTTCCGACCACCTCTGCGCCACCCCTGACCCCACATCCATGAAGGGGAGCGGACCGAGTCCTATGTCCTCGCAGGGGATCCAGCACGACGCTCGTGCGATCGTCAAAAGGGTCGTCCCTATCCACCCTTACGATGTACCCCCCCGCCATAATAACTGCAGCCTCCGCCGGGAGTAGAGAAAATTTCTTATCGGTCTGCGTGCCTGCTTTGGCAGCCAAGACGTCGAAATTTATGGTCTCGAGCTTCGCATTCCGGGTATGCGCGGCGTTGAGGACCCAACCAACGGTGTCGGCTTCGCGGGTCTGGTAGAATTCGCCCTCCTTGATGCCCTCGACGGTGTAGTAGAAGGCTGTGAGGCCGTCTTCTTGTTGGGCTAGCTGCAGGTGGCGTTTTCGAAACTTGACGACGTGCGGTCGCAAAGAGTGCTGTCAGCTCACGGGTTGCCAGTCGTGGCCTGGGGATTCCTCGGGCTAAGTGCTAAATAACTCTAAACCTTGTGCTTACACTCAATCCCCGCAGGCGCTCCAAAGCCTGACGTTCCAATTCCTCGCTCGCCATCGTGAAGGGTTGATAGGGGTAAGCTTTGAGAGCAGAGAGACGTTGGACGTTTTTCGATGACAGGTCGTCTGAAGAATCCCTCAAGTGCCTGAAGGTGACGAGAGCTCAGTTGGCGAGGGCTCCGATAATGTGGTTAAGGCGGACACAACAATCTTTGGTCTCAATGCCCAAGTACCCTCAATACAAGCTTGGGTGCTCACCAGCCATTTTACTCAAAGAAGATTAACCTCCGTCCTGCTGGGGCCACCTGAGTTGGTTGGCTATCTGCGCGTCTAACCTGTTTGCCTTATTCTTATGCCCTTCGGCTTAAATGCAGTCAATCATGTGGTATTTTGTGGGAATTTACCAAAGGCTGTTGCACCCCCTTCCCTGAAATGTCTGAATTGTGCATTCCTTCACGGTTCTGGTAACTTGTCCTCGCTAGTCTCACCCTGTGACACGGAGGTTGTTTCCTTCTGCGAAGAATATGAGAATGTTGGCATGAGAGTGATCGTCAACATCCATACTGGACCCATAATACCCTGACGAGCTAATCGATTATTGTCCAACCGAAACGGCAAGAGATCAAAAGGGACCAAATCTCAACGCAGCGGTATTCGTGCTTGCATCGAATTGTGCGAGTCAGTGTATGAATTATATGATTCTCGCTTTTAGGAAGGAGCACCCGAGAGTCCGTGATCGGGATCATGACCTCTCATTGAAACTTCCTATTACCTCAGTTAAACTTTATGATTTGATTTTACCCCAAAGACCGGAATTAATAGCATGCAACTTCACAAATCTCTGCTGGCCTCTGTGCTTGAGTGGCGTTGTTGGGTAGCATTGCGTCAGTCGAATATCTCGGACTCTCAGAGTGGCCAGGGTTGCAGCCGTGGGGATTTCGACCCAAATTGCCAGCCTTGTGTGTTCCAGATTTAATTATACAATCAACCGACCGAACCGCTTCAAAATTCGCGAGCTTCGCTTAAGTTGAGCCGCACCCCCTCATTTCTTCTCAACGTTAGACAGCCATTGGTCGGATTTCGTTGTTGTTGACTTGTCGTCCATGCGACCTTCATTTGAGCCGCATTTAGGTTACGATCAAGCATAGCGGCCCGTCTGTCAAGGAGAGGAGTGGTGATGTGGCCAAATCAAACCAAATGCACGGTCCTTGAGATCAGCAATAATCAAGGTTAGGCAGAGACAACGAAGGAGAAGGCTCGTTGATATCTCCACGCTGTGCCAACCAAAGTTGACCCCCAATAAAAGGGCTGGGCCGGTTGAGGGTGTGGATAGAATGGGTACGAGGAGAGTTATTACATATTGGGATGGACTGTATGTCACTTGGTAAACCAGTTGGGGCCACCATTGTCACTGTCATGGGATCGCCGATCGACCATACTTAGCTGCCTGCAGATTCCTTTTTTACCGGGTCAGATACGCAAAGCTGCTCGGGCCGGCCACTTGTTGATCGACTGCTGACGAGTTGATGTGTAGTGTACCCAATCATGTTGCCTGGGTCTCGCACACCTCTGGGTTGACTTGCTTGGGTTCAGGTTGGATGTCGTTGGGGACTTTTCAGGCTCAATATTCTCCACGGAAAGAGCGGGAGTTGAGCTGTCTTCATCGGTTTTATTGGCAAGCAACCGAGCGTGGTGCATCGAGACTGTGTGGTGAGGAAGCGAGTGGGAGAATGAGGGGAAGAAAGAGAATAGAGCAGAGAGAGAAGCAGGGGTGGGGGCAAGGTAAGGGGGCGAGAGGAGGGGAGGGAGGTTTGGCTCAAGGCGTGTATAAGAGGGTGCAAGTTCCCTACTAAATCCTAGACTCGAACAACAGCAGGTCGAAAGTGCTCAGCGCATCCGAAATCCTGACCGAGGACTGGTTCCGAATCTCCTTTTTTTCTTTCGATCTTAGTTCAAGACAACATGTCTCCCTCCGAGTCACCTCCGGACCCAAGTTCAAGGGCGCAGGTCGATTCTCAGAACCTGGATTCGGGTTCGAGTGGGACCAACGCAGAAGAATCTTTAATTGCTATTCCCCAGTTTCAGCGCGTGGAACCCGACAGCAACGAGCCTCTCTCGGGATACTATTACAAGGTTGAACTTGGAGAGTTGAATAAAGCCAATTTCAGAACGGCAAGCGATAACGTGACAGAAGTATCAACCTGTCTTGATTGCGAGGTACGTGTCTGGTTCTTGGAGGACACATCATGGTGAAACCAACTTGGCCCCCTCCACCTTGCTCAGTTCGCATCGTGAATAGCTTAATCTAACTCTCTGTAGTTGTGGACCAAGCCGTACTCCGATATCATCCAACGCCTCACCGGTATTCAACTCATCACCAAATCTCGCGACCAGGGATGGGTCAGCGAGCCATGGCAGGGCAATTGGACGTGGTTCGAGGTTTGTCTCGTCGATGAGGAGAAAAACGAAGAACGCCGTTGGATGAGTCATGAGAATGCGTTCTTGACCAATTCCACACTCTGGGTGAGTGACAGCGTCTCAGAACTGAGAGCATACAACCCTTCTATTCACGGCTGTCATACCCACCAAAAATCTCTTAAGCTGACAGCCTGGCTCTCGTCACTCGCACACAGCGCGATGGAACGACGTTTGGTCCCCAACATGAGTTGCTGCGGTTACTCAAGGAATCGCCCCTTCAGGTAAGCAGGCAGGCGCCCTCGGGTTGGCATTTAAAGAAAACACGGAAGACAAAAAAGAAAAAAGGGTGGGAAGGTTGCTGACTTTGGTTCCGTCATGACAGCACAAAAGATTACGGGTTCAAGCAGGGAGGTGTTTTGATGGGTGGGCAATTCCCGCATGTCAGGGGTTCTTGATTTTCAACATTGGTTGCGAAACGGCGTGTAAGTGCAAATATCTCTAGTCACCCACCCAGTTGATTATTCCAAACCTCTCCGACTCGGACCCGGAGATCATTATTGTGATCCTCTGCTTACAAAAGCACAACTATAGTCAACCGGGAGTCAGCTCTGAGAGATCTGGGACAGGCCACATACCGTCCCATAACGGTTGCTGGGCGCGCCATCAGGATTACCAACGACAGTATCCTCCAGCGAGGGCCCGCCGTGAAGGTCACATACAAACAGGTTGCCCAAAGGGAACAAGTTTCCGCTCCATATATCCCCCGGAACACGCTACAGGCGGTGTCAGAGACGCCAACCCAAGTTCTCATTTACCATGTCACTAGCTCGGTCGAGCTATTGAACATCGTGGGGACGGACTTCAACCGTGTGCTGGTGGTGATTGATGCACCTCACTTGCTTGAGGACTACGGGGATGACGGTTACTTTTCGTGGGATAAAGCCGTCGAGGAGCTCTCAAAAGTGGCGAAGCAGGAGACCTTTAAAATCTTCCGCAAGTTCCATGTTGTCATCCGGTTGGGCAACGAGGGCGCGATTTACCGATCCCCAGCTTCCCACCCCTCCGGCAATCGACAAATTCTGATTTTTGACGCTCATAACTCCCAAGGTCATTTCCTCCGGCGCGGTCTCCGCCAAACACCCAACAAGGCCGTTCTTGAGGGCAAATTCCGAGATGCCTACCTAGCGGGCCTGGCTGCGTCGCTGTCGGCGGAATCTACCACATCCCTGGAAGAACTCTGTGGAATTCAGGTCAGAGAGGCTGTCATGGTTGCCATTCGCTGGTCTCAGCGGTATGCAGTCCAGGCGGCCACCGCGACTGGAACCTCACCCGCACTCCCGGCTAGATGGCAAAGCCTAGAACACGACGTTGCTGGTGACTCTGTCCTCATCCCTGTTGACCTGCCCGGAGATGTGGCTGCCGGTAACGACTCTCTGGTCTTTGAGGCCCTGCCTTATCGCCCCATCAAACACGCCGCACGGGATATTGTGAGGAAAGGCCGGGAGGCGGTCCTGTCTCTAGTGCCAACAGCTCGCTTCAAGGCTCTCGCGACAGCCGACCGGTTTGAAATCGAAGGATTCCGCAAGATTGCCCGTGATATACAGGGTTATGTCAACGGCGAGACGACGAGACCGGCGCCGCTCTCCATTGCCGTGTTTGGCCAGCCCGGCTCAGGCAAGTCCTTCGGCATCGAGCAGGTCATCTTGTCGGTCATGGAAGAGTCTGGGAAAATGGGAGAGGTGGAAATGCTCAAATTCGATCTCTCACAATTCCAACGATCCGCGGACTTCCAAGTCGCCTTCGAGACCATCCGTGACTGCTCGATCCGGGGCAAGCGGCCCGTTGTGTTTTTTGACGAGTTTGACAGCACCTTCAACCACCAGCCTCTCTACTGGGTCCAACATCTCCTCGAGCCCATCGAGAAGGGAACCTGGAAGAACAAAGCTAAGGTCGAATGCCGACTGGACAATGGCATCTACGTCTTCATCGGGGGTACGGCCAAAACGATGAAGGAATTCAAGTCCCCAGATGAGCCTGCTGCCCCTTCGAGCACTGCACCGTTAGCTAGGGAGGCCACGAGAGAAGAAGGAATAAACGAGGACCAAACGGCCCCCGAGGCACACTCAGAACCCTCGGAGGACCCGGATTCCTCAGATTCACCGGAGGACACGGGGTCAGAAGGTGTGCCTAAAGACTGCAAAGCACTGGAAAGCTTTCTCTACAACAAACTACGGCGGCCAAGGGACGCTGACGGCAACCCGGCGAGGGACGACCCCGATGACAGGAGTTTTTACTTCAAGATGTCCTCCGACAAGACATACACCGAGCTTACCGATTTCTTCTACAAAATTCGGGAGCGGACGTTCTCCGGCAAACCCCCAGTCGTTTTTTTGGAGGGCTTTGACACGGACCTGAGTACCTCGAGTCACGGCGACGACAATACCCAGCCAGCCGGATGGTTCGATTGGCTCAAATCTTTCTTTTACAGTGACGACAAGACACGGCGGACCGAACGGTTAGGTTGGCTCAAATATTTCTTAGCTCCCATGCAAGACGGTGCTTTCATGGACGGAGGGCATTCTAGACCTCTCGGCCGCGCTATCTTCGTCTTCATCGGTGGAGAATCCGGCGAGATCCAGGCGTTTCTTGACCGTCTAGACAGCCAAGAGAACGGCCAACACCAAGATGCCGCAGCAGCAGTCTTCCGCAAGGCGAAAGGCCCGGATTTCATGAGTCGGCTACAGGGTTATGTCACGGAAAACACGGAACACAATGACTACGACTGCCTCAAGACGGTGATTCAGAGGTACCAGGATGGCGGCAAGGCAAAACCTCTCTCCTTGGGCTTCTTCCGAAAGCGCACGCGCCCTGTTCCCACCCCGAGTACCGAGGAGGGCCAGGATTCGGAGCAACCCCAGGACAAGGAGAGGCAGCGGGATATACGAAGCCGGTTTGAGGGCGCTATCAAGGGCCGGTTCGTTAATATCTTGGGGCCTGACCAGGTGGTGGGCCAAGAGGACAAGATGTATGTGTTGCGCCGTGCGATCTTGCTCCGGTCGATGATAGACCGGTTGCCGAAGAAGCTCAACATCCGCCCCAGCGACGAAGTCCTGAACGCTCTTTTGGATATACCCCGCTTCCACCACGGCGCTCGTTCGCTAGAGGCGATCCTCTCCATGAGCAGGCTCGTCGTCCGCACGGACGGCCCACCCCGCCAGGAGCCCGAGCCTCCCTTGACGGACGCGGAGAAAATGCAGCTGAAATTGCACGTCAACTGGAAGGAACTTGGAGCGCTGTTGGAGAGGGGTCCTGTGCCCAAAGAGGTTGCTCAAGACAGCGAGCACTGGCGCGCCGCCGAGATGATGTGGCACCGGATGAGGTTCAGCGGCCCGGTAAAACCATAGGCACGGCCGAGAAGTGAGAAAAACAAAGGGGGGTGAGAGGGATGAAAGGGTTGACATTTCTGAGACAAACTGAGTTGATTAACAGGTTCTTAAGCATGTAGCGGAGTGAAAAATTAGAGTTTAGAAGAATTTTGGTCCGGATTAGCCGAGGAAACCGTCTCATTGTGTTTTCAACCATCTTGTTGATCACATTGTCCGTTGTTTTGGCAAGATTGCTTTCAACCGTGCTATCAATCCCTTTGTTAACCGCATCGTTAGACACCTGCAAGATTGCTTCAAATCAAGGGTTAAATTTGACACTCTGCTATCAACCTCCCAGAGAAACATCTCTAAATAAACCGCCAACCAAAACAAACCACGAGCCTAGGAGGGTATCCAAAAACAACAGCATACCAACGCCCACTTCTTCATACCATCCACCACCCTCCCAAGATCCATTACGCCTGCCCCTCAGCACCCCCGGCCAAACCCTTCCTCCTAGCCTCATTAATCGCCTTCAACTTGGCCGTCCCAAGGCCCGCAACACCCTCTTTCTGGTTATCCCCCAACCACGGCTTCTTCGAGTCACCCAGGATACTCCCAGCCAGGAAATACACCACCAGCCCGATAATGATCAGCACAAACGCAATAGGATACATCCAATGCACAACATAACCAAACACCCGCGTGCCAATGATGACACCCCAGAAGTTCGCCGTCAGCAGATTGACATCAAACACCGCCGCGCTGCCCATCCGCAGAATCAGCGGCGCCACCGAATAAAACAGACACAGACACAGCGTATACCCAATCAACCACCCCGCCACCTGCGCATTCCACGTCGCGCCCTCAAACGAGTGCCGATCAAAGATACCCGCCTGCACACCGTTGATGCAAACCCCAAAGATCCCCAAGAACGACAGCACCTCATACACCGGCCGCTTACTCACAAACCACTCCTCAAACACGTTGCTGACACCATACAGCGTAGCTCCCAGCAGGGCGAACAAATCCCCCTTGAGCATGTTGGGACCCGCGCCGCCGTTGGAACCCGTGATATGGTCGCTGGCAAGCAGCAGGCCCATGCCGCCGCAGCAGAGCAGGATGCCGAGGATCTGCAGGGGGCGGTAGCGCACGCGCAGCAGGAAGAAGGACAGCAGCACGACGCAGACGATAGACCAGAAGTTGATGAGTTGGGCGGAGAGGATGTTGGTGTAGCCATAGGCGAGGACGGTGAAGTAGTTGCCTTCGACGTCGAGGAAGGAGAGGATGAAGTATTTCCAGCCGTCGCGGAGGACGATGCGGAACCACTTGCGGGGGCCGTAGTGGTAGAGGGTGAGGGGGAGCCAGATGAGGACGAGGAGGGCGTAGTTGAAGAGGGTTTGGAAGGCGGGGATGTTGGTGTTGACGCTGACGAGGAAGCTGGTGAAGGTGTTGGTTGCTGTGATGCAGAGCGAGAGGATCTGGCCGATCGCGATGATCACCCAGAAGTCGACGGTTAGGAGGTACGAGTACCAGTGCACGTTGCGGGCCTCTAGCTGCGAGAGGCCGGCCTCGACGGCGGCGGCTTCGGCCTCGGCATCGGGGGAGTGGGACGAAGAGGACGAGGCCGCGGAGCCGTGTTGGTTGATGGTGGTATCCTTGTTGGCCTCACTGGGATACTTGGTGATGACGGCCTCGCCGGCCGCCGTGGGCTGGGCTTCGGGTTCGCCAGCAGCCATTGCTCTGGTGTCGGCGTGGTTCTCGTGGTGATCGTCGTCGTCGTCGGTGCGCAACGATTGGTACCCCTGATTATCTGAAGACGATACCGGTCCGAGATCAAGTGCCGCGAATAAGCGGTCGAAGATAGATTCTTGGTATTTGGTTCCCGTAGACATCCAAAAAGTTGGCTCAAATCGCGTGTCGATAACCAACACCGCGGTGAACGGGTTTGTAAACGCTGCGTCGTTTCACGCACGTTCGAGTCTTTCTTACGTCTCCTCTAGCAAGCGCAAAGACTGAAGTCGCTTGCTACCCTACGCTTGTCGTCGGGCTCGGCACATACAGTCATGCGCCGATGAAATGGTCGATTTGCGTGGCGCCGATTCGAAGTTGAACATAGAGCAGGAAGGTTTCAAGTGAGGGAGGTGATGGAATTCCTTCACCAATGAGACCGACGCCGTTTTGTCCCTCGCGAGTTGACGATCCGGCAGGTGAGCGGGGGTCTTCGAGGAGAAAAGGGCAGGGTTCGAGACAGGACGCGGGAAGAACTACAAGTCAAATGCTTAAAGCCCAATAATTACGTGGTAAGGTTGAGCAGGTGATGTGATGGTTAGGTTTGGGGCGCGTTTCAATTGCCTGTGGCTGTAGAAATGCGCGGCTGAAAATACTGAAAGGAAAAAAGTCTGCAGTAACGTCAATGCTAGCGTTGCGGGGATGCAACCAGCTCGAGAACTCACCGAGGCCTCAAAAAGGCCCCCAACGCCTTGCCAGGTTGCTTTAGCGTGGTTCGAGCCCGCCCCCGGCCACGGGGGTTTATTCGCTTGTGCGAACGGAGCCGGGGTTCATCTCCGGGGGCCTTGCCGGCTGCCGGGCTTCGCACGTGGCTCTGCTTCTTTTCTTCCCGCTCCAAACCCGAAGATGCATCGATACGCTCTTGATCTGCACGGTTCCGAGAGGCTGATGAATGCTGCATGGTTGATGCAGCATTTTGACAGAGACAATCGCGTCGCTGAAGACCCCTCCGCTGCAGCCCGACCCAAGGTCCGGGGGTTCCATGTCAGTGATAACGTTTGTTATCCAGAACCCCTTTTGGGCGACTTGCGCGCCAAGACCCCACGCAGTTCCTGCGCGAATTAACGTTACGCAAAAACAATCCGTCTGGGAACTTTTCTTGTGTTGAAGGTCTTGCGAAGACTCAAGGATCCAGTTTGAGGTGCGATAACCAGCCTTGCTACGGAACCAAGGGAAAATAAAAATAGAAATAAATTGCTCGACGAGAAGGCCATCAACTTCCTAAACGGTCTATCGTTTTTCTCGAACGCATGGTTGTTGGGCTCTAACTCAACGACTGTGTTTGCGAATGGTCGTTTCGCGGCCCGTCCCGCAATGCGCCAACCCTGAACCTCATGCTTTGTCAGCAAGTTTGCTTGAAACAGTGAGGCAACTACCACGAAGTCGATGACAGCAACTCTGTTTCCTCTTTCTCTTTTTTTTGTTGGCCTGTTGTCAACGTTGTTCGCTCGCGAGACAACTGTCCGACACCCAACTGGTGTTACTCTCAAAATCCGGCCATTGCGACATCGAGTGTCGGGCAACGTCGGCTGGCCCATCACGGAGGACTTGTGTTACGAGGGCTGATATCGAATATTTGGCCCAGCAAGAAATGTTGGCAGACCAGTAACATGAAATACGGTGACAGTTGGGGGGAGGCCGAGTCCCGAGCGCCTGGCTCAGTCAGACACGCAGATTCGTGCGACAACAAGAGTTGATCCCACCTCGGTAAACCCCTCACCGGCACACATTCTAGAAGCCTCAAGAGTCCTCGCTGTACGTAGATGGTGGCGAGAAACCCACGAACCATTCGCGCGTGCAGGTGGGGCGTTGTGACCTCATGCTCACGCTGCAGCGTGATAGAAGCGACAGCAGAACTACCAGGTCACGCCGTCGACGACCCGACCCTTGGGATTGGGCCATGGTGAGAGATGGCCGTGTCAAAGGGCTGCAGCAAGCGCCGTTCTTCCTGCAGTGGCGGCCTGCAGCAAGGTCAAGGTCATCTTGATACCGGGGGCTAGCTTTCTTTGTGTTGGCCGGCTTCCCGCTGCACTAAAATTGGACTCACCCTTCTCGGATCAAAACTAAACTACAAGAAACTCTGAGACACTATGAACTTCTCGACTTTGGTATGGGCGCAGGACAGTGTCTGTCCAATTGGCCGGCGCTGGACTTTTTCCACCATGGCAAATCGGGGAAATTTCGTCAGGCTGGATCGGGCGCCTGCAAGAAAAGTCAAAGCGGGGAACCCGACAAGAACCGAGAGGCGGATGAGGTTCGTCTCGCTGCCAGCGTACGAATTTAGCCGGGGCCTCTCACCCTCGACTATGTACTTTGAGCATGTGTTCGAGTGCTAAACAAGCCCGTGTCGTCGTTGAGGGACTCGGGATTGGGCGGGGATACAGGTGGGGAAAAAGGCGAATAAAACCGCTGGAGAAAGAAAGAGAAAGAGCTTTCCCAAAGTATCAAGTCGAAATCCTCGCCGACATGTATCGTATTAGGGTTACTAGTTAGCTCGTCCGTTGTCGAAGCGGTTGAAGTTCAGAGGAACAACCTTGATAGGCCCAGAAAAAGCCGCGCTTGGGCAACCCCGCCAAAATGTTTCCGAGCTGCTACCATCGGGCTGTTCCAGTTCCGTTTCAAGCGGCATGCGGAACTGATGCCGCCCCGCCCCACGACGGTATCCTGCAACGGGAGCAACCGCTTGAAGAAAGAGTCGGCGTTGCTTGTTGCAGTAGTGTAGGTTAGATGGCGGGGGTAGGCAGTCTACTCCATGGAGAAGAGACAACAAAAGATGAGAAGAGAGACGTAAGTAAACCGGCAGAAAATATGTCGATGGTGGTCAGGATACCTCGGCATTCCCGCTGCACTACCGTGATGGATGAAGATGCAGTGCAGATGAAACAGCAGGAGACAGACATCTTGTTGAATGGATTCTCGCCGGCAAAGATATCCGGTCCGCCTCCGCCCACGTGCCTTCAATCTGGCGGGAGAAGAAACCCAAGTTCGAAGTTTCGATTGTACATTTGAATCTCGAAAACACGTCTCTCTGGCGTTCAAAAGAAGGCGTACTTCGTACAGAAAAAACCCTTCCCCCTCCCCCAAAAAAACCATCACAGGATATCGGGGAAACTGTGCCGGCCGGAGTCGATCTTGCCCGAAGCTTTCGTCCATTGCTGCCCTCTGGACCCCACACTGTGTTGGAAGCGTGGGGAAAAAGACGGAGATTGGGGAGCACGCCCCCGACTCCTATTAGTAAGGGCTACATGGCCGGCGCGGCCGTGGCCCCCCCCCCCGGCAAGAAAACGCCGCGGCGTGATGGGAATTTGACTCCGGGGACTCGAAACGAAGAGGAGTGGGTGTTAATAAATCTGTGTCGTCTGTGTCGTGGACAAATACACTAGCTATCAGGAAACCGGCGTTGTTATCCCTGACCCCATCAAGGAGCACCGTGAGCGAAAGCGAGAATCGGTGTATCCGCATTAAAACTTGCCCACGGCCATGATTACTTGGCTCGAGCTCCCAAACCCAAGCAGCTCGATCGGGTTATGGGAGCTTCAATGCTTGAAGACCCGGAATGCCGGTTTCTGCAACCGCGCATTCCCATTCATACTTGACGAAATTAGTTCGCCCGGCCAACTTCCCAATCAACTTGTAGCACCTGGTTTCTCTTTTTTGGCAGTGCCCGCCTTCCAAATGTGGCGCCAAACAATGTGACCCCCAGATGAACCAAACCTCTGGTGCAGGGTTCCTAACCTCCTCGGTATCGGGCCGCTCGGGTCCAGGTCGCGGGTTCGTTGGAGGGACGTCGAGCTCCAAACAGATGATCATGCACCCCGCGGGCGCTCATCAATGACCTGCGGTTGCTTTGGCTCCTTGTGTATCACTAGTGCCTCGTCACTTTCGCGGTCAAGCTCACACGAGGCAGAGCATTCGAGAGAGATCTCCATCGCCAGAGGCTGAATCAGCAGCTCAAGACGAACGAGCTTCCGGAAGACCTTTGACTGCCGGAGAATGCTTCAGTCTAGTTCCCCGAGCGCTTGAGACGGAATTTATTAGGCGTCTGCTCATCTTTGGTGTCGCCGTCATATCGCCCGTCAAACAGGGGGGTTTTGCGCGCTCGCCTGGTCCTTGCTCCCATGGTGGAAATGTTCCGCAACCCCTGCTGGATTTCGTCTTCGGCCTGGGCCTGGTTGTCGCAGAGCACGGCCTTGGAAAACCCGCGATTTTGGGTGGATGAACCACGGACAAATCATACCGTGCGAAAACGCCGGGTATTTCCCGGTCTTCAATTTGTCCTTTGCAGTCACCGATCGAGTCGAGTAAAACATGGGGGAGACCGCCGGGGGGTGTGGCATCACGGAATAGCCAGAGAATGGAAATTTCCCATATGCTCGTAACTGCGCACGCTTAACAGACATCAGGCGGTTCTTGTTGCGCGCAACCCGCTTTGTCCCTTGCCTCGAGGGCAGTTCTCGTGCGCCTTCCACAGACCAAAAAGGGGATCGAACCTTTTTCTGCAAGAGCGACCTCCACGTCAGGCCGATCGACCCACGTTCTCTGTCCTGTGCGCCGGGCCTAAGAATCTCCATCTCCCCCGGTCTTTCCCTTCTGAAAGCAACCCTCCACTTCTGGCTCACGGCCCTAAAAAAAAAATACCGCCTGCGCGTCGAGCTGCGTGCCCGAATTTCTCTTTTCTCCCCTTTTCTCTCCTTTTGGTTCGCCTTGCCAATCAGTTTTGGACCAACCCGGGAACCATCTGAAAGACAGGCAGCGCTGAACTTGTGGTAAGTGTGATTTGAGGACCGCGCACGTTGAGGAGCCAGCCCAAGTCCCCCCCGAAGAAACAATTTTTTCCCCCCTGCTCGGTGGTGCGCCACCCGCAACTGGCCAAACCTCACGGTCCTTTTCGCGCGCCTCAGCTTCCCTACCCCCTTTCCCCGAGCTCCTTGGTGCTGGACCACACACCAGGCAAGCGATCGTGCCTGTCATATGCTGCCGGCGCGTTGCCCTCACACATTACCTGCCGCGTGCATCGCAGTTCAACGCATACTAACCTGAACATCGGCATCGACAGCTGCTCAGCCGGAAAACTCAACACCAAATCCCTTTCTGGAGCACCGCCGAAGATTCGCTGCGGCTTTCCGGTCTGCACACCTTTGCGGTAGCCCCTCGTCATCATGTCGACCTACTACGAGTCTTCGCCCTCGCAGTGGCCTCCCTCCGGCCAGTCTGGTTGGGATCACCAGACTCCTCCTCCGGCCCGATCTGGTGAGTCCCTCTGCCGGCTGCGCAACGAAAAACCGAAGAGTCTCGAACGCACACTAATCATGTTAATGCACACAGGCGCCAGCTCCGTCATTCCTCGTGAGGAGGCCGCCGCGTTCACTCACCAACTCGAAGGTATGTTGTATCGTGATGGCGCTGTGCCCGCGGTATCCGAGTTCGCTTCCACTCCCGGCAGGCAGTTCCCAAGGCTCCACCTAGATTTGGGAAACCTGAAAACTTGGAGGGGCGGCCTTGGGTAGGAGGAGTGTGGTCAAACGAAAGGGGAAAAGAAACGAGATTCTAACGGTTCTATGTTTTCTAGAGGTTGACCGCGCCATTGACAACTTGGTTAAGAGCGGAAAAATGTTTGGAGGAGCCGGGGGTCGTCGTGAGTTTATTCCCCGTCCCGGCCCCGCCAGACAGTACCCAGCTTTCGACGCGCACCCTCGAGGCTGGCCGGGCCGTCGCCGACGAGCTCGACCCACTGACCTTTGACCTTTTACACGCTAGAAGGACGCCCTCCTGCTGGCCCCGGTTCTCGCCCCCATTCCGTGGCCGACTTCGGCGATGCCCGCGGCGGACACCAAGGCTCGAACCTCCAGAACTTTTACGCCAACCAGCGACACCAGTCCTCACGCGGCTCGAACGAGGCGGAACAAATGATGCAGGCCAAAAGGAGAATGGCCGCGCAGCGGGAGCGCGAGCTGCGGAACTACCATCAGGAGCAGCAATACAACCGAAGTAGGCCTCCCTCAACTGTATAGCATCAAAATTTCCTGTGAGAGGGAGAGAGTGAGAGAAACCAAAACAAGAAAAATCATAGAGGAGCTTCCGGCATGTCGGAGGTCAAGCCTCACTCTTCCCAACTGTGTTGCACCACAAGTGCGGTTCGACGCCAAATGGCTCTGTGCTCTCTCTATAAACACTGTAAAGACGGATGGACCTCACAGGAAACATCTCGGGTGGCTGGGTTATGGGACAACGGAGCGTCCAAGAATCTAGGCTAACTTTGAGCTTCCTTCACAGCTGTTCTTGCCGACATGTCCTATGGCAACAGTAAGCCGGACCGTACCATGAGCCCTGGTAGCCTGTCCGACGAGGATCGCCGCAAGCTCATCGCCCAGCAGCGTAGCGCCCTGTACGGAGAGGGACCTTACCCCGAGGGCGCCGGTCTTGGTGACGAAGCTGGCGCACCCCGCCCCGGACTCCCTGGCCCGCAGGGCGGTCCTGCCGGCTTCCGTGGTCACTCGCCCTTGGCTTACGAATATGGCCGCGCCCCTCCGGCCCACTCCGACGTCGGCGCTCCGGCCTCTGCCGATGGTGCTCAGGGTCCTCAGTCCGCAGGCCCGAATGAGCAAGCCCGTGCCAACAGCAACGCAAGCCCCCAGTCCAACCCGGGAAGCAAGGGTGTCTACGATGCCTCTGGTATTCAGCAGTCGAGCCGCACCAGCGTCTCCTCGCCGGGCGGTTCCCCGCCTCGTCAAGGTGCTCCGGGTAGCAAGCCGTCTCAAGGTTCGGTCGCGCCCATCGGCACTCGCCCCTCGGTCTCCGGACCGTCGCCGAACGCCAGCCTCAACAAGCAGTCCACTACCCCGCTACCTTCGCCTCTGGGTCAGGGCTACAAGGCTCCCGGAAGCGATGAGGGCGGTGCCCCGACCAGCATCGCTCCGTCCAACTCTTCGACTGCGGCTCCCGAGGGTGCCAATGTCGGTCTCACTGGCTGGGGTGCGCGCCCTAACGGCTGGGGCAGCAAGCCCGGCCTCGGCGGCGTCCAGGCTAGTGTGTGGGGTTAGATCCCCTTTTCGTTTTAGTTTGTCACCGGAAACCTTGGCTTGCGTTTCGAATCTGGAGTCCTGGGGGTTATACAGTTCATCAGGAAGGCAGGTTTTTTTGCGGAAGGTTGCACACGCATCATCTGGGTGGCATGTGGGTTTAAAAGTGCGAAAAGGTGTTTGTGTTGTTTTCGGATTTGGAACGGAGGCGGGCATATGATCAGGAATGGAACGGCAGCGGGAACAGGCGCATGAGTCTTGGTCATTCCTGTTTGCTTACGCATTAAAAGAGGCGGAACTTTTCTGGAGGGCGCGAAATGGAGGGCTCGGTGGTTTTGGTCAACGGCAGGGCGTCGCCGGCCTTGGGAGTTTCCATGCAAGCATCGACCTTTCAACGCTGTTATGGTGTTACTTTTCTTGGCCTGGCATGGTGCTCAGCCAAACCGCAACGGTGAAGTGTTGAGTCTCCCATTTTGGACTTCGGCGTTAGGGGCCATAAACCAACCACCAAGCCGGCTTTTACGATCTTGCTTTATCTCGGCTGCGTCGGTATATAGGAAGGATTCATGGGGCAGGAATGGCGACAAAACCACTTGTTTTCAGCGCACAACGGTGATGGTGGGTACAGGACACACGGAGTAGGTTGACGTTCATGGCGGGATACAGCAGGGGCGCGGGAGGGGTTGCGCGAGTGTTTTCTCTCTGTTTTTCATACTGGAGTGGTGTTGGGAGGGTATCCTTTCCCGGATGGGGGGACATGGGCGGCGGGCAAGGATGGATTATCTGGAGGTCATCGTCTCGGAAGGGGGGTTGGGCGTTTAGTGTTGTCTTGTCTTTCCTTGCATCGTTCGAGTCACTACACGGCATACAAGGTTCCCCCTCAGCGGTCACTACACTCTGTTTACACCCTACTCACTCAGGGCCGCTAGTGGCTACCACTGGTGGGCTGTTGCCCTTAATACAACCTCGTCGCCCTTACTCTCAGCCGGCAACACTGTGACTGTATTAACAAGAGCTCAAGTAGAAGGCGACCAGAAAGTTGTGAAAGTTGAGTACTCAAGGTATGTAGTGCCGACACGACGTTGACTTTCCCAATAAGATATTTAAGCATTTGTCTCTGCTAACTGTGCTACCAAGATACTGATCGCCAATATTCAACGCCCGTTATGTTTCGAAAAAGAAAAAGATCCAGTGAACCTCCCCCCCCCCAGCATTCAGTCCAGTTCAGCTCAAACAAAAGTCAACGTCCCATTGCTGTTCCCAACCCGCTCATCCAACGTAATCGAACTACCCACCCAGTCTCCACCCCGACGCAATTCACCTTCCAGGCGACGTCCGCCGTCCGTAAGCCGCACGTTGCGGGCGGAATCGGCAAGGCTGCTTCCCCCAGAGTTGTTGTTGTTATTGTTGTTGTTAGAGGCGCCGGTGGAGGTACCTGGGATCTGGAGGATCTGCCCCGGGAAGATCATATCCGCGTTCTGTACGCCGTTGTGTCGGGCGATTTCCTCGAAGTTGGCGCCGGGGAAGCGGGCCGCGATGTTACGGAGGGTGTCGCCTGGTTGGACGGTTACTGTTTGAAGGGCGCCGCCTGAGTTGTTGTTGTTATTGTTATTGTTATTGGAGGAAGAAGGAGAGCCCCAGCGGAAACTGCCATTGTCATTGATGATGTGCTTGTTCAGGCTGATGGTGCTGCTCTGGTAGGACCCGTCCAGGCGCTGGCAGGACGCGTGCAAGAGGTACTCGCCGTGGGCGTCGAGGCGGATGTCCTTGGCGGACCCGCTGAAGCCGCCGGCGTAGTGGATGTCGCGGTCGTTGTTTTGCTTGTGGACGTTGGGGCCGTTGTGGTGGATGGGGGAGTGGTGCTCAGACTTTTTGTGTTTGGCTTCTTCTTCTTCGCGTTTGCGGCGTTTGTCGTCTTCTTCCTTGCGGTGCTTTTCGTCTTCCTCGCGACGCTTCTTGTCGGCTTCTTCTTGTTCTTTTTTGGCTTTTTCTTCTTTGCGGTCGTCTTTCCAGTCCGAGACGCCGTCTTGGATCTTGTGGCCGGCGAAGGCACCGGCTAGGGCGCCGATCACGGCTGGGGGGTTGTTAGTCGATTTGACTTCGTGGAAAGGGGTACAATGAGAGAGGCAAAAAGGGAAAGAACGTACTGCTTGTCTTGCTGTGGCCGGTAGCCTTGCCGCCAATCTTATTACCACCCACGGCACCGGCAATACCACCACCTAGGGCACCCAACAGGCCACGCTCGCCCTCGGGACCATCCTGTCCAGGGCCGCTGTTGTTATTGTTGTTGTCTTTGTAGTTGTTATTATTGTTGTTGTTGTAGTTGTCGCGGTTGTTGGGGCTGTCACCGTATTGCTGTGGCTGGCTGTATCCTTGCTGGCCGTAGCCTTGTTGACCCTGCGGGGGGTACTGCTGCTGCTGCTGCTGCTGTTGGCCGCCGGCATAGTAGGACGCCGCCTCGCCCTGGCCGCCGCCGTAGGACGGAGGAGGGGGGCCGCCTTGTTGATAACCGCCGCCTTGGTGTTGGTTGCCTTGGTGGTGAGGACCACCCTGCTGGTAGTTGTCGTTCTCGCGGTAGGTCATGGTGAATAGAGGTACGAGAACTGTGGGAGAAGAGGGGAAGTTGGTGTTGTCACTCTGTTGCTACCTAGCGAAAGCTGCTTGTTGCGGAAGAGAGAGTTGAGGGGTCACAGCCAAGGTAGAAACGAGGGGCGGCCAGCCGCATATTTATTTACAAATCGAATCCACACCCCGCCGCCAGCACCCTTTTTTCTCTATCCCCACCAAGAACCCTTACGGCATTTGCCTTTGTTTACCAAGATGGCGCCCGAGGCAGTGCATGCTGCTGCTGCTGCTACTTGCTGCATCCAAGACAGACCGGCCACATGGGATGCCCCACACGCTTTCTCACTGGCCGCGCAACTCGCCAACTCGTGTAAATCACATCTCATCGCCCACCGCCCACAAACACACCACGGCTTTCCATCCATTCATTGAAAGCTCCCGGCTTAGCTGGCTGGGCACGACCGCAGCTCGGGTATCGCTACGTCCGCGTTACGAATAACATTTTAGGTTCCACCGGACCGGCCCACTTGGGCAGCTCTGAGCCACATTCGGGGACGGCGGACGAGCCCGTTTTGTGGTGCGTTGGTTGTTTGGTTGTCTGAGGGCCGTTTTAGATGTGGTGGCATCGGGTGGAGCGGATGGGCCTTTGCGGGCTCCGGTTCCAAGACTCTTGGCTTGCCGCGATATCCGCTGTGGGTTTTTGCTCTGTTCGGGTTTGTTTTTTGTTGAAGGGTGTGTCGGACAAAAGAGCTGGAATGGGAAGAAACAAACTGGATCTCACCATGGAATTGTGGTTTCTTCTTTTGCGGTTAGCACACGGATTTTACCGGTGTCATGATCGCGCCATTTGGCGTGGTGTTTGTTGTTGATGATCAGCGAAATCGTCGTCCCTTCGAGCGACCTCACCGCCCTTTGTTGATCTTGATCGTACAAGCCACAAAAGTCTACCCACCTCGTTTCGGGGGAGTGGTTGAACGTGGCGAAGATCGGGAAGCCGAATGGCAGGACGCAGATCAAGAAACGGATTCCCAACAAAGATGTCTTAGGACAGCGGGGAAGACGAAAAGAAAACTCACAGTTAACATGCTTGTCGGCAAGCCCTTTTTTTCTTCTGCTATGCTTCCTCGTTTTTCAGCTAAAAGGCACACATACCTAACCCTTCTCTTTTGCACTTCCCCGATACTAAACCTTAGTTACGTCAGTCTTGTTTACCCAGTTCAATGCTGCAAAGTCGTGTCCGGAGCTCCGAGACGGCCCCACATTTCCGTCTGCCCCGCTCCGAACCCCGAGTCGGAACTAAGTGGGGTACAGCACCGGGGGACCCGGTCCTGGACTCAGATCGCATCTATCCCCAACAAACACACAGCCCGGGCTGCTGGATCGTTTACGTTCCTAGCTTTATCTGGTTAGTTGGGTGTTCAAAGCGGTAAGACATTGTACAGTTGTTGTCAGCACTCAAATCCTCAGGAAACTCCGCAAAACTGAGGTTAAAAAGTTGTGGGTGAAGACGACGGAATAACCTAGCTGAGTAAGCAGCGGACGGCGGTTCTGTTCCGTGGGCCAGGAACAACCCTCAAATTCTCAGCAGCTTTAGTCTACCACTTACTGTCTCCTTGGTTTCGCCCATTACACAGTGTTGTTCACCATACACTAGATGCGGATGACAACATAGCAACAACCTCATTCTTCAGTCCAACACCCAAAAACTACAGCAATTGTTGCCTGCTGCAACCGCTCAACCCCAACCTACCATCTGAACCCCAACGTGCCAACGCGCAAACCTTATATAACCCCTAGATAGAGAGGGATGCTTCTGTGTCGTTGGGGAAAGCATCCCTAATCTACTCGTAGTAGGAATGCAAGAAACCAAGGGTGGATGACGGACTAACGGTTCGGGGTTGGCGACATGGATGGTACATACAGTACACCAAGGTAGTGAGTTATTAGTCAGGGTTAAAGTGGGTGATATGGTTCCACGGTCATAATACCGTCGGTGGCCAGACACTGACTTGATGATCTCGTTTGGAATGGCGTACTCCACGCGTAAATGTGAATGCCAAAGTTGTGTGCTGTGTATTCTTACACAACCCGTCCACCCAGTTGTTGCATGAAAACCAACTTGTCCGTAAATACACGAGCTCTAGACCGTCATACATTACCCCTCGGCCGGGTAACACAACTGGAGAAAAAGCTTAAGCTTACCCCGAAATAGCAGCGCATCACTTTAGTTACTTAATGCACAGTCACTCAGGTCCCGTTCCCAATGGAAAAGGTGGTTGGTCAAACCCGCCACGCGTCTATTGGCTAAATCACAAGTCCAATCTGCAACTGCAACTGCCTGCACGGGACCACCTCTGTTATTTCCTGCGCGGTACTGTACATAACTACCTAGAAGCGCACAAACCAACATCCACCAACCAATGGCCCGGCTCTCCATTTCAGCCTGTTTTCCCTTTTTCTGTCCGTTTCTATCACTACCACTCGCTCGAGGGTGATATTCACCGCAGTCACCGAGCAAGTCCAGACAGTGACATAAGCACAAAGAGAGAAAAGCAGATTAAGCCAAAGCCCCAACCACAACAACCTGCAACACAGTAACAACCACCAGCGCCACAGCAGGCATCCCCGCCACCGGGCCCCTGGTCCCACCGCGAGCTAAGACGCGAGCGGCAACGCCGGTGGACAGCGAAGGCGTGACAGTATCGGGCAACTTCTCCGTAGCGCCCGCCGTGCCACCACCCGTAGTTGTCGGGGGCGTAGTAGCGCTAGTCGTGGTAGTGGTAGACGGAGTGTAATTCGGATCAGTGTTATGATACGAATACGTAAAGTAGTCATCACACCCTTCATAGCACGTGTAGGTTCCGTGGAACACAGTCCACGATACCTGTTGGACGTTGGCGAACAACAAATCGTGCTCGGCGTCCCAGACGGCCTGCGTTGTGCCTAACGGTTCCGACGGCGGGTTCAGCTGGCGTTTGCCGAGACCCGCCGGGGCCGTGGTAGCCGGAGAGACATCGCGCTTGTCCCAGACGCGGCCGTCGCTGTACAGGCCGAGGGTGACGGTTTTGTGGTCGAGGGCGGAGATGTGTGTTGCTACGCAGCGGGGGACCACATACATGAAGACGCTGTGGGTTTGGCCGTCGTGGACGGTTTTGAAGCCGTCGTAGTCGGTGGTGGTGAAGGGGATGGGGTGGGCGGAACCGGCGTCGTCGACTACGGAGGCGGCTTGCGGGCAGCAAGTGTAGGCAGTGACGACGACGTCGAAGGTTTCGGTTTTGACGCTTTCGTAGAGGGGCAGGTCGAAGGGTTTGTACAGGGTGGTGGCGGCAGGAGTGTAGCCCGCCGGACAGTCGGAGTAGTAGGCCTTGGTGTTGTCGACGGTGGTGGCCGTGGATTGTTGGTAGCAGGCCGAGTCGGACGGGTTGGGGGCGCCGAGCTCGGTGTAGGTGCATTGGATCCAGGGGGGGCTGGCTATCGGCCCACCGTCGTTGAGGTAGCAGCTGGCAGAGATGATCCAGAGGTTGGATTCGTCCAGGCAGGTCGGGGCCGGGGCGAATTGGGTGACGGCCGCGGACGGGGGCGGGACGTAGGTACCCGTGGGCGCGGGGGTTGGGCCAGGGCCGGTGGAGGACCAGCTCTGGCTCGGGCAACGGCCCCAGCAGGTCGAGGTGGTGCCCGGTTCGATGTCCGGGTAGAGGGTCTGGTAGATCCGGGCCGGTTCGGCCACGAGGAAACCGTTGTCGTAGTCCCAGGCGATTTCGGTTGTGGAGAGCGGGGAAGCGGTAGCCGTCAAGGTCACCGTCTGGTCGGACAGGCTCTGGATCGACGTAGCCTTGCACATGCCCGCCGTGGGAAAGGTGACCGGGAAGGTGGTGCCATGAATGACGCTGGGGAGCGCAGTCGGCGTGAAATCGGGACCCACAAAGTCATAGGCACTGCTTGGTGTTAGTTGCGCCAGATCCTTCAAAAGTTCCAATGTTCCTCGATAAAATACCGAGGGGAAAAAAAACTTACGTCGGACAGCAGGTCGTACCAACAATTGTCAGTCCATAAGCCCACGCGGTAGTCTTCGTGTCCACGCCCGTCATGCCCTCCGGGCAGTCGCTGTACGCCGTATAGGCACTGGTGTAAGGGTTGTTCTGATAGCAGTCATACGCGCTCCGTGAATCCGGGCCGACGGTATTAGGGCCCAGGCGGGGAAAGGCGCAGTCATGGACTGAGACCGCGGCGGTCGGTCGGGACGCGAATGGTTCATAGTATGTGCCACATCCATAGTTGTTGTTGCCGCCGAGCCACAGATTCGACGGTGCATAGCACGACGGATCCGGGCTGAACGTGGTGGTTAGAACCATGGTGTGTGTATGCCAATTTGTGTACCAGTTTGCGTGTTAAGTTGAGAATCGCAAACTGAAAATTGGAACTCGGAACAAGATCCCAAAAGCTGGGGGCAGACGTGCAAGAAAAAAAAGAGTCAAAAAAAGTCAAAGAAAGAACCCGGTTGGTGGGTAGGATAAATACCGGGCGCGCATTTGGGGGACGGCAGCCACTCGATATTGACTTCTAGGCCCCGAACCAAAAAACGCCCGACCGAGTGTGAGTGAGTGCCTGGCTTGCCAATTTCTCTCTGAAGGAACGTACGCGACCCCTTGGCATCGTGCCGTCGAGGCCTTCGATAGGCCCGCTTTCGATAATTTCATGCCGCTTGCATTCCATTGCTTCGTATTGGACTCGGTGTAGAAATCCTTCAAAAAAACACAAGTGCAAAGCCTAAGTGCAAAAGCCAAGTCCAACTACACGACGTGATGGGATTCTCGACAACCATCGCTCATGACGTCGCGACTCGCGGGGTTTAAGTCTTGTCCGGGGATGGAGCCCAGAAGTAAGAATCCTTGTTCTCGCGGGGATCACATGAAAGCACCGCCATTCTCACGACTTCCTGTCCGCCAAGAACCGCGTCGTGACAACGCGCCGGGAAGAGTCTAACCGTCTTACCGGGTCATGCTCCACCATCGCGAGGAAACCGAGTTAGCGGGAAAGGGGGCGAGTATTCTTCGTAGGGAAAAACAGTATAAAAGAAACATGAGCAGCAGTGAAACCCACCACCAAAAAATAAAACAAACAACAAACAGTAAACCTACGTGTAGATCACGCTAAGTTAACCACCAAAATGAAGCTCCCAACCCTCCTCACCACCGCTCTCCTCCCTCTCACCCTCCATGCGAGCCCTCTCACCAGCACTAGCAGCAGCGCCTCACTCGAAGCTCCCGCCCTTCACGAGGAAGGCGACAAGCTCCTCGAAAAGCGTACGGACCACATCTGCAACATTGTCAATGCGCCCTCGGGCGTCAACTGCCGCTCAGGACCCGGCACGCAGTACAGCGTGATCGGCACGGTGAAGAACGGGCAGCTGTTTTATTTTCCATGTTATAAGAGTGGGGAGTGTATTACGGTTGGGGGGGTTAAGAATTGGTATGTCCTTTCTTTTCTTGGTTCTTTTATGCCTTGTTCGTGTTCGACGTGTTCACGTTGAGGGGTGGGTTCGGAACAACTGAAGGGAAAGAAACCGGCGTCATGAAGGAATAAAGACGGGGAGGCTGTGAAGATTGTCCATTGACTAACCGGAACCCTTTCCCTCCAGCGGCTGGGACGCCCTCTCCTTCCAAGGCTTTGGCCAACGCTGCTATGTGAGCGGCCACTACACCGACGACAACTGCACGGCTGGTATGTCTCGTATCTCATATTCCCATGACTTCTCTTGGAGGATTAGGTGTCTCCGGAAGGCTTGATTGGATGCTTGAACTGACATATTCGTGCAGCGAAACTTGGGAAATGTTGATCGACGTTGGAGGATGTGGCTTGGTGGTTCGAAGAGGAAGGTCGATAAGGAAGGACGATACGGGGCAAATTGGTGGGAAGGAGACTGTGAAGGATGAGGGCCTTGCAATTATAACGTCTTCGGCGCGGAGTGTACATATCACTGTGTCGATATCTGTAGTCTTCGAACATAATGCTTTTAGGAACAAGGAAATGTGGTTGTTTGACTAGTGTAAACAAGGAGAAAAGTGACAGATATGTCAATCCTCAACCGTTGTCCTCGGCAGCTGTCAACAACGGCTGCCAGCCTCAAACTCATGCAAACAGCCGCGAGGTCTCGAACGAATCCAAGATAGAAGCTTACACAACGTCAACCATCAACTTGGAACAGCGGGCTTTAAATATTCCTGACAGGTATTCCCCCACTTGTCTGTCTACACGATTGCACTCGGCTACATGCAGAGGCCGAGTTCCTCAGCTGCTAGTATCCGCTAACCAGATACAGTACCGAAAATCTGGAAGCGAAGGTTCCTTGCCCTGGCCTCCAAGTTCAGGAACCTCAGGAACGAGACGCGTAAGTGTGGATCCATGATGATATGCTTCATGATCGGGATCACACTATGCCAGAGCTTCCTCCCATATCCTTGAACGCAAGGCGAGTAGTATGTATGTAACCCCGATCAGAAAGGCGTTTAACCCAAGACACAGCACATCGCCAGCCCTCCCTCAACCTTCACTCCCACCCAATAGATACCATACCCGGTAGATACCACCCAACAGATACCTCCCACACGACCCTACCTCCGCCTCGATCCCCCATGCAACCCATGCAAGTCCCTCGTCGCCATAACCATCGTATAAAACCACCGACTATACTCCGCCGCCCTCAAGATCCCAGCACCCACCCGCCTCCAGTCCAACCCCTTCACCGTCCTAAACCCTTGCTGAAAAAGCTCCGGACTGGCTCCGCATGCCAACAGCGCTGTGCCGAGTACCACCATGGCTGTCCTCACGTATGCGCCGGAGGCGGTGGTTTCCACGATCCAGTTTTTGGCGCTGGGTTTTGGGGGCGGTTAGTGTTTAGCTTAGGTAGTGTGGGTTTTGAGTTGAGTAGGCTTACTTGTGGGCATATCCCAGGCCAACTCGGGTGAGGGAGCCTAGGGAGATGGTATCATGGGGTTGAATGGGGGTCTTCATGGTTTTTGGTCATTATTTTATATCCGTTCCAGTTGTGGTGCTTGGAACCTGATAAGAAGGGCAATAAGGTTCGGCTTGGCGTGAGCAAGATTCTGTAACCCAAAAGCTGGATCTCGTGATACGAGTGAATGGTATATGTTTTGTGTCTGCTCGTGAGGTACCGCGAGTTTGGGAGCCCAGTGTGGCACAAGAAAACGCCAGCGGCTGTGTGCCTACGATCTCTAGCTGTTGTTTAGGGGCGCCTCAACCCAAGGCGCAGAGATGCGCTGGCCATGGTTACAACCCTAACCCCCATCAGGCTCCTCTGCGAGACTCTTTGTTGGTATCAAAACACGGATTCGAGACCAGAGTCGGAGAGCTATGAGCCATTACGTAGCAATGTAGAAGGCAAATGAGTCAGAGAATGTAGACAAAGCAGTCCCAAAGATATCTTGAGAAATGGAGCTTCGGTCCCATCGCCAATGCCCTCACACGCCTGACTTCAGCAACCCTTTTTAGGAAGGTAGGCGTGATTGATGTCGCCGTTTTATCTCCCCTCTTGGCCATCCTGCGTCATTTCGCTTTCTGTTCTGCGAAAATAACCAGCGAGCCGGATGACTAGGTGAAAGAGCCGACGAAACTCGCGTGGCCGCTCTCACCCGCCTGCTCTACTCGAATGTGTGACAAGACCAACTCTCCGGTAGAGCCCCCCCTCGAACAGGGGATACAAAAACGATACACCCGTCGGCCTTGACATTCCGCTGGTACTGTGGTAATTGTGCATCTCGGTTCTTCAGCCTGGGGTTGTGGACGACCTGCAGACAGTGAAACTCGCGCCAGGAACGCCGTCACCCGCATTGGACGGGCGCGAGCAGGCTAATTGGGCGGGCGCAACGTCGTTGATGAGCGAGACGCTGAAGGGACCCGGATTGGCGCCGCGCGATCGTTGAAAATCGAGCATCACCAATTGCGGGGTGTGGGGAAAACAGACCAAAAAGACGAGGATGTGGCACATGAACGCGCCGCAGGGCGGGAAGGATTCATTAATTCCAGTGGTCCGGTGGATCGTGGGTTTGGTTTCCCGTCTCCCGGGCGCTCCCTACATAATCAGTAGTCAGGTCTCGAGCGGGCGTTGAGAGGATTGGGCTACCTTGGCTGCGTCTGTCCTGTCAGGGAGAGAGTCTTCCATTTGAGGCCATCCGTCGACGAGCCAAGCAACACACACCGTTCTGAACGAACAGAACAGGAAGGGCGCTTTCCGAAGGTTGCAGATTCCCGGCTGTTTCCGGGAGATGATCCACGACCGGCGATCCTGGGCGGCGCAAGACCTGTGGACTGCCACGCCTAACCCTGCACGTCAGGGTCTTTGCTGAAGAAGCGAGAAACCCCTGCGGGCTTTGGGGGACCACGGGCATGCGAGCAGGTGCATGCTTCGCTCGTAACGGGCCGCAACGAGGCAATGTCGCCAGCAACACGACACGTGGTGCGGTGCGGCGCTGAGCTGTGGCCGACTCTTGCATGCTTTGCTTGCTGCGAACGCGGGTTGCCAAGATCAGACATTTAAATGCAGGGGGAACGGGCCCTGTGGAATGAATGCTGCTGTGGTGGACGCTGATGGGCAAGCGACAATTCCCATTGGGGGTTGGCTCTTCCCACGACGAATGAGCTCCAAAGACACCACCAATCCACGGTTTTGAGTGGATCGGTGGCTCACCCCTCGCCGATGACTGTCCGGAGCCGGGGTTGGTCGCTTGGTTGTCAATTGTTATTGCCGTTCTGGTGTCTGGCCTTGTGAGGCGTGCGAGGCTCGCACGTTGGTTGTTACGGCTTACGCAGTACCAGAGTACTAACTAATTGGAGACACCAACAGCATCCCGATATTTTGGGAGCCAACGCCGCAAATTGGGTTCGGGAGGGCCCGAAATTGGAAGCGAAGGGTCAAATCGTCGAGGGTCCTCAGGGGCGCCGCTACCGAGACTTGCTAGACTGCCAGACAATAGGAGGGACTCGGAGACCCAGGGACCTCTGGTAATGAATGAAAGCAAACACAAAGAAATGATAGGAAATGGCCGAGCTTCCTCCTGCTCGGGGAATGAACGGAAACTTACAAAGACACTCAAAGCTTCCTACCAGCAATTCGGAGGCCGATTTGGAGGCCGAGTTGAGCCATTGAACTTCGAGACACTACTATCTAGGTACATACAGCTGTATGCCCCTCAACGCATGATCTAAGCAGCAATTGTGGGAAGGAGCTGACCGTTGTTGAAACTCGCGCCTTGCCTTTGGCTCTGCTTAAGGACGCCCAAGGCCGGAAAGAGCCACTCGGCCGACCAGCGGGTGTGCCATCCGGCGTCCAGCTTCTTGATGTGGAAAGTCTTCCTGTCGGCTGCCACTTTCTCGCGCAGCTCTAAGCCTGCGTGGGCTCATCTGTGGGCTCTCTCGAGTCAACCACCAAGTGGAAAGTGACATCCACATTTTGAGTGAATTTGGAAAGCACTTGGCCGCCTAGCCGCATAGAGAACACCTCGGGTCTTGCATAGTTACATGTACAAGTAGTTAGGCCACTCGCGATCCGGCAGATCGAGGAATGGGCCGTTTTCGAGATTGTTCTTTGCTGTGTGGGTTCTGAGTTCTGGCACCCTTTGTGAGCCAGCCCCCTGGGGAATTGAGAACCTCCCTCGTGCGGATCCCGAGGAGTCGCGGTGCTGAGTGGGCTTGCTGGGGGCCATGGCGGGGGTGTCTCTGGTCTAAAATGTGCCTTCTGACTGGACAGCGCTCAGTCAACCCATCGCGATGAGTGGGCCCTGGCTGGAATATTGGAGCTCCTTGTTTTTGTTAGCCTTTGCCCTGGCTTGTCTGGGCCATTTTGGCTGTGTGGCGCCTGCTGGCAGAGCATGGAGAGTGAGCAACCAGGGCCCTCTGCTCGTTTTGAGGACATCACTTGACGGAAACGGCCAACGGCCAACCCAAATCCCAAGTGACGTCCACTCCACCCGCACCTCCCTTTTCCACCTTGGCCATTCTGCTTCCCTCTGGGTTCCTTTGGTAGCGGCCTTGTGTTTCTTGCGCTACCCTCTTGTCCGGCTCGACGCTGGCCAGCATCAATTTGTTGTTCCCTCTCTCTACCTTACCTCTTTCGTCCTGGGACTTGACGGTTGACTGTGCTCACCACCGCTTCCTACGACACACACCGGCACTCCGCCCGCTCTCTCGATACGAGACTCCTGCAAACACCTCTACCCCCGGTCTGGGCCGACTCACTTCTACCTTGACATGCCCTGGAAGCTCCTTGATATTCTTTGCGGTTGAGAGATCACTTCTCTTCGGTTACTCCGCGTTTCTTTGCCGGCTTTGCGCGTTCTTTCCGTGCTAAGTGCACCGTGCTTAAGCATCGGTTCTGCTTGATCGCACTGTTTAATCACTGTCCACTTGCGCTTGACGGAACTGCCTTTTCGATTTGCATTCCCGACTTTCCCTTCTTCGCCCGCGACACCACAAAACCCTTCGACCCTTCGATTACATCCGATCGAACCCATTGTCTCGTCGCCGGGCCCGCCGAGCGATCCGATCTCGACCCGTGTCGGGTTGACCCGCGTTCTCCCCTCGAGCATCCTCGACTTCCCCTGTTCGACGACCTCGTCCGACCGACTACATTTGTCCGCCTCCGGCGCACAGTTCACCACCGTGGCCACGCCTCGTGCCTGACGCATACCCGTAAGGGGTGTCAGCTGGGCACAGCGCATACCTTTGTCCCGACTTTGGTCCTGCCAGCTCACCCGAACAAGCAGCCCACTGTTCAAAGCGACAACAGGCCTCCGCCTTGTGGGCTCACAGCGGATACTCAGGAGGTTCAAGATCTCGGGTTCTTTGCTACACCGATTTGACCTTCGGTGTGGTCCGAATTGTACGCCAATCCTGCATTGCGCGTCGTCTCTTCGATCGCGCTTGACGCAGCGGTTCAACAAAAAGGAACGGTGCACATTGCAAGGCACAGAGGACAACAACAAAAACTGTGTGCAGTTTGCAAAGTTGAGGTCACAGGATCCATCCCACCCGTTATCACATCACGGGCAAGGAAAGGCAAACACCAATCCCAGGGTATAAATCTGCACCAGAAGCCGCATTCCCGGAGCTGTTTTTGCAGCGCCCTCGACTTTCATGGACGGCCAGCCTGTCACGGCTGAACCCAAGCATCATTACCAATCTCACGCTTGGTCGGCTACCCCTTCAGCCACTGCGACACCGAGAGCCAAGCCAGCATCGCCCGCTGAGTCTTCGCCCACCTACTTCGGCACCCAGCTCGAACTCCTCCCGATCCTTTTTCCTCAGCAGGTCTACCAGGACAAACTCCTACAATACAACAAACTCCTGTCGGCTGGACGGGGCGGTGGAGGTGGTTTACAAACCCCGCCACTCCCTCCTGTGCTGTCCTCACCGCAAACGAAAGCTTCTACGCGGTCGAGGTCGTCTTCCAAGGTATCGAACAAGGACAACTCTCACGCAAAGCTGGCCGCTCAGAGCTGTCATGGGAATAGATCGGCCAAGTCCTCAGATCCCGCCGAACGCGCGCCCATAAAACAGGGGAGAGAGTCGTCATCGGCCAAGATGTCAGCCAAAAAATCGGCCGAGCCGCCCGCGGCCCGCGATGTGTCTTCCCGATTACCCCCACCTACGAGCCAAAATCCTTCGTTCGCTGCTGCGGCCGCGGCTGCCGCGGCCCAGTCGAGCTCCGTCCCGTCAACACCCCATCAACATCCTAGGAAGTTCTCATTCGAGTCTCGCGAGCAGTCGCCGGGCGCCCCTCAAAATCATTCCCCCCGCTCCGCTTACTCGGAAACGAACGGTAGCGTCCCGTCGCTTCGGCCTCTCCCTCCCAGGTTAGGGGGCTGTCGATTCGAGACCGCCATTCCACACTCCCGTCGACGAATGCCCTACAGCTTGGGAACAGACAGGCTTGAGAAGGTCAGCTTGGACAAGGTTAAGGGCCAGTTGCCGGACAAGGAGGAAAAGAAGTTGGAAGCAGAGATGCAACAGCTCTTTTCCAGTTTATTACCAACAGACGAGATTGAGGGCAATCGGCAGAAGTTGGTCAGTAAACTGGAGAAGCTCTTTAATGACGAGTGGCCGGGCCACAGCATCCGGGTACATTTGTTCGGGTCGTCTGGGAACCTCTTGTGCTCTGATGATTCAGATGGTACGATTTCCCCAGTTATGTCTAATGTTAAACCGAAACTTTAGCTGACTCACAACTAGTGGATATTTGTATCACCACGCCGTGGCGGGAACTGGAGAGCGTCTGCTTGATCGCCGACCTGCTTCAGCGACGTATGTAGAGCCCTGGCTCCCCTCAGTCGCCCCCAATTTTCCGTACCCTCAGCAGCTAACAAAAAGAAGACGGTATGGAGAAGGTTGTCTGCGTATCATCCGCCAAAGTGCCGATTGTAAAGATCTGGGACCCCGAGCTGAGCCTCGCCTGCGACATGAACGTCAACAACACGCTAGCCCTCGAGAACACCCGCATGGTACGGACGTACGTTAGCATCGACGACCGCGTGCGGCCCCTGGCTGTTATCATCAAGTACTGGACACGGAGAAGGATCATCAACGATGCAGGTTCGTGGCTCCCTACCCTGACCCCCCATTTTCTGCTCTTGGACGTCCCGTTTCTCATTACTCTCTCGCAGCGTTTGGTGGTACTTTGAGTTCGTACACGTGGATATGCATGATCATTGCATTTCTTCAGCTGCGCAGCCCCCCGGTGTTGCCCGCACTTCATCGATTGGATAACTTGAAACTCGTCAAACCGGATGGGACTCGCAGTGAATTCGCGGACGACATTTCAAAACTTCGAGGATTCGGTTCGGGGAACAGCGAAAGCCTAGCTGTGCTCCTATTTCAATTCTTCCGCTTCTACGCCCACGAGTTTGACTACGACAAGCATGCATTATCAATACGAATGGGAAAGGTGTTGACGAAAGTAGAGAAGAAATGGCACATTGGGACGAACAACACGCTCTGCATCGAAGAGCCGTTCAATACCATCCGCAACCTCGGGAATACGGCCGACGACACGTCGTTTCGTGGACTGCATATGGAATTGCGAAGGGCGTTTGATCTGATCGCAGAGGGCAAGTTCGGAGAGTGCTGCGAGGAGTACGTGTTTCCGAAGGAAGAGGAGAGGATATGGCAGAAACCAGCTCCCAGGCCGGTCCTCTTGAGAAGTTCTTCGCAACAACAACACGGCAGTGGCGGTGGTAATGGTGGTGGCCGTAACCGAGGGGGTTTCCGTGGCAATCGCCAGCAACATCACCGGAACAACAACAACAACCCGAATCGCAGGTCTTCCTCAAGCGTGGCATACGACAACAACTCGACGTTCACACAAACCACACTTCCTCCCACGATTACCACGCAGGATCTGCTGTGGTATCAGGCCCAAAATAACCAGCTCGGAGTGCCTCAGGAGCTACTGACTACATCCCTCAGTGCGTTTGCCGCACACGAGTCGATGCGGTTCCAGCTGTACTCGCAGCTCAACCAACAGCAACAGCAGGTGCTCGCTCACGCCCAGCGGATGCAGAACGGCTCAGGGGCAGATCGGTCCCGCACGAATTCCTTCGATAATCCGCCGTTGACGGCGCCGATTCGCCCGGAACTTATGTACAGCTTTGGGTTTCCACTCCAGCACACGCCGTATTACCACCCAGCCTTCACGACATACCCATCTTCGCCGGCTTCTGCAGCACCCCCACCATCCAATGGACAATCGGAATTCCGGCGGAGTCTTCATAGAAATGCGGCTGCGAATGATTCGGGCGCTCCGGGCGGTAATGGGACTCTTAGGTCGCAGTCCCAACCAGCTTCGAGAACCCCGATGGCAACCTCGCAATCGATGGCTGCATACTCGACATCCAGCCAGTCCTACAACGGCATGGCCACTTCACAGTCACGGCAGGTGAATGGCTCCCCCGTGCCGGGTTTCCTCCCGGATGAGGCAGGCGATCTGGGTCTTGGCGGATTAGGGCTTGACGATAACGCAGTGAACGCCTTGTCGGATTCACCACCGCTGCACGACGATCCTTCACGTTATTCTGGGTATTACGTGAATGAGTATGCCAGTCACGGTCGCCGGTCGAGCAGCTACCTCAATGGCACCCTTCCTGGGAAAAGTGCAACCGCTGGTGAGCCAATTCCGGTTCCGACTGGCCAGGGAAGTGGTGGGGGTGGGCGTCGTCGGCTGTCTACGGATCAACTGCCGCAGTCGGTGCTCGATCGTAGGATGAAGCGGACGTCTCGTTCGCCATCACCCATGGGACACGCTAGGAACATGTCCATGGGCGTAAACTCAGCCCCACTACTCTCGGCGCCTTTTGGACAGGCAAATTCGAAGCTCCCAGCCAAGCCGCTGGTGGTGAACGGAACTGCGCCCAAGACGGCATCGGCTTTAAGCTCTGCAGGTGCTGCAGTCTCCATGGAACCTCTCGTTATGAACGGGACCAACTATGACAGTACCAATGCCCTGCACATCCAAGGTGTCAGCCCCAGCACTTCGTGGCCCGATGCACAAAGCACACCATCACCCAGCAGCGCCGAGCCGGCCGGGACACCAGCTTCACAGCGGCCGGTTATTGTGAACGGCTCATCCACAAACCGCTCGCCACCGGCCATGTCAAACATGTCCAACATGCCGAACATGCCGAACATGATGGATCCGTCCTTCCAACAGCGTCTTGCCATGGGACCCGGTTTCCAAATGCCCTATTCCGCAGTAGCTGGTGACCCGACAGGCATTGCAGGCTTCTCACGCATTCACACCCGACAGCAACTTGCACCCCTGGACCTGGCCATGGGAGACTACGGCTCCCATCATGAACCACACCTCTCACCTGTGTACGAGCATCGCACACCGTCACCGACAGTTGGGCGGAAATTCGAGCCTTCGCCGATCGTCCATTCTCCCGGACACCTAGCGGCCAGGGAATACCCTAAGGCCACGCACGTCTCTCATAAAGGCTCTGGTAATGGTAGTAACAAGTCGCCTACCAACGGGCCATCGTCAAGACATCAGCAGCAACAGTCCCAGGAGCTCGCGACAACACGGTCCCCTGCCCAAGACCACCGTATCACGGGACTTGCGCGTGAGAATGGCCATGTCCGAGCGGCCAAGAACCAGACCGAGAGCTTCAGCGGGTGGCAAAAGTCGAAGCCGCGCAAGAAGGGTACCGCAGATTCCAAGCATGCCGCTAGCAGCGGCGGTGGTAACAACCCTGGCAACGGCAACTTCTCGTCGTACAGTGAGGTCCCGCCCAAGAACGACGCTGATCGCAAGGGTGGCTGAGCGACCACGCGTTCTCAAGCAATGCGTTGTGTTCGAGACTCACTCAGGCTCATTCCTGCGCTTCCCCAGGCGGTGTGGACGAGGCGACTTTCAGGGGACTCCAAGCGGCCACTGATCACATCGTTGTGCGCCGGCGAAACGTGAACTCCCCGTTTGCATTGGACAGTGCTTTAGGATCTTGCCTCCTGGTCGAACCGGTTACGGATCTATGGCCAGTACATCGCTTGAGACTTGTCTATGAAAGAGGGTCGTGTGGACCGGATGCGTGGCTCGGATGCTTTTTTTGTTTGCTCCTTTTTTCCCACCCACCACCGACACCTACAAAAGACAAGAACATGTTGAAAGCTCGGCGTCCCTCTCAAGGGATCTTTCTCCCAGCTTTACACAGCGACAGCGAGTTTTGTTTTTGGAGCCCGGCCTCCCGACCATTCGGAAACGAGCACGAGCAGACGGATGAAATGAAGCGAAAAAATTACAAAAAATAATCACAGATGACGAGCAGTGAGAGATGGAGATGATATTCGGGGAAAGGGGTATAGGGGAAAGAGACACACACGATAGCATGGCTGGCGTTTCTGGACTGGGCAAGCAAGGGACATGCAATGCATCATGGATGGGATAGCGTGGGGAGAATCACTCGGCTTCGGATTTCGTTACGCAGCGGAAGCGAGAGGCTCATTAATTCAGGGCCCTGCTGCTTTGTTTGCCGGGTGGGATAGGAACAGGGGGCTTGGCTCAGTGGTTTTTTCTTTTTCTAAGGAGAGCGAGAGAAAAAAATCGTGGAAAAGACTGAGCAATGGCGAACAATACCCACAACCAAGCTAAAAGTGATGGCAGTTGTGACAGTGGGAGGAGTGGTGTTAGTGGAGGTGGTGGGGGTGGCCGGTGGGCAATTGTCTAGATGTACCGTACCTATGTCTCTTGTTGCTTGTTTGCTCGGTGTTGGTGTTGATTTGGCTTGTGGGTTGATTGCTAGTTGCTTGCTTTGCTGCTGGCTGTTGGGCTTTGTCAGTCTATGAAGGAATCCTCGGTCTATGAGGATGGAGTAGGAAGATGTGAGAAAATGGATCGGATTTTTACATTTGGGGGTGATTTTTGTGCTCTGACTGTTTCGTGCTTGGGTGATCATGCTAACTAGCTGTGTCCTGCATTCTTACGCTGAACCGGCCCAATGCTTGAAGTGACCATGTTAAAATGGCCATGTTAGAGTGGTCATGCTACCTAAAGTTGTTGTGACCCCGTTAAACTTGGATAAGATGTGAATCCATTAAAGCTGCGAAAAAGTAACTTGCTCGAGTTTGTACATGCGGCAGAAAAGGATGGTCCTGTCATGGCAAATCGACAAGCATTTTAACCCTAAACCCTAACCCCAACCCTAACCCTTGCTTCTCACTTTTTCATCCTCTTCTTGGGAACTTCGACAGCATTAGCGGCGCAAGGGATCAGAAGAAGCAAAGAGAAGAGAAGAGGGGGCGGGGGAGGGGGTTTATAGGAATTTGCACAGACGCATTCCCCCTTCCTTACCCCTTCCTGGCTGTGACTTCCTGGTTGTGACTTCCTGGCTGTGCCTTCCTTGTGTGTAGATGTGTAATGGGTTGTCGACTTGATAAAGAGAAGTGTGGCGTCTCAGGAAGGGAAAGACCGAATAAGGGGCGGGTGAAGCGGGATACGGCCTACCTGCTAAAGTACCAATGTAGGGTAAGGAACCACCTGACTCTGTGCTAGTTGGGTGGTTTACGACTTGAACATGGCTCAAGGCGTTAGGTACCTAGTGGCCGGGGGTGTTTCCGAAGGGTGGTGCCGAGTAGCCGGCACTCTGTAATTATAAAAATGTTTGGGCCTTCAAGTTGGGAGACTCAACATGATCACGATGAACCAACGCCTTTAATTACTCTCGTCCCCAGTTGTTGCGAGCTTATGTCCCAAGAGTACGTCCTCAAACACCAACGCTATATACCCCTAACGCTCGCCCGCTTAAATCGCATAATACACTTCTAATTTCACCGACTCCACGTTATTAGTCCACGACGGAAACCGCGCCTTGGCCCACAGAGTAACCACATCCCCTAGCTTCAGGTCCCGCACAAACTTCCCATCCCCAGTGGCCTTGCCCCTACCTTGGACTGTCGCTAGATTGGTGACTGCTTCAGCGTCAGAATCCCGGTCGGGACGGATGTCGTCGGTATGGCTCCACACCACGCGATGAGTGAGAGTCTCGCGGATGGCGACCCTGTTGCATTGGACTTTGAGGTCCTCGTGGGGGTTGAGTTGGTGTTGGAAGGTGTATTTGTTTTGCTGGGAGCTCCATTCGATGGGGGGGAAGACGGTGCAGAGGGTGTCAAGCGAGAGGCTGTTGAGCGAGAGGCTGTCGAGTGATATGGGGAGGGGTTGTTGTTCTTTTGGATCTCCTGATTGTTGATCCGGAGGAGATTTCTGTTGGTCTTCCTGTGCTATTGAAGTGGCCGGGGTGGACTCGGCCGGGCTATTCTTGCACCAGCGTTCCAACCCAGCCTCAAACCACGTCCACGAGCTGTTATAGGAGTCTTGAGCCCCCATATCACCACCCCAGCCCTGGTCATGGCTGCGGATGGTGAAGACGATGCGGCGACAAGGGTGAGCGAGGAGAGTGAGCGGCGAGACGGTCAGCTCCTCGAAATCGCCGGGGGCGAACTCGTCTCCCGGTGGTCGAGGATTGGGAGCTCGCTTGTGAGGGGGTGATGGGTTCAGCCCCTGAGATACGCGTTTCCAACTGTGGAGGCCCAGTGGAGGGGAGCGAAGCTAGACGGGAAGAAAGGTTGTCAGCTACGTTTTGAGTCACGGAAAGTGCGGTGGGAAGTACATACAAGAAACACATTCTCGCCGTCGCCACTAGATCTGCCAGACAGCTGGTTCCCCCGGGCTATTATCGTGCTGTCGTTGAGTTCAGCGGTGGTGTGAGGCCAATACTCGGCCAAGTCAACAATGACATCGACAATTTCCGGGGGCAGCCTGGAGCTTGTGGCCAGCAGGGCTTTGGCGAGCATCGCTTTCACAACAAGCACATCGGCGACGGTTGGCTCGAAAGGGGAGGACATCTTGTTGGAAAGATTGGTGAGGCTTGTTCCTGGGGCTAAGTTCTTTGCAGCCCAGGAGAATGAATACCAGACAAAGCTGGCAGCGGCCACAGTAGCAATGAGCTTGGTGTCAATGGACATTTGCTGATGGCAGCATACGTGCGGAGACTCGAAAGGAGATTGGGAAAATCTAAGTCAGGGACTTTACAACCTGAAATACTAAACAGTTGGGCATATGCTTTGGGCAGAAATGCAACAAACTCAATGCTAGACTTGTTCGCGTTCCATCCCCGGATTCAGCTCTGATGGTGAAGGGTAGTCGCGGAAGGTGGGGTACCTCGTCACCACAGGTGACATCACACGCGCGGCCCTGGGCCCAGAGCCCTGAAAAAGTGGTACAGGGATGTCCCGCATTTTTTATACTACATTCACACCCCGGTGTGTTATCGGGCCGGACAATTACCCACATTTTTTATGTTATCGGCCACTCCACGGGGCACGTGAAATGACGAATCCGCCAAAATCGGTCCATCCCGCGGGGTGCATTGGAAATCTGCGGTGCTGCACGAACGAATTCGAGGAACCCCTGCGCCGGTAACGGCTCTCGAGCGGCTGTCGGGGCCGTGGACGGGGAATATCTCTGCTCGAGATCACCAATTGCTCGGGAGTCGCGGACAAAAAGGGATTGGAGGCTTACCAGAACTTTTAGTTTATTTTTCCTTTCTCATCTTTTCACCTCTCCACTTCGAAACTGAGTGGGAAAAGAATAACTTGGGGTGAACATCGGTCTTACAAGGTTTTCGACTTGACATACTTACGCAATAATGAAGTCTCGACGGGTTACAACAGCCCTATGGCAGGCCCAGAGCGCCGGGTCCGTACGCCCTATTAACAATGCGGCCCCGACGAGTATACGACGGTTGTCCGTGGCTGCTACCGGGGCAAGCCCTCTGATATTGAGGACGAAGACAACAACAACTACAACAACTACCACCACAACCCCCCCATCCCGACAACCACCAGCCCGCTACCTCCACACCTCACCCCACCAACGCAGCGAGGCCGCCTCATCTAACCCAGCCATCAAGTTCCCCTGCCTCGACGCCCTCGAAACCCGCTCCGCCAACCTCGAACAACAAGCCCAAGCGCAAGCCCAACAAGCCTCCGCACGATCCGACAAGTCCGGCCCCGAACCCTCCTACACCGTCGGCGCGACCCAAACCTACCACTCCCGCGGCGAGCCCCTCCTCCTCGACCACGGCGGCCAGCTACACGAGTTCGACATCGCCTACGAGACATGGGGCACCATGAACGCCGACCGATCCAACGTTATCCTGCTACACACCGGTCTCTCCGCGTCGTCCCACGCCCACTCGACGCCCGAAAACCCCCAGCCGGGGTGGTGGGAGAAATTTATCGGCCCCGGTCTGGCGCTGGATACGGACAAGTACTTCGTCATCTGCACCAACGTCATCGGCGGGTGCTACGGGTCGACGGGGCCATCGAGCATCGATCCGCTCGACGGCCAGCGGTACGCCACGCGGTTCCCGATCCTAACCATCCAGGACATGGTGCGGGCACAGTTCCGTCTGCTGGACCATCTGCGCGTGGACAAGCTGTACGCCAGTGTCGGGTCCAGCATGGGCGGAATGCAGTCGTTAGCAGCCGGCGTGGAGTTTCCAGAGCGCGTGGGGCGGATCGTATCCATCTCGGCCTGCGCGCGTAGTCATCCCTACAGCATCGCCATGCGCTTTGTCCAGCGCCGCGCTATCCTCAACGACCCGAACTGGAACCGCGGGTTCTACTACGGCCGGGTGCCACCCCACGTGGGAATGAAACTCGCCCGCGAGATTGCAACCATCACGTACCGCTCCGGACCGGAGTGGGAACAGCGGTTTGGTCGCCGGCGCGCCGATGGGTCCAAGCCCCCTGCGTTGTGCCCCGATTTCCTCGTCGAGACCTACCTCGACCACGCCGGCGAGAAGTTCTGTCTGACCTACGACCCGAACAGCCTGATCTACGTCAGCAAGGCGATGGACCTGTTCGACCTCGGCCACGCCAACCAGCAGGCCACCGCTACCCGCCGCGCCGAGCGTCTGGCAGCATCATCGTCTTCCCAGTCGTCCCCCATCCCAGGAGACGGCGCAACCTGCAGCCTGACCCTCCCGGACAGACCATACGAAGAAAAACCAGACCCCAATGGCGGCAGCCCCCTAGCATCCGCCCTCTCCAACGAATCCCCGTCCCCGGGATCCCAGCATCAGTCCTCGAACCCACAAACGCCTCAACCCCCCGCCGACCTCGTTGCAGGGCTAGAGACCCTGCGTAACCACCCGGTTCTCGTCCTCGGCGTGGCGAGCGATATCCTCTTCCCGGCGTGGCAGCAGCGTGAAGTGGCCGAGGCGCTGCGGCAGGCGGGCAACAAGCAGGTGGAGCACCATGAGTTGAGCGAGGTGCAGAGTTTGTTTGGGCATGATACGTTTTTGCTGGATGTGAATGGGGTTGGGGGGCAGGTGAGGAGTTTTTTGGGGTGAGATGACGGGGTTGTGTGGGAGGATGGGTCCGAGTGAAGGAAGAAAATCTACGGAATGGGATGCATGTAGGAAATGTATTAGTGAGGCCGTTATTTTCACAAGGGAGGTTAAGGCTGCCGTGTCAAATACTTTGTTTTAGCGCAATAGCATGTGAGGCGGTGAATGCATCATTCTCCATTCCCAATCAAGTACTTTACTAAAAAAAGAAGTCTATCCATGGTTGTGTGCGGCGTGTATGCAAGAAAGGAAAAAGAAGCGACTCAAGGGAATACATCAAACAGTTTTTGTAGATGGGGTATAGAGAGAAACGAAAAGACACAGTAAACGACAAAGTAAAATACGATGGTATCAGGCACTCCCTAGTCCGGTATATGCAGGTGGAATCGAGAAAACAAGGCAGAACGGAAACAGAAACCGGGACAAGCACAGAAGCCAAACGAAACTGCCCAACCCAAGAAAAGAACCGAATACAAAAATACAACAAGAAAATAGTAAAAAAAAAAAGGCTGAACGAATGCTCAATCAGATAAACCCAGTCCCAAAAGAATCCACCATCCCAGCCTTCCCCTTCCCACTCGTTTTTCTCCCACCATCGCCGGCGTAATGCCCACCATTCCCAGCTGGCTTCGGCCGCCTCACGTCCCGAATACTCGGTCCCCGGGCCATGCCAATCCCCATAAACGCCGCAGGATCGTCATCATCACCCCCTTCGCCATTAACATAGGCATCATTAGGATGAAGGCCGAGACCGACACCTTGCCCGTGTACACTATCCCTCTCGCGGGGCAGGTCGGTGTCAGGAAATCTGGGCGTCAAGAAAGTCGGCGAGGCCGCGAGTCCACCGCTTTTCCTGGCTCCTCCGGCGGAAGTAGACGGTCCGCCAGATGTAGAAGGCCGGCCGTCCGCTGTCCAGGGAGCAGAGGGCATGGAGCGGATTGGGGGCGTCCACATCCCTGTGGTTGGACCGGACCCGACGGGTGAGCCGAGGCTGAGGCTCGGGTCGCGCGAGGGTGCGTCGAAGGAGAAGTTGAATTTGAGATTGAGAGGGGCGGGAACGTTGGCGCGCGTGAATTTTGTTGTAGGGGAGAGAGATTGTGAGGGCTCGGTAGGAGGGGTTTTACCCCGTGGGGGCTGGTCCGAAGTTCTGTGGGAGGTGGTGGATGGAGCCGTTGATGTGGCAGTGACTGCAGAGGCAATCGATGACGCGGTTGCGTGGCTTGCTCCGTCGTTCCCGGCCGGCGAGACCAAGGACCAGTTCGTCGAGTCTGGTGTAGGAGGCCCAATGACACTCGGCGCAGGGCCAAAGTCAAAGTTGAACCCCGTGTTGATGGATGGGCTCGGGCGCGGCCGCTCAAACGTGGTATCCAGCGTCGGCGCCGGGCTAGGCTGACTGACGTCTCGCTTGAAGGCTGGGCCGGGACCTGGACCTACGCTAATACCCTGGCGTAGTTGCGGCGTGTTGGTCCTCGAAACGGGGGAACTATGGGAACTGTAGTTGTCTGCGCTAGCACTTCTCAATCCCGGCGTCGGTGTCCCGTCGCGGCTACCGCCAACCCGGCCGCCTGCAACGCCGTATTCCTCGAGACCTGGTCTTCGGGGAAGCGGACCTCGTCGAGGGGGCCCGCGCATGGGGCTTTGTGGCCGGCTGTGGCTCAGGGCTGGAGCGGCAGGTGGTGGGGAGGAGATTATAGGCGGCGACGCGATGCGAAGCGGCGTAGGCTGGATAGACAGGATCGGTCCATCGTCATCTTCATCCTCAGACTGGACCCCGTCCGTGTAGACGCTGCTCCCGGTGCTGACTCGGTTCATTACCGATTGACGTCCCTTCTTGGACGAAGCTGCGGCCACCTGGGCGGTAAGGAGTGTCTTTTCCAGCTCCTCGATCCTCATCGACAGGCTTTGTTGTCGGTGTGTGCTATGTGCTAAAGTATCGCGCTTGGCAACCACGTTCTTGATCACTGGCCGCGGGAGGTCTCCAATTGGCTCGTCATCAACAGACAACCTCCGAACAGAACCTGCAGGTGTGGTTACATTGGACGGTGATGTTAAGGAGGATATAAGCGGCTGTCCTAGCCCCTGATTTTCTGGTTTGGGTGTGCCTCGTCTGCTACCAGGCCCCTCTGGGCCTGTGTTGAATAGCGCGCCACGCTGTTCAAGGGACGTCGGGTTTTGGACCCCAGGACTCCGAATGGCGGGGCTCTGTGAGCGGACCGCGCTGGAGTTGTTAACGGGAGGACTGGGGGAGCGAAGGGCATCCGGGAGTGGGCCGAGAGCGCCAGAGCTCTCAAGAGGAGGGGGGCGGTAAGGCTTGAAAACCTTCTCGGGGGTGCCTGACGAGCCAGGGCCTTGAGAATAAGATGGTCCGCCCGATGCCAAACCACCAGGACACGAACCTTTGGACCGGAGCTGAGGGGTACCAGACCTCGGAGCAGGACCAAGGGGCCCTTGTCGCGGTGGTCCTTGGCCGGGTGGTTGGGGTAAACACTGTGTCGGCGGACCGGTGGGTGGGGGGCCTTGATGAAGGCATGATGATTGCGGGGGCCCGTTGCGACTCGTCGGCCGGGAGTTTGTTTCCCTCCTGAATGCTGGGCCCGGCAGGCCGAGATCCTCGAAGGATTGTTGTAGCTCCAGCGGCGAGTGCGGGGCCGAGGGTCGCCTTGCCGTGAGAGTGCTCTCCGTCGACTTCTGCCTCTCCAGTCTCTCCATATCCAAGCGGGCAGTTTCTCGCTGCTTTTCAAGTTCCTTCTCCCTTTTCTTCGCCTCCTTTTCTTCCTGCTCCCGCTTTTTCACCGAGGCCAAAATAGCATCCACCATGTCATCGGCCTCTTCACCAAACACTGACCCCGTCTCAGCAGCATCCGTAATCGGCGTAGGCGGCAACTGAACAGAGTCGATAAGCGGTGACATGGGCGTCGGGGGCCCAGATGATGCCTTATTCGCAAAGTGAATATCCAATGGATTCACCCATGGCTTCGCCCTCCCGCCTGATGTGCCCGGCCGTGACCCAAATCCGGACTTTGGGCTCGCAAGACTAGTTGACGACCCATTATTTGCCCCGAATCGCGCGCCAAATCCCGCCGATGACGGGCTGACCAAGCTCGTGACGGATCCATTGTTGTTGCCGAATCGCGTCCGCATGTTCATCTCCGAAGCATGCAGCTTTAGGCCGCCAGCAGAGCTCCCAGATCTGGTAGAGCCCGGGGAGGACAAGTCGAACATGCTGGCGGCGGCATGACTTTGGCTATCTTTGCCATCGTACGGCATGGTGGAACTGCGGACCGGCTGGGGCGTACCGGCTCGTGGAGCGACGCGGAGACTCCCCCCAATGCCGCCTTTCGGACTGGTGACATTGTTGGCCAGGAATTGACCATCTGCTCGAACGTTCCGCTGGTGTGGCTGCTCCTCCTCCTCAACGGGCTTGGTCTCCGGCTTCCTGCAATAACAATGGTTGGCATTTTGCCTTCTTGTGAGTCGGCACGACGGGATAACTCACTTTTTCTTGCCCCCGACCCTGAGGCCAAAAAACGAAACCATTTTGGATTGATAGTAAACGAGTGACTGTTGGTTTAGGTTTAAGAATTAAAACATTAACTGCAGGATTGAGTCAATACAAGGCCTGCGGCAGAAGGCGAACACGTTTGGCATCACCGACATTTACTCGGGGTTTTGGTTTCCTCGGCGAGAATGAAATGAACAGACGAGTTTGTCGTGGTGTTTTCTCAACCGCTCCGAGCCAGCCAAGCCATCTCCGAACTCTTGATGCCCGACGGTTCGATGGTTCGGCGGGTTCCTCGACGAGCAGGGGTTCGTGAGATGGACAAACCCCGAATCAAAAGCGCCTCTTCAGCCCTTTTTCACGGCGCCGGTTCCCAAATGGGGTCTTCGATGTAGATGTTTGGACGCGAGAGCGCTATCGCCGTCTTATTTCGTCAATTGGTTGGGTGAAGACTAGGAAGATTCCATCCCACAACCAATTCGAAGCAGCGAACCAGCCGGAGAAAACGAAGACAACAAAGAAAAAAGATCGACAGGGGGGCGGCACAGTCGTGTGGCCCGAGGGAGTGACAAGAAACGAATGACGGTGCAAGACAAGCCCAAGAGAAGGCTCCGCGCCGCGTGATTGATAGCTAGTGGCAATGGTGATAAAGCCCCCCGGAGCCTCTGAGTGGGAAAAGAGAGAGGGGACGGGAGGGGGGAAACGTTGAAGAGCTCTCAAAATGGGAAGCAGCGCTCGTATCCTTTTCTGGCGGAGAACCCTGGAGTTGGAGCCCGCGTTCTTGTGGATATGATTCGCGCCGTTCCCCGCTAGCGTTCGGCGCGCAGCGACGACAAGGGTCCCAGGCGTGCCCCGCGAGATCTTTTCCCGCTCTTTCAAGACATGGGATTTGTGATGTGGAAGAGTCTCATGAGACTTCCTCCGTGATCTGTTTGCCGGTTATGTTTGACTTTTCGGTCCCCGTTTGAAACCCGAGTCTAGTCTCCCGTCAGGGAAAATAGGAATGTGTGTGTCCGTCGGCATCGGGACCCCGCAGAAATTTGTTTCGTTTCCTTCCGAGTGAGCAAGAGCTTCGTAGTTGAGCCCAAAGAGGAAAGAGTGGCATCTTCAGCACAATCAGTGCGCCATTCAATTCAGGGGCACTCCACGGGTGTTCCTGGTCTAATCCCGATTGGGCACTAGCGTCCCGTGCGTCCCAAGTGCGGGAAATGGAGTTCGCAGGAAAAGTGGGACAAGGCTAACAATCCCGGTCAGCACTTTTCTGTTTCATTTTTGTTTTCCCACCTCGCGCGTTCGTTGAATCTTCCACACTCCACTTCAGATCTCAGCGGGGCAACCGTCCAAAAGAGGCACCAGTCGCATCCTTATCGTTGATGTCGACGATCCTCCTGTAACGCCTTGCAGACTGGGGAAATGGCACGTTTTCAACACGTGCTGATGCACTCACCTACCGACCTTGATCTCGAATGGACACATAACGTTACATGCGTGCATCGTTTCTGGGAATGTCGAACCTTCAAATCTCTAATGTACACTAGTTTGCTTTAGTTATACAGGACCGCATTCCGTATCCCTTGCGGTTTGCGTACCAATCAGCAAATGTTGCACTCTTGGTTTAGTCTTGTTTCTGCTTGTTTGTCCGGTCTTGCTTGTAGTGAGGAGTGACGAGCGTTCGTAAAACCCTTAAAAACAACACAGCAAGGCTCGAAACCTCGGTGTACTGTAAATCTTACCGGAAAAGAGGTCACGCGGTAGCTGCGAGATGCTTGGTGGGAACCGATATGCTTTGAGGCGCCGTCTACGAACCTCTTAAGGGTATCTATCCGCTAGCTCCCTCCATCCGCGAACTCCAAAATCATGCAAAACCAAGCCCGTGAAATCATAGTAACCGCCACCCCAACCCGCCATTTTTGTCCACCTGTGCCCGCCCGACCACCAATGCTGTCATTAATATCCAACTACACCGCAACCTCCCCCACTAGACCCCGTTTATTCTGCGGCAACCTGAAGACCCACACAACAACCGTCGATATCGTAAACAAAACCGCCGAGAGAAAAAATGGCAGTCCAACCCAGGCGCCACCACGCTCCAAACCGATGCTCAGACTCTCCGCCAACGCGGGGCCAGCGAACGTCATGCCCAACACCTCCGTAAAGCCGATCAGCGAGTTGAGGATACCAACATGGTGCTCCTCAACCACCGCATTAACCAGAGACCGGAGCATGGCAAGCATGCCAGAGCCGAGGGCATACCACGCCAGACCAACCGAGAACAGCGTGCCGTTGACCGCACACGCAATTATCAGGCTGCCGATGATGTAGAGAATTCCGGACCACCGCGCCAGCCACAGGTCTTTGGACACGCTGTCCATTCCAAGGCGTTGGATACAGAACCAGCTCACGGCGGGTAGCACAACCAGCAAAGTGAATAAACTGCCGCCGTTGCGGACGGTCAGTACCAGAGACGCCTTGCTCCAGCTCCAGCCGTAGCGGTCCGTCGCGTACTGCAGAAGCAGCTCGCTGACATAGCGGCCCAAAACGAGGAAGGTGAGCGCTATCAGCATAAACGCCACGCTCTGGTTAGTGACGATAAAATCCCATGCTTCCATGGCACCTTCGCCAGCTTTCTTCCAAAGGCTGGCGATTCGAGCGCGGAGTGTCTTGGCCCAGTTCTCATAACCGTCACGAGCCTCTTCGTCCTCCTCCTGTCCGGTCCGTTTCCGGGCGTGGACGTGGACGGTCTCGGGGTACGCAAGGATGAGGACGTTGCAGAGGACACCCGCAAAGAGGGAAAGAAGCAGCGGAAGCCACGGGGACCAGTCCAGCAGGGCGCCACCGATGGGGCCAGCGATCATTTGCGAGCCGAGGAAAACGGAGGTGATTCGGAAGAAGACAACGGCGCGCTCCTCCGAAGGGATAACGTCGGCGAGCATGGTGTAGATCATCGCCACGAGGACAGTACCACCACCGCCGAACCTAGCTTGGGGGTTAGTGACTATTTCTCTGTGTTCTGTAAAGGCATCAGGGGGGAACCTACAGTTGGAACGCCGCGGAGAGTAGCGACACCCACAGCGGGATGATATCCTCAAAGTAGACTATTTCCGTTGTTAGTATTCATTCCAGCGCCTCTTTAATCAACAAGAAGAAGGCCGGCACTCACAAACCAAATACATAAACGCATAACTCGCCACAATCCCCGCCATCGACAACGCCATCACTCCCCGTCGACCCCAACGATCCGACAAGATCCCATACGGCACCGTAACGATCAACCCCACAATGGACTCAAATGTGCTCTGCCACCCACGCAGCATGGCCAAGTACCCCTGCACACCAGGCGCCTTGCACGCTGGGTCGTCCACGAGCACAACCCCGCCAGCAAAGTGCCGGATCCGGTGAAGGCCTCCCCCCGGTAAAACGACAGAAAATATGTCGGGGAGGGTAGGGATGGCGGGTTCGACGACGGGAGGGTGGCCCTGGCCAGGTGAGGGAAAGAGATCCGGGTGCACCTGGCGACAGATGATGCTTTCCATGATGGCGTTTATGGGCGGAACGGAGACGCCGATGACGATTTCGAGAAGGAAGATCAGGAACAAGGAGACGATGATCACGCGCGGGCGGAGGAGGGCGCGGAGCTGCGAGGCGGCCGCGGCCGATGGGGATAAGGTGGGATCATTGTCGTTGTAACCTTCCCCGGCGAGGGTTTCACTAGTTGACGATACCGTGATCGGGTTGCCCGGGGATGGTGAGCGCGATGATATAGTAGGGGTTGGTGTCCCGGCCAGTAGCGGGGTGCGCTCCGAAGAGGTGTCGATGCGATCGACGGCGGGCATGGTGGGCCGCTGTCCCGAAGGAAGGAAAGAACAGCGCTCTTCGTACTTCGTGCCTATCTGAGGTCGACAGCAAACAATGAGTGATGTATCACCTCGTTCACGAAGGGCGAAGGCGCAAAAATATTATTTATTAGAGATAAAAAGACAAAATCAATTGAAGACTAGGAGAAGAGAAAAGGAATGACAAGCGTGAGAACTTCAAGTTGTAAAGCCGAGCGATAAGAGAACGCGTCATGGGGGGGACACGTCTTGGCAGGAACTATTCCAGAATTGAACAAAAGCTTGCGTTGCGCCGCTAAGGATCGTGCTGCGGTCTGGCTCAGATTTATGAGAAAAGGCGTCAACGCCGAGAAAGGCAGGCCCGGACCTCAACTCCACCGGAAAAAAGGCACCAAGAGAGCTCGGGCATCTTCGCTGTTTCAAGTTTTGGCTTCCCAATGCAACCTGCAGCGCATGGAAGCTTTTCCACGGCACAGTTCGACAGCCCTGCGGAAAAAAACGACGCAATAATTAGGAACAGCGTACGGGCACAGTCAGATGCGAATGCAGGGCTGGTGACGTGGGACGACACGTCCTCCACTGCGTTGGATGCAACCCCACGACACCCACCCTTCTGCATCTTCAAAAGACAACGCAATGCGCTGTGCGCGTCAATGGATTCGATATTCAGGGACCTATTTTCCGGGTGCAAGGGCAGCCCAACGAGATCAGACGAGACGGGATCAGATCAGATCAGATCAGACGACACAATCGTGCCCGAGGCAATGCAAGCTACCGAAATCACTCTTCTACAAAGGCAAACCGCATGTCGCCTGGCGGCGCTTGACGCCGTGGGCAAACACAACGAGACGCAAGGGCCGGACGCAGCCATGGGGAACGGCTCGAAAGCAAATCCAAAGGGTCTGGCGGTTGTTTGTGCGACAGCTAAGCCGCCGCTTTCTCCGATTGGAAAAGCACCGACGGCAAGTCAGGTACCTGATGGCCTCAACTTGTCTAGTCATAAGGCTGATAAAAATTGATAAGAGCGGGGGATAACGCGGAAACTAGTTTGCGATGCGTCGTTCATGGTGTTGAGAAGCTGCGGGGACCTTTGTCCCAAACCGGAAGCACCGTTCACGAGTGGGGGCCGCTCCCGATTTCCAGCTCATGTTGCTCGGGTTCTCGGGCTCGAAGCATTTCCTGAGTTCCGTCCCACTGGTCGCATGATTCGAAGTGGTCCTCGTGCACGTTCTCAGTGAAAGGCAAGCCATCCAAAGATGTAAGCCAATGTGTGGATTTTGTTGGGAAACGCTAGCCTCTGACTAGCTGCGGGAGACAGGCCAGCTCACGCACAGCTTCGCCTTGTGATGAGCTGGCGACCTGAATGTGTTCTGAGCCGTTAGTATTACTGGATGACCGCCCGGCGGCCCACTGCGGGAGGTCCTGTGATGGGCCGGAGACGAGACGCCGGCCGGCTTTGTGGGTCCTTCCGCGTCCACTGAATCGAGGCGCCGGGTACCTTCCGGCCCTGGCCCGGCCTTTGATCGACCTTCGCTACAAAATCGTCCGAACGACTTCGATCGTGACACCTCCATTGGAATTCCACACGGAAAATCGGGATGCGTTTTACGACCGTAACTATGCCTGCTGCCACGACCGAAACCGTCGTTGAAGTCATACCCACGAAGCCGCTCGTAAGTCTCACCCGGTAATAAATAACACGATGGTAAAATATCGTGATAAACAAAGACGCTAACCGTGAGAATTATGTCCAGATTATTGGCCAGGGGGACTGGATTAGAGTGGTGGAGTAAGCACCATCATAACATATTCCTCACGTCGAGGGTATCGCAAGAAGGGTCTAACAAAAAATATAGGAAAGAATATAAAGACCCCAACGGCAACATCCGGACATGGGAGTCGGCCGAGCGCGTTACGCGGCCTGAGGGTTGCGATATTGACGGCGTGAGCGTCGTAGCTATCGTCGAAAACGATAATCGTAGGTGTCACGACCACCTATCTCAAGATCTTAGAACTAATCGCGCGTGCAGGTCCGGAGGTTGTTCTGCAGAAGCAGTACCGCCCGGCCCTAGAACGAGTGGTCATCGAACTACCTGCTGGCCTGGTAGATGAGGGCGAGACTCCCGAGCAGGCCGCGATCCGCGAACTCGAGGAAGAAACGGGGTACGTTGCCAAGGTCGAGGACATATCGCCCGTCATGTTCAACGGTATGTGTTGCGAAATGAGCCCACACTTTCCTACCCCTCCTAACTGTTTTCTAGACCCCGGTTTCTGCAACACGAACCTGCGCATGGTACATGTCACGTTGGACATGGATCGGGTCGAGAACAAGGATCCGAAGCCCAAACCGAAGGAGGACGAGTTCATCGAGGTGTTTCGTGTGCCGCTAGCCGACCTGTGGGATGAGTGCGTCAAGTTCGAAGCGAAAGGGTACGCTATCGACGCGGGGGTAGCGAGCCTGGCTGAAGGGATCAAAATCGCTACAAAGTTTAACCTCTGAACTTGAGTTGCAGCCGGGTAGACGCCCACCTGCCCTCGGAAAAGACCGAGTTGTACTATGGTTTTAGCTTGTACGATAAACCAGGCTGGGAATAGAGCATACCATACTGATACCACAATCCATCGCCCTTTATATCTTGCCCTCCTTCCTCAACCCCTCCCACAACGCCACGGCCGCGAGAGCTTTCGCATCTCTCGCGCCTTCCTTCCACAAGTCTTTCATCTTGACCAGCTTTAACGTGATTTTCTCCCCCTCGTCCCTCAACCCGGTCAACTTGCCGGTCCACTCGCCCAATTGGGCCCTTGGCACCCTCCGCTCATGCAGAAAGATCGGAATGTACTCATCACACCCCCCAGCACTGGGATATACTGCTTTCGGCAACGGCAACGGCAACGACCCATCCGTATCGCCCTTCTGTTCCCCTTCCCCCTCCAGAGCCAACTCACTCAAGTTGACCAACTCCCCCTCTTTTATCACAATCCCCAATTCCTCCTCTATTTCCTTCGCCGCTTGCCCCGCAAAATTACCCCCATCATCCACCATCCCAGCCGGCAACTCCACAAACGCCAGACTCCCCGCGGCCACCCGCGGCTGGACGGTCAGCAGCACATATCGCTCATCATCAACAACATAATCTCCACCCGACCCAGACCCAGCAGACACATCATCCGGCACCAGCACGACTAACATCGCAACCGACGGTCCACGCAAGAATACCGCGCCCGGGAGTTTCTCGCCGGCGCTGTTGGATATGGAGGTGGTCAGTTTGACGAACCCGAGGCGTTGGCTGCCGAAGAGGTCGAAGGCTTGGACGGTGATGGATTGGAGGGTGTAAGGGTCGGTGTGGAAGGGGTGTTGTGGGGATGTCTGTTGGGTGGAGAGGGAGTGGTCGAGGGTTTTGAACCAGGCCTAAGGGGGGAGGGGGCAACGAGGGTTTGTTAGTTTATGGCGTGGAGCTTATCCTTCTTCTTTTCCTCCTGTCCGTGAGCTTGGGCAGGCTAGGTGCTCTTTCACATTACGGGGAACTCACATTGAAAGGAGGGAAGGCGAGAAGTTGGGTTTGAGAGAGGCCTGCAGGAAGAGTTACTGGGGTTTTGGTGTCGGGGTGGTGAAAAATGGTGGTCGACATTTTGCGCGGGGCAATCTGAGCGAGAGGCGACAATGAGAAGAATGAAAAGTTGGGTTGAGGGATCCAGGCCCGGATTGCAGTTCGGCTTTGGTAAAGTGCGCCGAGCAGAATGGGCATAATGAGAATGGGGATCAGCCAGTCTCGCGTGCCTCGCATCCCGGGAGAAAGAGTGTTCCGGCTGTGGGTTTGTTGACAGTTTGGGGGCTGGTTGACGTCAACGCCCGAAAAGGTGGCCGGCAGGCACGAGTGTCTGGGAATCTTGGCAGCTCAGATGGCCACCTGGCCCGACTCTTGGCTGAGGGAAAGACTCGGCTTGAGCCTCGATTTGACGATTCAGTTTATTGCGTAGGCTATGTGTTGCAAGTGCACACGGGGATTTTATCTCGATTTTAATGGCGTCGTCAAACCGAATTGTCAACCTTGTCCGGTGCGGGCCGCCGAAGCAGCTTCAGCTAGGTGGCCTGACGCTTGCTGTGGAGCTTCGTTTAGTGACGGGACCCCAGTCATCGCCAACAACTTCTCCACAAGTGTCGTGAGAATGAAAGTCATGACGTTTGATAGTTCAGCCCGAGTGACGTCAAAGGATATGGCAGCGGTTTATAAACCTCCTCATCTCGGAAATGATGGATCTTTAACACGTCCCATTGAAACATATCAAATTGAACGGCTCAACGTACATAGTGAAACACAACCTAATAATTACGCCACACACAACAGCACTACACATCCACCATGCCTCGCCAAGGAAACGGACAGAGCGATAACGCCATTGAAGCAGGCCACAACATCATCCACGGCGCGGGCCAAGAAAAGGTACGGCCTACCACCATATTATTATATTCCCTGGTTCCCCCCTACACCCTCGTTCAGCGATCTTTCAGCTCCTGCCATGTCTGTAACGCTGTGTCACTAACATCCATCCACCAGTCCACCCATGTCGATCGCGCGGACAAGACTGCACCTCTTCCAGAGCTCTCTAAGGGCGCGGGTCTCGAGAACCTCCCAGCGAGTGGGGGGACAAGCAAGGGAAAGGATCAGGGCGGGAGGGGGAGCACTAACTGAGGTTGTGTGAATCACACAAGAAACGAGTGCTTTAGTTAATTATAACTCTGGTTTTGGTGGGAACTGTGGAATCACTGGATCGATCGTCGTGTTAAAAAAATAAAGTACCTACTTTTCCTTTTTTGGGGACATGAGGAGTGGCAATTATAGTATAGCTGAGCCTTTCATGCCTCTTTATTTTCTTTCCCTAAAATGGAATATAACTATCACGATCCGTTGATTATCTAATTAGGTCAGGTAATCCGCGTATAGGGGGTTCGGGAATTGACCGAATGCTTTGGGTTGGTGGATGTCAAGAAGCGTGATAAGGGCGGCAAAACGGCCCTGCATCTGGTCGCTACAGGAACTGAAGGTTCTCAAGCCGATCGGAACGATATTGCGAGGTATCTGATCGAGGAACTCAAAGCAAACAAAAATGAACGGGATGCGCGGGGGCGGACGCCACTGCATTTTGCCGCTAGAGCAGGAAACTTGATGCTCGTGGACTATTCAGTCCAGGAAGCGAAAGCGGACCCGTATATCAAGACTACGAGGCACGAAACCCCCGTGCATCTAGCCGCGCGGGGAGGGTACGTGGATGTTGTCCGTTATTTTGTGGAAAGGGCTGGTTTCGAGGGCAACGACACATCAGAGTGGGAAGGAACCCTACTTCACCTGCTGCGTTTGGCCTGCGGTGAGAGGTGGCCCAGCTCTTTTCCATATACTTCTCGAACGCCCAAAACTATGCAGCTGGTTACAGGAGAGGGGACCTCGTTGGATCAATCCACCAAGGAACACAGTGATGAAACTGTTCAACTCGTTGATTATCTCATAAAGCGGGCTGGAGCTGACGTGAACCATGTCACCTAGGACGGGGGGTACCTTTCCAGAAATTCCCCGTTGGCCTTCGCAAGCCAAAGCGGACATGAGGCCCTCATCTAAACCTCATCGAGAAAGTCGGTGCGCACACCCACGAGATGAAAGACCAACTCACTAGAGCGTTGCAGGCCGCAGCCTGAGGGGGACATATAGGAGTCGTCGCGTGTCTCATTGAGAAAGTCGGCGTGGATGCCGGGGAAGAGGACAGTTGGGGTGAGACAGCTTTATGTCGGGCAGCCTCGAGGGGACATCAGGCCGTTGTAAAGTACCTTATGGCGCGAACTGGAGCCAGCGGCAGCGGGGAGAGCGATTGTGCCACCCCAGCAGCATTCCATGCGGCATGCCATGCGGCCTCCGGGGGACACATCGGTCTCATCAAGTATCTCATTGAGTGGGTTCGAGTGAGTGGTAACGGAAGGACGGGCATGGGAGGACGTTAGTAAGCCTGGCAGCCTCAGACGGCCATGAGGACGTCGTCAGGTACCTCGTTGAACAAGCTGAGGCGGACACCAACATACAAGACAAGGAGGGCAATACGGCATTGCACCGGATTATCACAAACAGGTCCGACGGGTACTTAAGCTCAGTTAATGGAAAAGACGCATATATACAGAGCAAGCGGTACACCAGGTCCGAGTGGGAAATGGGGCGCATTGTTCGGTACCTCATTGAGGAGGCTGGTGCCGATGTCAACATCCAAAACAACAACGGAGACGATGTATTAGCGGTCGCCAATGATTGGCAAAGGGATTTCATAACGGTGTGCCTGGACAATAAGAGACTGGGAATAAAGCGTGCTGTGGGCGAGCATGAAGGGTTGGCGAAATTCATGTTCGCGCAGCGCAGGCCTAATGAGTTGCGGAGGGAGTTCTATTACGATTAGTGATAGGTTGGGCTGCGAAAGGCTTTTTGCGTTGCCGAATTCATTGCGCAAGGGAGGTTGAGCCTTCAGTTGTAATTATATTAGATTTTGGAGTGATTACTTGACTCTTGGATGGTGGCAACAAGGTAACTAGATTGAAAGGACCTAGGGGGCTTATATCAAATCGAACTTTTAATTTCCGTGACGGCACGAACACTTTAGTCTCTCGATGCTCATGACAACGGAAGCCAACCTCATGGTGATGAAGGCTCTGTGCGGTATTGTAATGTGTTTCGAACCGCACGACGTTTTTGTCCCCAACTATAGCTAGACGGCATGCTGTCTAGCTGGACTAAGTACTGACTTCGCGACACCTTCTCGTATAAACTCCGTAGATAGGTAGTTCGGGAAAAAGCGGAATTAGATGATGATGCATCACATTACAAAGAAGAAGTGGGGGTAGCACCCGTTCACTCGGGTATTACCGTATTATACTACAACGGTTGAAACGACGATCGAAAAACGACAACGACATGAGTAATCATGGGGGCATTGAAGGCGGTATGACGCATTTGGAGAAAGCTAGCAACCACTGTAGCTGTGGGATACAATAAACGGAAGGCACAGTGATCCAAACACCATGATGTTGACCTACCAGTTAGGCCAGGAAATTAACATGAGAATTAGAGCTCGACGTTATGTTGTATGCCATTGTAGCCTGCCCAGTAGCAAAGATATGTGGCGAAAGTTGCGACTTCCGTAATTGATCATGAAGGGCCGCTGGTCTAGTGGTATGATTCTCGCTTAGGGCTCACCCTACGGCAACGTTTGCGAGAGGTCCCGGGTTCAATCCCCGGGTGGCCCCGATCAAGATCTTTATTTTGCAAGTCGTGAATCCCCATCACTGTACATTTCAGCAATGATTTCTGGCAGATAGGGTTATTTTTATCCCATTACAGGAATGACTTGTAGATTGACGAGGGGGCGGTGCGCGATAAGACTCCTTTCTTAGCACTTGGCCAACACCAGGATGTTTCACAATCACCCCTGGAAAGCAGCCATCACATTCTGACACGTTGAATACCTAGCTTTGCGGTCGGGTCAGGGGTTACGATAGGCTCTGAGGGTCCGAATGAATTCGCGGGGTTTCATGACGGTGGTCGGATTCCGTTATTTTCAACCCTACCTTGACTCTGTTTCTGTCCGAGTCATGACAGTGGGGCAATACGGGAAACTTAACATGTTAACTCTTTAGTTTGAACAGAGTCCAGCGCATGAATGAGAGAAGGGCGGGAAAACGATGACGCCTAGAGATGAGCACATCCAACTTTTTAGACGGGAGAAGAACTCAACAAATATCGACGGACACTGCCGGCAGCGGGCGTCTTTGACTGAATAGATCATGACGTGACTTATATACACTAGTTCAGGGCAACAACAAAAGTTGCCGGTGCTTCGCAAGAAAATGGGAAAGCAACCAAGACTCAAAAATGGAACCAAGAAATCAAACTGGGAAAAGCAGAACTGAAGACGCAAATAACCTAATATCCCAAGCCACCCACACTCTTGGATGCCACGCTAACAAGCCCCATCATACACCCCTTACACCTGGCCACCAACCAGCTGCCGCAGCGCATCAAGCAACGCACGACAAGTAGTCCCCGCAGCACATGAGGCATCAGCTCCCGTACCAGCTCCCTCCCCCGTCCCCAATTCTCCAGCAGCAGTACCCCCCTCACCAGCACCTTCACCAGCACCGCCAGCAGAAGCAGGATCAGGCACAAAGAAAGCCCACTCGCCAACCATGTTGGTCACAGACAGGCTGAGCTCTTTTTCCTCAGCCTCAAACTCGAATTCGCCCTCGCCAAAGACGAAGGAGTTGGCTTCGGGGCAGAAACGGCCGACTTGGCCTGCGGAGATGTCGGTTGTGCCTATTTGGGGGGGGAAGGGGTTAGTTTCCGCTTATCTTTGTTTCATCGGGGGTGGGGGTATGGGTGACGTTGTTGTAGGAAGTGGGTATTGTTATGAAGAAGTGCGAGGTGGCAGTGTGTAAAACGAGTATGCATAAAAAAACAGAAACTCACTCTCAGCATTCTGGATGTAGTCAATCTTCTGCAGCGTCAGGCCCTGCGCGCCGGCCGCACCCCCGCTCAACTCAACGATATACGAGACCGGCTCGAGGGCGACAAAACCTGCCGGGGCCGCGGCCGGCGTCGGGTTTTCAGTGACGCGCAGCTGACGGCCCTCTTGGTTCTGGAACTCGACTTCGAGGGCACCATTGGTCTGGGAGGGTGTTAGTTATTTAATTACCTGCTGGTAGTGGATAGCAATAGGATAGGAATGGGGGGATGATGATAGACTTACGCCAGGAGGAAAGACGGTATCGGTCTTGATGTCACCACCGCCGAGGGTGATGACCGTTCCGAACTGGCCTTGCTGCTCGATCTCATTCTCCTCGGCCCCGGCTTCACCCTCGGCGGCACCTCCCGCTTCTCCCGCTCCGGCAGCCCCACCTACGGTGGTGTTGGCCGCAACCTTTCCGATCTCGGGTGGTGCGGGGAGGGCGAGGATGGAGAGAACCTGGGCGGAGAAAAGGAGGCTGGTGGAGAGCTTCATGATGATAGGCGGGCGTGTTGTTGGGGGTGGGATGGGATATAAGGGAAGATATAGTACAACAAGACTTTATAAACTCCAAGGATAGGAAGTGAAGACACGAGCCAAGACGCCGAGAGAAGAGAATAACACGAATAATGATCTTGTCATCACCGGCCGAGAGGATCGACGACATCGTTCATCTTATACATCGCATTCCCCAAGCCAACAACTCTCCCCCTTTCCCTGAGAAAAGTCTGTCAGACCCCGTACCAAGACATTTAGAAACCAGGGCATGTTTAGACGACACCTTGGCCACTCCCCAAGCAACTCATCACTTTACTCTCTCACCGGAACTCGGCATCATCACTTCTCTGCATCGCCACTTCTCCCTGTCTCTAAATCTGTCGTCAACTTGGGCATGCATACTCCACCACCTTAGAAGGCTAGACTTGGTTTTACTATGAAGGCGAGGACAGGAGTTACCCCGCCAAGGTTTCTACACGTCGCTCTTCGGTGGTTCGTCGTGTAGCGAGGGTTTCGTGTGAGGGTTGACGCGACTCTTGGACTCTTGGGTTCACAGCCGAGGATAGAGACTGCGTGTGGATGCTAGCGAATAGCAAGCACTTCCTCGCTGTGTATCTACCTAGGGTAGCCAAGTTGGGCTAGGCCCTTGTAGGCCGGTGTTCTGGAATGGGGATAGGTGAGACGAAGAACAATTTCTTTCCCTGAGGGGACTAAAGTGAGTAGCTCGACACGCGAGCAGTTGCTATATTCGGCCGATTGGAAACAGCAACGCAAAAGTCAGGGGTTAGGGGTTCATGACGAGAGTACAAGTTCGGAAGCCCGGCACGGCCATGCACCATGGATAGCCACAACTGGGCGTTACAGCAAGGCACGGCACTTCAATGTAGGCAGTTGACTTTGGCTACTGGCTGCTGTGAGGACTTGATGCGGCGCTCTTGCATCCCTGTCCATCTGATACCAGCCAAGCCCGGCCAAGCCAACTGGTTGGAAGGGTTGAAACTGCAGTGTGGGAGTTGTGTATGGACAATCTTGGCTCGGGAATTTACTTTATACACTGCAGCATCCCTGCTTGAGTTTATCCGCCCGTGAGGGCGAATAAAATTTTCCGTACGCCGTCTCTCTCGTGGGATCTCGGATATCTCGGAGTTCGGGCGGTTATCATCTGAACTTGCCGGGGATCATAACGAGTGTGGCAGTGCCAAAATGATGGTTCTGTGTCCTGACTCATGAAGGACGCAGTTTGTCCATTGGGTTAATATGAGAGGATAGGAGGACTGATGGACACGGTGTGACTTGATGCTATTTTAGTTATTCCGTGTAAAAGGTTAGGTTTCAATTATGAACGGGTACGCTTCCGCACCGAGAACGTGATTGTCATCGCGCACGTGGCCCTACCAGAAAAAGACGTGCCGAGTGCACAATTCCTTAGATGGGTCGCTGGCGCTTGCCCGAAGTAGAGAGCGGACAGAATGCTCCTTGGAATAGTGTTTAAGGTGGCGAATGGCACTCGGCTGAAGTTTTGTTTGTTTCGTGCTTCCAATTTCTTGGCTGACCAGGCTGGCGCAACAAGATCTGATAACGCGGTTCTACCTTCCTTCTCGGAACGTGGCTCGGCACCACTTACCTTCATTGTACTGAGTCTTGCAGGAGGATTCCTTATCTGGAGAGTCAGCAGTGCAAAAAGGAAAGTAAAAAAGAGAATATGGAGCAATCCCTAGGCGCTCTCCTAAACTTTCAACTCTCATAATCGGTCCCCACATTGTCGACATGCCATCCTAAAGGCAGAACGGAAAATATTTAAAATAGCAACAGAGTGTCAAACCGGAGAAAGAAAAAGCACCGTCCATCTCGCATGATCTCCGCAAAATGGCTCCATTCCTCGCCTCGTTAGATAATCAATTATCTGATCAAACCTCAAAACCCTCTCCATCATTTCCGGCAAGTGGTCGCGTGCCCATGAAGAACGCCTCGACGTCAGCGCCGAGAAGCGCCCCACAGCCCTGCAACAGCCGCCTGTCCCAGGGGGTCTCAGCGCTGGGCCTATCACAACCCACAACGCAACGCTTCCCCCACACGGGCCACACGGCTGCTGCAATTTAAGTTTCTGCCCCCTGTACTCGCCCCGGCATCTCCCCTGCATCTGATCGACGTCGAACGACAACCAAAGACTTCGGGACGGCTTCTCCTTTCTTCGTACCAAACATGGCAGCTGCTCGCATGTCTGGATCTGGGCCATGGCGCTTGGCAACGTGCTTGGCGGCTGTGTAGTGTCTCAGTTTGGTTCTGCGCTGAGACTCAGCGGGTTGTGAAGTTGGGCGAGACCGGGGGGGGGAAAAAATGGAGAAAAAACCATCGAGGTAAGGAACTGCGGGTAACCCTGGAGAATGTGAACCGGGCAACACAAGGGTCTGAGGCAAGAGACGGGGCTGGTGGCTCGGTGGTGTTTCCAGTATGAGTGTGTTTCCAGTGAGCGAGTTTGGACTGTTCCCGTCCTGGACCCTGACTTTCGACTGGGTTTCTCACTTTGTAAGGCCGACTTTATTACCTTCCTTGGCGCCACTCTCGTAGGCCGAAGATCATTTAGTTCGTCGCTCTGTTTTGCTTCTTTCTTTCACTTCACTTCTTTTCGAACGGGGCAGCTGGGCTGCAATTTCGGGGTTTCCTTGTCAAAATCGTTTGATACGAACTTCGTATAATCACGCTTCCTACCCGGACAGGATCTTCTTCGACCTTATCTTTCTTCTAGCATCACAATATTCTTGCTACATGCCGAGGAAGACAATATTGAGACTACGATGAGGACAACCGGGCCCGCCGTCCGCCGGCGCAATCATGCCTGGTTACAGATGAGAAGCCGCGAGAGGCACGATAGGCAACTAGCGGAACGCCAAAAACTGGTCGATGACACCTCAGACGACGGCGACGTCTCGGACACCGAATCTGTCAGCTCGCTCGACTCTCTCGATTCCCTGGGCTCCTTGGACTCGCTCGAATCGTCCAACGACGGCAACAACAACAACCAGCCTACGCCCACCACAAAGCCATCTGTGGGCGTCGGCGTTGGTCTGGAAGCGAAACCGTCAGTCACCGTCTCCGCCTCTGCAAGCCCGTCAGTGGCTGCTTCTCTGACCGCCCGAGACCGGACAGGCCAATGGATCGACTCTCTTCCAGTACCACGGGCCGAAATCTCCGCCGGCGTGAAGGTCGGGGCGGGCGAGCCCGACCCGGAGAGTGCGTCAGACTCTGACTCGGTGAGTGATGGAATCGAGTCCGATGGCATTGAATCGGATGATGGCGACTCCGCGAGTGAAGACGAGAGCAGCGCTCCGCCGGCCGTTGGGACACCACCACCAGCCGCAGTAGTCCCACCTCCACCTGCCATCACGTCGTCTGCTTCGTCATCCACGATCCACGCGTCCACGCCCCAAGTTGTTTCTACAACAAAGGCGTCCAGCTCTCATGCTACTTCAGCACCAGTTACGACCAGCAGCACGAGCAGTACCCGGGCTACCAGCACTGTTGCGACCTCGTCTCACCCTGGGGTGAGCATGGTCCCTATTCCTACTCCGATACAGAGCAGCACCAGCAAAAGTTCAACCCTCGAGGACCTTATAACCTCCCTCGCCAGCACCTCGACTCAGCCTCCTGTCGCAGTGGTAACCGATTCGCCGTCGAGTACCGTGCCCTTGGCCGGTGGAAATCGAGATGAAGAGACTGGAACTGCAGTCAGCACGCCGAGTAGCCAGCCCGAAATGAACGGCCCTGCGATAGACAGCCCACCGTCGAGTAAGATGAGCGGGGGCCAGGTGGCCGGTGTGACGATTGGCGTTCTCTGTATGTTTTCCTCCCCCCCCTCAAAATTAGGTCTCCAACTAACACAACACTAGCCTTCGCCGGCCTCATCTTCACAGCCATCCTGTTCTGGTTCAAACGTCGTCGCAGCCGCGGTCTCCCCTTCTTCCCACAACGCCGATTCCGCCTCCGCGATAATGACGACGGCCCCTCGCCTCCTCCCATGAGTCGTGCCATAGGTACCGGCCCAGGCTCCGGCCCAGGCATCGAAGGACAAGGCGGCGCAGCCTTCGTCACAGGTCCGCTCCCCGGCACCGTTGGCGGTTACAACGCGGCCAAGACCAACACCCAAATCATGGACGACCTAATGCGAGCCGCCTACGCGTCTAATAACGGCACTAACGATATGGAGGGCGCATATTACGCTCCACCCGCGGCAGCCAAGACCCGGCAGCCGTCACAACAACAACAAGAGTCAGAGCAAGGAGACGAAGAGTCAGCCAACATATTCATCGACCGACAAGCCTACGCCGCACTGACACACCACCCACCCACGCCACGCGTACAACCACAACAACAACCCCAAATCCAACAGACCCAACAACCCCGGCCAACATCCTACGACCCCCCACCAACCCCCGGCTCCCCCAAAAAACCAGTCATGCGCTGGCTCAACAGCGTGATGACCCCTACACAGCCCAACGGGCCCGAGATCCCACCCACACCAGCCATGCCCCAGTCTGCCGCCGGGGCGCCGCGCATCCCTTCATTACCTATGCCTCCTGCTGTCACGATGGCGAGTAACGGGGGGAGGGCGGCCGAGGCGCCAAGGCCGGCGTATTTTGGACGGGATACTATGACTACTGATACGACGGGGACTAGTGTTAGGTGGTTTGGGTGATTATTTTGGGTTATTTATATGTATGTATTTGAAAGATAGGTAGTGGGTGAATCTAAGCGGAATCTTGTTTCCAGCTTTCTTGTTGTATCGTCGCTTGTTCGGGAGCCGTGCTAGCCGTAAACACGTTATTTTCGCGACTTAGTTAGAAACGGATGCCCTGTATCACAAATTGTGCGTCTCTCCACCATGGGGGGGTCTTCAATCCCAGAATGGAATTCTAGTTTGGTGGGGTGTTGTCGATTGGAAGTGTGAGATTATTGTAAATACACTGTACCTACTGCATGCAGTGTCTCTAGCGTGTTGAGATCCTGCGGGGCTTGCTGGTTTGATCATTTGATGTCTTGAAAACTCTCACTGTGCATTCTTTCAACGTTCAACTCGCGCCAGACTCACCGAACACATCCAAACCCATCGTCCCATTACTTTGTACAACGCCACTCGCCCACCATGCCTCAGGTCATTTACGAACTTGACTCCTCCATCGCCGCATTCTTTTCAGACTCGGGAACATCTGCAACAAGACAGCAATGCGATGAATTTGCCAGAAACCAGTTCGGTGAGGATATTCGCCCAGTTCCGCTCCAGGGCGTGACCAGTTACACTGTAACAGCAGGGCCTATCACGATCGTTCAGTTCCGGGAGCAGGGCAGCTCGTTGAATGAGGGGATGATGGCGTTAGCTAAGGCTGTTCATGGAGATGTCGTGACTGGGTGTGTTTCTCATGGGCTTATTGGTGGATCGTCGTCGTATTCTGAAGGAAAGGAAGATGCCAATGCACTCGCTCTGTACTCGATGGACAAGCTCCCGGGAGAGAACTATATCTTTATACGTGCTTCTTTGGCGGAGAGTTTACCACTCCAGCTGGCTACTGTAGAAAGTCTGGCGAGGTCCGTTAATACCATCTGATTCTCCCCTTTGAAACCTGCTAATATTACCTACTCAATAAAAAGGTTCTTTGCCCAGTCCTGGCTAAACGGGCGAACAACAGACCCAGACCAAGTCTCTACCGCCATCAACAACTGCACCAAGCTATTCCACCACCTCTCCGAAACCCTCCCCTCCCGCTTCCAACCATCCATCTCCCAATTACCAAAACTTCTTAACTCACTCCGTTCCGGGGAACACCCAGTGGTCCTCACCCACGGCGACCTCAACGAGATGAACATCCTCGTCGACCCCGTCACCGGCAAGATCACAAGTGTTGTCGACTGGGCCGAGGCTAGCTTCCTGCCGTTTGGGTTCGCGCTGTACGCACTGGATAATTGCCTCGGAAATATGGGCGAGAATGGGTGGGAGTATTTTGATAATGCCGACCAGCTGAGAAAGGGGTTTTGGGATACCTTTGATAGGTTGGTTGGGGGGCTCTCTGAGTCTGTGATGGAATCTATTCGCTTGGCGAGAGTGGCTGGGTTGTTTATTCGGTATGGCATAGCGTACGAGGAGAGATCGGGAGGGATGATGGTAGGGAATCGAGATGATTCGTATCTTGATGCACTTGTTTTGGGTCAAGGGACCGGCCAGCCCAGCGCAGACCAAGGTAGTGGTAGTTTAAGTATAGCTGAATGACGAGAGCAAGGTGGAAAGACAAGATGTAATTACAGGAAGTCGTGTAGTTATTCGTCTGTTCAACGCAATTTTATTATTGACGAAAGTAACTAACAATAGTTAGTAAAAGTGATTGAAAACATCAAACAGCTCACTGCCCACTTCCTCCCGTGAGGTTGTAGTACACGATTATGTTTTGTTCAGAATTAGATGTATTTACGATATTTATAACAAGTAGCAAGTCTGATGACGAGTAATTGGGTGGATATATTGACTTAATATAAGCTGTTTGGTTAGTGATTGACTCTCTGCTCTATCAGCGATTCTCTTACAATCAAGACTTGAGAAACACCTGTAGTTGTGGTCCTTTTCTTTCTTTTTCAGATGGTTTGTCATTCAGCAAAGCTTCGGACATTCTCATGAGCTTTAATTCTGACGAGAAGGGCTCTACTGATTAATGGGACGAGGATGAGTGTAACCTCGGCCGTTCAGTTCCCCGCATTCTAACGTCATCCACAACTTCACCCCACCAACAACCTTCGATCCAGCATCACGTCCCAAAGCGAAACCAATTTCAGTAAAATCTCCCCATCATCGCAACCCGCCAACAGAAAACCTTCAACAACTTACCTCCCCAAATACTAAACACCACAACAACACCCCAAAAAGAAAACAATGTCCACCCCCGACACCACAATCCACCCCCACCCCACAGGCGCAGCCGCCTCTCTCGCCTCAGCCCACGCCAACCCAGTCGATCCCCAATCCTATTCCACCCCCGGCCTGCGTCTCTACGGCGGCTGGTTCTGCCCCTTCGTCCAACGCTCCTGGATCGTCCTAGCCGAAAAACAGATCCCGTACCAGTATGTGGAAATCAACCCGTACCGGAAAGAGGCCGAGTTCTTGCGGTTGAATCCGAGGGGGTTGGTGCCTACTTTGGCTGTTGTTACCACCACAGAGCAGGATGGATCTGGTGGGGGGAGGAATGAGAAGGAACAGTCGCTGGGTGAAAGCGCGGTGATTTGTGAGTATTTGGACGAGCAATTTGCTGATGAGGGGGTTTATGGACCGCGGCTGTTGCCTGCCGAGAGTGAGGGTGTGGAAGCGGTGTTTGAGAGAGCACGGTGTCGGTTGTGGATCAATCACATCGCCACGCGGATTGTGCCGGCGTTTTATCGGCTGTTGCAGCATACGGAGGAGAAAGTGTATACCATTGAGGAGGCTAGGCGGGAGTTGCTGAAGGGGCTGAGGGAGTTTGCGGCGGAGATGGTGCGGACGGGAAGGAAAGGGCCGTGGTTTTTGGGGGGGAGGTTTAGTCTGGTGGATGTTATGTTGGCGCCGTGGGCGAAGAGGCTGTTTTTAATTGATCATTATAAGCCGGGCGGTGTGGGGATTCCGGGGAAGGGTGAGAGGAAAGAAGAGGAAGAGGGGGCGTGGGCGAGGTGGGATGAGTGGTTTGCGGCGGTTGTGGAGAGGGAGAGTGTCAAGGCGACGTGGAGTGAGGAGGAGAAGTACATTGAGGTGTATAAACGGTATGCCGAGGATACTACGCAGTCTGAGGTCGGGCAGGCTACGAGGAAGGGAAGGGGGTTGCCTTGATTTTGGGTTTGGAACAGACCAAACCAGGTTGAAATGACGAGATATCTACACATTAAGACAAATTCATCCAACAACAGCCCACAACCACCCATCGTAGCTCTTGTCGCTCACCGTCTGGATAACCACCGAATCCACCCCAGGCTCCTTCCCAGCCTTCTCCACCACCTCACGAGCCCCCAGGACCATCACATCGGTCGTATCCGAATCTGCCAATTTCCCCTGCCGAACCACATTATCAACGCAGATCACCGCGTTCGGCCTCACCATATCCTTCGCCAGCCTCAAATAATTCCAGTTATTCGGCTTATCCGCATCAATAAAAACAAACCCAAACCGTTCCCGCTTGCCCGCTTTCACCTCCTCCCTCAACCGCGCCAGCACATCCACACCAGCACCATGGATAACCTCCACCCGATCCGCCAACCCAGCCGCTTCAATATTCCTCCGCGCCACCTCAACGTGCTTTGCCTCGTACTCCACCGTAACAAGCCGCAGCTGCGGGTTCTCACTCGCCAGCCAAATGGCCGAGTACCCGCCTAGCGTGCCGACCTCCAGCGCGTGGGTTACGCCCGACGCGCGGCAGTGCAACGCGAGGAATTTGCCTTGCACCGGGGAGACGGAGATATCTGGGAGGCCGGCGGCTCGGGAGCCCGCGACGGCGTCCTGGAGGGCCTTGGTGTTGGGCCGGGAGGGAGGGTGGGAGTGGGGGAAGGTGTAGTCGTCGACGTCACCCCAGAGGGGGTTGTATTGGTCGCTGTTCCAGACGTTTCGGGCTGTCATGGTGTCTGATGTTTGGGAGCTTTGGGTTGGGGGGTGGGTTTGACGTGGTGGAGGTAGTGCTTTCTTGGGCAGATGATGTATGCTACCAACTGAAGAGCGAGGAAAGATTTTGAGCTGGAGTAGTTGGGTATTCATACTCGATTATATACCTAAGTGGGATCAACTCTCTAGCGTATTGCGCAACCGACTTTACTACCGTGAATATGTGGGACATTTTCCTCCGAGATCGCCGAGGGTCCGCTGGGTGACCCGCTCGTTTCCTACTCGTCGGTTGGTGGTTTCAGAATCTTACACCATGTCTGCCCAAGAATGGAGTTATCGGTCTCCGACATTCCTAAAATTAGTGAATCGTGCCATCTCTCAACATAAGTGATCGCTCTCTTGCTGATCAGCACTCACATGAGAGAAGGACCAACAACACCGATAAAACCGAGCGAGGATTGTGTGTGTTCCGGCCTTGGGCGACTTTCACCCCCGGCTTGGCGGTCATGTTGGGAATAAGGCAGGAGTCAGAGCTCGGAGTTCCGCGCTGCGGTGAAAGTGATATAATTTGTTGTGGTTCAGCACAATAAAGGGTTGTTTACCCCGATGGGATTGATAGGAGCCTTGTTAGGTTAGAGAAATGTAATTAACACAAAACCTGGGGCGAATTGACCAAGCAGTTGATTGGGTATGCAGGGCAGTCCGTCCTCATCTCGATGCGTTGGTCTTGGTGAGACAGACGAACGTTCGGTGTGAGCAATGGTATGAGCGGTGTATCGAGAAGGGAAAACGAGGTCAAATATTTCCGATGTCCATCCCCGTTTCTGAGACACGGTACCTAGGTAGTTACGTACGCTGAGTCATGGACCTTTCGGGCGACATCGTTTGCTCCAAGCTTGCTTGGGTGGGTTCTGAACCGAGTGTTCACTGTTGTGGGTGCTGTAGGTGATCGTCGACACAGTTTGGTAGGTGGTTGTTATTGCTTCAGATCGGAGAGACTGTAAGCTCAGCGTGAGGAGCTGCTCTAAAGTGCCCTCGGCCATTCGCTCGGGGTCGAGTTAGTTGGCAAAGACGGCCAAGCTTCTGCCTGGCGAGACTTCCCCTATCTTAGCCCGGCATTCTCGGCGGTATGAGGTCGAACTCGGCCGTGCCGAATTTGAGTATTAATTAAGGCGTATTTAGGATCGGGTTAATTAAGTGCCACGGCGTTTCGCCGAGGAGACTTCCATAATTATTTGCGCAGTTGCGAATTTTCCGTGATCCCGATTCGTGACGACGTGGTAGAGTCGCGCCAGGTCTCATCCTCCACGGATGTATCGTGGAAGGGGATCTCGTTGGCTTTTTGTTGAAATTGAAGTAACCTCGGCCATTTCTTGAAAAGTGAGGGGCGAGGATCAAATCATTAATTACCTATGGTCAACGTCTGCCGATAGTGACGAGGTAGGGCGGTGCTATAGCTGTTCGGTCCAACCCAATCCGCACGCGTGGCCTGTTTTTCTGCGATGTAGGGAGAATGCAGCCTCGATTGCTGTCAGGGCGTACATCCTTAGGAAACATTTTGGGGAAAGAAAGGAGTGCAGGCCTGTTTATCCAGGAGCGAGAGGGCGGTAGTGAGGCAACCCGCCCTGGCTTTTGGCGCAGATACCGGCGCTTAAAACACAAGTGCATTCCCGACTGAACTCGACCGTCCCCTTCAACTGTTCTTCAAACAACACACACATCTGCACCCATATTCCCCTCTCCATTCCAGATGTCTTCGCCCACGCACGCACAGCGTCAGCTGGCATCAACGACTAGACAGTCAGTTGACAGCACTACCACAGATGGTGTGCATCCGCCTCTCAACTGGAATAGCCCCGACGACAATGGCGGATCCAGCCGTCTTAACCCCAAACCCGACGAGGGTATGGACACCCAAGAAGAACGGGAGATGCCACAGCGCTCATATTATGCACGCGTGTTGGGCACGCACATATCGGTTTCGCCGATAGACGTTCCCGACACGTATGATCCTGACGGGTGGGTACCAGGGACGCCTGAGCCAGAGCCGTATGATCCTGAAACGTATGCGGCTTGGGGTCGGAAACACCTCGGCGAGGAATGGTATCAGCTACGGAAGGCCATGCTCCAGGAAAGGAATATCTACCTTCGTTCCGACTGGGTTTACTCTGAGCGTCAGCAAGATCTTAGGGTGATGGAACACAAATAGTAGGGCGGCCGTTAAGACCAGCACGTCACGTAGGGATGTCTGATGAACCCTGGAAACGATTATGGTCTCGACTCTCCAAGGTCTTGCCGCGTGTCCAGCCGTCCAGCACCGCTCCCCTATTTCGTGAAGCCTGGGAAAGATTGGGATATGCACGGGAGAGCTCCCGCTGGAGTGAGGAAGAATACCAATTCAACAAAATATTCCTCAAAGAGGACCTCATCGATTGCGCCAGGGCACATCACGAAACCCAGGAAGGTGACATACAACGTGAGAAAGAGCGGGAGGAAATAGCAAAGGTACGGTATGAGCCGGGCACTCTCATCGAGTCAGACGAGTACGAACGTCGAATGACGGACTTCAGGCTTCGAAGGGAGGGTTGGGTACAGGAGCAGTTCGATGCTAGGGATCGAGCAGCGGTTGCGAAGGCTCAGAAACGTGGACCTGAGCTTGAGAGAGAGTTGAACACGCCACCGAAAACCCAAGAAGAAATGAATTTGAGATTCCGCCTCTGCGACCTTCAGAAAATCAGTCGCGAGGAGCAGGACCGGTTGGCCCGCATGTATGGCTTCTTCGAACGGCCGCCAATCAACCCCCCTTTCTTTGGTACCCCACTGGAGAAGAGGTCGCCGCCGAGGGACCAAGAAGAAATGGACCAGCTGTTTCGCCTCTGGACTTGGAGACTCAACCGCATGGAGCAGGATGAATTGGCTCATGTATGGCTTCAACCCGAAGCAAGCTGACACGGATAGACAACCGACAAAGAATACTCCGGCTCGCGGCAGACAACGCAGGACATACCACAAAGAACGGGAAAGTCGAAGGATCGCGGGACAGCTGCCGGAGTTTGGGTTGCTTGGTGGAACACAGCCACTCTACGATGCTGCATCACAACCTTTGAATAATACGCCCAAAGCGAACAGCGCCGGTGCTCGCCCCCGCCAGCTGTCGATACAGCTGACAGGCAAAGGCGCAAAACCTCAGGGGATTTCAAAGAGGAGGAATGTAAGGTTAGGCCACTTCAAAAAGTCGGGGAGAATATTGAGGCGCCAAGTCTACGGGCACGAGCGCAGAAGAATAGATTATGGGCGAAGAATAATGTGTGTCAAGGACTCTGGGCGAAGTACCTTAGGGTTGAATTTCGAGGATGAGAATTAATTAGTAATCGAGCAACGGCACAATCACTTGAACGATGAAACCCGTCCTATAATCTTCTGAACAGGTTCTTTGTGGATTCCGGTGTCACTCCCAATTCCCGTTCTCGATTTTACCGTTAACCGGAGCATCAATCTTAGAGTGAACCGGATTGTAGACTCTGTTGGTCGAGGTATCAACCCCAGTATCAATCGGCTTCTCCGGTCATGCCGTCCATCATTCACCACTGCATCTGGCCGGTTGGCTGGGACGGGTTGGCTGGAGTGTAGGGCTTTGGAGAGAGGAGGTCGGTGAATGTTACGACTTTTGTGCGGTCACTGTGGTGTTTTTTATGTGGGTGCAAATGAGGAGACACAGTGAAGGGCATGTTGAAGTGCGGTGATCAGAAGGGTTAACCAGGTACCAGATAGGCACATCAAGAACCGCAAAAAATGGGAAGCTTTGTGAATAAATCCAGGCTAAAGAGTTGTGGCAGGAAATGACGGTCTGTTACAGCTCCGTTAAGCAACGCTGGTTTCATGCTACAGCTAAATGAGACCATGGAAAACTTGTCAGATTATTGTCGTATTATGAGTCATCGATTGCCATGGCTTGCATTATTTGTAAATAACAAGTTTCGATTTAAACAGAATTGACATTGGTTCAAAGTTTGTCAGGCAATAATTACCCCGACTTTGTGAAAGCGCTTTTTTCTGTGGTTTGGCTGTTGCCAAACGTAATCTGAACGAACAATACTAAATCCATATGGCTCATTGATCAGCAAACATACGTAGGTAATTAGCTTGACAATTATCCATGACAACGATATCGGTTATCGCAAGCGTACCAGCCTCAAAAACGGGCCGTGACATTTGTGTTTTACATGTTCGAGCGGTAAAACTGAACTGTGCCTCAACTCTCACAGCAAACATCAAATGTTGACCACGACACCAAACTCTATATGTAGTTGGTATAACACATGCCAAAAGGCAACCGCGGAAATCATCAAATCCGTAGTAAAACTAGCTAGCCCGTCCCATCCGTCTTTGTCTTTGCGTTGTCGCTGGTGTTTGCCGAAGAATACTGATCCCCAACACCAGCCAAAGCTTCGTTCTCCGAAGCGATTCCAGCTTCATCAGTTTTCGCCGTCTGGGCCTCACTACCTGCTGTTTGGGTAGTACCCTTAACAGAACCGACAACTGGCTCTTTCTCTCCTCCCTCACGCTTCACACTCCCTTCCTCGTCCCCAATATGCAGCGCCTGATCCACCTCATCCGCCAACTTGCTCACCTCGTCCTGTCTCTTCGCCACCCTCTTCGCCGCGCCCTGCAACTGCCTCTCAGCCTCCTCATCACCCACCAACTCCCGCCACGTCTTCTCCAGCTCGTCCCGCCACCCCAACTCATCCGCCAGCCGCCGCACCCCGCCATCACAGTCCCCCAACACCATGACATCATCCGCCTGCGTCCCAAACGACCCGACCCGCTCCAGGTTGAACAACACACGCGGGATGTCCTCATTCACCATATCCGGCAACCCCGCAAACGGGTGGACCTGCAGACTGGTGCCCATAACCAGCACCAAATCAGCCTCCTTCACAGCCGACATACGGTCGAAAAACGCCCGCGGCAACGGTTCCCCAAAGAACACGATATCCGGCTTCACCAGCCCACCACACACCCCGTCATCGGCCCTCGGCCCATCCCACGCGGCCTTCTCCTCCCCATCCAACCCCGCCCCGCCAAGTCCCCCCGACGCCTCTGCCTCCCTATCACCAGTCCTCTCCGCCTCGCACCTCGGCACCTCCCCCCTCTCCACAAACCCCCTCATCTTCCCCTCATCAAACAAAACCTTACAATCCACACACCTCTGACTCGCAAAACTCCCATGCGCCTCCACAATCCGGTCCCCCGGCACGCCCCCCGCACGCTCCAAGCAATCAATATTCTGCGTGAACAGCGCATGCAGCAGGCCCTTGCGGGCAAGCAGGGCGAGAAACACGTGCGAGATGGTGGGGCGGTAACGCGCGCCTGGGTAGAGTTCGCGCGCGAGTACGTAGAAGGGCCGTGGGTTTTGCCGGAAGAAGGTTAGGTCGAAGACGGCTTCGGGTTCGGGGAGGTTGAGGGCTGCGAGGTTGGCGTAGAGGCCTGTGTCGGGGGAGCGGAAGTCGGGGACTGACAGGAGTTATTAGTTTGACACAGATTCTGAGGGAGATGGACGGGGAAAGGAAGAGGAACGTACTGCCAGCGGCGGTGGAAATACCCGCGCCCGTCATGACCACAATGCGGCGCGCCCGGCCAGACTTGATGAGATCGGCGACGGCCGGCAGGGTGCGCTCCTGCAGGGTTAGAGGCGGCGTATCCTCTGTGACCTGGGACTGTTCCTGGCCCATCTTGCGGTTCTTTTTCTTTCCCTTGTTGCTGTGTTTGCCCTTGCTGTTTTTGGTTGACTTTTTCTTTCCACCGCCTGGCGTTTTGCCCTGAACGGAAAAGTCGTCAAAGCCGCCCGAGAAACTGTCGAAATTGTCGAATTCGTCGTTGAATTCGTGGGAGGTTAAATGCTGGCCCTGGCGTGGGCGTGGCCCTGATGTGTGTCGGCGGCCTATCTTGACGAGGATGCGGCGGGGCCGGTGAGTGATGTGACGATAGTGATAGTGACGGTGAGTGATGGATGCTCGCTGGCACTCGGCGAGGGGCACGCCGCACGACACAGAAAGAGATCCCGGCAGTCCGATAATTGGGGCCAAGGTGTGAGCAAGTCGGAATTGGCTGGTCTGTCAGGATCCTTACTTGTGCGTCGTGAGTGAGTCAAGTTGGTAATCGGAAAGGGGTTGTGGTTGCGAAGTGAGATGAAGAATGGATCTTCAACGCTCACATGAATGCACAAGCCATGAAGGATTCATCAGTCGATTGGGTAATGGTGTGTCAGGGTCAGGGGCGGCCCGCTTTCTTGGTGGGGTTTCCCTGCTTGGAGGATAACATGAAACTACAGGGTTAGGGTTTTATTCACACTATCCTGCAACATTTGTTAAACTCTCCCCCTGAAAGAGGATGAGAGTTGGGAACAGTTCCTCGACATCCGTAAATTTCACGATATAGCCAGGTAGGTAGCCTGCATAATACGGTGAGGGGTAAGATGAGTGGTCAGGGAGAATTAATAAGTCTCAACAACATTAAGATCTAATTACTGTCCACGATAGCCCATGCCAAACAATATATCGCCGTATGGATGTTGATGACAACGTCATGGTCGACCAGGTTTGAATCGATCGTCCATCCTTGTCAACAATTGTTAAGAAATACAAGCTCAGAAGACAGGGAAAAATCCTGTCGATAAACAAACAAGGAAACGGCTGCCAGCTGATGTCGATTGAGCAACATACTTGCATGATTTAGATCAATAATTATGCAATCCAGCAACTCTATACCTCAAACATATGAAATTAAATAGCTTGCCTGACTCAATCCGAGAACTAACTTAACTCCGCTCAAGGACGAGTGGTGGCCTGTGTTTGCAACTCATATCGGTGCTATGGTTGTCGCAAACAGAGTTCTGCAGGGTGAACAGGGTGCTTACAAGCGTTTTCTGAGCATATTTTGATAGCGAGGAGTAAGGAAAGGGACATGGGACGATATGCGGCCGGCTACCTATCTATGATGATTGCGTGACGAATAAGCCCCAACGTTGGCAAACATGAACAAACAGATGGGCCGGACGTACGGCCAGACGAAGCAGAGTGTGATTGATATTCCAGATTCCAGATATGTTCCTCTGTTCTTGGGAATAGAACTTGGGAGATTGGGAAGTACATATAGCCGTGGCAATGTCCAAGAGTCTAGAATACGACGGCCCTTCATAAAGCGAGACCTAAGATGATTTACACACCTGAGTACAAACGGCTGGTATTGCTAGGCCGGCTCGTCCTGAATTGTATTGTAGGATTTGCTGTCTCAAACATGCGTTTGTTGCTATGGGACATGAATCTATTTGTTCAAGATTTCTGTGGTTTGGTTTATCATGTTGGTAGCCAGACTCAAACACAAGCAGGAAACGTTGCTCCGGGGGGGTTCTCAAATATCATTCTTTTGTGATTTGAACCGTCTAAAACTCTGGTATTAAAGTGGCGTTGTTCCGCCCTCTCTATGCCGACATACCTCCCTCTTGATGTAAACAATCACTCGGCTTTTGCGGTTTCAGTGTTTCCCTCAGCGCTATCAGCTCGACACGACCTATATACCCTGGGAATCATTGCAACCAAAGCTACTCCATTTGTTCTGATCATTTGTTCAGTGAACAGCCCTCGTCGACATGGACCGCTCTGGCGCCAGACACGCTCAACACAGCCGTCATGTTTGCTTCCCCTTTGATCCCGCGAGGTGTCATTCGGGATAGTATTTAAACACCGCCTCTCCCATATTTACCCCAACTTTTCTTCACATTCCATCCTAACCAACCCAACCCATCATCTTGACACAGCATCTCAAGCACGCCGAACCAAGTCAGGATGGATGACATCACCTTCCTTCAGCAACTTGCTAGAAGCAACAGCTCGTACAACGAAGGTATCCCGGGCGAGTTATCCGACCCCTTTGTTGACTCGGATCCTTCGCCGTCACCACAACCGGCACCCACTCCCGCGAGCATCAAATATGCTCCCGTGTTAGACAGGGGCGATGGGTTTGAGTCAGAGCCCATCGTTAGCAAGCACTTCCCCAAGCCCCCCAGCCTCCAGTCGGTACCCACCCAAACCCACGAAAACAACGCGGCCACCAACACCAATGACAGCAACCGTGTCAAGCTCCCGGTTTACATCACCGCCCTAATCACGGCACGGTCTCAGCCAACGGTCGCTCTCACCACTCAAAAGCCCATTTTCTTCCGAGAAGAGTTCGGCGATGAGACCGACACCGACGAGAACAACAGCGACTCGGACGGAGGGTATCTCCCGCCCCGCGGGAGAGCCCTTATGAACCCCAGCTCTATCCCTAGCCCCACCTCAGATCCAAACACCGGCAACGGCACAGGCTCAAGCTCGCGGGACTCCGACTACGATGCCGGATCGGAAGACAACAACGAGTGGGAGGAGGAGTTGGGTGGGGGGGGTTACAACGGCAGTGTGGGATCGAAATCGGACTCCCTGCTGGTGATCGAGGGCGAAGACCAAGAAGAGCGCGAGGATGGCAAACCCAAGGCCAAGTCCCGAAAGAGGTGCGGTCTCATCCGCTGCCTCAAGAGGAATTTCACCAGGTCCATCAAAACCTGGAACACCTTCGTCCGTCGATTCCAGTCAAAAGGAAAGCCAACATGAGTTCCAGCCCAACCACGGCAACACGATCGATCATCTATAGCCCCATTATCAACACCCCCCCGCGACTTGAGCGGTAGCACCATCATCGCCGACAAGTCCGCCAGCCCCGTCTCGCTCTCCTCTCTTATCCCCCTCACCGGGTCGTGCCGCCCCTCTCCAGGGTGAAGAAGCCCACGAACGCCAACTTGGTCGGTCGGGAAGAATGAAGAGATGGCCGAGGTAAAGGGGACCGTAGGGATGCTCGGCGTGCCGACCGAGCCAATGGGCCCAGCGCCGGGCCACCAGTGCATGCTAGCACTAGCACCAGCACATGAAACTGAGATCAGAGCAGGGCCCAACCGGAATCTGTTTCCACATACAACCAACCAGCCTTCTCGGAGCTAGTTGGTACTTGCCCTTGTCCAGCTGCAGTGGCATTCTCAAGCTGGACACCGAATCCTTCACAGTCACAGCCATCAGCTTGACAATGTACCGCCCGACTCAGAAACGGCCCACCTCCCCGGTGAACAGGCCAAGTGGAACATCCTCTGGAACAGCCAGCTCAGCCCAGCAAGGTCGTCGGGCGATTTGCAGAAGGGGCGGAAATACCACGACGGAGCCTATATATACCTTGACTACTTCGGTACGGGCAGTGCGGCCGCCGGGCACGAAAGACCAGAGGAGGATGGGCACGAAAGAAGGGGCGATTTTCCCCTGGCACAGCGGCCAGTGGGACAGTTTCCGACCACCGGGGCGGCGATTCAGCCGCCTAGTATGGCGTGAAGTCTTTGTGAAAAGGAGTCAAATTGACCAGACACACAAAGCATACCACAGAGCCAGCCGGGAAGCTCGCAGATGATGCAAAAAAGGAATATGAGCGTTTGAAACGATTGTTTTCTCGCCGCGTCGCTTTCCCAAGTCCAAATCCTCATGATATGCCCTAATCCACATTCTACAGCAACAACCCCCTCGGAGGACCGGTAGCATGTGGATGTTCGCTGCGGAAGTGTGGCAGCATCTGGCGTGCGTTGTGAAAGTCTGGCGCTGAGTACCATCTCGGGTCCTCGTCCCAATAACAAAAGAAATCCCAACCAATATGCCCATCCGCTTGGGTTGTCGGATCATCTGGCGATGCTTCCGAATGCGCAGTCACTTGACATTCGGGTCCTGAGGGTGCTTGGCTAGGGAATATCTATCTCTTGTCTTTTAATATTTGGTATTTGATTTTGGGTCCCGGTTCGGATTCGGGAGGGGCTTGGGAGGATAGATCGGGGATTTCCTTGGTTGGAGTTCATGTTTGCCTTTTTTTATGTTGGGGTGAGGATAGCGATGGGGTACATAGACGGTGCGTAGCGTGGTTTGGCATTAGCTTTTGATGATACCCTGGGTAAGAGTACCTACCTAGACTTAAACAATATAATAATGAATGGATGTCTTGGGACCTGAGCAACGGCATCTGATTGTGCCACAGTATAAAAGGGTCCTACTTGCCGTCGCAATTGACGATTGTCTTTTGCGACAGATTGTGAACATAACAGCGAAGCGTTCCAAGTCTTAACATGAAAACATAATTTCCTAACTTGTTAATTACCCAAGTTAAGGTACAGAAAGATGAAAGGGAAGGGAAATACACTGATCGTACAATCTACATCTGATACATATCTCATCAAACTTCATCCTCCTTGACATGCCTCCCTCTCTTGACCTTCCCAAACATCTTGATATGTAGCAAAAGCGTTTCCCGCGTATACCGCAGATTCAGCCCCTCTTCCGTCTTACACCCGGGACATGGAAACCCCCACTCGGCTGACACAGCCTCTCCAGACCTGCGCAGCACGGGCACGCGAACCACCGCCGCATACCATAGCGCCTTCTCCCGCCTGACGACCTCCTCGTCCCGGCCCCGGCGCACGAGTATCCCCTGTTCCCATTCCATCGACGAGCAACGCAAGTAATCGAACAAGACTCTGATCAACTCGTCCATACCTCCGCTTGCCACACCCGCCGCGCGGACGACAGTCTCCAGGTCGACCATTTCCTCCCAGCCTTCAATTGATCCCCCCTCGCTGTCCCCCGCCCCAAACGTGACCAGTCCGTCACTGGTATTGTTCCTACTCACAGCCCCATATGTTCCTGGAAGAACCCTCATCCGCCCCGGTAACGTCCCGAATGTCGCCCGGGGCAACCCGATCAACCGCCCGGCCATCGCCGCGGTGACCGGCACAAAGTAACGTCCAGGGAATCGAGTGTCGGGCTTGTGGAAGGCCGGGCTGATATCCCCCCACGACGCGATGCAGGCGATGCAGATCCGATGGCCTGTCGGTAGGTAGAAAAAGGTGCCGAGGGCGAGGGAGCAGCCTTCGCACCGGGGGTCGTGTAGCGTGGCGACGATGGCGCGGACGGGGGGGGAGCAGAGGCGGCGAGGCTGCAGGATCGAGCCGGCTCCCCCGCTATTGTCCTTCTCACTGGGGGTGGGTGCGGACGCAGCATGATACGCCCGTCCCAGATTTGCTGCGTGCCGGCAGAGGATCCGATACTCAGGCAGCGAGTCCACTACGTCGGCGGCCCGTCGGTTCAGCCCGCGGAAATGTGCCATGCTCTGGATGTCACAGCACCGCAGGATCATGTGGAGAACCTCCACGGGGATGCCAGCCATCGCGCCCAGGTCGACGGTCGGCGGCTGTCGCGGAGGGGCAGCTGTGGTCTCGGTTTTGTTGGCGTTCCCGGGAGCGGTGGGCGGTGCTACGGGGACGTTGTCGTCCAGCGTATAAGCCACTTTGGGCCAGAGGTCGGCGGTGGCTCGGCCCGTGAGGGCGGACACAGATGTACTAGATGCGGTCGACATGGTGTCCGAGATCTTGTAAAGCCCCGCGTGTGGGCAAGTTTGGTGTGTAATAAAAGGCAATATCACCAAGTGATGACTGCAGATGAGAATATGAACTCCGAGTCTTGACTTGTGAATGTTGAAAGATAGATGTTGAATTTGGAAATCAGCTCCTAGAATAAACCGGGGGGTCAGTACTTTAATACTTTCTCAGCAAGGCGGGTTCACCATTGAATCTCTCCCATCGGGAACGTCCAGACGACATTCTGCATGCGCTTGGACCCTTATATCTCAGTTATTTGAGTTTGTGCACGAGGAAGCTGCAACGAACAGAACGTTAGGTGTGGTTTGACCTTCCCTAAGGGTAAGTGCAGTCAGCACATTGATCGCAGCTCCCCGGTTCAAGGCTCAATGTGGCGGTGCTATGACTGGACTACATACGTATGGATTGTAGCGTTGCATTATGCCAGGCATGCTTATGCTTAAACCTTCTGGTAATTATGACGCAGATCCATCGTCGAAATCTACACTACCATAGTGCGCGTAGGGGTGTTCTCGAAACAGGCTCATAAACATTTCAACTTTTCAAGTCCTCAAGACGGTCCTTTAACGGTTTTGCGTTTCAAAAGAATCACTGCTATCGTTTCAAAGTGGGTGGTTCTTTCCTGGTTAGTAGACTTGAATAACTGAGGGAGTCATTTCCTCGCGAAAGAGTATTTTCAAGTAAAGATTAATTACATACCTAAGGAAGGAACAAGTGAACCATGGCAGTTATAAAATTCTTTCAAAATAGGATATTTGGATTGTGGAATTGTTAACTTCAGGGGAAATGCTTCCCACCATATGAAAAACACCGTGGAAAGCGAGATCGTGGCTTAATTAATTAATGACCAGGGATGACAACATCCACATGCTACGATAAACGGTCGCCAAACTTGGCTGTGATCCATGGGATGTGAAAATTACCTACCGTCTTGCAGCTGGTTCACCACAGGCAAATGCACCACACACTTCCCAAAAACGTTCAACAAGTAAGTTCACAGTGGAGACTCAAGAACGGAACAAAAACGGTCTCACATCGCAAGGTTACCAACCCGCATCGCATTGGAACCGAATTCTACCTAATCAAGTAATTAAGCGAAATTCAAAACAGCACCAAGGCTTGCTCGAGAAACTACATGTCAAGATCAACATATCCGTCGCCGGGACCCATACGCCGCTGTGTTCAACCGCATCTCAACCTTCCTTTCATCCCTCTAAGCCTCTACCACCCCCAGACCCAGCCACGATCCCCACAGCACAGAACCCCATGCCCAAGGCGACTAGAAATCAGCTCGATAACTAATTATCACCAAACAAGCAGTTACAAGTTACACCCGCAGGTTCCAGATTTAAATTGGTATGACAGTAATAACACCCACGTTGTTCAACACATCGCTCATGATCACAAATTTCAACAAAAAAAATACAACACAACAACACCATGTAACAAGCCGCAAAAAAGGCCACAAAAAGACCAAGCGTGTATGCTTTCTCGCTCTCCCCAGAATACCCCATGTTCCATCTCATCCCCTCTCACTCCCCGAACTCTCATTTCATGTATCAATCACACCCCTCATGTATCCCGCTTGCTTATATTTACTTTACTTTACTTAATACCCCAACACGGTCAACTTCCAAGCCATCACGTCCCCTCGAGCACAATATGACAAAAGAAACCCAGTTAAGGACTGAAGATAGAATGGAAAAGGAAAGAAAACATTCAAGTAGTCTGTGGTTCAAGTGGGGATGGAAAGAAGACCCAGAAAAAGAGGGAAAAATACACCATGGAGAAGGAAACAAGAGAAGAAGAAGAAGAAAAAAACATCCCATGCCCAGTTAGTTGTCGTTCCAATTCCATACCAAGTAAAACAGAAAGAAGAGTATTAAGCCTCCGGTCGACGGTAGTAGTAGTTTGGTTATGCGTGCTGTGGTGTGTTTGTGTGTGTGTTAGTTAGTTTAGTTATGGTATCCTTCATCGTCGTCATATCGAAAGAATAAGAAGCCGAAGAACCCCGAAGCCATCGCCTTCGCCGCCAAGATCATGCCCCGTCCATTGCGCCCTTGCTAATGCCGCGCCGCGCCGACCGAATTCGAGAGAAAGAGTAATGTACCAACCACAGCCGCTGGCCGCTGAGAACCCATGCATTTATTTTGTTATGGTATCATGTGTGCTGTTCATCATATCAGAACAGCCCAACTAACGGTCCAGCCTCGACTGCGGCTGCCAGCCGTTCAGGTACGCCATCAAGCCCATCCCGAACAGGACCACGCCAACCATGGACGCGTACGGCAACGTGTGTATTAGCGTGCCGTCTTGCGGCTGCTGTTGTTGCAGCTGCTGTTGTTGTTGCCCCTTGACTGCCAGCACCCCTCCATTAGGTTTGATGGTGTTAGCCCGGGATGGGGCAGCGGGGACATCGGACTCGTCTTCGTCGTCGGTCTCGACTGTTGCTGGGACGCCCTTGGGGTGGCCGTTGGTGTACAACGTTGGCTTTTCGGAGTTCCTCTTCTCCAGGCTGAGCGCGCGCCGTCGGCTCCTCGATTCGGACCTCGCTCTCCTCTCGGCTTCTCGCTTCCTGTCGTCTTCGTCACGCTGCCGTATCTGGATCACCATCTCGGCTAGCGTCTTGCGGTCGGCGTCACGCTCCGCCTCGGCTTTCTCTGCGCGCACCCGGAATGCCTCGAGCTGCTCCCGTAAGCTGCTCATTTCCAAAGCCATGGAATCAAGACGTGCTTGGGATGCCGCCGCGAGTGCTTCGGCCTTGCCTGCTTCAGACGAAGATGCGTCTTCCGCGGCCACGTCTCGCATCTTAACGTCGGGGGCAGCGGGCTGGTCGGCCGGGGAGTCGAAGGCACTGTCGAGCTCGGAATGGCCGTTAACCAAATGCGGGGCGTCGGCAGAGCCGTTCATCTTGGAATGGTTGGTCTCCCCCATCTTCTGCATCATGCCCTCCGCAAACAACCGTGCTTCCCGCTCCCTGTTTAACAACTCCTCAAGATCCCGGACTCTTGCCGAGTGGTTGTCGAGTTCCTTCTTGGCGCTGTTCAACGCTTCTGTAAGGATAAAGATCTGGTTCACATTGCTGTCCTGGCGAACCGGGGAACCGGTTGTAATTTTGGGCCGCTCTGTTGTGCCTCGCTTTAGCGAGGGTACGTCCGAGGCCCGGGCATCTGGCTTCTCAGGAAGTGGCTGCGATGGCGGCGGCGCGGGGGGTTCGGAGAATCGTGTTTTCCCGCCATCGGACCTGAAGGAAATGTTGCCATTGGGTATATGTGCCTTTGGCGGATCAGGCACTTCAGGTTTCTCTGAGTTCTTGATGTCCTCCTTAGATAGGAGGGCGCTAATGAACTGGTTGGTTCGCGCGAGATCCTGGTTTTGTAACCTCGCATTGCGCATCTCAGACTGTATCATCGTTTAATCAGTATCCACGGGTGCTGTGGCTAAGCGGGAAAGGACCTACGTGAAGTTTCTTGACGATATGTTCCGTCGTGACAGTTGTGACTGGGTTCATCCAAAACTGTCGCTGTTGCTGGCCTCCGTTGAGCTGTCCTCCCATGTTCCCTGGCATCATACGGTTATTCCCCCCAATCCCGGGTTGGCTGCCGGCTCGCCCTCGGAATGGGGAGACGCCGCCGAGGGGAAGCATAATGGCGCTGTTCGAAGGGTCCAGATCGCCAAAGTTCATGTCAAGCACGTTGTTGCTGGGCGACATGAAGCCGGCGTGCTCGACCTTGGCGGCCACTTTGTGATGAACCACCGTTTTCTGGTCTTCGCTGACAATATCAATTCCGAGCTCGAGGTGATCTTGAGTTTGAAGTTCGTGTGGCTCTGACTCTCGGTTTTCTGGAGACAGCCGAGTGCCATTGACAAACGTCCCGTTGGACGACTTGACGTCTCGAATCCAGATCTTGCCGTTGCTGTCCGCCCATATCTCAGCGTGCTGCCGCGACAGCACCTTACTGTCGAAGTAGCCGTTGACTGGTGTCGGTACAGTCTTGGCGTTTGTCTGGCGCCCAATCCGGAGCGTGTCGGGATAGTAGGGAACTGAAATGGTCTTGCGCTCAAAACTCCCGTTCAACGACAGCAGGTATAGCACCGGCTGGCGTCCTGAGCCCATGGCTTCTGCACCCGGACGGCCGAGGCCGTTTTGGCCCGCCGGCTGGGCCTGGTTCGACAACAAAGACTGCTGCTGGTGGCCATTGATGCCGTTCGTGGTGGGCGCGCGACCGGACGTACCCCTCGAGAAATCGGTGGGCCCATCGGTTTTGCCGTTCGCCCACGGACCTTTTGCGGCCGGTCGCTTACGGGCAGCGGGATTCGACCACCCGTCACCGTTGGCACCCGGCATCGCGGAACCGTTTGGCTGCGAGCCGGGATTGGATGTGACGGTCGATGTCGACGAGTTGGAGGTCGTCGACGACACAGATGATGAAGAATTTGTTCGTTGGAGGGACTTGCGCTGCGTGCTGAACATATTAAGTCCCCTGGCGTCATCGGAGGATGATGAGGTGAGCGTGGTCAACGACTGACCCCCATTAATCCATCCTGGCCGATTGAGATTCGAGAAGCTCGGCGGGTTTGCGACGGCCGTCATGAGGAAGGCGCGCTAGGGGAAGGGAGATGCGCTTCAGGATGGCCGAGGGCAATGGGAAGGTTGTTAGCGAGCCGAAGTCGACGATGGCGTATCTCTTTGGCGATCTGTCGCATGCGTGTTTCGCTCAGGGTTAGGGGAGGTGCCGTGCAGATACGACGACACCGACGGTGATGTCTCTATTTTGCTGTCCGAGTCCTTGCCCAAGGGGGGCCCCACACTCGAGCGAGTGCAAGAGAATCGTCGTGTGTGCGGCGACTTGTTGGTGGAGTGGGCAAAGATTAGCGTTGACGCCCGGGGGCGCTCGCTGGTCAAAACTTTGGTTGGCAATTGCGAGAAAAGGGAGCGCGCCACAGCGATCGCGGGACAGGAAAAATCGCGGGAAATCGCCGGCACACGGCGTGCCGATTGAACAAAACACGCACCTTACAAAGATGCAGAGTCGCGGTCGGTTTCGCGGGTGGTGGGCGCTGTCACGGATTGCAGCGACTCGAAGCGTTGAGGTTGTTGAATTTTGATGATTGTCCACTCCCCTTGAGTCGGGGCCATCGAAGCGCTTAGCGAGCGAGCGGACGGGACCAGCAGGTGGCCTGGGCGCGCCGCCGCTCCTGCTGCAACGCCCGCCTCTGACCCGCTCCGTCTGCATGCACCTGACAGGAGCAGCAGTTCCCGCCTTCTGATTTGCTGATTCCCCCAAGCAAACCGTGATGAAAACTGCAATGGCGCATCGCCTCCTTTGCAAAGGGCTATTATTTAACGCATAAGGGTATTCCAAAGAAATATCTCATTTCCTCTGTCTTTCATAGTAAGCCCAATGTGGCCCAACTATTCACGTCCGAAATCACCAGACGGGTGAAAATTGAGGTGTCACGTGAGCTCGTTGGGAAAGAACAGGTCGACATCAGAAAGGATGGTCCGTGCACATGGAGAATCATCACAGAAAAGTCGAACAAACTGATCTTAGCCAGGGAAGTGCAGAATGCTTTGGAGAGGCTGTGGGTCACTCTTATGCTTTAACTGCAGTAATAGCTTCTTTTGGAAGATATATCGCAAAATTCTAACTGTTTACAAAGTGTAAGCAGTTGAAAATATAACGCGTGATCAGTTGAACGCTGACTCTTTACTCCTTAAATGTAGTCCAATCCGGCCCCCAAGCAGCTGGAGCAGGCCACTGCGTCATGGAGAACTGGTCCGTGCGCCTGGAGTTCCCACCTCACGCCAAGTTGCCCACGGCAAGCTCACGGCCCCATTTTTGAAGCTCCATTTCCATCGTCGTTGTTGATTTACACCCGCAAGTGCGTGCACAAAGCACTCTTTCTCACGCCGGCCACAATCGCATAAACCACAAGCCCGGAGCTACCGCACATTCCTTACTACAATGCCGCCTCCTCCCAGTCATCCCGGCGGCGTCGGGCCGTCCAACTTTGACAAGTGTATGTTTGCGCCGGCCTACCGCAAAGTGGAGCGGGGGAGAAAAAGAATATGAAGCAAGAGCTAATTCGGTCACAGTCAAAATGGGCGCCATGATGGGTGGCAGTATGTCTCCTTGACTGACTGTGAACTCTAAGCCATGTGCTCTATAATAACCAAATCGTTTCCAACACAGCTGTCGGGACTATCATCGGCTTCATCTTCGGTACGCCCTACCCCGCCAACCGATAATTTCCCTCCCGACTAGGCTTCCGCAAACGATCATAGTTTAACACTCGTGCAGGGACTGTCAACATTTTTAGGTACGGCGCCGGGCCAAACGGTATCATGCGGACACTAGGACAATACATGCTGGGCTCTGGCGCGACATTCGGGTATGTGTAGTCCCCTTCCTGTGTGGGCGATGGTTCTCACTCCCATGCCCTCCCTCTCCTTAACGGCCGACTTCTGACCTCATGTACTCCTAGATTCTTCATGTCCATCGGTAGTGTTATCCGTTCCGATGCCTCACCCGCGATCCAAGAAGCCTACCTCCGTGCTCAGCGACGACCGATCATCATGGCCTCACGAGCCTTCCGCCCGGCCCAAGCACCGCGTCGCGACAATTGATATGCCGTGCCTCCCGAGGAGTTCGTTTGCGGATGCCAGGATATAGATTATTCCCACGGCCAATTTTGCGAGAGCGGTAAGCGGAAATGCTATCGATGTAATTGATATGAGTGTACGTACATTCAACTTGGCGGATTTGCCCTTCGGGTAGTCGGGTGGGTTCATTAGGGACGGCGTTTTTCGGAAGGGCAGAAAAAGAATATCTGACTGCAGCATGTCGTGTTTATACATACCAACTTCTTTCCACTCCCACGGATTCCTTCCCCCTCGTTCTTGTATGCAGCCTTCCAACCGTACTGCACTGCGCCCCTGATGATCCAACTCGCACAACATAGTGCTATTTTCCTTGACCGGTTCCCCATCCCCATCCCTCCCGCTTACCAACGACGTCTAACCCCCAACCCGGGCAGGAATAACCATCTCGTTTTCTTTTCGATGTACCTCCCGCAGTGCGTCCACACTCGTGGAATACGAAGCCTTTCGCAGCCCACTCTCGCAGCGTTACCCCTGCTCTGTGCTAAAGGAAGAAAGGTTAATCAAATTTGAGGTTGTACGACGCTACCCTCGGGCTTTTTTTCTTTGCCTTGCTTCGCTCGCCGTTCTACACAACAGCCCGGATCGCAATCACCGAAAGGTGAGACGGATCTACAGCCACGGGCTCTTTGACCGATTGTCTGAACCCGTGGCCCAAAGCTTTTGCCCCCCCCCCCCCCGGGTTGAGTTCCGTACCAAGGTGGCGTTGTCGCGTATCTTGTGTTGTTTTGCTGTTTCACCTTTGTTTTCCATTTTCGTCGTTATTTACTATTCACCAACGCGTCCCGGAACTGGCTAGAACGCGCCAGCTCCGTCCGAATACTTGATCCGTGAGCATCTTAGGTCATGTCATCTCATGACACATCTTCAGAGTTGTGCCCATGGCGGCACATCGGCGTCGGCTCGTTGCATAAAACCCAACCCGCCAAGCCGGTCTTCTCTTCCGGCCCTGGCATCGGGATGCTCCTCATGGAACGCGCCCTTGCATGAAGGCGTAGTGCACTTTTCTTTCGTTGGTGAGGCAAACCTGTGTTCTACAACTTGAAGCGTTGCCTAGCTAAAGTGTATGAGGTATCTGTGGGTTTGATGAATACGAGCGTAAGAGCTCTGATCTGGTCTCTCTTACGAAGCACACCGAATAAACCTTCACCAGCCTGCCTTCGCTTCCGTTCATTTATTGAGTTTTAGCACAATTGTGTACCTATCTACATAGTAGCCCTGTCCCGGCACCCGCGTTCCCGTTTCGACGGGAATCCCAGGAGCCGGGTGATGCAGCGTTCCGATGAGCTGAAAGGTGGCTCGACCCCGTCCGCCAGGATCCCAGTCCGGCGGAAAGTATGTCAGAGCTCGGCTTCTCGGATTGTTTATTAATTACTTCCCTGCTGTTCTACGTAACGTCTCAGAGCATAGGATGTGTGCGAGGGATTAGGCCCTCAGTCACGGATCTCGAAGTCGGGATTCGTTTTCTTTTGGGGGGGCTCTTCTTCCCGTGTATGTCATTGCGGCGAATAGTCTAGACGGGAGCGGGAAATCGGAATCATTAGTCCGGCGTGGGTTTTGTCCGACGTGGGTGACGAGTCATTGTTTAAGTTTTCGGGTCTTCGTTCGGATTTAGTTGGGTTGTATTATATTGTTTCTTGCTCTTTTATTCCTTCGTCGATGTTACATTCTCGTTTGGGGGCGTCACGGTTTAATAAGGATCGCCAGCTGTGCTCGGGTCACCTGTTGGTCGGGTGGCGCTGCGGTTAAGCGGTTCAGTCATTGGGGTGCGCTATCTATGTATGCATGTAGGTGTCTTTGGTGAACGAGGTCCACGCGTTGTTCAGCTCTCTATCTCCTCTCCGCTCAGGTACTTACATTCCATACCAACATAATCGTGTGCCCTGTGCCCCTGAGCACCGTCAACCTAAGCCGAGCGTATCGCCTGGGCCGCGGCCCGGGCCGGGCGTATTCATCACCCACTCCAACTCAGACTCGGCTTGCCAATGGTGCGTGAACAATACGTGTTACAGCCACTGGCGCTTTGGGGCTACCGGGCTTTGCACTTTCATCACCATCATCACATCCGGACTGTCTTAGCCGCCCCATCACGGCGTCACCTCGTCAGGACTTACTTGCTCTCGCTCTCGGCATTAGCTATGTAGCGAGCACCTAACGGACACCCAGTTGACGGAAGCAAACCCACGGGTCACAGGTAACGCGAGAATATATTCCGCTTGGAGAGATACAGAAAACGAAGGCACTTGCGTCTATCTCGGCCGGGTGGTGGGGTGAACTCGGACGCCGATCCCGCCGGGGCCAGTGGTTCCCTCGCGCTCTGGCGGTCGTCATGGCTGGCTGCGGTATCCCCCTTCACAGCAGGAGGCGTTGACAGGGATGGGGCGTGTGTTCTTCCGTGGCTAGCTGGCACGCGGCTATGTCTTTTCTTTTCTGGGAGATAGCGGGCGGATGGGAGTATAGTTCTCTTACCGGTCCTTTTTCTTCTTCGTACTCGCCTCCTCCTTCTTCCTTTGCTCGTCTCTTCTATTTGTTCAAATATCCCACTGTATTACTTCGGACCTGGAGGGAAACCTGCTTCCTCTTTTTACAAGCAGGTTGTGGATATTTGTTGTGTGTGTCCTTCCCTTTCCGTCGCTCGTTTGACCGGATGGTGTTGCAGTTTCTATTCCAGCCTCTCCTTCCTTTTATATTTTCCCTTCCTTTCACCCGCCCGCCATGGGCCTTCTAGACGGTCTCATAGCAGGCGTCGTTGGCAGCGTCCTGCCTAGGGTCCTCTACACGGCAGTGGCCACATTGGAACAGTCCAACACCAATGGGTGAGCTCCCTCCGCCATCTTTGCTGTACTGCTTTGAACCGGAATCCCCTCCTGACTTAACCCCTCCTAGACTATCGGTACTAGGCACATTATTTGCCCCCACCCTCCCCCCATTTCTCAGCGACGACCCAGCCCACGACCCATTCCCCTGGGGCGACCGCACCGACTCCGGCACCAACCCCTACCTCGAATACCCGCTAACCGGCGACGTCCGCCGCTACGAATTCGTCATCAGCCGGGGCGTGATCGCCCCCGACGGCTACGAGCGTGAAGTTCTCCTCGTCAACGGCGCCTACCCAGGCCCCCTGATCGAAGCCAACTGGGGCGACACCATCGTGGTCAAAGTGCACAACAACATCACGGGTCCGGACGAAGGCACGGCGATCCACTGGCATGGGTTCCTGCAGCACGAGACGCCCTGGGAGGACGGGGCGCCGGGTATCTCGCAGTGTCCGATTACGCCAAGGGGCACGTACCAGTATGAGTTTGTGGCGAGTTTGTATGGGACCAGTTGGTATCATGCGCATTACTCGGCGCAGTATACCGGGGGTATTGTTGGGCCGATTGTGGTGCATGGGCCGACGCATGAGAAGTATGATATTGACCTGGGACCGGTCATGTTGAGTGGTGAGTTTGCCTTCCATTCCCCTTTTGTAAAATAGGGGGTCAAAAAGGGTCAGGGATCATAGAAGGGAGAATAACCCCCCTGGACAAGCTGCTAACATGAGGAACAGACTGGTACCACAAAGAATACTTCGACATCGTCGAAGAAATGCTCGCCCCCCACGGCAACCCCAAAGTCTACTCGGACAACAACCTGATCAACGGCAAAATGCACTTCGACTGTTCCACCCTGCCCCCCAACGACACCCACCGCTGCACCAACAACGCCGGCCTCGCCCAATTCCGCTTCCACACCGGCAAAACCCACCGCCTGCGTCTCATCAACTCCGGCGGCGATGGCGTCCAGCGCTTCTCCATCGACGAGCACACCCTCACCGTCATCGCCGAAGACTTTGTCCCCGTCCAACCCTACAACACCACGGTAGTCACCCTCGGCGTGGGCCAGCGCGCCGACGTCCTCGTCACAGCCAACGCGAGCAAATCCCCCAACGCGACCTTCTGGATGCGCTCCAACCTGACGTCCTGCTCCCCAGCACACCAGCCCTACGCCGTCGCAGCGGTGCATTACGACCAGGCCAACACGTCGACCACGCCGGACAGTCGGGCGTGGGATGTGCCCGACCCGGAGAATTGCGCGAATGATCCGCTGGGAACGTCGGAACCGCTGTTTCCCATTCCGGTGCCGAAGCCGACGATGGTGGAGGAGATGGGGATTGAGTTGTTCCGGAATGAGTCGGATGTGGCGCTCTGGAGGTTTAATGGTGTGTCGATGCGGACGGATTATAATGCTCCGGTGATTTTGTTGGCGAATGATGGGGTGTTTCGGTATCCGGAGGAGTGGAATGTGGTGAATTGTCGGAATCATACCAAGATTCGGATTATCGTGAATAATAGGGGTGGGGGGTCGTATGTTTTCTTTTCTTTTTTTCCGCTTTTCCCCTTTCCCCTTTTTTCCCCTTTTCTCTACCCCGTTTCGAACCCCTTAGCGAGGCAACTCCAGCTAACAAATATAGCCACCCCATGCATCTCCACGGCCACAACTTCTACGTCCTCCACGAAGGCCACGGCGAATGGGACGGCACCATCGTGCGCCCGTCCAACCCGACCCGTCGAGACGTATACCTCGTCCGAGCCAACGGCCATCTAGTGATCCAATTCGACGGCGCGCCAGGTACACTTTTGTCTCCCTTACTCCCACTATCCCCGACAAACTATTCCAGAGTAAATCTTCTAACACTCTCCTAGGAGTCTGGGCCTTCCACTGCCACATCGCCTGGCATGCCTCGGGCGGCTTCCTCACCACGCTGATTGTGCGCCCCGACAAGGTGGAGCAGCTGGAGATCCCGCGGGACGTCGAAAAGACCTGTCGGTCCTGGGACTTGTGGTCCAAGTATAACATTGTTGACCAGATTGATAGTGGGACATAATGTCGTTTATGGGAGGGGGCCAAGGGGCAGGTATGGATGGAGGTAGGTATTATATTAGAATTGCATGGGGCAAGCAAGTAATGTAATATTGGTTATGGTGGAGGTCTAGAGGGGTGATGTTAATTCTGGGAAGGGGGAGCGCCGGTGTGGATAGCTTATGGGGTTTTAAGCTCCCGCTGGTAACAGTTGCGAGCGGGGATAGAGTTGTCTGTTTACTGTCAGTTCTATTTTTGAAGTATCCGCACATTGTTGTCTCGAGGCGGTGATGTAAAAGGAACAAAAACACCCATTAATTGCTCCATCTAAACTTGTCAATCCCGAGAAGGCAATCAACACAACAGACTGATCGTTCATACACTGAGCGAATTGTTAATTTATCCCAAAACACCCCTTAATGCAACCAATACATGCAACTAATCCCCCTATCATTTACAAACCCCCCTCACAATCTTCATCAAGCCATCCCAGCAAAACCCCCCTCCACACCAAAATCCAACCCCTTAAACCCATCCTCCACCACCCACGACCGGCCTTTCTCGGGCGTGTACAACGCCTCACACGCCCGCCCAACCACAAGCAGCCCCGGTGGCCGGCTCCCTTCCTGCTCGATCGCCTCGGCCACAAACCGCAGCGTCGTCCGGATCACCCGCTGGTCCGGACAACTCGCTCGCTCGATGACGGCACAGGGGGTTGTCAGTGGCCAGAGGGTTCTTCTCCTCCTCTCTGTTACTTCTTCTTCTTGTTGCTTTTCACCTTCTCCTGGCTGCTGCTGCTGCTGCTGCTGCTGCTGCTGCTGCTGCTGTTGTTGTTCTGCTTTCTCCTCAGCAGTGAATTCCGTCAACTCCCCCACCAACTCCCCAATCCGATGCAACGCCATCAAAAACACCACCGTCCGACTCCCCACAAACCCCGGCGGCCGCGGCGCCTTGCCCTTCTTCCCCGTCCCCGTACACACCAGCACCTGGTCCGCCACATCCCGCTGCGTCGGCGGAATCCCCGCAAACAGCGGCGCGCTCAAGCTACTCGTCACCCCCGGCAACACCACCACATCGTTACTCCCTACCAGCCCATGCGCCCGGAAAAAAGCCACTTCTTCCCCGCCTCGGCCGTAGATAAACGGATCTCCCTGCTTTAGACGCAGCACGGTTTTCCCGGCGCGCACGCCATCCAGCGCCTGCTGGAGGAGTTCCTCCTGTGCGCGGTCCGCGTTGCCGGGGAACTTGCGCGCGATGGACACCGGTGTGCGGCGCGGGATTAGGTCGAGTACCCCCGCGGGGACTAGTTTGTCTGCGAGGATGAGGTCGGCCGTTTGCATTGCTTTGTAAGTCGCGCGGGTAAGTAAGTCTGGATGGCCGGGCCCGCTGCCTGCGAGGATGACTCGGCCGGTGCGAGTTGGTGAAGGCGTTCCCGTCTTGTCGGATATCTGAGAACTACCACCACCACCAGGATACGACTTCAAAATCCCCTCCACATCCTCCTCTCCAATCTCCGCCAACCGCCTCAACGGCCAATACTCACACACCTGCGCCAACCACCGCATCCGTCTCGTCTTAGCCGCCTCACCACCATCATCATCATCATCCCCTTCCCGGACCAGCTTATTCAACCCCGCCGACTGCTCCGTCGAGTCATCCCCATCCCCCCCTCCAAGAAGACCCCCATCCAATCCCCCACCCCCATCCCCATCTACAATCCTCCTCCTCAACCCCCCCAACCGTTCCATCGCGCCCCCCAACCCAGCCGGCAATCCCGCAGCCACCTCCCTTCGAATCCTCCCCGCCAATTTACACCCTCTCCCATTCGTCGTGACACCAATCTGCAGCGGGCCATCGACATGCACGCTCAGCAAGCTAAAAGAACAGAGTGCGGGGGAGTCGACGATGTTGATGGGGATGCGGTGGCGGTTGCAGAGGGTTGAGAGGGAGACGGGGGTCCATGAGGAGGCTTCTGGGGGATTATCTGAGGGATCTGAGGGATCTGAGGGAGGGTTGGTGTGGCTGGTGACGAAGACGGCGTCAACGACGTGGTTGACTTCGGGCCGGCCGAGGGTGAAGAGGTCGTCTGGAGTGAAAGCGCGGGGGAGGTGGGTGAGTTGGGACGAGGCGATGAGGGAGGTTAGGCTGTAGTGGAGTTGATGTTGGTCGTTGTTTGATGGGATGGGTGAGATGAGGATTGGTTTGGCGCCGGCTGCGAGAGAGGATGATGCGCGTGCTGCTGCGAGGGGGTTGGCGCCGAGGATGAGGTGGACTTGGCCTGCGCAGTGCTGGGCTGTGAGAAGCGCTATTGGGGGTGAGTTGGAGGCCATGACTTTTAACCCCTTTTAAAGGACGGGACTTGAGGTTTTGTTCTAGTTGTAGAAAGCTGCCTTAAGATCAAGACGACGGGGGGCAAGAAAAGTTCAAGTGGATAACAATACAAGGAGATGGGATGATGAGATGAGACGAGAGCTCAACTGTCGAATTCAAGTGCGAAAGAAAGAGATTAAAACCTCATAACAACTCCAGCCCCTTCCTAAACTTACTCAATCCCTCGATATCCACATCTCCGCTGATGACTCTCCCCAGACTACAAATACCATTTTTACCATCATCTATCTCCACGTGTAGTGTCCATCCCGCTCGGTGCCGTCCTCCCAAATTTTCTGCGTAAACTCTTTTCCCGTCAAAAAATCTCAAAAAGGCCAGACAGGGGACCAACCCACCAACCACAGCGCAGCCTTCCGCCGACTTACACAAAATGTACTCCCACAACCGGTTTAGCGCCCGCTGACGCCATTTCACGAGGGCCGCTTATCGGCCAACTTTATGATAAGGCCAAGGACCGACAGCCGGACCGGACGACAACCACCCCGCCGAGCCCACTCGCCATCCTCTGAAGATACCAAGGATGACAAAACGTTTTCCGCGGGGTTAGTTACACGTGTAGATGAACTTTGTAAGTCCCCGGAGATGCTCGCTTCCGCACGTCTGTTGTGCTTGATTGACTGTGTCGTTTAACGAATTATCTCTCGATATCCTATCGGAAACCGATGACGCTTTTTCCGCGGATGCTCAAGAAGTGGACTTGGTTGTCAGTATGAAATGAAATACCCCAAAACAGACGACTCATCGCTCTCATGCATGATCACTTCAACACACATTAATACCGGGACCAAAGACCTCTCTTAAAATAATCTTAAACTTCGTGTTCTTTTCTGACTCCTTCAGCTACGGAATTCACCCCGGGTACCGAACCGAACTGGAAAAATAAAAAAATAAAATAAAATAAAATACAAAAGAATAACAAAACGCCACAGCAACCGGCTAAGTCGTCGAAATTAAAAATCTCTTTAACACAAAAACTAAAGAAGGCAAAAGGCGCCCGCGTTTCTCCCCGCCGTGGCTCGCGCCTCCCAACGTCTAAGAGCCGGCAATCGAAGCAGATTTGCCCGCTCTGAGAATCCGCCCAAGCCGTGCTGTTGTTCTTGTCGACGGCAGGTGGATGTCGTGGTCATGAAGAAACGTCGGTCAAATATGTACAGCCGAAAAAAGACCGTGATTCGATAACTAAAATCGTGGTTGTCGAGACCCTAGAATGGATCGAGGGCGAAGAAAAAGACGATACCAAAGGGGAGGAGGCCATTGGGAGCACACAACGCGGAAATTAGTTCCTAGCGTCAAGAGGTTCAAAAAGACCACAGAAGTGATCGCAACTGCGGGCCGTTGTGAACTCGCTGTTCAGAAAACAGCCGTGTGAAGTCAGCCTCGGTCAGTCAGCTCACATGACAACGCACTTGGAGTCGTCACGCTCTTTCTTGACCGAAAGTGCGACACGCGCCGCTTCCGTGAACGCCTCGTTGACACCCCGATTCCGCATGGCCGAGCACTCGAGGTACCGGAGCGCGTGGATCCGCCGGGCAACCTCAAGACCTTGGTCGTAGTTGATCATCGGCTTCTTCTCGCGCGGGTTGGCTTCCTCGGATGCGGCCGCCTCGTCCTCGTCCGCCGCTTCCCGCAAGTCGCACTTCAGCGCTACTAGGACAAGCTTGACCCCTGGGCAGTTGTCGGCGATCTCGCCTACCCACTTGCTCTCGACGTTTTCGAGCGAGTCTTTGCTGTCGACGGAGTAGCAGAGCATGATCAGGTCGGTGTCGTCTAGAGGTCGTGTGTTAGCACCCCGCCTTCCCCAAGTTGATCCCAGGCAAACTCACCATATGACAGACTCCGTAACCTATCGAACTCTTCTTGCCCAGCGGTATCCCAGAGCGACAACTCGATATGCACATTGTCGACGAAAATGTCTGTCCTCCACGTTAGCACCGCTGCCATATCTTGACCCTCCACCCGTGTAACCCCCACAGAATCGATTAAACGCACCATGAACGTAGTTCTCAAACACTGTTGGCTCGTAGACGGTCGGGAAGTACCTGTGCCAAAATGTTAAGCAAATGCGACAATGCCGGATCACATGCCGTATGTGCGACTCACCCCCTCGTGAAGACATTCAGCAGCGAGGTTTTACCGCATGCACCATCGCCACTACGCAAAACATGTATCAGTAATTCGTCCGGCGCATCGGACCCTTAGCCTGACACTAATTCGGCCGGAGTCTTATCGATTGACAAGGCGAACTCACAGCAAGACAAGCTTGCGCTGGACCGTCTTGGAGCCACCGATACCACACGGCATTGTTGCGAGTTGTTAACGGTTTGTGAGCTAAGTTGTTTGGTAGATCGACAACCGCGGTTGAAAAGCGATGTTTTGTACGATATCGAAGCGCGCAAGTTGATCTGTTCGTTTGTTCGTCTCGAGTTCGAATATCGGCTTGTTTTTTCCCGAAGGACAATGTTGGTTCAAGGCGCGAGGGGGTGTCCCTCAAAAAGATAACGAAAAGAAGGGAGCGGATCTAATGCGACCGAGCGGGTTCCGGGCGAAGAATGTCGTCAGAAAGCGTCAGGTATGGCAAAGATGGATTTTAGTAAATCCCAAAGTAGTCGCCAGTCGCACGTTTCGAAACGTCGGGTAAGCCGCAAGGAGAAGCACGAGGACGGCGGCGGGCGTCGTCTAGCAGGCTTGGATCCAGAAGGAGCATGCGCAGGCTGCAGCGGGCAGGCAGGTTCGTGGTGACAGGCAAAGATCCAAGAAATTGGAAGAGGGAACGTGTGTGTCGTCAGACTGCGCGACCTGGTCCCACAGCGAGGAAATAGTTGTGCAAAGTGCAAAAGGCCAACGAGCGAATGGTGAGAAGTGAGGTGACGACAACGTGAGGATGACAAGAAGAACGGAAAGCCAAATCTGGCGAGAAATTGATGCCGCTCGGAGATGAAGTCAGCAAGGTTTCCCAGCAGCAGCGCAACCAGGACGCTGGCTCCCTGCTCACATCGGGAAACACGCAGGGGGGGTTCTGGAGGGGGCGATTGGAAAGTTGGACGGCCTGAAGGACCCACCACGACCGACCTTCAATGAACCTTTCGTCCATGCTTTTGCAGCTGGGAAGCCACCCGCCAAGACGACGCTCGACAAGGATGTGGAATCGCAGTGGCATTTGGGGCTGGGCCTCCAGTTTTGCGAGGCACTGGCACCTTCAAACCTGTTCCTGAAGGGCATGCTGCCCGATGATGAGCCACTCGACCACTCTGAAAAGGAAATCCAGCCTGGAATGGATCGGGGGCGGTGCCCGGGTGCGGGGGGCGTTTCCTGCAGGTCAAGGGGGGGCACGACCTCTTGGAACACGAGGCCCCACCAACCATCTGCCTCATGTATAACCGCACGGTTGTCCATTCCCCATTCGTCACGATTTGTGCATTTTGATGATGTATCTTTTCTTCCAGCAAGAATCCGACGGTTGCTATGAACAACGGCCTCAAGTCCTGTGATGCGAATGCTAGTTAAATGTTCATCTTTAGAGCTCAGTCTCTCCAAAAATCTGAAAAGAATAAGGTCGGGGAGGGGACGAAACCAAAATGACAAACATCAGAAGCAAGTTGCCTCGACGTCCAAATTGTGCCATCGACCCGCCTCAGCTGGCATAGCGTGGCCGACAACCTGCGTCCCGCTCTGTTGAATGTGACCTCAACGGCAGGCAGTTCGCCAACGAGCCAACCAGCCGATTCGAATTCCAGCTCCCAAAAATCTGAATTACAATCGATCTAAATAACAATCGATCTACACTGCAGTTCGGCCCACCGATCAGGATTTTCTTGTCCCGTCCCGTCGTTCCCAGGATTCCCGGCCTTGTAACTAGTTATCAGTCTCGAGCCATCGGACCGGCGGGGTCATATTACGGAAAAAGGTGTGTGAGCCCGGCGGGAAAATGCGCCGCTGAGGACAACGACGCAATATCAAGCCGTGGTAAAGATTGTAGGCCTGGAATTGAGAGTAATTGCGAGTAGTGGAAGGACAGACCGGCCAGCCGAGGGAAAGATTAATTGCTAAATACCGTCTCGCGAGTTCCAAGAGCCGAGGACCGGACACCCTGAAGTTATCGCGACCTCTAACCCATGAACCCTTTACCTCCTCCCAGCCCGATCAGCAACCTTCAACTCGGCCGCCCGACTATGGAGGTCGTTCATGAACCCAGCATCCCCTCCAAACCGCTTGTTGCGCTGCCGCGCGCGGTCGTCCGACTCTTGTTCTGCCCGCTCTTGATCCGCTAGGAGCGCCAACCGTTGCTCGCGGTCCTTGTCAAGATCCGTGGCAGCTTCCTGCATGGCCGCCAGCTTGCGGGCGCGCTCTTCTTGCGCGGCCTTCTCCCTGTCTGCGGTAGCGCCGCTCGAGGGACGTTGGGGGTGCCTGTCTTGTCGTGGTGGAGCGCGGTCGTGGCGGTCATCGTCGTACTTGCGCGATTTGTTGTAAGAGTTGCCACTGCGAGGGTTGTACCCTCCGCTGCGTTCCCCTGATTGTTCCCGTTTCCCCCGGTCATGTCTATCAGCCGAGTAATCTCTCCTTCGTCGTGGTGGGGATGCCGACCGGGATGCAACTCGTGACCGCCTATCTTTGTGCACGCCGTCGCGGCTCCTACTCCGACGATCTCGCGTATCCCGCTTGTCCCTCCTATCCTCGCTACTCCGATCCCGAGAGTCGGTAGACACCGACTTCTCCCGCCTGCGATCACGGGAATCCCTCCTCCGTCGCCTCCTGTCATCCTCCACTGAGTCGCGCCTCCTCGGGCTCCTCGACCTGTCCCTCGAATCGGATCTATGCCGACGCGAATACTTGTCACTTTCCCTCTCATCCCGGTGCCTGTGTGAACGGTGTGTATGCCGATGCTTGTGCCGCCGCTCTTCCTTGCGTTTGGACTTGTCCTGTGTATCATCAATGCCCATCGACGCCAACAACTGTCGCCTCCTAATGGGGTCCTTCATCATCGCCTCGTAAGCCTGCTGTTCCTGCCGCTTGATCGCCAGCATCGGATCCTCCCTGATCTTGGTGGCCACATCCCGGGCGTTGGCGATTGCGGGAACCGGAGCAGCCCCAGCCGAGTCCTGTGTCGACTTCTGCAGCTTCTTCACATCGTTGTCTTGCAAGAGTTTATCGATCCGCCGTTTCCCCAGCAAGTATGCTTCGTTCTCGGCCGCGTCGCCTGCCTGCCCGTCGGTCGGACCGGAGTACATCCACTCTACCCTCTGTAGTCTTGGCTTGCCCCCCGCGGCCTCCAGCGCCTTTTGGATTTCTTCCTTCTTTCGCTCCTCTTCAATTTCTTGGAGGCGCTGTTGCAACTTCTTGCGTTCTGCGATCGCTTCGGCTTCGGCTTTATGAGTGGCGGCGACATTCCCCGATCGCTGGGGATGCCAACTCTTTTTCATGTTCAAGTCTCCCGAACCCATCTTGGCGGTGTTGGTGCTGCGGGCGCAGCGGAAGTTGTAGGGAATCGAAGGACGTAGATTTCGTAAGGGGGGCTCGGTCGATCAAAGCGTAGTCCCAAGCCGTATCGTTTCGGTTTGTCTGGTGCGGGTTCCTCTGTGGACGGGAAGCGATGCGAAGTTGTTGATGCGACAAGGAGTGGCGACAAGCACCTTGACAGGTGATCCCGTCTTTTTTTGAGGTGGCTAGGCTACAGGGGTTCATCTCTAACTCGCATACTTGCATATTGACTAGATACATAATTCCACCACGCCAGAACGTCAAGTCGAAAGGAACGAGCATCTGCAATACGATAGGAACGGCTGTAATTTAAAGTTAAAGAAGCAATAACTTCCAATGGTCCCCGTCGCAGATACGCAATGATAATTCTTCAATCGTAAAACTTCTTTATATACGTTATAAAACATTTCCAAATTTGTTCTTACCTTTGACATGGAAGCTCTCCCGCTGCCAACCAATGATCAATCACGTTAGATTACCCCACACCAGCTCCAGCACCTTTAGCCCCTCAGCCTTATAAGGTGCGTGCCTGCCTGGTCCCTCCTCGAACCAAACCCAAACATCGAACTACAATCGGATCTTGCGGCCAGACACTTTGCCATTCTCGCCAAACCGGACAGTTTTATCAAGACAGCTCGCTGGAACTAGCCATCATGTCGGACGACGATTTCATGCAGGCCTCGGATGAGGAGTACGACTTCGAGTACGAGGACGAAGATGAAGAGGACAGTGGCGATGTCGACATTGAAAACAAATACTACAACGCGAAGCAGACGAAGACATCCGATCCAAAGGATGCAGTAGGCGAGTTCCTAGGTATACCGGCACTGGAACCAGAAAAAGGGGAATGGGGATTCAAAGCTTTGAAGCAAGCCATTAAGCTAGAGTTTAAGTTGCAGCGCTATGAGAAGGTCAGTCGGATGTGGTATGGTTCGGATTTCGAGGTCGAATTCTAACGCTGTTTAGGCAACCGAGCACTACCAGGAGCTCCTCACATACGTCAAATCCGCAGTAACACGGAACTACTCGGAGAAGTCCATCGACAATATGCTCAACTTCATCGAGAAAGGCGCCGATAACCCGGCCGCCGTCGAGTGTATCGAGCAGTTTTACTCGCTTACGCTTCAATGTTTCCAGAGCACGAATAATGAACGGCTCTGGCTCAAGACCAACATCAAACTCGCCAAACTACTGCTCGACCGCAAGGACTACCATACCGTTGGCCGGAAGCTTCGGGAGCTCCACAAGGTGTGTCAGAAGGAGGATGGCACTGACGACCCGAGCAAAGGCACATACTCGCTTGAGATCTACGCCTTGGAGATTCAGATGTACTCCGAGACTCGGAATAACAACCAACTGAAGGCGCTCTACCAAAAAGCACTAAAGGTGCGCTCCGCGGTGCCACATCCCAAGATCCAGGGTGTGATCCGCGAGTGCGGTGGCAAGATGCACATGAGCGAGGAGAACTGGAAGTCGGCACAGATCGACTTTTTCGAAGCATTCCGCAACTATGACGAGGCCGGCGATCTGCGGCGGATCCAAGTGCTCAAGTACCTACTCCTCGTGACGATGCTCATGAAGTCGGACATCAACCCCTTCGACAGCCAAGAAACCAAGCCGTACAAGAACGATCCTCGCATTGCCGCCATGACGGATCTAGTCGATGCCTACCAGCGCGACGACATCTTCAAGTACGAGGAAGTCCTCCAGCGCAACACCGATCTGATTGCCGACCCTTTCATCGCCGAGAACATCGACGAGGTCACGCGCAACATGCGTACCAAGGGCGTGCTCAAGCTGATCGCACCCTACACCCGCATGCGACTCAGCTGGATTGCCGAGCGTTTGCGCATCAGCGACGCCGAGGCCCAAGATATTGTCAGCTACCTCATCGTCGATGGGAGTGTGCGCGGCCACATTGACGAGCATGCCGGTACCGTGGAGATCGAATCGACCGGAGACGCCGCCCGCGCCCAGAGTATCGAGAACATGGCTACCGCCGTTAGCGAGCTGTACGCCACTATCTTCCGGGACGCCGAGGGCTTCCGCCTGATTGGAGAGACGGTCGGGTCTGGGTTCAACGACTCGGTGGGTGATTACGGTGGGTTTGGCGGTTCGGACCGGGACAGAAGCCGCAGTGGTAGGGGAGGCAGGGCGCTCCGTCGGGGCGGCGGGTTGAGAAGTATTCTATCTATGGGCGGCATGTCTTGAGTGCTTTCAAGGGTCATGGGCGAGAAGTAGGCTGGGCCTATACTGCCTATGTCGCGGGCCGGGTGTTGGCTAAACTATTACGAAGCGTTTACATGACGACCATCAAGACTAAGACCGTTACGAGGAAGGATAGGACAGGATGTCATGACTAGATGGGGTAGCGAAGCGCTTAGAATCGGTTGATTAGACGTATGGGTGATTCCTCGCATTACTACGTGGCAATGTGGAGTGTGAACTGAGGCATCACGAGGGGGAAATTCCCAAGCAAGGCACTAAAAAGCATTGGTAACATTAAGGGCCCCGTCCAGAGTGGACTTCCTTCACCGGCTTAGATCTACTAAAGGACCCATAGCACTAGGGGCCACGTACTATATGCCGCGTCGACCTTTCCCGTCCATGTCCCTCGGTGTCCCTGGAGGCACTAGCCCCCACCGCCTTGGGAAACAACATAATCCAACCGCCGAAAAAGTAGTGCTCAAACAAAGCCGGAGTACCAAAGCCCGTCCTCGCTCGCTTGGTGGGCGTTTATCCCGTCTGCCTCATCCTCCTCACCCACAACAGCACCTAGGCTAAGCGGGATATATTCCCGTCTGTACTTGCGTCCTCGTATAACACTTTTCTTCTTGACCGGCTACCGCTGGCCACGTCCCGTTTAGGCCCCTCCCTGGAATTGGTAGTATTGAGTATATCCCCAGGCCATTCTCAAGGCCATCAAGTAGCGGACCCGCGCTTGACATGCACATCTAGCCCCGCTCTCCCCTGGATCGGACAGACCCTCGGGGCCTTTGACCTCGCTTCGCGCTCAAATTCCCCGTCTCGCTTGACTTCCGCCGTGGGTGGGCGCATAGCCGCATGAAGAAGCGCGGCCTCTTGTCGATACCGGCGGCGGGTGAGCCAAGGTACCTGCCCCATTAAGTTTATTTACGTGTGAAGATCCTTTCGAGGGGTATGGGGCCCGAGTCCCGGTCGCATTTTTGGATGCTCGGCTAATTTTTCTTCCTCTTTTCCTTTGTTATTTGTCTTCAGTCAAACCCAACCGGACCAACAACTGTGCTTTGTTTGCATCTTCCTGAACCGCGTCTGCAACGGGTCGGCGGCTTGAGGTATCCGCCCTGCCGCTCCGCCGCTGTGTGGTGCAGGGTCGGCCGTCCCCGCGTAAAACCCCCCCCTCTTCAATGAAACGTCGCTGAGCGGATTTCTCCGCCGATCCAGTTCTTTCTCTCTTTGCCCCGCCGCCGTTGTGCGGTTTGCCGGGTAAAGTAGTCTTCGGCAGACGAAGCGGCCGGGGTGATCGCACGGAGGTGATCGGCGGGTCTCCACGGCGGGCTAGGCATCGGCCCGCTCGGAAGGAAAACGGATGGCGGAACCGGGTTGGGTTCAATTGTCATGGGTATGGGATGGGCGGGAGCCTGTCGTCCTGTTGTTCTGGAACCTCTTGGGGAGATTTACTGCTTTCACCAAAAAGAGCCCAAAGGGGCGGTGAGTTGGCCCTGGTTGCGTACGATCTAGATCGCAGCATGGGGAGCTCGATTATGCTTATCCTAGCCGAAGTAACATATCAGACTCCATCAACACAATCAAAAAACACCCTTAGGTTTGATCAACACAACGAAGACGCCTTGAATATGCGTAGTTCGAAACGGCTTAGGGGTGAGGGGGGTCGTGTAATGAGAATGCACGGCCTTGAGCCGTGAGACGCAAAAGTCATGGCCAGTGGTCGCTGTGGACTCTGCAAGGCGGGAACCCGCAGTCGTAGTCACAAAACTAACTGCGAATGGAGCTCCTTCCCGGAAACCCGCCAGTACGCATGGCCGTGGAGAAGACAAACGACGAGTGATGTTTGGCGTTCGAGAAGAAGGCACCGTAGATCATGTCTCCTACTCCGCTTATGCATGTTACTGCCCTCCCGTGCGGGCGATTGCGAGAAGGGGTGACATCAAGTTGTTGAAAAGATCGGTCTGGACACAATGAGAGTAAGTCTTGCGCCCAATAACGTTCGGTTCATGAGCCCGATGGCGACCTAAGACCATCTAGTTAGAAGCTGCCATTCCATACAGCTCTGCCATATGCACTCGTCAGCATGCTCAGTCAACCAACCGAACTCTGGGTTTGCGGTGTTGTTGTCCTCAGATGCCAACCCTTTCTGGGACGTTTTCTTGTGATCCTCCAAGGAGCTGAGGAGGTTGAAACGGAGCACTGTTCTCTCTTTCTTATTCCAAGTCGAACATCTAGAAGTGTCTCTACTTCAAATGTGCGACAGATCGTTGACAAAATATTGCAACCGACACAATTGAGGTGCCCCCAAGTTGAACCTGGTATGTTTGGGCCTGCGTGCAAATATCTCTTGGACATCAGTAACAGTGTGGCGAGGGGTGCTTTTGCCGTATGTCGCGGCAAGTCTTGAGAGTCGCTGTGCCGCTCGCCATGGCGAATCCATGGGAATCCCTCATTGCTGTATTCTCCCTGCTAACGTGAAGCCGTGCCACGAGAAGCATGACAGTGGTTTGCTGGGGGGGTGAAAATCAGGTCGGATTAACTCTGTTGGATCACACCCCACCAGCAACCACATGGGAGGGGATGTCGTGGGAGGAATCAAGAAGTTGTCGGGTGGGGTTGTTGGAGGCATCGCGCGACAGATGATGAGGAGTTGGCGCCGGGCCTGTCAAACGTGCAGCATTGCAAACAAGTTCTGCAGGGCGATGCGGAGGATGGGAACAGGTTTGTGGGAATCCGGGCCCCAAACTAGCATCAGACGACGGGACAAGAGGTTTGAAAGCCAAGGGAGTAGGAGTGAGCACCACCCGGTGCAAAGCTCAGAGCTCGCCGCTACCACTGAGAGATTCTGCTCAGAGTGGATCCGCACCTTCCCCCGGCCGGGAATACCCTTGAAGACAGAAGGCACTACCGGCATCCACCAGCACTCACCCCACGGGGTTGACAGCCCTAAAACGCCCACTGTGGGTTAGCGGGTTGCCCCTTCCCCAAGGAAATGACGCCCAGTCTGGCTTCCTCGATTCTCATGTTCTGCACAGGCTCCCTTCATTGTAACCTTGAAACAGGACAACCGCATAACCACACGACGACACAAGAGGAACTAGTGGCGGGGGCTCCCAGCGAAGTGCTGTTGATGAAAACGAGTACCACCTGTAAGTGGGAGTTTCTGTGAGACCGGCCTTGTGGAGTATCACATCCCTTGACAAAACGGCCGCGATAGAAGTTCCCCAACGGCGATGGTGATGTTACCCCGAGGCCGATGACAAGGCACCTCCGTCGAAGATGATCCTTTCGTTTCCGGGTCACACCAAAGGAACATTCACCAGGAGCTTCCCACCCCAAGACTGTGACCATGATGAGATGCATTAGCCCGCCGCAGGACGCCTCTCCACGCTCCCGTCATGCAAGTCCTGAATGACCCGTTTTCACACCGGTAAGCCAATCACTCCTTTCTCACTCTCGACGGGGTGGTCTCGCGAGTCATGGCGGCGCCGCCATCTGCCTCGCGAAAACGAATCGGATGGTCGAGCGACTGAGACGGGAAGAAAGGTCGCTCGCCCACTCTTGGTTCCGTTGCCAACGTTGACTGGGGAGATGATAATCATTGGTGATGCTAGTTCCCCATACGACCAAACGAGCCGTCCCCCAGTCGTGAAGCATAATGAATTACCCATATCGGCCGGTGTGGCATCCATACTGACAAATAGTTAGACAAGAACACACAGCAACAAACCTCTTCGGAAAGTTGGACTGAGTGAAGAGCATGGGGATCGAAGCTAGGTCAAGGTTCTGCGCTCTCCATCAGATGACAAGTACACGACAGTGCCCGCGGTAGGACGAGCCCTGAGACGAGCAATCAGACGTCGCAGGTCACAGAGACCGTTGTTCGCCGTGGCATCAAAGATGATTTTCTCAGGTTCCCGTCCATCTGACTGGAAACAGCCACACAGCCTGGTTAGTGCAGAAGCTAATTTTGACATGGGAAACAACGGGCACAGCCGAGAGACCTCGCAGAGCACCAAATTTGACCCAAAAGTAGGACCAACCAGAGTTGCGCAGAGCAGGTCATGGAGAATGCAGGCGGCCTTTCGCAAAATTGAACCCCACAGGAGCGACCCATGAGCTCGGGACGGCCCCCAGGACCCAGACAGACCAATCAGCCTAGTGGCGGTACGTGTATCGCCAAGGGAGTGCATCCTTCGCGCTGTCGTTCTCGGATCTCGCGGTCTCACGATGCGAACCCGTTGTGAGTGTCTTGAGTTTCCAGCCGAATCACCCGAAAGCAAGTGGCTGAGGAACATAAGCATGAGCTCTAACTACGAACAACAGCAGACATGGACGATGCAAGCTGAGCGCCCGAGCTCGCTTCGTCCAAAGCAATCATGGGCGTTGGAATTCCGTCTTGGCGTAGCGACGTTCCCGTGCTTTCCCAATAGCCATCCACCCGCCCGCTCTTTAGCCATTCCACCTCCGATGGATACGTCCCGGTTTGGTATGGTTGCGTGTCTTCGAAAATTTGAGCTCCTCTTGCACACGGAACGGATCGACGGTGCCCGGACGATGGCATGATAGAGCTTGAGGCACAGCCTGCCGAGTGAACACCAGCGTGTGATTGCGCATCAGACTGTGTCCACCCTGTTCAAGTCTGACTGATGGACAGGAATCTGGGGTCGCCGGGTGGGAGATCATAGCGCCTAGTGTAGTCGAGACCCCGACAAGTAAGTCTCGGCTCATACTTGGTCGCGTTGGGCTTGAGGGGAAGATGACGAGATAGGGCGAACTATCCCGAGTGAGCCGGGCGTGGGCGATGCTGCTCAGTTGTTCACGGGAACGTTGACCAACTTTAGGTTCTCCCTAGCGAAGACTTCACGATATGAGGACATGATGCTACCCAAGCTGGAGGATTCTTGATTGAAGCCGTTGCTACAGATCACAGAGGTAAACCCCGATGGCCGGCCGGCGGAAACAGCAACACAGCGGCCGAGGTGGCCCAGCTCAGGTAAACCCAGGTTAGGAGTACAACACTGAGCGCTTGTTAGTGGCCGTGGTGGGTTTAGACGATTTCTCGGACGGTCGAGGTCCGGAGGCCCCGCCAAAGACCGGAGAGTCTAGTCGTAAATGTCACGCAGCTCGACCTCTGGTCATCCGTCCATCGTCACCGACGCCTCAACACAAGGCTGCCTTTAACGCATGGCAACAAATTATCTTCAACTAGAAATATTGGCACCCATTTGGTACAAAATGACGACCGCCGAAGAGGTCGGCCCCGGTAGTAGTGGACATCCATCTCGAGCCAAATTAGACCGGCTTACACGAAGGCTTCCTTCCAAATGCCACTGACATCGTCCACTACCAGCAAGTCCGATGATGCTGGTCCGCTCGGCAAGTTCCCTCTCGTGGGGTGCAGGGGCGGTCTACCTGCTGCAGTCTGGCGCTGGATCAACGAGGAACGGCAGGGCGTGGCTGTTTTTCGTCTCGTTGATGAACTCACACCTCATCGCCAGGTGCAGCACGCCAGAAACCCCCTGTTGGCCTCCCCAGAAAATGGAGACCTGGTTGTGGACCCGGCAGAGAACGCTAGCGCAACCTCCCATTTGGCACATTTTCCTTGCTCCCCTCTCACATCGCGCTGTTTCCTCAATGCGTTTTGGGGAACACAAGAAAGCGGGAAGGAGTTTTGTGTGTCACGTTGAGGCCAATCCCGGGCAGAGGAGGCTTCGTTTGAAGGGGAAGGCTGGGTGCATGCAAGTAAACAGCTTACCCGTGGATGCAGAGGAGGGGTGGGATATTGTCGATTTGTATGTACTTGCGAGGATGTCGAGACTTGTACCGCGCTTTTTGTTTTGTGCAAGTTGCTGACGGGACGCGGAGAGCTCGGCAGGCGGGCGGGACCAACCCCCTGCTGGCCTGCCTGGCCTGCCCAGGCAAGCCAGGGCAGGGGGTGCGGGATGTGGGCCGCCAAGTGCCAAGCGTGCCAAGTCGCCAACGGAGGGTTCCTGGAAACGGTCAGTGGGTCTCTCCGTCCGAAGCCCGGCCGCCCCCTGTTCAGCCGGGGGTGGAGAGTCCAGGTCCAGGTCCAGGGGTGTGTGTCCTGGCAGGCTGGGCGTCGTTTGATCTGTGAGAGCGACTGCCATTGTTCACACTCCGTGGTGGCTGCTCACTTTTCTCGTTTTCTTCTCAGCCGCCCACCCAGCCAGGACACCATGTCAAGGATCAAGGGACAAGAATCGAGCAGCGAAAAGCCGGGTTTCTTGTCATGGATCCCACCACAACAAGTGACGGACCAGACAAAACGGCACGGCGTGGCAGGGCTCACAGGATGATAGCGGAGGAAATCACGACGACCACGACAGGGGACGGACGCATGGAGGAGCCATCACTCCGGATGACAAGCGATGACGAGTCGACGACGCACCGCCCCCTCTTCATCCTCGGCGTGCTTGAGCATGAAAGACATGATGGTTGTCGACGAGGGAGAACATGACCAGAGACGCGAGAATGAACGAGAAACTTGGAGCTCAGACCATCAAGCCCCTGTCTCACAGCATTGCCGGTCTTTTTCATCGTCAACGGGCAGGGCCAAAGGGACGCCCATTGGGCTCGTTAAACGTTAACGATTGGCAACCCGGGGGTCACTGCTCGAGTGGGTCAGCGGGCCAGTGCGTCTGGAACCGCAGTGCCAGGGGACAGGGGGTGGAAAGAAAGTGAGGGAGCAACACACGCCAGTCGGGATCCTCGTAGATTTTTGTTTCTTGGACTTCTTTTTTTTTGGCATCATGTCTCCCCTCAGTCGCCCGCTGTTCGGCGAAGGACTTGACAGGGGGTACAGAAAGTGCCGCCATCAACTGGGTCGACGCAGGAATCGCGTGGAGCATGAACAAACGAACTAACTGGTTAGAGTAGTACTATAGACAGAACCCCGAAGGCGGCTGGAGAGGAGAAGGACCTCGTGGCATCGTAAACAGGGGTTGGCAGCCACCGCAACGACACACAGAACGGCAACATGGGAAGGGGGGGGACGTAGCAGAGAAGCCAGGTCCCAGGCTCTTCGGTAGTGTACTGTGCAGAATAGCAGCCAGCAGCAACTTTGTTGGGCGGTGCCTTGACCCTAGTGTAGGAGCAACAGCGGCAGGAGCAGGACCAGGAGTAGCATGGGAGCAGCGGCAATGCATCGATGCGAGCGAGCATTGCAAAGTGTCCCCACTCGAAAAACGAAAGTGACAAGTTGGAGAAGCAGATTGTCGGGGCCGAGGTCGTCTGGCCTAGGTCGGTCGTTTGGACTGGCCTGGCCGGCCATGCTCATTGCTCACAAGTCGCTGTCACTGGCTGACTGCTGGGTGGGTGCCCGTGGCTCGCACGGCAGACATAATTATATTGTTCCCTTCCCCAAACCAACCCTGGGCTTGCTCAACCCCTCTCCCTCTCGCTCCTCTTTATTATTATTACCGTCTCCTGCCCGGCTGTTTGCCTTGGTCTTCCCGTTCTTCCCGTCCGCGTCTTCCGGTTTATATTTTTGTTCTGTCTGCGACGCTCGCCTGACGTAGGGAAGCTCACGTCCAACCTACGCGTTTGGTCGGCACCTACTCGGCCCAGTTCGGTTACCAAGACATCGACAGACTGTTTTTGTCCCGCGAATCTCATATCTCGGCCTAGTCCCCAACTGATACCCATTTGTTGTTTTTTGGTTCTTTTTCTATCGTCCCTTTCAACATCAGGGTCTTCGCATTACCGAGCGTATCGACCTATCTCGCCCATCCCGGCATCACCGGCTGCTCCTCCTCGCTGCGGTCCTCCAACCGGCTAGGGACATACAAACTTCGGCACGGTACATGACAACCGACGCAATTGGGGTACCCTGAATCGCCTGATCACACAGAATACCCGTTACTACGCTCCCACTGCCCCCACTCCAGATCCAACCCCCCCTGGAACCAACCCAGAGTCAGTCCAGGACCAACTCAACGGATTAAAACCCCCAAGCAACCCCGTTTTCTCTAGCCTTCACTCGGACGGAGTCCGCTATTAGTACTCTAGGTCGACCTGGCTGCTGCTCCTCCTGGTGTTGTATGTTCATGCAGAAAGGAGTCAACCCAGAGTCAAGACGATACCCCAGCTTGTGCACACATGCGCTTTCCACCACAACTCGGTCTGCTGAAGCTCAGCGCCTTTTTGAATTTGGTTCTGGAACGTTAGAGAGGAAACAGGAAAGCAGAGACCAAGGAAGAACGACGACGATAACGACGAGGACCACGACGACGACACAGTAATCCCATAATTCAGAATGTACCAACCCGAGCCGACGGCGTACCTTCAAGTGTCGACCGGGTATGCAATGCCGCACACGCTGCCCGAGTACACATTCGACGAGACGCCATTACGTCTAAGCGACGGCCGAGGCGGCTCGTCGATTGGGGCCGGGGGTAGCAGCAGCAGCAACGCCGCTGCAACGAGTGCCCTGTTGTACGGGACTCCGCTGTTCAGCAATACCAATAGCGCAGGAATCGGCCCCGCACCACCCACCAGCGGGTCCTCCACAGCGCCTGCGCCCGCCCACAGCCACACTTTCCACCACCAGCAACAGCAACAACATCACCAACACCCACCACAACAACACCGAACGAGAAACGTCGCTCGCACTGTCCCGTCCTCCGTGGCCGCTTCGTCTTCCCGCATCCACCAACACCCACACCAACAACATCACCGTGCCTCGCTACCAATACTGCTCAAGATGGAGCCGAACAGCGAGGACATCGCCGCGCAGGAAGCCGCGGCGCGGGAATACCAACAACATTTCGAGGTACGTGCCAATGGAAGATAACCTAGAAACGCGTCGTCACATCCATCAATCGTCGGCGTGTGCATTGGATGCATTCCATTTTCATTCAGTTACTCCTTCATTACCCTACCGTCACTCCGGTTCACAATTTCTTGCCTTGTTTCCATTCATTCTCATCTCACGTTCTGAAGACCCCGCTCACATTTCACTCACTCGACATAGGGACCCCTCATCGGCAAAAAGACGCCCAGCACGGCCATCGTCGAGGAATATGCAAAGGCCGACCCTATCTACGTGCAAAAGACCATGGTGCGTAGCTGGCTCTCTCCTGTTTACCGTGTGTTTACGCCCGCTGACCTCTTTTTGCTCTTAGGTCTTGCCGCAAACATATTCAGATTACCGGCCCGTCCAAGGGGACGGTAGCTGTGGTTGGCGGGGTAAGTAAAGTCCAACAACAACAACACCAACCACCAACAACCTATCACCGTTCAATGGTTTCGTTGCTATTGCCGTGCTAGACAGCCCGCTGACGATCCGTGACAGCGATTGGCTTCGGCTACTTCGAGGCCTTGATCAAAACCCGCAGCAAGGCCCGCATCGATGCGGAGCGCCAGCGTCTGGAGAGCCTCACCCCCGTCCTCGAGAACGTTGGCGGTTTCCCGTCCTACTTGCTCCAGGACTTTGTTGATGAGACCTTCTCGCTCTTGCAGAAGCTGGCCGACCTGGCCAATCACCCAGATCAAGCCATGTCGGCGCTTGAGGAGGTATTCAACACACCCGACGTCTCGAGCTGCATCCTTTATCATCTCCGCATGCTAGCCAGCTCGTACCTCAAGGGGAACCAGGACCAATACGCCGCCTTCGTCACCACCAACACCGGTGTCGAAGGGTATTGCAAAGAGGTGCTGGAGCATCACAACGTCGAGCTCGACCATCTCGGCTTAACCCTGCTCGTCAATGTGCTTCTCAGAGATGCCGGCTTCGTTCTCGAGGTGGCATACCTCGACAGGAGCCCTGGGTCTGAGGTCAACACCTACCGATTCCCTGAGGAGGCCAACGGCCGCCACCCGTCCGAGCTCGGCCCCATCATCCACCTCCTCTTCCGCCCAGACCATTACGACATCCTCTATATTCCCGAGCCAGTCGATCTGCAGGTCCACCGCGTCGCCAGCTTCTCACACCGGTACGAGATCGAAAACTCGCCCATGGCCGCCATGCACAATTTTGGCGGCCCCGTCAACATGGAAACCCTCGCCATGATCCCGGGCTTCGGCACCCCAACTCCGGGCAGCCTCGCAGCCGCACCTCCCATTCTTGACACTACCCCCTCCCCTCTTAGCGCATACAGCCCCAGCCCAGTATCACCCTGGGCCACGGCCCCACCACCCTACGCCGACCCCTTACAACAACAACAACATCAACATCAACAACACCACCAGCAACCCCCAACAGCTCCAATGCCGATCCCAATGCCGATGCCCGCCTCCTCAGCAGCAGCCGTGGCCGCCAACACCATGTCCCTAGCTGTATCCGCCCCACCACAGACCCACCCCTTGCGGTTCAGCGAGTACTGCCAGCTGCCCGAATATGTCGAGAACAACACATGGCGGGAACAGACGCTGCAAACGACGACGTTCAAGAACAGCCACTTCAACGTGGCGCACTACAACAACCCGAACTTCCAGCCGGAAGAGTATAAGCCCGAGTCCGACGACCATCATGATGCGCCGCCACGAGCGAGCACGAGGAAGAGGGGGAGTGTATAATCCTGGGGAAAAGATGACTAGGAGACTGGGTTACGTGATGGGGGCTTTCCTTAGTGTCAGTGGTCTTGAAGAGGGCTGGCTGTGCCAACCGGGATTCTACACGGGCGTGAAAAGGAAAAGCCGCTCGAGGGGAAAGGGCGAGTATGGCAAGAGGAAAGGGGACAGATGGGGCAAGGCAAAGGCGTTATCCGGCGTGCAGTCAGGAGGATTTAATTTGATGGGGCTATGAAGAGGAGTACCGGGGTTAGGAAAGGGAGAAAGAAGAAGGCGAAGATATTTCCGATTCTGTGTCTCCCTCCCAAGTTCACCTTATGGAGATATTTCCTCCATCCTATCCTGTCTTATCCTATCGGGTGTTATTTAGGGAACGAAACGAACGAACGATTTACCCATTGTCATCCCTCTCACTCTTACTCTTATTTCGTTGTTTACCTTTGCGTGGAGGGAGTTGGGTTTCTATTTCTTCTCTCTTGACTTCCTTGCTAAATTGCTGCTTTTTTATGACCATGTTTGATAAGAATCCCCGGAACCAGGCCGGGCCACTATCATTTTTTTACTTGCTCTGCTGTTCACTATGCACGGTGTTTTAGGGTCATTTCTCACTTTTAGTTTTCCTTATCTTTTTCACTCACTATCTTTACGTCCCGAACTGGGCAAGTAAAACAGGGGGAAACAGAACGGGGAAAAAAACAACACGGGAATAAACCACTCTTCCTTCGCTCCCCCAAGAACCCCCTTCAAACTCGAACACGCATACCTAGTACATACCCCCATGTGTCCTATCGCCCACCCATCCTGTAAGATGGCTCTGTAACGCATCTGCCCTGCCCTGCCCTGATTTCCGTTGCGTCCCTGCAGCGTGCGTGGGCGCGAGTATCCGCCGCTGCATGGCCGACCCACAACACTTACCACACAACCACAGGATGGAAAGGAGGGAGCCATGGGAGCCAAACGTTGAGCCAACCCCCCAAGCCCTCAGCGCTCTTCATCCACTCTTGTGCATAACGGATGTAGGGACATGACATCCCGACCCCCCATCTTGTTCTGGTCTATCCGTTGGCTGGTTACAGTTACATGTAGCCCGATAGTCGGGTGATTTTGAGTTGGGTTCGGTCGGTACTTTTTCTCTTCTTTATTTATTTCTTGCTATTTCTCACCCTCCGTATTGTTGTGTATGGTAGGTGGGTGTTGACTGGTGATTTCACATGACGGGGTCAACACGGAAGCGGAAAATCCCGCTAAGAACGGCGGAGGGACGATCTGAGGTTATGATCGACTAACGTTACCTAGCCACAGTGCAAAGCAGAGAGCTCCTGCTTGATTTAAGAGCCGGCCGACCTGGCTGGGCCGAGGCCGGGCCGGTGCGAGTGGAATGTGGGTCGGCAATGGGGGGTTCTTTCCGAAGGGGTATTTTGTCCTATGTAAATCAATTTTACATGCATCGAATGGATGGTCAACGTTCACCCGGACCAACCCCCGCGGGAAAGAGCCGTGGACGGTGAGAGGTTGGAGCGAGGGTGCTGCATGCAGGCATGCAGGCAGGGGAAGGAAGTGGGTATCTTGAATTTGTTGTTGATGGACCTGAAAGGCGAATGTTACTTTGATGTTTTTTTTTTTCATTATCTGAGCCTTGGCCTTTTTTTTTTCTGTGCTACCACACCGGCAAATTTTGGCCCAACCGTTAACTTGGTGTTGCCGCATTTCTTTTCTTGATTAGGGTTTGCCTTTGCTGCAGTAAAAGTCCCGCCTCGGTGGTAGTCCTCATGGATGAGCCATCAAATAATTAGGTAAACACATGAATACCTGAGAGAGTGAATGGTAAGAACACAGTCACCCCTGCTTGAGCACTGTTCTTCTCACGCAGACGGGACGTTCCAGCTTCCCCATTTCTGCCGTTTTCCTTGTTTCTTTCTTTTTCCACATGTTCAGCAAACGATGGCAACATGTGAGACATGCAGCATGCAACAGCGTCCAAGACAGCGTCGCCGGGAAGCAACAACAGCGTGCCGGCAGGTTGGAATCGCCACCGCGTCCACCTCCACTGGAAGCTAACGTTACCGTCCTGAGTGATCAACGTTATGCTAACTTAGTGGCTCCTTGATATGACCCCCTTGCCTGCCGGCAGATTCGGGGGCGAACCGAACAGAAAGCCACCCAACCGCAACACAACCAACAACCTGTCCGAAGACCATCGCGAGTGTTGATCCCGCTTTTCAGGACATTTTGTTTTTGTTCCACTTCTTCGTTTGTCTCTCTTGAACTACGCTATCTGTTTCTCCTCCGCCTTTATCTCCGCCTAAGACAGCCTAGAAGCCACAAGTTCGTCTGCATATGACTCGATACAGGATCCCCGGCAGGCAGCCTCGTCTTAGAAGGAACGGGTCTCAGACTTGCAGCACTCGCAGCCACAGCAGCACCAACCGTTGTCGTCAAGAAACGTTAAAGGAGGATGTGCATCGTGAAGAGTGTGATTCGGATATTGAAAAGCCACGCAACGAGGCTGAAACATGGGGGTGTGCGTGGCTCATGGAACTGCGTCCTATTCGATCCGGCCAACGTTCTCGTGTACAACGAGGGGGTAACATTAATGAAAATAGTGCGGGAATCACTCCTGCACTAGCTCAACCAACAAATCCCAAAACTTGAATGAATAGTGTTGAATGAAGGAAAGAGGGTGTGTTGTCTCGGGGCTCGTCTCCCTTCTCGCCTCTGTCTTCCGGGGGAGTGGCTCGTGAACCAGCCTAACCAACCAACCAGCCCGCGGTGGTAATTAATCGGCCGAACGAACAAACCCAACCAACTGGGCCTCACCTTGGAGGATTCGATCCGGGCCCAGAACTTGACTACGTCCACCGTTTCCACTCTGGCACTCAGTCCAATAATGCCGTCTTTCGTGATACTTTCGTATAATCATTAGGTAGGTACCCAAACAAACCCCCTAACCTTCTCTCCACTGTCAACGCTAGCTCGTAAAATTCAAGGGGTCTCTGTTCAACCGGTCAGTGACCGCCTGCGGAAGAAGTCAGCCGGTGAAGAACACATCTCCACGGAACCTCAAGAACTGGTGGCTAAATAACCACAAGTAGTTACCGCGTTACTAACACAGGACCGTAACATAACCCCCCAGCGGGGGCGACATCGGACGGACTTTTCCGTCTCGGCGACCTCGAAAACCTTGAATATTTATTTTTATTTTATTTCTGCACCCATTTTTCCCTGTTGCTATCCCCCCTGCTCGTCCGTAATGCTCGCCCGCCTATTGGATAACGTTTGGCAGTTTCGCGTATCGTCATGGCGGGAAACGGAACCCCACAAGCCACCTACCAGTCGCGCATCTGGGGAAGGGTTGCTTTGGCCAACGTTAGCGGGATGTCTGTTTGCTTGGCTTTGCTGTGATGTGTCGTTCGTTCCTTCTTCTCCGCGGGAGCGACACACTTTCGATCTACACTAGGAAAGGACGAGGAATCATCTCAGTTGTGTGGCTTGGCTCACTTGTCAGGGCCATGCAGTCCGTGCTTTTCCATCCCCCTGAAACTAAAAGCTTGAAGCGAGGTGAATGGAATTTGAGTGGGTGCCGTACCCCGGCTCCTTTGACCCGCCCCCCTGGTCGTGTTTTCGGTGAAGGGGTGAAAGGGGTCAGAGCTCGGGCCACATGGATGATGGGGGACCAGACCGTCGGGTACGATCTAATTATTGTTTGCTTGATCTCGGCTAGCGAGTTATTAGTTGGATATGTCCACGGCGAGTTTGTTCATACCCTAGACCATGGCTGTTTGTAGTAACGACACTTTGATCTCGTTTTCGTGATGAACGGCATCTCGCATCTGTCATCTCACACTAATGCGCCTCCTTGATCCGCTCCAGATAGCTTCTCTCCTCCTGCAGCTCATCATGCTCTCCGACTGCATCCGCCAACAACCCTTCCATCAACCGTATCACTTCCCCTTTGCCGGCGACCTCCACCCCCTCATCTCCCTCCTCAAGCCCGATGTGCCGAGCTAACTCACCGGCCCAAACACCGGCAACTTCCGCCTCTCTTGTGCTCTGCCCCTGGTGTCCTCCCGCCCCCTGCCGAAGCCGCAGCAACCGATCCACACTCTGCCCCCCACGTGCTGCCAGTTCATCAACGATAGATGTGACGCCGCGACCGGTCAAACCACACGCGACGAAGCGCGCCCACGGGTTGGTCCGTTCGTTCACGTCCTCTGGCCCAGGCATGTCCACGTTCAGTGCGGTGCCTAGTGCTGTGATATGTCGACGTAGGTGCACACCGAGTGCTGCAATCTTCGCCAGGCCATCTTCTCTGTCTCGCTCCTCTCTATCTCGCTGATGCTGCTGCTGCTGCTGTAGTCGCCGTACCCACACACCCGGGTCCTCCGTGGTAAAGGCCTCAATGCCGAACCCCTTGCCGAGTGTCCCGATCGTGGTCTCTTCCAGCAGGCGAGCGTAACACTTGACGCTAAAGGTGCGATAGGCACCGTGGAGCGGGTGCAAGTCGAGGATTGGCCAAAGGACGACCTGCCCTGGGCCGTGGTAGGTCGTTAACCCGCCGCGAGGAGAGTGGAGGAGGCGCGGGGTGGTGGAGATGGCTCCGGTGCTGTTGCTGCTAGTGCTGGCGTCATCTTGTTGTTGATGGTGATGATCTTGCGGGTGGATGGTCTGGTTTTCGTTTCCTCTTCGGGGACTGGTGAGCTGAGCTGAGGGAGCCGATGGAGTTGATGGTGATGGAGACGGCGATGACAAAGGTGAGATCAGCAGCGGCGCAGTCAAACGTGCGGCTTCGGCAGGGGTCAAGGGGGCGGTTTGGCGCCGACCAAGCGTGAAGATGGGGGCCGGCGTGAAGGAGATGAGGGTTGGTGGTGGTGGTGATGGTGGGGGCGAAGCATTGGAAGCGGAACTTGAAGACGACAAGGAATCCTTGAAGTCAAGATGCTGTCGGCGGAGTAGTTCCTGCACGCGGTTGGCGAGACTATAGGGGACATAGTGCGGGTGGATGCTGGGCAGATGCAGGTGCTGAAGGCGGAGCGGGGCCATGGCCGGCCGTTGACCCTCTTGGGGCCTTGGACTGGTAGCGACGCGGGAGGCCGCGTGTTGTGGAGGGGTTGATCGGGGGGTCCAGACAGGGGCAAAGCCAGGCGTCGGTGATCAAAAGGGGTGTCTGGGGTGTGTTGACGTGCCTGGAACCCGGAAATCGGTCGGCTGTCGGTCGAGGTCTGGATTGAGAGAGGGGTCCAAGCGGGTTTAGGATTGGCGTTCCTGGTTCTGTCTTCATCAGTCTGGGAGCTTCTCCTGGGTTGGGGTTGGATAATGACTGCCGGAGATGCGCACATCAGTCCTCCATCACATCGCAAGTGATTTGGTGGTCCAATGGATCTTATCCCTTTCACACCGAGTCCCACTTGGTTTCTCTTTTTTTTTCTTCTCTCAATTTTCTCCCCCTTCTTCCAGGTTTTGTTTCTCACCTTTCGTCTCGCCTTGTTTTTTCCCCGCCCCGGGGGATGGCGCCACGCAGCCGAGTGTCTTAGTAAACGCAGTCGAAGAACCCGGATTCCGGGTTTGGAAAGCTTGGATGCGCTAAATCCAATTATCCAATCGTGCGCACAGTCAACAGGACGGGAGTGTGGAAATTCGGCTTCTGCCGACCTGTGGGCTGCGGTCGCTGGTCCGTCGTCGTCGTCGTTTGTTAGTGGACACTCCTGTCGTCCTTGGAAAGGACGTTGATTAGCTTCTCATAACGCGACAGTCATATTTCTTTTCCTGCCCTGATCCTGGGTATGTCTGACCCGCCCGTCCGTCCCGCTTTCCGTTGCAAACTGACGGGCGGAGCCATCGTCCGTGCCCATTCCCACATCGACTCCCCCATCGCTCTTTCTCCTTCCCACCCCCTCCATGCTTTGTTGCGCACAGTGGAGTCCAAAAGAGAGAGCTGAGAATTTCCTCTGTCAGAAAACCCACAAACCCAACCTCCTGAAGCTCACGAGAGATTGAGGGAAGGTTTTCAGAAAAAAATGATTCGAGATCCCGGACAACAACCGAGAAGTTCAGATTTGCCCAGACGGAACGCAGGAAGCGGGAAAAGGATCATGGGCCCCACAGCGGCAGAGGCCGCATCAAACGAAAAAGGCATGCATGTCGGAGGCTCTCAGGAAAGGTCGAAGACTCGAAAGGGTAGGCGGGGCTTGGCATTGCGCTGGGGAAGCCAACCCCAGGCTTCATTTCCCGCACCTATCATGTTACAAGGCGTTTGACGCAGTTGAGGAAATTCTCCACTAAGAGCTTTGGCGATGAAGAAACTGAGGGGCCATGAGGTTGCACTGCGCGGGGCACTTCTCGCCAAAAACCTCCTTCCCCAGACTTAGTGTACTAGTCGTTGCCATGCGTTTCCCACGCGAAGCGAATCCTTCGTCTCACAAGTGCGATGGAGAGAGGGGGTCCGTGACAACTGACAAACAACGTTGGGGAGAGGACGGCCTGTTGCTCTTGATCTCGGGTCCCGCGGAACACCAGAGGCCATGAATTATTATGCCGTCTGACCCGGAGAAGGATGTCCGAAGACGAAGAAGGATCAAAAAAGAAACCACAATATCACCCCCAGCCAAAAATAAGTTTTGGGGAAACAGCAGGACCTCACTAACTAACAACATAGTAGTAACTAACCATTTCCCCGCGATTGTTGGGTTTCGTCCCGGTTCAGGGTCTAGCCGATTACCGATGACGAGATTGGGCCGGTCGGCAGGAGTCAAGCCGGTTCGCTAAACGGGACCGAATGGGATGCGGGGTGAAGCCACGGGCCATTGTCGTGAGGGAGTAGGAGGTTGAAGAAGAACAAGACCCAAACGGGCCGCGGCGGGGTGTCCCGTCAGCTTACTCCCGTCCCTATGGATTGGCTTGGGCATCTTACTATGTACGCTGCAGCAGCGGGAACGAGACACCTGCCTTTCAAGGAGAGCGATGCGAGTGGTTTGGGTTATTGCTGCTCGCTGCTGCGTTGAGAGAGCAGAAGGGGTGTCAACACACCCTTGGCCGAATGTTGAACGGTTTCTTGAACGGTGGACAACGACCCGATTTCTTCTCTCGGGCCAGACTCCGACCTGCGTGAAGGCCCCTTCAGGTAGAGTGAGATGATGGTTGTGTGATACAACAGAGTTGGTGCTCGAACTATCGGAGAAGGATACCGATGGGGCAAGCATCGTGACAAGCTTAGAGTTAGAACGCCGCCTGTATGATTCGAGACAACAGTAACCGCCAGATTGTGAGATTTTTTACGCCGTTGTGACCCCTATTGTACACCGATACACATACCATCATATGTTATTCATACACATCATTCCACCGTCCTACAACCCGCCCTTCTTCCGCATAAAATCCCTATACTCCGGATCCTCCTCCTCTTCCATCTTATCCGCCCCCAATTCCTTCATAATATCATCCAACTTGACCCTCCTCCCACCCTTCGTCCTCCTCTCCGCCTGCCTCGAGCCAGGCTTCACCCTCTCACTCGCGCCCTGCATACCGTACCGCGGGTCCACCTTGATATCAATAACCCTCTCCTTATTCTTGCCCCGTGACTTCCCGCCAGCCTCGGCCGCCGCAGCACGCGACCGCACACCGCCATCGCCAGTATCTACGCCGGCTTTCCCGAGGCGTACGGCGCGTGTGGTGCGTGTCTTGGCGCCGAGTGCCCAGAGGTCGCCCCATGCGGACTTGCGCGCGTCGTGGTAGGCTTGCTTCGAGAAGGATTTGGGCACCACCCAACGCTCGATGTTGCCGGCGGGCGTGCACATGTCAAAGGTGATGTGTCCGTGGCGCTTGAGCGGGGGAAGGATGGCACGTGGGAGAGAGAGGGGGTGTGGGGCGAGTGATGATGATGATGCTGATGCTGATGAGGGTGAGAGCGAGGATGAATTGTCTTCATAGCCGGCAAAAGCCTTGTCAGCGGCCTCTTTGCCTTGTAAGAAACCCGTTGGGTCTGGCCGGGCGCCACGCCGAACAGCGACGTAGCTGAAGTCGATGTCCTCGTGGTTGTGATGGGTTGCGTTGAGAACCTTCTGCAGGAAGGGGGGCCGGATAAACCGCTGACTGAAGTGGCAGAAGTCTTTGCGGCCCGGAGTGAGGCCCGGAGCCAAATACATGGGACACTTGCCGTGGTTGGTACACGGGGCAATGATCATGCCGGGCTCTCGGACGCGCTCATCCTCGGATTGCAACTGCTCGTCCTGTTTATGTTCCTGCGGCGTGGGCGGGATGATGAACTCGTCCAGAACGCGATCACGCACGTTGGCGACCGCCTCAAAACCGCGGGGGTGACCCTTTTCCATAACAATCAACACACCGCCCTGGGGGTTAAGCATGGTCCACAAGTTGTCGAGCAAGTCCTTGCGCTTCCATTCTTTATCAATAGCCATCAGCTGGTGCGAGGCGATAATGACATCGAAGACCTTGCGCGGGGCCGGTCCGCCGCCCGAGTCGAGCTTCCGCTCGCCGCCCTCAATGGAATGGAGGTAGTCCGGCAGACGTGGGAGGAATGTCGTGTCATCCAAAAAGCGTGAGACACGTTGCCGAAGATTCTCCGAGCCCACCACAACCGTCTTCTTCCCGGGAGGCTTCCGCCCCTCGACCGTTCCGTTCTCGCGGAGAATGTCCCATTCGGCCTGCAGCACAGCCTCCCATGCCGCTAGCCCAGCGCCGCCGGCACCAACATCAAGAACGCGAGGGCCAGCACCGTCGGGCCGAGCAAGCATTTCCCGAATCCACCCTTCGCCGAGACGCTTCCGCACCTCGACTAGGATACTCGTGGAAGTTGCATACAGGCCCGGAAGCACGGTGGCCAGGTAGGTATCTGCCTCAATTTGAGACATCCGATGGTGGCCGGCTTCCATAGCGACTCCTTTCTGCGGGTAGTTGGTCCTAAGTTTGGGAGTGCCCGGGCCATGGGGCAACATGGGTCCTCCTAACATGCGTTCGGCCGCCTCCGCGACGTGCGTCGGGTCAGTCCTGCCCAGCAATTCGGTAATGGGTTGGACAAAATTCTGCTTGGGAAGATACAGCGTTCTCGGCGTCGTCTTGAACTGGCCCAACATGGTGTACTCGTGCACCCGCGTGCCGGCATATTCCTCTTCCATGAGCTCAAGATCCATCTCCTGCTCGGCTTCGACGAACTCTTCCTGCGCGGTCTCGTTCTCGGCCTTCTCAATAGCCCGCTGCTCCTCCGCTTCCTCTTCCTGTCTGATCCTTTCCTCCTCGAGCGCTTTCTCCTCAAGAGCCCGCTGCGAGGCGACCTCAAAGTCACGTTGTAACTTTATCAGCACGTCATACTCGCGCTGGTTGTTGGCTGGCACACTGAGATATTCCGTCTGGCCGTCAGCGGCCGGCTCGAACTCGCCAGCTGCCTCGTAGTCCGCATCAAGGGCCACATCCACCTGGCCATCCTCCCCGAGATCTAACACGGTTTCCTCTATCTCTCCTTCTACCTCTCCTTCCAATTGTTCTGGTAGAATGGCAGTCGACTGATCAAAGGTGTATTCGACCTCCTCCATTGTTCCATACTCCGTCTCTTGCAGCAACACAGGCTGATCCTCATCACCTTGTGGCCTGAGCGATATCCCTACATCCTCCGGTGTGGTTGGGTGCAAAGGTGGCCCGTATAACCTCTCGTAAACTTTGTATTCCTCGGGTGTCAGGTAGTCGGGCGGCAATGAGTTGCCAAATGTCTGCTTTGCCTGGCGCACAATCGTCTCGATTTCCTCGGGTGTTGGCTTGGTCTCAGTCGGTTCGGTGCCTTCCACTTTAGTACCTTCCACAGGCTCCTGTCCAAGCTCGGTATTTCCCACAGCCTCTTGTCTGGGTTCCGTATCTTCCACAGTCTCCCGTGTAGGCTCGGAATTCGTCACAGGCTCCTGCCGAACAGGCACGGTTGTCGAGAATTGCCTGGCCGAGCTGCCGTGCCAGGGACGAGCAGCAGCACTAGCAGCAGCAGCAGCAGCGGGGGACGCCTTGGAGGGGCCATGCAGTCGCGCGCGCATAAATTGCTGGCCTGCAGGCCTCCCTCGTGGCAGCAAAAGAGCATCATAGAAGCTCAAAAGCTGGGCCCGGCACCCAGGGCACCGGTTCTGCATTTTGCCAACCGAAATCATGGTTTCCACCGGTGTTTGGTGCTGTGCAGAGATTTGATGTGGGAGGCAAAGAAGGCAGTTTCACAAAAAGTCAATCGCAGTCGGGAGACCCTTCCGCCCAGATCCCTGCACGATGTGGGGTATCTGAAGTACAACACAACCTATCAAACTTCGGCCAATTCTCACCACCAGACATCAATGGAATGGGACGAAGGTCCGAAGACATTGAATACCAGAGGAATACACGTACACTCCGATAAAGAGATGGTCTCACACTCGCAAAAGTATTGACAATAGTTTGATAATATCCAACCCAAAACGCCAAGAACTCCCGTCTGACCCTACTACATACCTAACTGACCCATCATGAACTGCTCACATCGGCCATTGTCCCAAACCGAGGGCGCGGCGCGCCAGACCCGCCGAGCCTTGTCCCGCCCGTCGTTCCGGGCCTTCCTGCTAACGGGTTGTGGCCCCGAGCAAACGGCGAGCTCTCGGCAGCCTTGTAAGGGTCGAGCTGTAATGACATGTTAGCATAGCCCTCTCACACACCCCGGGATAGCTAGCCCTCGACGTAACAACAGAGGAAACCAAAAATCCAACACTCACCGAAAAGAGCGTCCAAAAGTACATCCCAAAGAAGGCAACCAGCCCATTCAAAAACGCGCCCAAATCCGGTCTCGCCAACGCGCGCGACCCCGAAGCAGCCGCCGCCGTTGGCCTCCCCACCCCGCTCCCACCAAGCCTCTGTCCAACCCCCGAAAACATCGCGCCACTACCCGCCCCAGGTCCAGCCAGCTTGGCAGCCTTCTCAACGGCCGCGGTCAGCGCAGGCGGGTTAGCGCCGCGGATGGTCTCGATGACGGAGCCGTTGCGCAGGACTAGGAAGGTGGGCATGGCGCTCACGCCGTACTGCTGGGCGACCTCGGTCTGGTTGTCGACGTCGACCTTGCAGAAGGCGATGCGGTTCGGTTTGGCGTATTTGGTCGCGAGGGATTCGAAGGTCGGCGCGATCATCTTGCATGGGCCGCACCAATCGGCGTAGACTAGGTAGGAAGAGGGGTGGTGAGTACTTGTTCGGTTGTGATTTGATACTTCGTACGAGACGCGATGCGTCGAAGAATGGGACTTACAGTCAGCGACGACGATGCTGTGGGAGCCGAGGGTTTGGCGCCATTGCGCCAGCGAGCCGATGCTGGTTGGCATGATTGCGGGTTTGGAAAATCGAAAGGGTGACGAGGGTCGATGGATGGCTAGGACAACGAGGTTAAAATGGGATGGGATGCTTTCACGTTGCGAATGCGATTGTCAGCACTCCGAAGTTCCGGAATGCGCAACAGGCAGCCTGGAGACTTGGCCAGATCGGCGTTTTCGAGAACCAGGGTTAGGGTTGATACAGGCCTGCCCCGCAATTCGGCCCCACTGCATTGACCCCTACCCTTGTCGAAACTCTTGAAGGCGGTCAATTTTTGTGAAATTCTGCCAATTGAAGCCAAAACTTCAAGAACCTTCACGACCAAGCACCAGGCTGGGCTGCAATTTAGGCCTTTCTTTCCGATCTGCCGTTGTTGAATTGACTTTCCAACATGCCGGGACCGTACGATCATCAATCAAAAGTGAGTTTCCATGAGCTACCGGTTCTTCAACGTATCTCTGGTTTTCTTTAGATACGGAAAAGAAACAAAGCACACAGCTCATGGGAGGTGGTTTTCAACGGCACGCTTCCTGAAACCCTGATTATTCGTTGATCTTTTTGTCTCTTTCATTCTTTATGAGGCTACATTAATCTCAACTCATTCAACCGTCGTCCCATATACCATCCCGGATCCCCTCGCTAACAGCCGTTAGAAACGTCGCCTTGACACCGAAGACGATGGGGGGGATGCATCAAACTTCAGAGCGCCGGCCCGCTTCCGGCCAACCATCCCCAGAGAGTGGACCATATCGATTGCGGTTCCTACCAGCTTGATCACAGAGTAAATCCCGTCTCGCCATCTCCCATCCGCCGTCCTCCTTCCAACCCCTCGCTGACCCCCCTAACAGCTGCGTAACACGGGAGCAACGGACCACCAACGTCGGCCGCGTCGCACGCGCCATGGCTATCTTCTCCGTCGATGAAGTGGTAGTCTACGATGACAGCCCGACAGACAAGCGCATCACCAACGCCGACCCAGACGCCTACACGGGCGATGTCGACCCGGCGCACTTTATGGAACACATCCTCACCTACCTCGAGACCCCGCCGTTCATGCGCAAAGTCCTGTTTCCGATACACCCGAACTTGCGGTCCCAGGGTCTTCTACCGAGTCTTGACATGCCGCATCACCCTCATAAGGACGAATGGCTTCCGTATCGCGAGGGGATGACGTTGGAGGTGCCACCAAAAGGTGGGAAAGGGTGAGTTTCTTTCTTTTGTACCTTTCAGGCGCAGAACTAGTTATTTACTAACAGCTCGGGCACTCAGCACCGTCGTTGACATCGGCATGCCCCAAACCGTGACCGTGACCGAGTCCATCCCGCCCAAGACCCGCGTAACCCTCCGCATGCCCGACGAGCCACAAAGCGGAACCGCCGAGCCGATCCACCCAACAGCGCCGCGCACGGAAGCCGGCTACTTCTGGGGCTTCAGCGTGCGCAAGGCGAGCTCCCTGTCCGCAGTGCTGACCGAGAGCCCGTACGAGGACGGCTACGACATGAGCATCGGGACGTCAGAGCGCGGGCTGCCGCTATCGCGCGCGTTTCCGGACTACGAGCAGGCCAACTTCAACCATCTCATTGTGATTTTTGGCGGGCCGCGTGGGTTGGAGTACGCGGCCATGAATGATCCGCAGCTGGGGGAGATGGGGATTGCTGGGGCCCGGACGAAGGAGCTGTTTGATCACTGGGTGAATGTGTTGCCGAACCAGGGCACGAGGGGGATTAAGACGGACGAAGCACTGTTGATAGCCATGACCGGGTTGAGGAGGCTGTGGGAGAGCAGCTGATTGGGGGTTTGTCTTGAGATTGACCGGCGTCTTCGGCGTATAATTTTCAATGCATTATGGCGGGGGAAAACTTCTTGTTTATTCCCGGGCTCGGATACCTTTTTCTCGCTCCTTTTGATGGCCGGCCGGGTTTTCTTTGCAGTCAACCAACCTGTGTCATATTCCGTTCCGGAGCTCTCTTCGGTCCCGTAGAGTTTCCTTCCTAGCCGGGTTGCTCTGCTAGGACGCATTGATATCCACGAAAGACACCACCACAATCGTGGATCAGGATGTAGGGCCGAGAGAAACGATGCAATGCGCGGTCGGCATAGAACCACGCCCAACTTCGTTCATGGATGGATCACCCCATGGTTGGTCCTAACCCCGCAAAAAATGCCGTGACGAAGCGTGCGCGCGCGTCGCTAACGAGGAATGGATGCCTGGCCCGTCCCGTGCCCTGTTGTTCTGTGTATCTTGAAACGCAAGCCCCATGCCATGTCAGCCGCCATCGACACCCCCAAGCTAAGACCCAAGACAGCACCACCCACCCACCAAGACAAGACGCCCGTCGATCCGGTCGATGGGGAACCAGGCCAGCGGTCTTGGCCCAGCCCAAACAACTCAACCACAACCCTGGTCATCACATCACACGGCGTTGCACGTGAAGGAAGGACCATGCAGGCTGAGAAGCGGTGTTACTTCCTTCAGGACCCGGCATGGATGTGTGTGTGTCTGGGTGGGTGTGTGAGAGAGACAGTGTGGTGTGGTTGGGTTAAGTGCGGCCCCCAACTTTGCGAAAAACATCCACTCAGACGTCCGTATAGGTCCATAACCCATAACCCAGACCCATGGTGAAGGAATCTTGATATGTAAAAAAATGCTTACCCATGCTCAGACACTACACCCTCTTTCTCAACTCTTTGAAACGGAACCTCGCCGAGGGAAGGGGTTCAAATCCCTCCCGTGCATTCGGTCCTTGCGTCCGTTTTGAAAGCAAAGAAGCGGGTTTAAAGCAAGGGTTGAAGCGGGGTGGGCAAGGTGGGTATCAAGAAAACACAACAGGGCTACGAAGTGAAAGATAACTCGGAAAATAATCGTTAGAATTCATGAGTGAGATGCAGGTCAAGCGGGAAAGAAAAAGGCCGCCTCATTCCCAGCGGCCCAGGGGAAAGCGGCCCGACCTCCCGACAGGGGATTCGCTTCTCGCTTACACCGTCGAGGTCGTTTTTAGAGGGACTTCAATCTGGTCTGGATGCTGCTTCAGTTGAAGGATAATCGTAATTTTGTCTGTTGTTGCCATTGTTGATTCTCGTGTTCTCGCCTGATGGCCGAGCCGCCGCTTGAACAGAGGCCAAATCCGTTCGTCCGGGCTGTCTCGGCTGTTGGATGCTCAAAAGTGCAAATAGCTGACATTTCGGCCCGCTTCGAGCTGGGCTGATCGCCTTTGTTGGCCAAAACAGCTGGGGAATCCCAAAACGTACGAACCTCCGAAACCAATGTTCGCATTTTGACGGAATAACACAGTGCTGCAGTTATGGAATTATCGGACTTGATATTCCGAGGCGGTACTTGAGGGTACATCTCTGCTGACACGACCTGGTACCACCATGCCATTGGCGACAATGGGCAACAACCTTGGAAGCAGTGCAGTTTCTCACCAAGTGCGAGCGCACCCTCTTAGCATCCATCACCATTAACGTTATTAGTTATCGCATCGCAGCTTACACCTACTTGGCAAACCCGACCCGACCCTGCCCGTAGATAACCGCTCCCAATAAACGTATCCTGTTCTAGCGCTACTGTGGCAATGGACTCATGCTGACGATCAGTCTTGCCTCGTTTGTGTGCAAAACCGGCTAGATCTTTGTGCGTCGTGATCGATCATCCTCCCTTTTCTGACCACCCTCTTTTCCTGGAAACTCTCCGTTTCCCTTCTCCTTCCCTCCCGCTCTTCTTCTCTCCAAATTTTCGGCAAAGAGCCGAAGAGGAGGGGCGCACGAAGCAAAAAAAAAGAAAATTGGAGTTGAATCCTGCTGTGCTCCCCCAAGGTGGTGTTGCGAGAAACCACCCCCCTCTAAGTAAGGGTGTGGTTCCATCCGGCTAGGCTATTTGGGAACTTTGGCTCGCTGCCGGGCAGAATGGGCAACGACCTCGTCCGTTTTCCGAGCCGTCGGGCGGTGTGACGATGATGCGAGAGCGAGTTCATTTCTGGCCCCCAAAAAAGAACAGGGCCTGCCGTGGAGCCGATGTTCAGGGGTCTTCAGTCTGTCGCTTATCGGCTGAAGAATGTCAGGAACTTGTGTTGAGCGATCTTTTGGCCCTGTGCCGCAGCCCGCAGGCGTGCCGACCACTCTTGATGGAGCGGCGCAGCGCCTTCCTGGGACCGTCTGACGTGCGTCTGTTCCGTTGAAAAGCTGGGGATGTGTTGGGGCCGGGGCCACGGGGGGTGTGAGGGGTGTGATCCTGGAGTTCTGGGCTTTGGGGATCGACGGTGGTTGAACCTCTCCGTTGGGTTGGGAAAAAAAGGCTGGGCAAGATGTGCCTCTGCGGCACAGTATCGTGTCATGTGTTCTGGCACGGGGTGCAGGGGATGACTTCCTTGGAGCCTTGGGACGTGTGTAGGGCGGTGGCGCGGGCATACGCAAGGCAGGGAAGGTGCTATTATCAAGAAGGAGGACGATGGTGATTGGCAAAATTGATTAACTGACTGCATGATCTCTTCTTGACTGCAGAATAAGGCGGGGTCGGAATCCATTCTGCCGTGGCGTTGGTGGGTGAAGACGGGTCTAGTCGACTTTTGGGATCGTTTTCGGTGTCTCAGTTCGCGGAGTTCGGGACATCTGTTTCGGGGCATTCCAAAATGTTTCTGGAAGGAGAAACAAGCCCAAGGTGACCAACACACACGGGCCGGACGTTTGTCAGTTTTATCGCACTTAGCTTACGAAGTACACCAGGCCAACAAATTATGGAAGGGAATGCGAGACCGCAAGAAAAATATCCCTACACTACACTACATCGTAAAAAGAGTTCTGGGCGAGCCAAACCAGGGTGTCAAATACGAGCTCTGCTCCTGGTGTCGATCACTTAGCACTAGATACGAATACACTATCCGTACACTACATAGTATTCGTCCACTACACCGTTAGCGGAGAAAATAAACGAGACGAGTACAACGACCAGGGTACGGGTATTTACCATGTAGATTGGAAGATGCTACGGAGTACGAGGTACTATGTAGTTTTGTTCTTTGACCCGGGCGATGACCCCATTTTGGTTGTCTAATCGACCAAGAAAAGGGGTGTAAACAAAACAAACGCCAAGATAATGTTGAAAGTTACCTGTCTTTTACAATTAACAAGACTTGTTGACCGCAAACCCCAACAGTGCCCGGGAAATATGCTACATAGTAAATAAAGAACGGCTCATTTGGTTCCAATAGTGTCAATAGTATGTATTTGTATCGAAGAAACTGTTGGCAGCTCTAGAGTCTCCTTGTTGTCAAGTAACCTTGTTTAGGCCAGTCGCTGAGAGTGAGCCTCTTTATTCAACAACAGCAACTTTCTCAGCGAATAGTTGCCACCGCTCTCATCATAGAATGCAAAGTATTTGCGGTCTATGGGACTGATGATACCTGATGCCACTGGCAAACCACAGATCTTGAGTCATATTGAAAGAGAGAGGAGAACATCGCAGGGTACATACAAGTCGGGGACTATGAGAAAAGGATATCCGGACAACGAAGACAAGAAAACAAACCTGTAACGTCCAAAACATAGTCTCCAGAAGCACCATTGCTCAACAACACAATGATTTGAAAGGATTCCGTAGGTGATTGGAAATGGAATGTCATAGAAGGTTCTGGGGATAGGGACCGGGAGTTCACTAGAATCGAGATGCAGCGGGATGACCTCACTGTGGCCCGCTACTTCCTCCTGACCATCTTTGTCGACCACCACTTGGATGCGATATTGAAGGGGGACGCAAAACACTGGGAAAGGCAGCAAATAACTGTGTTAATGGAGTGAAGAGTAAGACGTATTTGCGGGAAAAGAAAATAAAGCCGGCAAAATCCACTGAGCGAGGGATATCAAAAGCCTTGACCAACCCGCCGAAACCAACCAGAGTTATATCTCACCGCTAGCCAAACAGACATGGAATGAACATAGAATATCTATCACATTGAGGAGCAATATTAATTTGATAAAAAGTCAAAAAGCTCACTGACTAGCCACACGTCTCGCTAATGTGGGTAGTCAGCTACGAAAACCCCCTGGTGGGGGGGTTTTACTTCGCGGTCGGTTTGGCGGGCGAGAACTGCAGGCACCGCTGCCTACTACTTCGACCTGGATTCGAACCCACAACCTCCCGAAGAAGGCGTGAGTAAGAACCCAGGTCCCGGGTACCGACCTCCTTACCACTCAGCTAAGTTGCCTTTCGCTTTGTGGGGGAGGTCGGTGACTGTGAGGGCGTTGGACCTAATACATATACCCTCTTCCTTCCTGCTGCCAGTCTACCTGCCTGCACCGCTGCATGACCACCCATTCTTGCCGGCTTGCCAGCCTGCCCGCCCAAACACGCACGCCTTCCCCGCTGCCCAACTTAATGAAGTCATCGCCATTGTCGTTGCTGCCATAGCTGCCACTATTCCCGACGCGATTTCCCGAACCCCATTTACCAATGCCAGCACCACTCATTCCATTCATGCACGCAACGACCAAAAAAACAGCAACCGCCGGCGTCAGCCATCCGCCCTGGACACAATCAAAACCTCATATGCCCCGCCTTCGCCTTCTCTCCACCCAACACACCCCCCAACACCATCGCCTTCTTCCCCTTTCCACCCACAAACAACGCATCCGCCGTCACATTCACCGCCCCAGTCACCGCGTCCTCCACCTGCGCCACAACCCAACACTTGTAATGCCTCTTCCCGCGCTCCTCCTCGGGCAATTCCTCCTCCCTCTTCACCCGTACCCGCACCACATAAAACCCATTCGCCATCGTAACCTTCTTATACTCCAACCCCAACTTCGCCGTCATACCCGCCCTTCCACCCCACTCCTTATCCTTAAACGCCGCGCGTCCGCAGCTCTCATCCAAGATCGTCGCCAGACACCCGCCATGCACAACCCCCGGCCACCCCGTCGTCGCGGGACCAAAGAAAATCACACTAACCAGCTCGCCCGTGGCCTTATTCCAGAATACCTTCTGATACCCGCCCACGCCGCGCGACCCGGCCAGCGCGCCGGCCGAGATGTGCTGCGCGCGCTGCTCGGGCGAGAGGGATTCGTAGGCGTCCCAGGACTCGTACTCGCCGGCTGCGACGCCTGCGGTGAGGAGTTGGACGACGGGAAGTTTGGCGGCTTGGTCGTGGAGCACGCGGGTTGTGTAGGCGTCTTCTTCGGTGTGCGGTTCCGGAGGGGTCGGGGGGGAGAGGAGGAGGCGGGCGGATGTGCCGGCTGAGAGACCGAGGATTGTGCAGCCGATGGCGAGGAGGATGCTGGGGAGGCGCCACCGGGAGGGTGGTTTTTGTGGGTTTGGGGTTTGTTGTTGGTTGGGTTGTGGTTCTGGTTGTGAGGGCGTGGGCGGGTGTGATACGGGCTCTGTTGTTGCTGCTGTTGTTGTTGTTGTTGTTGTTGTTGTTGAGCTGAGAGGGCCGGCGGGTTGTTCTGAAGGGTGTGGGTGTTGTGGTTGTTTCAGTTCTTGTCGTACGATCGAGGAGGTCGAAAGGGACTGGGCAAACGGTATCGGCGTCGTAGTTCTCGAAGTCGCAACCAGGCGTGTAGAGAGAGTCGGCGCGGCCCACGGGCTAGAGGCAACCCTCACCAGTTGACGGTATGGTATCCTCGGAACCATGGCGGGCGGGTTGTGAATATTTCCGCAGCTTGAGGTGAGACAATGAGGCTCGCGAGTGTAGAATTTGTCTGGTTTGAAGAGGTTGACGTCGTTTCTCGGCCAGCCTCGGCACCAAACCCCGAGGTTTGTCCAATTGGCCGGTTTTCGGACGTTCCTGCAGGCACAGGGTCCTGTGGGTCGCTTCGGCTCAGGGATCCACCCAGTGGTGTAAGTCGCAGGGAAGGAGCTTGTTCGTGATCTTGCCCTCGTCCCTTCTTAGTCTTTGTTTTAATACTTGCTCTTCTCGTTCTGTAGTCCCTTGATTGCTTACTCACAATGGATAAGTCTTTCCTCAAAAAGCTTGTTGGGCGAGACCTTTGAAGGCTGGGGCAGGGGGAAAAAAAACAGATGAAGTGGACGAGACAACCGGAAGCACATCACCCTATTTTCAAGGGCTGGGTGTTTCCATTTCGTAACATTGTTATGCCAGCTCTATCGCATGGAAAGGCCATTCCTAATGCCCAAAATCAAACCATGACCTAGACCAGCCAAGGTGTTGACCACACTAGAGTCGTAAAAAGGTATTCATATATCCAGCGCCTAGTTCATCATTCCGCTGTCTCGCCCTCGGCATCTTCAAATACCACCAGTACCGTTCCAGCCTTGCAGATATCCTGCGTTTGCGTTAGCATAAAAGCCTTAGACAACGGGTATTTATGAGTTACTTACCCCTTCCTTATGCGCCAACTTCTTAACAACGCCCTTTTGCGGTGAGCGGATGACCGTCTCCATCTTCATGGACTCGATGCTGTAGCCGAGATTAGAATTGTGACAAGACTAGAAAAAAAAGAGCGGAAAGGCAAAAAAAAGAAAAGGTAAGAAAACTCACACAACCAAAGGCGCTCCCTTTTCCACCGCCTCGCCCTCACCAACCTCATTGCGCAAAATCTTACACGGCATCGGCGCCACCACGCTGCCCACGACCTCCTTCAGTCCCAGCGCCTTCTCAAACCACGCCGGGTTGACCAGCTCCAGCTCCGTCTTCTCGCCCAGTTGGAAGATAGTCAACTTCTCCGGGTTGGCCGGGTCTTGAACCACTATTGACTCGACTCGGGCAAGGGGGAGGTGAGATGTTATTTTTGTTGTTGTTGTTGTTGGTGCTGACTTGGATATGAGCGCGGTGGAGGATGAGGAGGGAGAAGATGACGGCCGGGAGATGACATTCTCAAACACCACTGGCGTTTGACTGCCATTCCGCGCAACCGACACGCTGTAGCGCCCGTCTCCTTGTTGGGCGACGTCCACCTTAGCCACCTCTGGCTCACTGCCCTCCTCCGCAGGGGCGTCGTTGCGGACTTGTAGAGTAAACTGGCGTCGTGTCTGCAACCCCTGCTCGCCGAACCCGAGTGTGCCCCCGTGTGGCCCCGGTGCGACGTTGCTGTGGGTATTGGATTGGATGAGTAGACCAAGTGCAGCCTGGGCAAAGACCTCATCTGCAACGGGCTTGGGCTTGAATAGCTCGTCGCGCCACTGGTCGATGAAGCCGGTCTCAACATCGCCCGCGACAAAGGCCGGGCTGCGGCACAAGCGCTTGAGGAACTCGATGTTGGTGCTCAGACCGACAACCTCATATTCGCGCAAGGCGAGCTCCATGCGGCGGATCGCTGTCTCACGATCGCGGCCCCGAACGATCAGCTTAGCGATCATGCCATCATACGCCTCCGACACGGTGTCGCCCTGGACGAAGCCGGCATCAATGCGCACGTCAGCGCTGGTGGGTGGTGTAACCAGGTGGATGAGCTTGCCCGAGTCGGGGAAGAAGCCCTTGTCCGGGTTCTCGGCGTAGATACGGGCCTCGATGGCCGCACCGCGCTCAAGGATGCGGGCCTCGATTTGGTCCTGCGTCAGGGGGAGATGTTCACCAGCGGCCACGCGGAACTGCCATTCCACCAAGTCCGTGCCAGTGACCATCTCGCTGACCGGGTGCTCGACCTGCAAGCGTGTGTTCATCTCCATGAAGTAGAACTCGCCCGTGTCCTTGTCGAGGATGAACTCGACTGTGCCCGCTCCGACATAACCGACGGCCAGCGCCGCTGTCCGCGCCTTATCCCAGAGATCGTGCCGTGTGGCATCGTCCAGGAGCGGCGCCGGGCTCTCCTCGAGAATCTTCTGATGCCGGCGTTGCACGGAACAGTCTCGCTCGCCAAGAGCGACACAGTTCCCGTACTTGTCCGCAAACACCTGAACTTCAACATGCCTCGGCCGCACCACGTACTTTTCCACCAGCATCACCTCTCCACCATCTCCAAAGCTCGCCCGCGCTTCGGCCCGAGCACTCCGCAGCTGTGCCTCAAACTCCTCGTCTGTCTTCACAATCCGCATACCCTTACCACCCCCTCCCTTCACACTCTTCAACAACACGGGGTACTTGATCTCTTGCGCCCTCGCCCGCAACTGCGCCGGCGTCTGCTCAGGCCCATGGTACCCCGGCACGCACGGCACGCCCGCAGCCGTCATGATCTCCTTACTCCTCGCCTTATCGCCCATATCCGCCATCGCCGTCGCAGGCGGGCCCACAAACACGATCCCGGCCTCCTCGCACGCCCGCGCAAACGCCGCGTTCTCCGACAGGAACCCGTATCCCGGGTGCAGCGCCTGGATGCCGTGCTGCTGGGCCAGCTGGACGATGCGGGGACCGTCCAGGTAGGCAGAGGACGCCGGGCCGAGAGCGATGGCGCGCGGGGAACACCGCGCGTGCTGCGAGGCCGCATCGACGTCGGTGTAGAGCGTCGTCGTGCGGATACCCATGTCGGCGGCGGTGCGGGCGATGCGCAGGGCGATCTCGCCGCGGTTGGCGATGAGGAGGCTTTTGATGGGTTCTACGGTGGGTTGGGTGGTTATTGACCGACATGATTGACGCTGGAGGAGAGCGGCGGAGGGAGAAGATGCGGAAGAGGAGGGAGCGCTGGAGGCAGCGAAGAGGAGAGGGGTGCGGAGTCGCCGCGATGTTCGTTTGAGAGAGCGCATGGTATTGAGTGTGTATCTGTATCTGCTCCCGTGTTTCGGTCTAGAAATGGGAGTTCGAGTATGACCACGGCCGGTTCCAATGGCTCGTGGAGAATAACTACAGAGTTTTTGAAAAGAGAGAGCAAGAGGAATTGGCGATGGGAATTCACGGGCTTGCAAGCCGGTGGTCTTCAAGGCCGAGGTCGTGAACTCCGACAGTAGCCGGGCCCCGGCAAGGCCCCTTGTCTTCGGGCTAAGCACGCTGGGCTTGTGACCACCCTGGAATTGGTCGGCTCAATAGTTTCTTGTGCTTTCAATTTGTCTTGTTCTACAATGGGGTAGTTAATTGATCGAATTCAGCCTCAAAAATGACACTCAGCCATCAGACTTGCAGCAGGTCTGCTGATGCTGATACATGGTCCTATTTCTCGAGCTGAGATGGGATGCAAGAGCGAAAAGAAACCCCAGCGAAAGGACGTCATTGAGCTCCCCGACGTGCTACCCCGCATTAGTCAGCGACTCTGGGGCCCCGCAGCCACCTTCTAGACGGAATCTAGACGGAAGACCTTTTGCACATCTTCGCTGCAATGAGATATCAAACTCCATCGGTTCGTCAGGGTAAAGCTGCTACATCTCAGAGCTACCGTTAAACGACACGAAAATCGGCATTCCCCCACACGCCTGTTGCTTTTACAAGTGATTGCGAATCGCCGCCGGTTATCTCTTTCCTAGTTGTTCTGTTGAACAAATCCAGAACTCCTTCCACAACACCGTCCGTACTTTCTCCGTCCTTTATCACAGAAGCCAAACCATGGAGCAACAAATACCCCTGAGCCATGAGGCGTCGGCCGGCAACACCAACATGCGCGTAACCACCACGCTCCCGCCCGAAGTCGTCCAGTGCCTTGAGAACGCCCGCTTCCTTCATCTGGCCACCTGCTCTGACAACGTACCCCACGTCTCGCTGATGAACTACACCTACCTCCCATCTTCACCGCACTCCCGCTTGCCCGTCATCGTCATGACCACCAACCCGGCCAGCAAGAAAATGAACAACCTCGCCGCTAATCCCAGTGTCTCCCTACTCGTCCACGACTGTACTGTCCCCCCTTGACTTCCAAATCTCACTATCATCCGACTAACACAAAGCCCAAAACCAGGGGTCTCCCACCGCCCAACACCCACCTCCCAAGCCCGCCGTCTCTCCTCCGACGGCAACGGTGGCGGCAACCGCACATCCGCCTCCCGCTCCCCACACCGCGAACCGACCTCCTCCCTCGCAGCCCTCCTCTTCAACCTGAACACCTCCGCCGTCTCCTCCATCAGCGCCACCATCAACGGCAGTGCTCGCCTCGTCCCCCGCGGCTCTGATGAAGAGAAATACTATCGCGAGGTGCACCTGGAGAATAACACGTTTTCGGACGCGGCTGGGCCCGGGGCGGCTGCGGCGGCGGATATTTTGTTTGGGACGACGGGATCTGGAGAAGGTACTGGCGGTGGTGGTGGTGGTGGGGCGGAGAGGTTTGCGGCGGGTGATGATGCGAGGGTGATTGTGGTGGGGATACAGGATGTGAGGATTGCGGATTGGAAGGGGGCTATTACGGATTGGGTGATTGCGGATTCTGGGGAGGCAGAGGGGGGTATTAATGGGGTGCGGTGAGAACATGATAGGTAGAATGCGGGATGCTGTATATAAATTGATTAGTGGTCAAAGGTCTCTGCGTCAACATAGCATATGTATGCTGTTGAACTTTCTTAGCAGAGCACCCTCTGACCGCACTCGATGATTGACCGCATCACAACGGAGGCTCCTTTGGTCGGGCGAGACTTCTACATGCTAAACCAAAATTCCTACGCAGTGCCTAGAGAATACACTGGTGCAACACGTAGTAACTTGGCAAGAAAACTACCATTTAAACCACAATACTGAACGATGGAGCATCAAATCATTTCTCATCCATTGATACACGCTATACCACGTTGACAATTTGTACAACATGCAGCTTCGCCTAGGTAGTGTTGCAGGCCACCTCCTCCCACTTATTCACACACAACCGAAACCCAATTCGCAATTTACACAGCCTTTCCCAGGCCATTAGGGAACCATCCCTATCCCCAGTCTATGTGTCTCCCTTATTCCCAACAAGCCGGCCTCGGCCGTTCATATCAAACCCAACCAAGAAGAGTTATGCATACGTCCTGATGATGACCAGATGAAGACCAAGGACAACTCCTGAAAAGCGCAAATTCAAAACCCAGTCATAAATGCCGATTCCATGAGAGTTCCGATGCCGTTACAGTATGCCCCGCAGATGATCCCGAGTTGGGGGGTGCGGGGTTGAGAGAGGACGAAAAAGGAAAGAAAAGGATTCGGAAAACAGGTAGGCAATCTGCCACGCGCTCCGTGCAACGACTTTTGCATCGGTAAACAACCTTAGCGAGCCCACTCAACCACCTCCAGAGCACACATCACAAGGACCAGCGTCGACGGCAAGATCCTGACAACTAGTTAGCGGCATGTTTCAAAATAAACGTGGGGTGAAAATGGGGGGGAAGCTCACCAAATAACATAACTCTGAAACAAGACCCTCCCCATCACGCTCTCATACACATTGTTGATCTGGCAAATCTGCGCCAACTGCAGCGCCGACGGTGCGCCGGTGAGCAGGAAACACACAATCACAAAGATCGGGTCGTCCAGGATGCTGACGGGCACAAACTTGGCAAACATAGCCAGCACGGGCGCCATGATCAGCGTCGGCAGCAGCATACGGCTTAGCAACGAGGCAACCAGCAGGCGCGTACCGATGCGCCGCTCCTCCGGGTCCATCTCCTCTTCGCGCGCCTGGGTGTTGCGGGCGAGGTTGGCGCCGAGGACGACAAGGATGAGCGGGACGGCGACGCCGGCGGAGGACGAGATCGCACTGGTGACGGAGGTCTTGATGAAAGACCCTTCGCGGAAGAAGAGCGCTTGCAGATCCGGGACCGAGGCGACAAACACGGCGATGAGCATCGCCCAGAGCGGGGGGTTCATGAAATCCCAGAGGAAGCCGTAGACGCGTACCGAAGCGCGCTGGAGCCCAGTAAGGGCCGTTTGGAGGGGCCGCGGGAGGCTGTTGTAAGCGCTTCGGGCCGTGGTCTTGATCGCGGTGCAGACCCTGCGCTCGGTCTTGCGCGCAAAGCGCTGGACACGCACAGGTACACCCTTGATACCCTTAGGCGCTTCGGTTTCGTCATTAAGGGCGTTGTGGATGTGCGGGAAGGAGAGGATCCGGTTGAAGTCGTCGTCGTTATCGTTTTGATCGGCAAGTTGGCGACGGCCGTGCGGGTTGGCCTTCGAGTTGTTGGCTTTCTTCAGTGCTCCAACCGCGTCATGTTCGTCGTCTTCCGAGTCGTGGGGCGACGCCCGCGAGGATCCGCCCACAGGTGTCCGGCCGGCTGGGCTGTAGTGGGTTCCCGAGTCGTCGGTGTGCGCGGGGCTGACGGGCCGATCCAGGCTGCTGTCATTGCTGAGACGATCTTCCTCCCCTTCAATCAACCCTTGTGTCTCCTCGCCTTCATAGCGACCCTCTTCGATCGTCTCATCGGCATACTCCTCGTATTTCGACTTCGGCGCTAGCAACACGTGGTAACCCCAACTCCAGCGCACCAACTGGCCAAGTTGCTGGAACACCAGGAGGTACAAAATGCCCCGCGCGGCAACCTCGTCGTCGTTGTCGCCCGGGATCTTGTCCCAGTGGAGGCCCTTGAGGGTTTGAGAGAGCGAGATGACGAGCGAGATGGGCAGCGAATTCGAGTTTCCAAACACACCCATCGCGGTCACGAAGTTGGAAGCCCGATGGTTGAAACCGCAGCATCGCGCTACTATGCGTGATACGATGTACGACACGAAGGTCTGGATGATGAAAATGATGGGGATGATCCCCAGGTCCAGGAGCTTATCGGCGTTCAGCTGCGATGCGAGCTTGGTGAAAACTATCGTTATCCATTATCAGCATATCCAAGTCGCTTACCTCTACAAAACCAGTGAAGAAGACGAAGAAGAAGACGGAAACCCACTCAGACATGGCGTAAACAGCATAACATTGAGGTTCGCAAGAAACTTTTGCTTGTCGGCGTCAAAATGACCGAGCCGCGCAATGATGTACCCCGGTAAGCTGACGCAGACAACCTCCAGCACAGCACCAAAGACGAGCAGCATCAGGTGGTCGAGCGAAGGATGTGATTCCGAAGGAGTGTTCTGAAAGACGACGAAGCGCGACGGCCCCGCCGTCATGGTCGTCGGATCCCATGCATCGCCCAGGGCCAGGCGCAATGACGTCGGCGCCCGGAAGTCGAGTAGACCCATCAAAAGTGGCCGCGTCTCGTTTGATTTGTTGCCGACTCGTTTCCACGCTGTGTGTGGGAGATCGGGAGAGGATCGATAACTGGAAATAAAATCGGCGAGACACCACTCGAGGTATGGCAGTTTATTTGATGTGGCGACGGCGCTCAGATTCTGTCATCGAAGTTGGCGGCGAACAAGGTTCAGAGCTGGTCTGAGACGGCCAGGAGTCCTGGTGGAGCTCTCTGGGGGTTACTCTGTTGCAAATCGGGGTTGCGTTGACACACCAAAGTGTCGGAACAACACGCCCAAGAAAACAAAGAGAATCGCTTGATAATGCCGCGGGCAGGCAGTTGGGGAGAAGCTGGAACGGAGGGCGAGCACGAAATAAGAAGGGCCAAATTAAGCATTCCATCCCCGATGGGAGAGGGCCTGTGCTGGCCTTCAATGGGGAGGCCGCAAGCTGTCTCGCGATAACGCCAACACAAGGCGAAGCGGCTGAGCGCTAGAGAGGGACTTGAATCGTCGCGAAAGACTTGAGGCAACAACAAGTCCCTCACTACCACTATCACGCCGCCGCCCTGGCCGCTTCGCCTGTCTTGGCGTGGGCCCTAACGGCCGCCAAGGTCGCGCCAAGTCCGTGCCAAGCTCCTAACAAACACAAGGATCGGAGAACGTGCAGCAGTGGTGACGTTGGGCCTCTGGCCCAGGCCAGCCCACGATCGCATTGCTGGTTTAAACTTCCGCACTAGTCCAGAGCAGGTTTCCGTCCCAGGGGATTGGAGAGTTTCCAATCAAGCTTGTCCTGAATCAACAACTTTTCTGACGGTTGAGAAAGACTCTTTCGACACCCGATCAAAAGACTCTTTTTTCTACTAAGTTTCACTTCACCTCAGTTGCCCCCGCCCCGCCAAGGATCCCTTTATCTCGAACCGAAACTGTGTCTGCCAGCTGTCCCGTGGTTGGTCGTTCTTGACGCAATTCTGTCGGCAACAGACCCGGTGCAGAAACAAGAGGTAGTTTTCAGCCATGGCAACACCGTCAGAGCCAATGAGAGTTGAGTAAGTGTGAGACGTCGGGAGACTCAGGGAGGTCGGTGCTGTTCACTTCACCTTTTTCTTCGCGTTTAGGAACATCGCCAAGAGCGCGAAACGGGCCGCAACCGCAGAGCCAAGGGCGCTCAGCGATAAGGCCCCTTCGTTCGGCCATTGAGATTATGAGAATCGAAATATGCCGAGCTCTTGGTGCAGAGGAGTTGCGGCCGCGGTGGTCACGCTGCTGTAAGTCGAGGGAAGGTGTCGGGACGATCGGGACGGTAGTGGTAATCGGGAAGTGATCAGATCATCGAGAGCCCAGAGTTGAGAGTTGAGAGTTGAGACGGTGAGCAGGCTCAGCGCGAATTCCTTCTCAACTCCTCGCCTTGGTGAAAATTGATTCGACGCTAACATTTGAGAAGACCAGTGAGTCGCCGCCAGACTTTTGGACAGGGGTTTGATCGATGCGTCATGAGCTGAACTTTGGGAACCTCTACGCTGAATTAGGTTAATGAACTATGATCAATTTTTCTTTCCTAGTTGCCCGGTTGGTCAAACATTGGCCGAACAAACAAAATCGACGGGCGCCGGTCATGGCTTGCGCGGCATGACGAACTCTCGGCAGTGCCTCAGTGTCAGCGTGTCGCCTGGGAAAGAGGGAGTGGCAGGGCTGCCAGCTGTCTGACAGCCGAATTGTCGATTGCGTGGGCTGCCTCACTGAGCGCCGCTGACCCCTGGCGCCCCGATGGGCAGGTTCAGCAGGGAAACCGCGGGCCGTTTGTTCTGTCTATCTCGAACCAATCAAGAAGTTGAGCGTGTGAGGAGGCTGTTTCAAAAACAAAAACTAAAACATGGGGGCGACGGGCGGCGACTTCCAGGTTTTTGCCCACTCAACGCAGCGTGCGCAGCTCGCTCCCGTCTTGCCCGTCACACCTCCAAGCCTGAAGCCCTGGTGGCGGCCCTGCTGCAAGCAATTGCGACCCATCGTCGTTTGCCCTGCTGGGAGAACCACCTAACTCGGGCGATGATGCACTTGTGCCACCCCCCAACTCCGCGTTTGCACACACGCGTCGTAACATCCCGTTCGCGAAATGAGAACCACAGGCTTGAATTTGTGCAACTTCTCGAATGTTTCGTTTGAAATTTGAGGCAAGTCTGCGGGGCGTTTCCCCAATGGTGGGGTTTTGCGGCGTCAGCCCCACTGCCGCCACACCCATCACCGGCCATCGCCCACTTTCGGTCGCCCCTCGGAGAGTCTGTACCAGTCCCAGAACACCAGTTGCCAGGCATTGGCTCCGCGGACTCTCTCTTTCATGGGTCAGCCACACCGGAGCAAAAGCCCCTACCGGCGCCATGCTCGAAAACAGGTGATGGGATCAAGAAAACCAGGAAATTAGCCTCGCTCCCACCTGCCGCGGGTAGACCTCCTGCCGGGTTCATTAGTTAGCGATAGGCTGTAATGCAAGCTGCAACTTGGATGGAGGTCGCGGGCCATGAAATGAAAGAAAAAAACACCAAACTCCTTGGCTGCTCGACCAGCTCTCTGTTATTTTGTTTCCATTTAGCACCGCCCGATTGCCAAACCGTTTGCCGCAGTCTAGAATCCGCCCAGCTGGAACTCCATCTTCGCCCCGAGTAACCAATCATCGCATTTCCAGATTGGCCGCAAGCTCCGCCAGCGTGCACTCGTTCAACTGGGGAACCGTTTTGAGATCGAGTTCCCGCTTCCGGCCCAATACCCCATCCAAAGACTCCGGACCGTACACTGCGACCGGTGACGATAGAATTTTCTCTCCTCTTTTCCGCTCGCAATTTCCGTTGTTAGGCTCACCTACCACGGCCTAAACCAGTGGAGTCTGCCAAATTTTCTGGACCACTTTCCTCATAAAGGGTTCCCAAAACACCCACGGACACTGGCGTGCTGTGCTTCTCATCCTACAAGGTTCCCGTTTTCGGTAACCGCCCGCTTGGGAACAACCCCGCGGCCCATCTCGTCACCATATTATTCACCACCCGCCCACTCCGGGCATTTTGACCCTACGACTCGGTCTTTCCCCTCGGCATATTTTCCGCATAAAGAGACGGCGGGCACACGACTATAACCGAGGCATTCACAGCCTTACGACGCGAATCGAGCAAAAGCGCGAGCTGGTTTTATCTCGCCTTCGCCTGGGGAAGGCCCCACCTCGCTTCGTCTCGGCCCCTCACTGCACGATCACGACACATAGCCTCAACGCGGCTGCACCTCGACAATTCGAAGTTTCGACAACCCGACACCCCGATAACCCGATACCGCGATCTCCCACTCCTCCAACGTTGGCCTCACAATGCCTGACTACGACTCCGGCTCGGAACCGGCCACTCCTGGGGAGGATTACTCTTTGAGCACTCCGACCTCGCCGGGCTACATCGACGACGACAATGATTCCGAAGCTAGCACTCCGCTCGACCCGCCGAGCGGGGGCTCCGACACCCAACCGAGCTATCCCCCCAGCGAACCACCGCGCCGCGTGCCCTCTCTACGAACCGTTTCCGATCCTCAAAAGACCACCCATATGAATCCGACTTCGAGCGTCACAGGGTTATTAAACACCGCAAGAAGGCCAGCCCCAAGCGCCAATAGTTTGCCCTCCGACATCATGCAAAGGGCGCGCGCTCTCCAAGAGCAGCGCATGAATATGGCCGCGCGGGCGGCCGCTGGAACGGCCGCAAACCTGAGCAGGCCGGGTATAAATGTGAACGTAGGGAGTGGCGTCGGTCACAACACCGGAGGGCTTCCAGGAGGACTCCCAGGAGGACTTCCAGGCGGGTTGCCGGGGAATCTTAAACTACCAGGTGGCATGGCCCGTCCTATGCCCCCAAATTTTCCCAAGTCGGCACCTGCAGTACCAGGTGCGAGGAAGCCTCCGAGCCTGAGCGAAAGGAGGGCTATGAAGCTGGGTGGCCTCTCAGGACCCGGCAGCCCTTCTCCAGCTCCAACACCAAAACTTCAAGACCTTGGCGAGGACGCATCGAGCAAACCATCAGTTAACGGGGAAGGACGAGGGTCCAAGCTGAGCGACTTCAAAAACTACATTGATGCCGACAAAGGTTGGATTACGTTCGACGGTGCTGCGACCATTACACGGACAGGGGTCAACTTTGCCAACGGTCAGACATTCTCCATCTCGCTTGACGAGATTGATGTCATAGACGAGCTGGGTAAGGGGAACTACGGGACCGTGTACAAGGTCCGGCATGCTCGGCCAAAGGCACCGCGGTTTGGCCAGGGGCTGAGCCAATTCAAGCCATCCCTTTCCCTCCAGTCCTCCACATCATCGAGCGAGTTAGATGACGCGGCAAGCGACACTTCGCTAGCCGGGGGCGGCGGGCGGACAACATCCGGGGTGGTCATGGCGATGAAAGAGATTCGGCTGGAGCTGGATGAGGCGAAATTCACCACAATCCTCAAGGAGCTCGTGATTCTGCACGAGTGCGTCTCACCCTACATCATCGACTTTTACGGTGCATTCTACCAAGAAGGTGCAGTTTACATGTGCATCGAGTACATGGACGGCGGCAGCATCGACAAGTTGTACGTGGGCGGGATCCCCGAAAACGTGCTGCGCAAAATCACCTTTGCCACCATTGTCGGCCTCAAGACCCTCAAGGACGACCATAACATCATCCACCGCGACGTCAAGCCCACCAACATCCTTGTCAACACCAACGGCCAGGTCAAGATCTGCGATTTCGGCGTCTCGGGCAACCTAGTCGCGAGCATCGCCAAGACCAACATTGGCTGCCAGAGCTACATGGCCCCTGAGCGTATCAGCGGTGGCGCCCTGGCGGCTGGCGCAGCGGGTGCCGCGGCCGGAACGTACAACGTGCAGAGCGACATTTGGAGTCTCGGGCTGACTATCATCGAGTGTGCGATGGGGAAGTACCCCTATCCACCCGAGGTGTCGAGCACCATTTTCAGCCAACTGAGCGTGAGTCTCCTAACTGCATTATGTCTCTGCTTTACTCGCCTGAAACGGGTAAAGAGAAAATAAGGAAAAAGAAGGAACTACTAACCCATCTTCCAGGCCATCGTCGAAGGCGACCCGCCAGATCTCCCCTCCGAAGGCTACTCCGCCCAAGCCCAAGATTTCGTCCGCTCCTGCCTCAACAAGAACCCCCATCAGCGCCACACCTACCCCATGCTTCTCTCCCATCCATGGATCAAAGCCCTGGGCAAGCCGGAAACCATCGCCGAAGACGCCGAGGCCGAGGACGCCGCGGCATACGACACCCTCGCGAACGCGGCGGGTGCGCTGAACCTGAATAACCCGTCGGGTCGGGTGGCGGAGGGGGATTACGAGGTCGGCGCGTGGGTCAAGGATGTGCTGGAGCGGAAGAAGAGTGGGCTGCTGCCGCGCGGTGCGGAGAAACCGGCGTTGCATGCGGCGCCGCTGAATTCGGTCAGTCCGGTGGGAAGCCCGTTGGCGATGCCATGACCTGTTATGTTGTTGTTCCTTTTCTTATTCTCTTGCCGTGTTCCTTCGCTTCTTCCTCCGGGCGAGTGGATGGGTGCAGACGGGAAGGATGTGAGAAGATGACTGGCAGGAAGCATATCTTGGTGTATTTTCTTTCGTTGAACTAAACTCGCGGCTTGTTTCTCTTTCTATCTCTCTCTGATGTCATCCCATCCCATTCTTTCTGTCAATTCCATTTTAGCTTCCGGCTGGACCGCATTCGTTTCATTTAAACACGAAAGGAGAGCGAGGTGTATCTGTCGCAGGACAGGAAAGGGCGTAGTAGAGTTCGGGGGGGTTCCCATTTGCGTACCATAAGAAAGAAAGAATATAAGAGAAGCGGGAAAGCGATGTTTTGATGGGCCAGGTGGAGAGGGGGGTTCGTGGGGACTAAGTGCTATTTGGGGTATCGACACTGAATACTATCTTCCCCCTCGCGTATCTTTTTCCCTAGTTATTGTGACTCGAGGTGTGTGTGATGCGGTGATTCTTCTTTGAGAATGTTAGAAACGGGGAAGTCGGGAGTGAAAGAAGGCGTCTCTTTTCCTTACTAGCGTTATGGCCTGGTATGACTTGCGGCTTGTTAGATCACATTCGCTACTACTCCTCCCGTGTTTCGTTTCCTTTGTGTGGGGATACGGTGAATGATATGGCCAACAGATTGTGCAAAAGACTGGCAGGAAGTAATGTTCTGTCCTATTCCGCAGGCACAAACTTGGAAATAGTCAAAGTCATGGATTCATCGCTACCAGGAATGCCCAGCGAATGTCCTTAGTCCCCCGAGTACGCCCCTTGCTATGTCAAGTGTTGAATTAATGAGCATCCATGTCCAGCAAAACAATCCCTTATCTAAAGTGTCCCCCAGTTTGGTATCGTAGATGGCAACAAGTAGTCTGTATGCCGATTATCATCATTGTCGTTCAATTTCCGTCCATATTCCGTGCCTCACTCATATCCATTGCAACCACACACATCAACCAAACTCCCCTTGCTTCTCCGACGAAGCTCAAGCATATTCCTCCTTCACACGGCGCCCATCGTACCCCCTGCGACTAGCAGAGCGGCGGGTCCAGGGCCAGGTGCGGCGAGAGCGGTCGGCTGCGGGTGTGGTAGCGGTAGCAGCAGCAGCGGTTCCCGTCGGAGCGACCGGGTCACGGCGCTTATGGCGGCCAGCGCAGAAGAGGATGGTAGCGATAAACAGCGCGAACCAAGCTCCCCAGCTGAAGCCGAAGCCGTAGCGGCCGAGGGTTGCGTCCCGGCCGTCGGCGATGATGACGTTGCGGACTTTGACAAAGGTGACGCTGGGAACTCGGGGGTTAGTATCGTCTAGTGGTAGAGTAAAGAAAAGGGCAAAGTGGGTAAAAAACATACGTCATCAACGAAACGGCAATAGTCAAGAAGAACAGCGCAACCGTCGAGAGGAGACCGGTGAACGCTGAACCCAGCCTGCTGCACAGCGCCAGGAACCCCGAAAAGAAAGCGACCACCTCGAAGAAGAGCGCAATCAGGAAGAACACCCATCCAAACCGCCACATGTACCAGTAATACGTCCCCGTGGTATCGTTGCCATGGTTGCCCACCAACTCTGCGGGCACATTGCGCGCATTGCTAGCCCAAGCGTCGCCGAGGGGAAGGGCTGGGCGGGCCGGGCCGCAGTCGGTGTTGTCGTTACCACAGACGTGGAAATAGGTCCACTGTGAGACCGCACGGGCACCCTCGTAACCTGATGTGTCGGCGCGCAGGAAATAGGTCTGGCGCAGCGGCGAAGTGCGGGTTACGCCGGAGAGGATGACGAACCAGAGCAGGACGAGGGAAGCTGCTGTGAGGAGGAGGGCCACGGGGGCCAGAATCGTTTCTGAGGGAGGTGTTAGTCGATTTTGTGCGGCCTGAAGGGTGGTGTAGAAAAAGAGGTGTGTATCCGCTTACTTCGTGACATGTTGAGATATGGGGATGCTGGTGTGTGGTGGGGTGAAAGGTTTTAGAGATCAGAGGGAGGTCTCAGCCTCGGCAATGGAGTGTGCGCAATGCGGGAGATGATTTGATGGTATCGCCAAAACAATGCGCGAACCGACCCAACTTCGAAACCCGGCGATGTCGTCACCTGACTTTTTTAGATGTCTCTTCACTCTCCGTGATGGTCCTACGTGTTCGTAAGAAATATTGGTCCTCGAAAAAAGCTGTGCGATCCGGAGCGCATCCACAAGTATTAGAGCGCCAATAATATGGTGATATCATTCAAGTGTAAACGTGAGTCGAAGAAAAAAAGATGTTGTGTGATCCGAATCGGGAAGGCACAAGTGGAAAATCGGAAGAAGTTTGGTATCACGAAAAACAGGTAGGAGGAGCGGTGGTCAAATAAATCAAGACGGCGGGTTCCGTCCCTTGCCATGGTCACGCCGCCCTGTGGAGGCCCAAGGCACCCAACTTTTTCCGAGCTTGCCTCCCATCACATCTCACCAAGCTTCTCGCCTTCAACCCAAAAAGTCACTTGTCCCGCCTTTGTCTTGCTTTGAGCACAAAGCTGTAGTGGGCCGTTTATTTCGTGCCAGCGGAGCCCCATAGATGACGCAAGTCCTAGGAGCTCGGGGCTTGGCAGGGCCCTCTTGGCCAATGGGCATTTTAGCTAGTGGCCCCATGTCGACAGCACAGGTCCCCGCCAGCCAGGGCAGCCCACCTCAAACTATGATCTTGCAGAAGAATGCAGAACAACACTTTAAGCAGGGCGAGATATGAGTGGACGTCATACTCGCTGACCTCCGGGGCTTGCGTGGACAATTGACGGCAGTGCTCGAAATCAGTTCGTGATCTTGAGCAATTTGAATCTTATGGCGGTGTCTACAACTCCGAGCTATCGTTGATCATTACTATCTCCGAATCATTCGTATCTCTCACTTCTTGTGCCTGGCCACGACAGAGCGGCTTTCCCCGCGCGAAAACCGAGAGATATCGCGCATTTTGCATATGTGTAGTGTAGAGCTGAGGGAGCTAGTGTAAGCTAATATCTAGCAATGTCTCACATCCAACCTCCAGTTGGCAATCCACCATTGGTGTACCGCCGGCTTGGACTCCCTCGGTTTTGCATTTGAAGACCGAATGTCTCACTAAGTAGCCGATCGGTGAAGCTCCAGCCGTTCAAGGGGACCTCGAGACTCGATCGGATGTGTAGCATCATGTCTGGTTTCTTAGTTCTCAATCCTTCTCTTTCACTCGGCCTGTCTACCTATGCCCTCCTCAGCTTTCTTCACTCCGACCTGGTACATACACGGCAAACAGACATGGCCTCCGGACCCAGTCCGCAGCGTCGCATCCGGACCGGACAGCTCCGGCCCACGGACCCACTCGAAACCCGCAACCCGAGATGCCGAAACCCACTGCACGCACAAGACAAGAATTCCGTAGATTTTCCTGCTTTTTTTGCTACTTTGACATTCTTAAGCGTAACATCCCGTCGTTTGACGCTGTAACCAATCATCAACAATCCTCTGTGGCGCAATTGGCTAGCGCGTCTGACTGTTAATCAGGAGGTTGGAAGTTCGAGCCTTCCCGGAGGAGGATATCGTTGATACTTTTGCTTGGAAGCCGAGCAAGATAAGTGTTTTTGTTCATTGTTGGACTGGATCTAAATGGTCGGTCTATCTGTATAACTCTCCTGGGCATGATTTACCTCCCAATTTCATAAAAAAAGCCTTGTTAGGATTCGGGAGGGGGGAACATGATCCGTTTCGGGGTGCTTCAGCACTGACGGGACACAGCGACCATTTCTGCAAGGGACAAAGAAGGTAAATGCAGGGACGAAAGTCGCCTGCAAGTAACTCCAATGCCAAGATAGAAACCAGGTCTCATCAACTGTCCTCCTCTGCAAACTTCAGCACATCCTCCAGGATCAACTCTTCATAAGGGCCAAGCACCCACCCCAGCGCATCCTGCTTGTTCCATGGCGTCCTCACTGCCGTCGCTATCATGCAGTCGTCACCCAGGGATCGTAGACACATATTCACATCATCCACCCGCCTCCCCTTGAGCCGGATCTCGATGTTCCGCACCACTTCCCCTGCCTCCTCTTCCTCCTTTGCCGGCACATCCCATCCAGCGGTTGGCCGCGGCGGGGCTACCCGCACAAACTCGAGGTCCTTCAGCCATGGAGCCGACAAGGCATCGCCAGTCAACTTGACGTAGGCCTCGCGCATCGCCCAAGCCGCGTAGAAAGCCCGTAGCTTCCCATCCGCGACTTGCTCGGCCGTGGGCGCAGCACCATTGCAGCCGGGCGTCATGTGTAATAACCACGGCACGGCGCTGAGGACTTCGTTCTTGAGAAAAGCGACCTCGTTCGCGGAAAAGGCGTCGCCATATGTGTTCACAAAGTCGTACCAGCCACGGGGCTGTCCCATAATCTTCGCCCGGTCGCGGTCCCGCCGTTCGGAGGTGCTGACGACGTCCACACCGACCTGGCAAGGCTGGTCTTCCAGGTCTATGTCCTGTTGCCGAACTAGATTTGAACCCAGGGGCGAGGCGGCAGGTACGAGGGAGGGGGGAGGATACCCCGCGACAGCTACCAGCGCGACGATTCCCGCCTGATGCGAGACATTAAACACCACGGGCTGGCGTCCCACCCCGTTCTTTCCCTTTCCGGCCACAACAAACGTTGGCTTGGTCTTCCCATCCCGCGTGAAGCCCGTAGTCACTACCTCACCCCACGTCACCGCCGGGTCGCGCGCAAGACGGGCTATGGCGTAGTGCTTGATCAGGGCCGAGCCTAAGGCCATCTTGGCGTCAGACATATGATAGTATGCTAACACTCGGTCCCGGACGTCTGGGGGTAGGATAGCAAAGGCACGGGCGGCCTAGAAGCACAGGTTAATATTCTGCATGGTTAAAGGGGAATCGAAATAGAAGGTTGCCGTGAGAGGGCATGTAAAAGCAGGTGGAGACCATTGCAGCTGGTTTGCTGGTGGGTTAAACCCTCAAAGATTGTAACCTGTAACAATGGCAAGAATAACAAAACGTAAAACTCACGTGAGCCTCTAGATGCCTCGGAAGAGTCGCCGTGGGGTACCACTTGCGGGTGTCGAAGTACCATTCTACTAGGACACATCCATCGCCGCGGCTAGGCGTTGGTGAGGGGGTTGCCATTTTCCTTGGGGCTTGTCGTCTGTGTGGTGTCGTCTTGTTGGGGGGTGCTTTCTTCCTTGACGTTTTAGTTCTCTTGGAATCTCAACGGATGAGCGGTGATCATATGAGTGTAGGTTGTTGTGAGTGTTTGGGGTTTTGAGTTTCGGAGACGGACCGGGAGTGAAATTCGGAGGTGTGCGGGAATCGGTCAGCTTCATTCATGCAGTGCGACCCGTCTTGGCCATGTTACTCGCTGCAACGGCGGCCTCTTTATTTTAAGAATTGCCGTCCGCTTACCTCGAGTTTCCTTCCCTTTCTCGGCTACCGCCTCCCTTGTTTTTCTTGGAGGGGTCATGCTTACAGTGCTTCGGAGAGTTTATCTCTCACTTCCAGCGTCGTGCCTTCCCTTCCCTGAGCGAGGTCTCTTTTAGGAAGTCGGAATTGAATCAGCCCCGTGGCCCCTCCTTCCCCGGCCGATTTTGAGGGGCAGACCCCGACAATTTTTTTAAATTCACGGGGAACATCAACACAGTCCGGCAGCTCCTGGGCGGCTAACGGGCCCGGCCATCCAATCCGAAATCACGAGTCCCGGCCCCGGCCCGGACCGGGTCCGATCGACCCACAGTCACTCAACAATCGGCGGCGCCCGATGCATTGAGTACAAAGCTACTCTTCGATTATTTCCTTCAAACCATTGTGTTCCTACACGTCGCTAGGATCACATGTTGGTACATTCCACCTTTAACCCAAGCCGCAGCCATCACAACAACCTAACTGTTGGGTCCCGCGCAATAGTGCGCCGGGCGTCCCCCAGGTCCCGGCTCCCTCTATGGTTGAGTTATTGATTTGGGACGTCAGGCCAGCTGCTCCATCCCGCGTTAAGCAGACCACCGATGAAGCAGGCTAGGAAGAAGGTCGGCCTGAAATCTAGCGGTAGAAGTCAACCGTGGGATGGGAGGTGCTCTTTTTTCTATGTTCTGTGTTTTTCCTCCGTCTGTTTCTCTTTCGTCCCCGGTGCTGCCCACTAGGAGAACCCCCTCGTGGTTTTGAGAAAGAAACCGAGTCTTGACATTGGGGTCGAGTTTCATTTCGCTTTTTAGCACACACAAGTCAGCATTTCACAACGCCGAGAGTAGAGCAAAAATGGCGACCCTAGATGGAGTCTTGCTTTGGGATGATTCTGTACAACGGAATCTAAAAACAAAACAAAGTCTAGTTTTTGACGACCCCGACTTCCGTTTCATTCTAAGCTTGGTAGAAATTATTAGCTATGCTCCGCTGAAAACATGCGATCCTTCCATCAAGCAACCCTAAAGAGCAAAGTCTTCTCGCTATACTTTACATTTACTCCATCTCAGCAATGCTAGTACGGAACCCACAGAGACCATTATTGCTGTAAACAGCACCTTTCTCAGCAGTGGAATTTATACTGTATGAGGAGAAAATCCTTCAACTGGCTGTCTCGCCCCTAGGAGACCATCACAAAACCACGCGGCGCAGTAATCGAAAACAGGAACAACTCCTGATGTCCCTCGGCAACCCGTACTGGCGCCTCGTGTGTCTCTTCCTCCTTGTCTTGATTCTCAGTCTCCTTCCCGGCTTCACCTTCTACCTTTTCTTCTTTTTCCTTCTCCTTTTCCTCTTTCATCTGCTTTCCGACCTCCTGCTCCTTCACCACTTGCCCCTTTCCATCCACCTCTACCACCACGTCCTCCGTATCTAGACTCCCGTCCTCTGTGTATTCCCACATGTCCTTCACCTCGCCACGCAGCAGGCCTGTTAGCCACAATGCGCCCGTTACGCCGGGCACTAGGTACAACAACGCCGGCTGGCCGTGGTTAAACACCAACATGGCGGTCAGCGTAGCCAACATGCCCGCCGCATACCCAACCACGGAGGCGTAGAAGTAAGGCTTGGGGAAAGCCGTCGCCGTGCGGGGCTCTGAGGCATCACGGACAGGGAAAAGCCGACCGATGGGTGTGGTCCAGAAGCGGTTGCCCCACTGGCCACGGATGTCGACGTAGAGAGGCTTAATTCGGCGGTGATCGGTTGTGGTGGTCGTTGTGCCGGCGGTGGTCTCGGCCTTGAGCTGGACGGGTTCGAGGCGGGTCTGGCGACGATAGTGCAGGAAGAGGTCGAAGCGCAGAGCTAAGGCCATCAACATCCCTGGGACGACGATATCGCCGAGTCCGAGCATGCTGGCGCCTGTGGGGCTGGTGAAAACAAGCTTGATGGGTGCGTCGATGTTCTTAGCCACGGTAATCATGTACGGGCTAGGAGGAAGGTCAGTCTGGAGCTGTTTCACAATAATAGGGTTGGTCCTCCTGACAAGGGTCGATACCTACGTGTAAAATACCATGATGACGTCGTAAATGAATAGGCTCGCTAGGACCATGGTGCCAATGGTGAAGGATGTCGGGGAGAACATCATGAACGAGAAGTAACACATGGCCGTACTAAGGATGTTTGACAACGCATTCCACGCGGTCAAGTGGTAGGCTATCGAAACCATCACTGCCAAAACATAGCCCAGCAGTTCGTTGAGCCCGAGCTCAAAGTTGAACACGGGACTACCAGAAACCGCAAGACGCACTGTCCACTCTTGGGTAACCAAGTAGCGCAAGCTCCACAGGAGGCCTGTTGAAAGAGGTGAAAGCTTCAAATTCGAGAGCCACCCAGGGAGTGGTGTGGTTTTCCCCTCCACGGTCCTTTCTTCCCCAGTCTTCTTGTCCACGACATAATGGCGCTTCTGGCTCGCATCGATGTGGTGTACAAATCCCTTGCCGTCTACCCACATCGTGGGGAAAACCAAGCTCGTGAGATTGCTCAAGGCATCGCCGGCCAGTGTACTCAGCCCAACAATAGACATGATGGACATGTATCCCCTGAGGATTGTGTTCAGGATGGCCGGATCCTGGAGCCATTGAATCAGGTAGTACAGTCCCATAAGGGTGGCCGCTAGCATGATGGGAAACCGGATTACGTCGGAGGCAACGAGACCTTCAATAAACTTCTCCTCTTCGCGCCTCTTTTCACCCTTTTTCAGCTTCGGGGGCGCTGCTGAGGGTGGCCGACGGAGAGAGCCATGGGCGCCAAGCCAGATGATGCTGAGGGCACTGACGACGACGAGAAAGTATTGCGGTTCAAGAAGCCTCGCAAAGGCAAATACCGGGGGTGCGCCGGGAATATCGGGAGAAGCTGGGGTTGAAGGCGACGATATGTCGGCCACGTCTGGCGGGCCTTGCTCTGAGGACATAGTCGCGTGGCCTGGAGGATGCTAGAAATTGAGTCCGGAGGACGGAATATCTCCGTTCAAATCTTGATCGAAAGACAGATTACCATAAATATTGGCGTTTACCCCTCAAAACACAGTCGGATGGGCGGGGGGGGTCGGTTGTTGTGAGCCCGAAGATGCAAACTTGTGAAACTTGATGTTGAATGTTGTCCTGATGGGAAGTTGTTTAAGTTCCATTTTGGGCGTGGCGTTCCTGCAGGCACCTTGTGGGGCGATCGCCTGAAAACGCCCCACGAGCCCGCTGAAACTGGCTCCATTACAGGGGTCATGTTTCCAGACCCAGACTCGCCAGACCTGCCATCATTGAACAATTCCACTTTGCAACCACATCTCGGCTAGAATCCATCCATCACCTATCCTTTCCGCGTTCAACAACTCGCAATGGAATCCGGGCCCATGTCGGTAGACAGTGCACCCTTGGAGCCGCCGGCGCTCCCCGAGGGGAACGCAAACGAACCAACGCACGGCGGGCATTCGCGATTCGAGGTCGAGCTCGAGGTACGCAGCTCAACCGTCCCTCACCTGTGTTGTCCCCAATCGTCTCACGTATTCCGTAAAGTTAACCAACCACATCCGCAGTTCGTCCAATCCCTCGCGAACCCGGAGTACCTCAACTACCTAGCCTCACGAAAGTTCCTAACGAACCCGGCGTTCATCGCCTACCTCGATTACCTGCAATACTGGACGCGCCCGCCGTATCTCAAATACCTAACCTACCCCACCTCGACACTCAAGACGCTGGAGCTCCTACAGCAGGAGAAGTTTCGCCAGGACATCATCAGCCCGGATCTGGCGCATATGATGATAATGGAGGGGATGAAGACGGCTGTGGAGTGGCACCGTGAGGGGTGAGCCTGGGTGGCCGGCGTTGATGAAAAGCGGAAAAGATTATTGGGAAGTCAGATCGAGTTCCCCCTGGCTTGGGACAGGCCGATGGACTCCGGCGTTGCGGGGTGGAAGTCAGGGCATTCATCCCGCAATGGCCAACCCGCGGGTTGAGGCTGGCTACGCAGCCGCCCACGACATAAGCGCGTCGCCCGTAATGGGCAGTTGGGGGAATCGGGAGGTGAAGGAAGCCGCAAAGAAGACGGTTTGAAGAGATGGCCGCGTTGGCACCGCTCAATGACATGTATTTCAGGCCCTTTAGCTCAGCATCACCCTCAGCAACAAGAAAACAAGATACCGACCCCCTGTATAACGCCTCGCAATGCTTCCATGAAGATTTGTCTTTCTGACACCCAACACCAATACCCCCCTTCTCCTCCCACCCACTCAATTCTCCCTCCACCTATTCCCACAGGTCATACACTACCACAACGGTCAGCCATCATATCCCACCCTCACATTGATAGACAAGCAACAAGGGTAATAGGCAAACACACACCTTATAAAACGTAGTCATCGGCTCATCCGCACTGCGAATCTGAACCTGGAAAAACGCCGCCTCGTCCCCCGCGCAATCAGACGTCGGACACTGCACCCGGCCCTTTTGCGCATTGTCCCACGCCCCCGGCCCGCCAAACACGTCTTCTTTCTCCTTGCGCGGGAAGTTCTTGCGCGAGAAGATGGGCATGTCGATGGCGTGCTGGTACGGGCAGGTGCGGCATTCCAGCCGGTTGCCGCCCGTGTCCATGCGCGAGAGGATGAGAAGGTTGGCGCAGTAGGGGCAGACTGGAGGAGGTGTTAGTTTTGGTGGGTTTCTTGGATGGGGGGGTGATGGGCTTACAGAGAATTGGCATCTTGAAAGATTTGGGTGTCTACGGAGATTCGCTGCAAGTGTTTGTGGTCAACAGTGTCGTCAACCCGGGGCTGATCTTTGTTTTTGACAAAGGTGTGGGAAATGAAGTTGTTCCTTAGAATCAAGGTAGAAAGCTGAGTTCAGGAAGAAGTCTCAACTGAAGGGCTTGATCGCAGACTCAGTGACACATGCTTGGGATGAGAACTTGAATCTTTGGTTGTGAATCTTTAAAGTGGGCCTCAGGAACAAGACAGGTGGGGCAGAGAAGCTTAATTAACCCTAACCCCAACCCTAACCCCCATATCTTCTAAAGCCTTTGAGCACCCCTCCGCTCCTAGACTTGAACCCCTTTTCTGTGTGATTTTAATATGGCTAGACCGTCAATTGGCGTTTTAACAATGTTCATCTTGATTCAACATACAATAGATGTACTACTGTACATGGAACCCTCTCTCTCGCTCTCCTCCCCTTATCAAGACCCTTCGTTTCAGCCCCACCAGTGCTGGTGGGGTCACACCCTGTCACACTGCCACCTCCTGGGCCGCCAGTGGGCTGGTGCTGTTAGCTGACACGCCGAGACAGCCCCCCTAGCACCGACACTTCACATCGTCGAGCCTCGCCCGCATAGCCGCGCGGCTTGAATCTTTGCGGCTTTGTTTATTTTGAACACGAGAGATCTTTCCTAAGACCCGCCTGCCGAAATTTTTCCCTCTACGACCTTCCTTTCTCACCGCAACTTCGAGGATTACCCCTCCGCTCGTGGTGCTGTTCGGTGATCTCGACAGGAACACCAACCAACAACTCACGACGAAACATCACCAAGTGCGATCTACGAAGCAAACCTTGCGATCATGGCTGGCCGCGCTAAAGAGGAAGAGCACGAGGTTCGTCTTGAAAAATACCGTCCCTTCATTTTCAATTTCATCGCTTCCCTTAGTCCAACCCCCACTTCCCTCCCTCCGACTACGTAAGTAGTACTAACACGCTACCCCCCAGGGCGCCTCAACAAGCGAACTCCTAATCGAAGCCTGCCGGCGCAACAACACCGACCTCCTAACCGAACTCCTCACAACCCTCCACACCGACGAAGCCATCGCCACCGCCCTCAACACCACCACCACCGTCCTCGGCAACCACCTTTACCACGAAGCGGCCGCCCAAGGCAACTACGAGATCATCGACATGCTCCTGGACCAGCCCGGTTTCGAATGCGACCCGATCAACCGCACCGACGGCGACACGCCCCTGCACACCGCGATCCGCTGGATCAACAGCGAGCCGCCGGCACAGCGGGAGTTTGGGAACGCCCTGGTTGAGATGATGCTTGAGGCTGGGTCGAGCACGCGTACGCGTAACAAGGGGGGGCTGACGCCGCTGCAGTTGGTGGACCCGCGGAATGAGGGGTTGAAGGAGGTGATTCGGAAGCATGAGTATGCGGCGCTGAATGCGGGGGACTTTGTTAGTGCGGATGAGGTTAAGGGGGTGAAGAGTCAGAATCAGCCGCAGCAGCAACAGCAGCCGGAGGCTGGGGATGAGGAGGATGAGGATGCGGAGTTTAGCGGGAGTGATGAGGAGGAGAGGGCGGAGTGGGAGAGGCGGAGGAAGGCCAAGAGGGGGTAGGCCATGCCTCACTGCGAGATGAAGAAAGAGAGAGTGTATTACGCCGGATGGGACGAACAAACGGATCAGATATGGCTGGCGTATGGGCGCTGTGTATTTCACAACATGCACCGGAGCAAATGGACTCGGCCGGTATGGTCGACTTCCTTTTCATAACAGTCCCGCGTGTAATGTGTTGCTCGGTCACATAGTATGGGTATCCCAAAAACTACTTCATGACTGACGCATTGTAGGAGATCTAGGGGTCTATGTCATACTGGGTATCACTACAGCAAATAAATACTTCTCCCACCATCTCACCATCCCTTATCACTTATTTACCACACCATCCCTCATTACCACACCATCCCCCCCATCACAGCAACAACAGCAGCAACCTCCATCACAGCCCCCAACCCAACCTTCCCCCTCCCACTCCCCTCACTCCTCCACCTTGCCTCAACATACCCCTTATCCATCACCCTCTGCATCTGATTTCCACCTAACCTATGCCCGGCCCCAATCGATCCTATCTCCTCGGGAAACGTCCTCAAGATATCCGTACTCCTGCCCCTCGGACAAAACCTGACCTCCCACGCGGCCTCGACCGGCGACCAAGGGATCACAAACGTGCTGACATGGTCATCATACGCAAAGCTGTACGCGTCCGGGCAGACCCGCTTCGCGCGCAGCGAGTACTCGCTCGGTTTGCACACGTCGGGCGAGTTGTACTCCCCCGCGCAGCAGTCGGCCGGGTTGTTGGTTGCGCTGCAGGCGGAGAAGCAGGGCTGGAAGTTGGGCCGGGGGATGCCGTCGTCTGGGTATGGGAAGACGCCAGAGCCGGGCTTGGGTGGGGGGTATTGTAGCAGGTCGAAGGGACACCAGGCGCGGACGGTGCCGTCGGTTTGGGAGGACTCGTAGGGCATGGGGAAGCTGGCGTTGGCGTTGAGGTTGGTGGATTTGGGGGAGGGTCGGGTGGAAGTAAAGAAGGAGGGGGTTAGGTAGCCGGCTGAGGCGATGCAGGCGATGTTGCTGAGGTTTGGTGGGATCCAGGAGGTGTTGGAAGAAGGGTGGTAAATGATGGAAACCGGGAGGTTGTAGCCGTCAACGAGGGAGATGTCGTAGAAGGTTTGGTCGTTGTTGCTTCCGCCTCGGAAAGTGAATTCCGACACCGTCGTGGGGTTCTCTCCCTGCAGTTTTGCCGTCTGTCAGCCCAACAATACCCTTTCCATCTACCGTATCTCAGAAAAGAAGAAGAAAGACATACCGAACCAGTACAGTTCCTTCGCCCACCACAATCCCCCGTCAAACACGCCCCGCCCCGCCCATTCACCCCTTCCGCGGTCCTCGGGCCCGTCCCATCGGCGTTAAACGTGCAATTCGTCCGGCCCCAAACCCTCCCCGCCCAGTCCGAGCTCAAAAACATCACCCGGCTGGTTCCAGGGACCAACTCAAACCCATGCGATGGTGGGCCGACGCCGGTCTGCGTGACAAGCCCGGGCCATATTGACTCTTCACAGCTGTTGGTGATGGTCAACTTGATAGGGGTGCGGTTGCTGAGTGCCCCGACGGTGGCGTTGCCGGTTGAGTTGACGTTGCTGATCGTGGGGTCGGACAGGTCGGGGTTGTCAAAGCCGGATGCAGCTGCTCGCCCGCTGAGGAGAGATAAGGAGAGTAGAGCCCCGTTTGCGAGGGTGTTGATTCTATTCTTCCTTTTTCGGGTTTGACGGCTTAGCCTGGGAAGTTGGGGCCGTTCGGTCGACATTGGCGGTATAAACAGCGTTAAACTGGGTGGAATTCAGTAGGGCTAACTGGCTAGGGCGTGTAAGTCCAGGAAGGCTTCGAGAATTCGCTGGATATGCGTCGTCGGAGGCCTTGTGAGGTGAGTAAACAAAAAGATAAGATTTGCGACAAGCACAGTTTAGTATCCAAGTCTGATAACGATACTAACGAGGGGAGGGACAGTGGCCAGGACGAAAACTAAGTTGATAATATTCCAGGAAACTCCTCTATCAAGAGCGCGTAGTATAGACGAGGACGAGCAGACAAAAAAGTAAAAAATAAAAAGAGTTCAACAACCGGATTTTGACCAAACCCTCCCAGATTCCCCCAAAAGCGACATCATTCACCATCTCTAAATAGAAATCAAATCAAGAAGGGGGAAACGTGACCATCACATCCCGCCCCTGGGGTTCCCAACTTCCTTGGCTTTGCTGTGCGCCTTGTTCGGGCGGTTAAGAAGGGTGGAAGGGCAAGGGAACGGGTCAGAAAGGTCAAATCATGCGAGAGAGGAAAGCGTTGTCTTCGAACCAGGCATTGACCGGGTTTGTTGGCAGCCTATGACGCAGGAACGATTGGCTAGTCCCTAGCCCGAACCGAGACATGCGGCGGGTTCCTGGTTTTCGCGCCTTCGGGGGGAAATGGGGCGGACGCAAATTCGGGATGAACTGCGTTGAAACCGCTGAAGGGAGTGTCCCTGAAGAATATGGATGAAAATGGTGGGGGGAATGAGTGGCAAACCCCATTTTATGCCCGATGGCTGGGATGAAGCATACAGAAGGTAGTTCGAAACGCTCGACCTATTCCGGCTCGATCAAGTAACTAACCTCTTTGTGCGCCAACATTGATCCCACATCTCCGACGACATTTCCTCGCCCGCATCTTCGGTACATACATGAAAAAAAATAACAGAGAAATCGCCATTTCTAGACTGCCCTCTCCGTTCATGAAGCATTATATCACCTTTTCCATCCCACAAACCCACTCTCCATGCCCCTAATCCAAGGTCGCACATTTGCCCATTTCTCAAATGAGTGAGGTCAAACAATCACCGCCCAATCTACCGCCCACCATCCATCAAAATCTAGGGCAACATCGCCCTGGGCGCCAAAAACAGTATTCGAGGCTCACATTTGCCTGCTATGCGAAAACCCATTTTACTTCAAAGAGGTATCACGGTGAAGATTTGATGCGAGCGCGAAATGAAAACCCAGTCAACTCCCGTCGGCCATCCGACTTGACACGTTCGTTCCTTTCCGTCCTGTCCCCTTTCTTCTATCTCATCCTCTCCGTATTTACCTGAACCGTGCCCGGCAGCGGCCCATAACCTCGCCTTGGCAGACAAGCTCGGCGCTGAATTCAGAGCCGTCAAGGGTTAGGTAAATATCGAAGTAGACGCGGTAGAACGTGCCCTGCGGTGTGTCCATGCGCTCGAAGTCTTTCTCCAGGTTCTTGCGGGACAGATCCGACGTGAGTGTGACAACTTCCTTGATGCCTGTTTGGTACCATTAGCAAATGAACATAAAATACAGACCACGGCACGGTGGTGAGACTTACGCGGATCCTTGGTGTATTCTGGGCAGACATCGTCGTCACAGGCGTACAGAATATCCTCGTACATGAGGGTCGCGCCAGGCGCAACTTGCCGGAAGAAAGAAACCTTGACAGGCTCGCCAATCTTGACCTTCTGGCCTTTCTGGACGAAGATTTGACGGGTGAACTTGCAACGGTCCTTGCCATCGAGCGACGGCACGCGATACGCCTCAGGGTGGTAGCCCTCCTTAAATGGCTGCAGCGTGGCCATGAGGTAGTGCCGACGAGCGATACGGTGGGTGATGACTCTCTCGGTGATACCGGCGGTGACGGCGCCCTTGACGATGGCGGCAACGGAGTCCATGGGCCGGACGACCTTGGACTGAAACTGCGGGGGGACGTGGAGCTTGATCTGCTGGAACAGGTATTCCGACGCACCAAAACCACCAACCACCAAGATGTTCTGAAGCGTCCGGTTCTGCGCCTGGATAGCGATGATCTGATTCCGGACAAGCTCCAGGATACGGTTGACCACAGGCTCGAAGCACTGCAGAATCTCCTCGTTCGTGAAGGTCATGTACCCTTCCTCGATGCCGGCTTCGGGGAACTCGGCTTCGATACCCACATCAACAGCCCACTTCTGACCGTTATTCCGGAAGTCGGCCTTGATGCGGTTCTCGAAATCCATGATACACTTGGCGTACACACGACCTGCCGTCTTGGAACCGTCGGGCAGCTTCATCTTCCGAATCTTGGTCCGCAGGATGTTGCTGAAGTTCCGGTTCAAGGCAGTCGAGCCGCAAGAGTCACCGGAACCGGCTGTGCATTCGGCCACCGTGAAGGGGTTCTCATCCTCAACTTCGTACGCGATCAAATCCACCGTACCACCACCGCAGTCAACAATGAGAATGGCATCGTGTACCTTCAGGTTGAGCAGACCGGTCTTGGCACAGAAAAGGGAGGCCGCTTCGGGCTCGCTGACAAGTGTCAGGCGGTTGTCGTTCTCGTCCCGGAGGAATCCAGCTTGGATGGCAGCGGCTCTGGTGGCCGCCTTGCCGGCATCGTTCCAGATGGCAGGCACGGTAAGGTAGTACCTGATGTTCCTCTCTTCACGGTTGAACACCTCTCCTAGTGTCTTTTGGAGAGCTGCCCTCATCGCTTGGCGAAGCTTGAACAGGTAGTCGGCGGCCACATCGATTTCCGACTTTCCGGGTGGAAGAGGTGGTAGGTTAATGGGATCGATGTATGTGTTGCCCGACAGCATCAGCTGCAGCTTGAACCATTCCACCTTTTGCACACCAGGCTTGGGATACCCAGTCGGAGCGAGGGCATCGGCGATATCGGGGCCCCAGCCAACGACTTTTTGGTATTGATCATAGTAAAGGACGGTCGGAATCTAGGTGAGAAGAAAAGATACTCAGTCAGCACGGATGTCCACACATGCAATCGTATTCAGGGGTTGTGGGGGACAGGTTGGACGCATGCCCGCTCACCTTTTGCTTTGTGTATGAACCAGCGCCGGGCCACTCGGTGATGATGTCTTCCTTGGCCTCGTTGTTTGTCGCAAAGGCAAACGCGACACCTGAGAAGGTGGTACCCTAGGGAGAGAGAGAAGCGGTGATTAGCACAATGCGTTGTTCGTGTCGCATAAAGAGAATGGAAAGAAAGACAGGGAGAAAGACGTCGAGTAGAAAGGAGGAGTCGCTTACGAAATCAATGCCGACAATCAACTGAGCTTTGCTCCGGCTGCTACCCTCGACCTCGGCGGCGGTGTTGCGAGCGTACGGCGCAGCAGGGCCAGCAGGTTGTGGCGGCGGTGCCGGCGGATAGCCGGTCGGGCCAGCGTAGCCGGGAGGACCGCCGGCGACAGGAGGGGGGCCGCCGCCCATCACCGGGGGTGGGTACCCGGCGACGGGGGGAGCGCCCGTGTTGATGGGGGGAGGACCGTTGAGCATTTGCGACGGTGGAGTGCGGGTCGGACCTTGGTTCGTGAGCGGACTGGTACGGCCGACGGGGCCAGGAGGGCCAGGAGGGAAGTTTGCTGAGTAGCTAGGCGGTCGCGGACCAGCACCTGGATGATTCATTGGGAGACTCGTCTGGGACGGGTTGGATGCACTCGACGGGGCGGGACCCGGTCGCGAGGGGAACAGCGGCGGTATTTGAGGGGGACCCGGGGGCGGGGTCGAGGTCGGGGTGTGCAGCACGCTGGGGCTGGGACTGGCACTCCCCTGGGGCGGGTTCGGGGCGCTCGATTTCCGTTTGAAACCAAAGCCTTTCAGGCGGGAGTTCAGAGAACTCATAAGGGAAAAGGTCCGGTGGGAAGGAAAAAATTAGGGTATTAAAAAGGGTGACCGAGGGGGGCCGTCACCTACCCAGGACCTGACCAGAGGGGGTGGTGGTAAGACCGAGGGAAGGCTGCGGGCGGCGCCGGGCTGGGCAGGCCTCAGAAAGAACAAGCTGAACGGGGGGGGAGGTGCGAAAATTAGCTGTTCGATGACTGGGGGTAGGACTTCGGGTTGCAGTGGGTGGGTTCGCGGTTCATCGGCGAGTGGAGGGCTGGAGGGGTTGTCGCTGGTTTGGCTGGTACTGCTTGGGGTCGGTGTGGGCGCGGCTCGCAATGCTCAGAGAAAGTGGTTGGTCGGATCCCGTCCCATCAAAGAAGTCGTCGAATCTCGGCAGGCCCCAGGTCTGATGTGGCTGAGGAGATGGCTGCCGTGCCTTTGCCCCTGCAAACCAGGAGTGAGTTTGGTTCAATTCCTGACCGTCTGTAGGGCTGAGCCTGTTGGTCGCGAAGCACAGCCAGCCCGGGAGTGGGGAAGAGCTGGGTTCTGGTCGTTTTCAAGGTGTTCCGGGCGGTGTATGGGCAATTTACTTCGAGACGCCGTCAGCGACGGAACGAGGTGGATGGGAAAACAATGCTTTCAAGGGATCAAAGCGGCTATGGATTACAAGATCAGGTGCAATAAAGGCCAGTATTGTAAGCCCAACTCGAGGGAGGAGCCACCCGCTTCGCCTTCCATAACCAAAGCATCAAGCTGGAACACTGAGGCGTGCCTTCCAAACACAGAACGATTCGCCCCCACTTGCCCACGGTTTCCAAAGTTCAGGACGGTGGGACAGTGAGAGATACGGCCTGCAGGGGTCACCAGGAACTTCGTTGGGTTGGGATTTCGGCCAAATCTTTGTGGGCTTCCAAGGTTGTCAGGCAGAACGTCCAACTCGAGGACTCTTGGTTTGTTGTTTGGTGCTTGAGCAACCTAATTACGGGGCGGGGAATGCATAGCGGTTGGTGAATTGGGTGATTGCGAAGAGAGATATGGAGTATTGCGTCTTGAAGTTAGGGCCCGTCTTGAGGACCTGCAGCCAATACAGGGCGGCCCAACGGGCCTCGATGTCTACAGTATGGACATCGAGGTTGCGCAACAGAACCTACCTCCGCATAGGACACCTCTTATGGGTGTTCTTGCAGTCCTGGCCCGGACGAGCAAAGACTGATGAAGTGTTTCACCATCCGGTACGATCAGGTTGGCTGCTTGGTGGTTTCGACCCGAACCGCCAGCATTTGTGGTGCAGGTGCCTGACCTAAGCCTGAAGCGGGGCTTGCGGATTGGGGGAAATGGTAGGACCTTCTCGTAGGACTTGGGGACTCGCACGTTGAGCCGGCGGGACCTGTGGCTGAGGCCCGCTGCTGCTTGCCGCGAGAGCGCCAATCAACGTCAGTGGGCCCCTCTCAACCTCATTGGACAAAATCTTCCCTTGGACCGCCTGGGCGGTCCAAAGTTCCTCCTCCCTGCCTTGTCAGCCGCATCAACGACAAGACACGGGCATCCGCAGGATGATGTTGACGTTATGGAATCATCCAGGACGTGAACCGAGATGCTTGGCCTGCCGCTCGCCACTGGAGCTTATTCAGACCATTTTGAATCAACCATGTAGTGTAGGTTCCATCTTCGACCAAAATCGCGAATGTGATACCTTTTTGGGATGAGCAGTGGTGGCGGTCTTCAAGGGAATGGTTTGATTGTCAGCCCCTGGCGCTTGAGCAGTTCAATGCAAGGTGGCTGATCGCAATGCGACGCTATCGATGCAAACAAAGAATTCCTTCCCCAACCCAGCCAAAGCAGCAACCACCAACTCCTCGGTCACAACCTCACTCTAAAAGACAGATGCATTCGCGGCATCATTCAAGGGTGGAAAGTGATTTTCCAAACCCGCCCCAAACATGCATCGGTAGTGAAGAACGGCGCGCTGCAGTTTCACTTGAGTTACGCTCGCTATCCCCGAGAGCTCGAGCGGCGAGGACTAGTGTACCGCGGAGAACCAGCTAACGATTCTGTTGGCTGCCGAGTGGTGGTATTCGGAGTCTCCAGCGGCACAGCGACACACATCGACTGCCGCATATACCCCGCCATCCGGCATCAAAGGAGATGCTCCTAGTTGAAACCTTCGTGAGTGTAACAGCAGCTTCAACCGCGCGCGCAGATTGGCCAGAGATACTTTTGGCAAGATCAAATTGCTCTCAATGCCAAAGCCTAACGACACGGTTCCGTCGGCATGAGCGACGGTGCCATCCTTGCCTTTAAGGTATCACGCTCGGTCGATTCGTTTTCATGTACTTCGTAACCAGCGGATGTCGTCAAGGGATCGGGCTTGCCGCTGCGAGGTCCTTGTCTGCTTCCGTCATGGCTAGGATTTAAAGCTGTATCTGGTTGAGGCGGAAAATGGCATCCTCAAAACAAGGCCTGTCCAAGACCTTTAACTAATAGTTAGTTTAATCCTTTCGGCCCATATGATATGCACCGAAGGCGGCGAGTAAATGTAAGACCGAACTGTGCCGCTCATTCATCTAGCGTCACATTGAACCTTTGTCACCTTGAAGTTCGAAAAAGTACTTTACTTACTCTGTACGTGCAAGTTCTCTTTTGGTCCGGTTGCCCTCGTCTCGTTCGAGCGTGATCTTACTTCTCGGTCCGGGAACGACTTTAAAACTTCTGCAACCGACCGGGGCTGCTGTGTGTTGACAAGGGTCTCGGAGAACCACGCTTCATGGTTCAGGACTGGATCTCGGGACGAAAACCCCTCTTCAAATGTTCGGCTGTTCCAATTCACAGTCCAAATACATTGCATTCAAATATTGTTTTTGCTATATTCTACGTTGAAAGGGACGTGATTGGAGTTTCGGGGGGCAGCATCGCAACATCTACCGTGCCGGACGAGACACATGACAGAGTTCCCGGGAAACTGTAGTTACCTTGTACTATGAAGACTTGAGTGTGTTGGTTACACGAAAGGCGATAGGTCATTTCGCTCGTCTCGGGTTCGGATTCAGTGCAGACGATTGCGGGAGGGCATCGGGCCGACTTGTCGGATCTAACACTTCGTTTGTCCAGCGACGTTGGCGCCGTCCCTGAGTGTTGAAGGCTTTGCGGCTTTCTCACCAAAGTAAATCAAGCCTCGCACACTCCGTATTTATTTCGGCACCGTGAGAAAATACGTCCGGGGTGGTTGAGTGGTTTCAAGATCTCACCAAAACCAACAGTTCCGAGATAGATTCCACACGGCAACTTAACCTCTGTCCTTGAGTCTTGACAACCAACCCCGTCCGTCTTTAACCATGGCGTCTCCCTCATCGGCCCTCATCGGCGCTATCGGCACCAGTCAACCCCTTGCACAACCGATCTCCACACCCAAATTTGTATTAGGGCGGTCTGGGGGCCAATGGCTTTTTCAAAACTTGGTTCCTTCAGTCGTTTCTACCCACCTCTGCGTTTCCATATTGATCGCGTTCTCGAAAAGCCGTCCATGTATCACTTTTCCCGCCGCCGAATCGCCGGAAGATCCCAGAAGCGAAACAAGCGATAACCGGGCGCCCCATGCGATAGCGAAAACGACCTTCAAGCTAAACAACGCCGGGAAACAGACAAGTGGATAACCCTTTTAGTGCCAACCGCTGGCGCGTCTACGGTTCCAGGACCCAGGACAGCAACCTCCGTCGTTCGGCCCTTCCCTTCCCGCCTTGCGTCTTTTTTGTGTCCCCAGTGACTCCGTCGACGTACTCCGTACCAGGAGGCTGGAACCCAGTGTCCCCGCAGCGAAACCTCCAACGTGGACATTTTTCGTCAGCAACTCGGCGCGTGAGGAGGGGGCATCCATGGTGGGAGCGTGAAGGCGTTTATGGAAAAGTGAGAGAGGAAAAGAATTAGGTGTTGATGAATCAGCCCTGACCTCCGCAACACGCCAAGGCCGCTGGGGGTTTTGTTCTCTCCGGATCTTCGGGAAGCCAATTGGGTCTCCCTTCTTCCGGGTTCGACGGGCTGAGGCGAACTGCAGCCATCGCCCAAACTAACACCGCATAATTGGCCGGTTCTCGCAGGCGGCGTTCGCGGCTGCTCGCTCCGCTGTTTGCGTGGTTGCGAACTGCGCGGGTTCTTACTGAGAGGGAATTTCAGGAAGAGCCGGTACATGCGGGCGCGGGCTCTTTGATGCTTGAGCAGTGCGCAACAGCAGCTGCAACCCACCAATCCATGATCTGCTTAGCCGACTGACATCCCAATCCGGGCCGTTTTCACTTGGCCCTCCATCGAGTCCCCGTCGGCTGCAGGGAGCCGGCCCCAGCACGACCCCACGAGTTTCCCAGCCGCTAAACCACTCACGGACAATCCCCTGCAACCGTCACAACGTCATCCCCAAGCTTGCCCGGCGCCTTGGGGCGTCCGGCCGCTGTTAAGAACCCACCACCAGCAGCGGCCGGTTGCCAAAAACCCAATTCGCGCAACTATCATGATCTTGTATCACCTAGCTTGGTTTATCTGTGTTCCCTAGGGTTTCTCATCCTCACATCGGTAAGTTTTTGGTTTGTTCTGTTCAGCGCATCCCCCGAGCTTCCCCAGGGGGTAGACGGAACTCCAAGGGAAGGGAAGACCGACCTGGGGTAAGCTGGAGGCTGCTGTCAAGTCGCACGCGAGGCCAAATTTAGTGCCCCGCATCAGCTACCCGCGCCGCCATCAGAATGCCCCTCCATCCCCCACCAACAAACAATTCTACGACATTTGCATCATACCAACAGCCGCTCCTCCGAGCTCCTGCGCTTGCAGCCGACCCGATTACCCCCTGCATGGATTTCTCAAACATTTTATCTTGCAGCTAACAGCGCCCTTTCCCAGCTCTTCTTCCATCACACTGCGCGTCACTATTCGTCATCTCCCGTGAAGCCTCGCATTCCTGCTCAAAACGCTGTCCACTATTTCCCTGCCCCATCCAGCCACGAATCGAGAACTTGCGAGTATCCACACCCCTTTGCGACCGCAGCACCTCTCTCCAAACCGCTCGCCATGGCCCTCGAAACCGAGACAGACTCCATTGTCCAGCAATTCGAATACTCGGACAATGATGTCAACAAGGCAGTGAAGGAATTCCTCCGCCAAGCGGGTAGGTGTTTTGTGCGGGATTCTAAGCGCACAGTGTAGGAATTGGCCGTGAAGAGTATATCGCTAATGTGTTGCGATGGTCAGACGAGGGACTCGAGAAGGATGGGACAAGCTTGAGCCAAATTCCGACCTATGTCACAGCCGTACCCAATGGCACTGAGAAGGTACGTTCGGAGGAATGTGAGACAATGCCGGCGTGCACCCCGTTCTAATGTTTGCTACGACAGGGGTTGTACATGGCCGTCGACCTCGGTGGTACGAATTTCCGCGTGTGCTCGATCCAACTGCTCGGCGACGGCACCTTCAGCCATACGTACAACAAGGTCGCCGTCCCGAAAAACTTGATGGTGGCTAAGAAGGCGGAGGATCTCTTTGCCTTTTTGGCTCAGGAGATTAAGAAGTTTCTTGAGGAGCATCACAGCGAGGATTTTGAGCACCACATCCGTCGTCGCATGACCGTCAGCTCTCCAGATGGATTCCGGGACGAACACATCTTCCGCATGGGGTTCACTTTCAGCTTTCCCGTCAAGCAGGTTGGAATCAACAAAGGCACCCTCATCAGGTGGACCAAGGGTTTCGACATCCCCGATGCCATCGACAAAGATGTGTGTGCGCTTCTGCAGGCCGAAATCGACAAGCTCCATCTCCCAATAAAGGTGGCTGCTCTCGTTAACGATACCGTCGGCACGCTCATGGCGCGCTCGTACGCCGCTCCGGGAAAGAATGGCTCTGTGCTGGGTGCCATCTTTGGCACGGGTACCAACGGCGCTTACGTCGAGAAGTTGTCGAAGCTAAAGAAGCCCCTGGCCGGCGACTACGACCAGTCAACCGGGGAGATGGTGATCAACACGGAATGGGGCTCGTTCGACAACCAGTTGAATGTCCTGCCGACGACCAAGTGGGATGCTTCCCTGGAGAAGGACAGCTTGAACCCCGGTTTCCAAATGTACGAGAAGCGTGTTTCGGGCATGTTCCTGGGCGAGATTCTTCGTCTCGTCGTTGTCGAACTCCTGAACAATCCCGAAGTCTCTTTCTTTAAGGACGAGAACTCGAGCTCCAATGACCGGGGATCAGTAACCATCATTTCGCGGGACTCGGGTCTGTTCAAGCAATGGGGTCTGGACACAGCCATCATGTCAACGGCCGAACTCGACCAAGATCCAGAGCTCACTGGCCTGCGTCAAGCTCTCGAAAACAACCTCCACGTCTACGCCCCCGCGTACGAGGATGCCCTGGCGTTCAAGAAGGTTGCGCACGCCATTGGCCGCCGCGCCGCGCGTCTCTCGGCCGTCGCCATCGGCGCCATTGTACTCCAGACCGGCAAGCTCAACGACAAAGACGTGACTGAAGAAGACCCCATTGACATCGGCGTCGACGGCAGTCTAGTCGAGCATTACCCAGGCTTCCGCCCCATGATCTACGAAGCCCTGCGCGCCATCGACGGCATCGGCGAGGAAGGCGCCAAGCGCATCCGCATCGGCCTCACCCAGGACGGTTCCGGCGTCGGTGCCGCCCTCATTGCCCTCGTGGCCGCGGGCATGGAGAAGAATGCGAACGCCGAGTACATTGGCGAGCTCCGCTCGACTTCCAAGGCTGCTGCCGCTACGGACGGGTCGGCGGACGAGAAAGCAACCAATTCGGACTAGAAGTCTCGTTGGTTGTGGTCGCGAGCGGCTGCCCGTCATTCTAGGTCTGCGATCGAGGACCGGTTGACCAGAGTATGTGACGTCATGTAACGACAATGTGGGCGTAGCCAGACCTACATACGTGTACTACGCAGGTGCAGTTGCCTGTTGACGCAAGTCGTGACTGATTATGTGGTAACCTACTGCTGCAGGAGGTCACACGACAGGGGTCAAAGGGGACTGTGTGGCGTCTGTGAGCTGGGATGGAGTAGCTGTGTATACGTTAAGATGTTTCACATCCAACTGTACGTTGTGCTGTTATCGTTGCTGTTTGCATTCGGGAGAAGAGCTGGGTTTTGGGTTCAGCAATATGGCTTTTTGCATCGTTTCCGGGCGCGTAATGCATCGAATAGGGCTCAGAAACATGTCAGATCTCAAGGACGGAAAATCGTTATAGGGTTCTGTCTTTTTGCAGCGAAGAAAAGCAAGCAAGAGGAAGACAATAGGGCGCTACACGAGCAGGTTGGGAATTGGGATGGTATGGGGCGTGGGGAGGAGGAATCAGCGCTGGTTTGCTTTTCATAAATAAGCCTTCTCCGTTTGAGGTGCCGGCAGCTAGATACCTCAGTTAGCTACTTGGCTGCGCTGATTGTCGGTACCTTGTGAGCTAGGGGCTCAGCGTAGAGTAGGTGTCTAAAAGTATGTTTCAAAAACTGGAAGGGGTCGTCCGTCGTCTGTGTGACTGTGCGTAAAGTGTGTTCATCGGCTTGTTTCTTCTATGTTCTATTTACACCTACGTCTTGCCCCCTTGGCTCGAACGTAGGTAGCGCCCACATTTCTAGCTTGTCACTGCATAGCATGCTGTCCATCCAATGACACCGGAACCTCACGCCACATATCCATGCAACCCAGGCGGGATACCTGCTTATCCAAACGTAGGCGAGGTGATCGCCCCAACAACCATCGGGCCAATAGACCCGCACCTGGGTCTCCTGTCCTCCGCGTCCAATGCGCTTGTTACGGCCCAAAAGCAGCCGAAGGATACGTCCTCTCCCTCTTCTTGCGTCCCGTCGTAGAGCTACTACGTGAGCTAGCATTGGATCCCGACGCAGCGGGCGGTCCGTTCCCACCGAGTCCAGCCGTCCCTGCAATTGATATTGGTGGTGGTGGCGATAGGTGCTGTTGGGAAGCGGTACCAATCAGACTGGTATTGCTATTCCTGGGCGCGGTCGCTGTGCTGACCATGTCGGCGGGGAGATCGTTCCATTCTGTTTGAGGGCGGGCGTTTTGGAAGGAGAGAGAGGAGGCGCTTCCGGCGGGTGAAGGAGAGAGGGTTGTCGGAGAGCGGCGGGGTGGGGGCGCAAGTTTGCCGGTTGATGATGGTGCAGCAGCTGCCGCTGCTGCAAGGAGTGGTTGTGACACCGGGCCAGTAGGGGGTGTTGCGGCTGTTGTGTTTGATACACTCTCTGGAGCATGAGTGCCATTGATATTTGCAGCTGGCCCGATATGTCTGCGCACGACCCACGCCGTATCGGGTCGTAACTTGAAGTAGTACCCCTTTACCGGCTCGGCGCCTTCGCGCGTAAACCCCCTAGATTCATACCACCGAAGCCCTTCCTCATTCTCGGTCCAGACGTGAGCGTAGACAGTCCGTGCGTCAACGTTGCTCCCTGCCGCGGGTAAGAGAACCGCAGTCGCGATGATGTGTTCAAGCGCAGCGGCTGCAAGGCCCAGCGAGCGATAGGGAGAGAGCAGGGTAAGGGATTGGATATAGATAGCGTGATACGGTGTATCAGCCGGGACGACGGGAGACTTTTGTGGATGAAGTAGCGCGGCTGGGTGAGCCAGGGCCTGGCCCTGACTGTCGAGATACGGGTTCGGCTCGATACGACAGATCAGACCTCCGATGACCTTGGGTGTGTCGGCGGCCGAGTCCTGCCAGAGGATGGCGCGTGAGAAGAGCCCGGACACGGCGGGATCTAGGGCCTTGGCGTAGAACGAATCAGGGTAGGCAACGGGTAAAAGGAGGGAGTTGATGCGTCGGAGAGCGGGTATGTGGTGTTCTGCGAGCGGCACGACGGTTGCGCCTGAGGGTAGGGAGGGCGGAACTGGCAGAACTGGGACGCCATTGGGAGGAAGTGTGATAGAGATTGGGGCGGAACTGGGACCTGTTGGGTTGGGAGCAGAGGACGCTTGCGCGGAGGGAGGAGGGGGAGGCGCTGGCGGTGCTGGTGGTGACGACGATGTTAGCTGTGCATCGACATTGGTGTTCGTTGGCGGGGCAGTCGAAGCCGATGGTGGGGCAGCATATTCGGGCAGACGCCGAGGCGTGAAGAATGAGCGGATCGAAGACTGTTGGGCACGCGACATGGTGAGATGCTGGAAGGCCTGAGCGGTACCTCCCCCGGGGCCGGATCGTGTGGAAAGGGTTGAGAAGTTGTCCTGCGACCCACAGGGCGAAATTGGAGGTTCTTAAAAAAAGAGTGAACGTGTTCTTCGAACGATCGGCCCGCACCCGGAGGCCTTGAGCCTCGATTTTTAGCAATCATCACATGACCGACCCAAATCGTAAATCCTCCCACGGTTGAACAATATCACAATCGCGCTGTACTCCTACAGCCAAATACCATACCTTTCATTAATTGAACATTTACGCTGTAGCGGTCTTCGACAGTCATGGAGTTTACCGACTCCCTACAGCCGTCGCTGTCTACACAGCCGTCGCTATCTACTGCCGCGACGTCAATTACGTCGGACGAGCAGGTTCCAGTAGTCAAATTCACAACAATAAAGGAGCTTTTTCAAGAGATCAACGCGACTTCTAGCGATGTTTTAATTGTTTCAGGTGAGTATTTTCAACTTCTTATAAATGTAATAGAATATTTTATTAACCAGATATATATAATTAGACATATCCCCCAACGATGTAAATGAAATCCATCGTGCAAGAGATGAAGCCTGTCGAGGATTTCGGCTGTCGTACCTTGAGCCCTCCACAAAGAGGCTAGAGATTACGATTCCGAATTCGCCACATGAAGCCGCTCACGGAGCCATTTATGCCTTTATCACCCACAAGATGATCACAATGGGACTCGCCAGTCGGTGGAAGGTGGAAGGCGCTACTCGGTACACATCCACCCAGAATAACAACAGTGAAGCTGAATCAGATAGTGCTGGAAAACCAATACCAGACCGCCCTAGGAACGGATGGCCTACCTTAGTCATCGAGGCTGGGTATTCCCAGTCTCTGGCGAGCCTAAGGTCAAAAATGGAGTGGTGGTTTGACGCCTCTAACCATGAGGTCAAGATTGTTCTCCTCGTCAAAGCCAACCGGGTTCAACAATCCATCTTGATCGAAAGATGGGAAGAGGGACCTAGTACAGCTCCTCGTCCCGGCGCAACAACCACACGATCCGTTACATCAACCATCGGGCCAAACTGCCGCCAGGAAATCACCATCACCAAGGACACAAGCAGCAGTCCGCCGCAATACCAAGTTAATAGTACTGATTTGGTACTGTCGTTCCGGTTACTTTTCCTCCGTGAACCGGGCCCCCAGGAGGGGGATATAGTGGTAACAACTGCGGAGCTTCAGTTGTGTGCGGCGCAGATCTGGTATGATGTGGTTTAAGGCCTAGTTATCTGGTCATTGTTTCCCAGCCTCCCGGCCGCCCACCGCCTTTTTTTGGCCCTGGCAGAATTTTGGCCACAGGCGGGTTCGCTTTGCGGGTCACTCAGCGCCGTGCGGCTGCGTTGAGGCCCCAAGATCGCATTGAACTTGCGCAGCTGCTATTCATCTATTGTCGAATGGAGAACAATAGGTATAGAAGATTTTGGTACCCCGTTCCATCATCATCCTCACCAAACCTGAAGCTGTTTATCCACATCGGTGCCGGCAGTGGGCCAATCCAACAATAGCGTACCTTAGCCTGTAATTCGGGATTGTCTGCATGCACAACCTATGGCCGGTTTCCACTGATGAGCCTCCACCAGGTGGGCAACCAGCCGGCCGCCTCATTCCTTTCAGCGAACCTAACTGACCCACCATGACAAAGTACATTAGCAACGGCTTCCATACCTGAGCTGGATCGCATTGCCACCACCAAACTTCCCCTCCTTCATTCAACCGTTCATCAAGAATTCCAATTCATTTCACTCGGGTCTCGCAAGTGACCTAATTGTCTTCTCATCTTTCTTCCCCATCGCCCCTTCTTTTTGAGCCTCGGTGTTCGTCGGGCTGGCCTGTCGCAAACCGAGCGCAGCAAGAGGCTGAACCCTGGCCTTTTTCGCCCATTTCCGATTGACGCTACTGGGCCTCGCGCCAGAGCACCCGCAGCGACACCGAGCGAGGCCCAAAAATTTGGAGGCCGGGTCAACCAAGCTTCGACGGCACTGCCTGCCGCTTGGATGACAAGCCACAACACTCTCACGAGACCACCGACTCTCCGTTCCCGCCTCCACACAGCCACCATGTCGTCGGAAATTGGGGAGACTGGCAAGGCCGGCATTGTTGTCGCGTCCGAGGATGCGGCTCCGGCCGAGAAACTTGTAAGTCGACCATCGCCCTTTCCGCGGGCCTTCTCGTTCGCCTTGGGGAATCCGCACACTCCCGGCTTGCTGACCCGCCCCCCTTTCCCCGTTACAGGCGCATTCGCTGGTCGACGACCTGCTGTATAACGTTGTCCATGACCTCCTCCTAAAAGTCCACCGCGACGAGAAGATTGCCCGCGCCAATACGGCCGCCATCAAGGTCGAGAAGCTGGCCAAGAGCACCAACGCCGACCCCAAGCCCGACGTCGAGATCGAGACCGACGCCGCCATCTACAAGGACGGCCGAGTTACCCTCAAGAGCAACCCTCTCAAGTCGACGAAAGAGATCCTTTGTTCGAAATGTCACCTCCCGCGCCTTCTCCACCCGACCGACGGCAAAGGTGCCAAGAAGCCTGACCCGGGTGTCATCTACTGCAAGAAACACCCTTATATCGATAAGCAAGGTTACGACATCTACGGCCAGACTTGGGTCGCTCCCGGCCCCGGTCGCGGCAAGAAGAAGAAGGACCAGAAACTAGACCCGAATGACCCGAGCTCGCCCGCTACTGGCCTCGAGGGCAGCGCGAAAGATCGACCCGCCAATGTGCTCAGCTACCCCAGCGCCACCTGTCCCAAGTGCAAACGCTGCATCCTGGTGACGCGCCTCAACAACCACATGGGCTCATGCATCGGTAACAGTGGCCGTAACGCGAGCCGTGCCGCCGCCCAAAAGATCAGCAACGGCAGCAACGCCGGGAGTCAGAACAATGACAACACCCCGCCCGGCAGCCAAAAGGGCACGCCACGCCCGAGCAGTCGCGCCCCGAGCCCGCGCAAACGTGACGGCGACGAGTTCGACGAAGACGCGGAGGACTCGGACACGACCAGCAACCACAACGCCGCGGTCAAGAAGAAGAAGTTCAAGCCCTCCAACAACAAACTCACCAAGGTCATCCTCAAAGCCAAGAGTCCCGCGATCGCCGGCAACACCAAGAAAGAGGCCAAAGCCAAGGGTAGTTCGTCCCTCAACGTCGAGCAGAAGGCCAGCAACGACTCCAAGACCAACGGTAACCACAACGCCAAAGACACCTCCACTGTCGAGGTCGCCCCCAAGAAGCAAGCCCCCAAGTCCGGCAACGCCGGCGGTGGTAACAACGCGTCGCCTGCGAAGAAGATTAAACTGGGCTCGTCCAAGCCGCCCCTGTCATCATCTGCCGCGGGCGGGAAGAAAGGAGGGATCAAGCGGGATCGTGACGTGGAGAGTGAGTCGTCGGGGACCGTGCCATCGCCCCCTCCTCGCTAATCTTCTTTTCACGATCCCGTTTCGTCTCCCCTTTCCCTTTTCTTCTTCGTCGTGATGTCTTTTTAACGGGCTGCATTTTGTGTCATCAACGAACGGCATGGTCTTTTGTCATTTGGTCTTTCTACACATCGCATCGGGCGGTTTTAAACGGTGTTAAGGGGGGTCGGCGGGCTGGGAATACCTCTTCTGCGTTGGCTTTTGATTGATATGTTCCAATCTTCCGTTTTGTTTTTTCTCTCTCTCTCGGGGTTTGACCTGGCTTTTATGGAAAGGGCAGGTTGGTCTAGGGCCGGCTGGTTTGGTTCGGGCAGGGCGGTTTGGCGCTCTCAAGTTTCACCCCCCGTTTGGTGTTTTTCTCTGCATATACGCGGGAATTGAATTGATACTATGAATGACCTCCATGGCGGTTGGGACATGCACGGCGATCATCATCCTGGGTTGTTTTCTTGTCTCGCCTTGTCTTCTTTTGTTCCCTGGTCCTGTTTGAGACCGACGTGGGGAAAGTGGAAGTATACAGAGAGAGTTTGTTGACCCGTGGCGCGGATGGATAGCACGAGCAAGGCCAATGACTGGTAATATGTTGTTTGGCAACGTCGGGTTTAGCTCCGGTTTCGTGCTCCAACCAGTTGAGCGTAGAGCGGCAGTTGGATGTGGGCTACAATACGGTGATGGCTCCCCTCAGCTTGTCCTTTACTCTGCCTGCTGTCTGCCGGCCCGTCTAGTCGCGCGGAGGCGGCTTCTCTGTCTCTACTTATTTCTACTTTCTCCTTCCATGACAGACGAGTTCTACTCCTCGTTCATGATCGATTCATTGGTTGACGGGTTGGAAGGCATTCATCTCCATGTATTATAATTTTTTCTCTGGAGATACAAAGTAGGGAAAAGCTTAAGAATTCATCTGTGTGTCTGCGATCTAGGTGTTTCCCGTTCTGGTGGCCAAACATAATAGTGAATCTGCATCTTGGATTCAATAACTAAGAAACTTGATCGCTCAGCAGATTTCAACCAACCTCCAAACTAAACACACAAAACCTCAAGCGGCCTCAATCCCAGATCTCCCCCACTATCACTTCCCTTCAAATCTCATATCTCTTCCCCCTCACCCACCACAAAAGCCCGAACAATGCGCACCTCCGTCTTCGGCCGATCCTCCCCATCCACAGGCACCAACCCCATCCGCTGCAGCACCCGAATCCCCTTCTTCACCCGCCCAAAAATAGTATGCTTCCCATCCAGCCAAGGCGTCGGCGCGAGCGTCAAAAAGAACTGGCTGCCGTTCGTGTTGGGCCCGGCATTGGCCATGCTGAGAATCCCCGCGCCCGTATGCTTCAGGTCGTCGCGGATCTCGTCCTCGAACTTCTCGCCGTAGATGCTGCTGCCGCCGCGGCCTGTGGCTGTCGGGTCGCCGCCTTGCACCATGAAGTCCTTGATGATGCGGTGGAAGATGGTGCCGTCGTAGTAGCCGCGCGTTGCGAGGGTGGAGAAGTTTTCGCAGGTGCGCGGCGCGTGGGAGGTGTAGAGCTCCACGAGGATCGTGCCCTGGTGGGAGGTTAGTAATGTGGTGCGGTATATGATTGAGTAAAATAAAAATACCATCGTGGTTTCTAAGGCGACGTCGGTGGCCATGTTTGGTGCTGTGGGTGCGAAATGGTCTGTACTGCGCGTGGAATGAGAGCTTCGTTGTTTAGTTTCTGATGGAAAACGCCAACAGTAGCCGGGAATTGAAGGATTTGATTGAAAGGGTCTCAACTACTACGAGAGGTGTACCAATCATAAAACACGTCAAACCCAACAGTTGTGTGTTGGTGATTATGAGTTCTTCGTAACGGCACTCCTCGAACAATGACATGGGTGGAGGACAAATGGTATGAGAAATGTACGCCGGGATGTAATTAATCTCAGTATCAATACGGTAATCAACACAACAACACAGTCTTTTTTTCTCGCAAACTCATTACGGAGACAACCTACACTCTTTTATTCGTTTTATGATCGAGATATCTGACTTTAACGAGCTCTGTATAACAATAACACAATTTGAAAATGACAGTAGGATGTATTCCTAACCGAAAAACTCACAATTGAGACAGGGAATAGTTAACACAACGCCAATTCTTTGTCGAATTTAGCGGCTAACAAAACTAACAAAACATTCAACCTTTTACACTCTCTCGCCACAGCTTTTCCAACACAGCCTTTCTCAGCAATAACTTCCCCTCGGCTTGTTTCTGTAACGCTGGGAATGCAGTCATGACCTCGAGACCATTCAGACTTGGAGACCGTTTTACATAATGTCATAGGTGCATTGTAGGTTGCTTTGGTCTCTCTGCTACAAACACCGAAAAATAACCGCCGCTTTCGAAATCCACAATATCTGCACACCCAACGCCCCTAGAAAGAAAGAAGAATGGAATCGTAAACCGTAGCAAGCGCTGGGACGTCAATGAGAAGAAAGATAGAGTTAGAAAAAAAAAAGAGCAAAAGAAATGGCATCCTCCTCCGGGAAGGCTCGAACTTCCAACCTCCTGATTAACAGTCAGACGCGCTAGCCAATTGCGCCACAGAGGATGCTAGCCAAATTGCTGATTGATGGACCTCAAACACGTGACCCATATAACGTTCACAGCAGCAGCAGGTGGCCCCCTTACTTTTCATATAACCACAATAACCCCCTTTGGTGGTCCAACAACAACAGCTTTCTTCGTGATGCTCGAGTTCATTATCACCCCAAATTGTTTGAAGTGAACCTCAATTAATAACCTTAGGACAATAAAATACAACGTAGCTCACACGCCAAAGTGGTATTACACGAAATAACAGCTGTCTGTTTCCAGTAGACAAAAAAAAAAGAACCATGTTGCCAGCTCCAACCAACCCACCAACCTCGACAAGGCATTTCCCAGAAATCCCCGATACCAATGTGCAGCAGAACACACCCAAACCGCCGGCCCTCACTCAGTTCATCATCATCACCCGTGCCACATCGTCATGACGTAACTTATCCCAAAAAAGATATACCATCCATACAAAAACCTTAACATCACCGCCCATTTTCATGCCCGGTTTTACAAAAAGCCCTTTGTCATGGAAGGCACCCTACTAAGACTGCTCTTCCGCTGGGGTATCTTCACCGGCTCTTCCGAGGCCCAACCAACATGCCGACTCCGCATACTACCGCCAAACACACTCCCCGCGACAGAGCCTACATTGCTCCCTTTCTCCATCCTCAGCCTCCACCCTTCAATCTCCCTTTCCAACTTGAGCGAGCGCTCCTTTTCCTCGCGTAGCTCGCGCTCAGATCGGCGCGCTGCGAGCTCGTTGTTGCTCTCTGAGGCCTGCAGCTCCTCGATGGTTTGCAGCAGCTTATCCATCTTGTCGCGCATGCGGCCCATGTCCTCGGTAAGCTGACTGTTCTGTTTGTCCTTGCGGTCAATCTGAGATTGTAGGTCCTTGACGATGCGATCAACGTTGCGCACCGAGCGCTGGGACTTGCTGCGCTCTGATTCATGTTCCTCGAGCTGAGATTCGAGCTGCAATGTCGGTTAGTATTTGACAATTCGGTCTATGTGAGTGAAGTGAGAAAGGAAGCCTTACCTCTTGGATCCGCTTGTGGAGGAATTTGATGTCGTTGCTGGCCGTCGAGTAACCCTTAGTCTCAAGGTCGATAAGCTTGATTTGCACCTCGTTCAGCGACTTCTCCAGAACAGCCTTTTGCTTCTGCAGCTCTGCCCCCGCCTCACGCTCGGCAACGATATCCTTCTGGATCTCCGAGACCAGCGACTCTGCGCGGCGCATCTTCTCCACCGCTGCCGCCGCGATGTCCTCCTGCTGCGCGAGCCCGGCCTTGAGATTGAGAATCTCCTTGTCGATGTTCGCAGCGTTGCGAAGCGACGGGCTCTCGCCTTTGGCAAGCTCTTCCAAACCAGCCTTGGCCTCCTCCAATCTGGATTCAACACTGCGCTTCTCGCGGATGAGGCTCTCCCGCTCGGCGGTGATTTCATCCACCGAGGACCGGAGTGAGCGCACCTGCGACAAGAGGGACACGATCTTGCCTTGCGCCTCGTTATGCGCAGAAACCGCCTCGTCGCGGGACGCCACGACATCTGACAAGGTCGTTTGCAGGCGGGCCTTCTCCTTAGACCAGGTCGAACTGTTGAGCACTTCGTCGTCCCACTTAGACCGGAGCTCGTCGAGTTCCTCCCGTAGCCTCGTGATCTCGGCCTGCTTGAACAGCTTCTCTTCCCGGGTGAGATCCAACTCTTTCGTGAGCGTGGCAAACTCAGCCTGGTACTTCTTGCGCAGCTGCTCCATGCTCGATTCTTTGTCTTCCACATCGTTGGCCCGCTGGTTGCGGTAGTCCTCCAGCTCATGCTGCAGTCTCTTCTTGGCCTGCGTGGTTGCATCCAAGTCGGTTGACATGTCTTCAATCTTCTCTTCGAGCCTTTGTGCCTGGTGCTGGAGATCTTCGATTGTGGTGTCAAGACGCTTTCTCTCTGCCATCATCTCCGCGCAATTCTCCTCCGCTTCCCTGGCTTGCGTCTTGGCAAATTGCTCGGCACGGTTTGCTTTGAGCACCGCAATTTCAGCCTGTTCGAGCTTGTTGAAGTACTCGTCTGCACGACTCTTGTAAAGATTGAGACTAGAAGTCACGTCAACGAGCTTCGAAGTCTCGGCATCCAGGCGAATTTGAAGGTCCGTAAACTCTTCGAGCAGCTGGCCGCGGCTAGCAGCCTCTTGCTCTCTCGCAATGGACATCTCCTGGAGATCCGACTTCGCGTCGCGGAAGTCAACCTCAAGTTTTGCCCGGTCGTGTCTCAACCTCTCTAGGTGTCCCTTCATGTCGGTCAGTTCTGCAATAGCATCGTTATGGCTATGCAGAAGCACCCGACGAGAGTCCTCCTGGGTGTGAAGGAGATCAAGGATTTCCTCGTGGGATTTGGTTTGGATGTCTCGGAGCGATAGTTCACCGGCGTGCAGAGCTTTTTCCAGCGCAGAGACCTGCTGGCTGGATTTGTCGAGCATGTCGTGTAGCCTTCCATTGGCTTGCTCTAACTTGCGCATCCGACCAGTTTCATCGGGAAAGGCACCTGAGGAATCGGTGGATGCCGAGCGCTCGAGCTGACTTTGGAGGTGTCGGTTTTGCATCTGCGCGAGTTGCAGCTGGTTTTGAAGCTCTTCCACGTCGGCCTTGAGATCCATGCGGTTGTTAAAGCTCAAAATATCGGCGGTCTTATCGGAGCGGACCGAGTCTTGAAGGTGATCGGTGTCTGGAACGGCGAACCGGCGTGGTGGCGTCGTGACATTCGAATAGTGGCGCCCATTGGGTTTGGACCGCTGCTCGTGGGACGGCATGTTGGACGGTCCCTCGTCCAGATTCAGGTCCTCGAGCCCACGCCGGGTGGGAGATTGGTTCCTGGCGGCCCTTAGCTCGGCCACCTGAGCTTCTGCGTTCGCGCGAGCGGCTGTCTGGACTCGCAAGTTCTGCTGGAGCTCTTCGATCTTCCGCACCAGGTCGAAGTTCTTGGCGATGAACTTATCAGGGCCAACATCTGTCTGAATAGGGGGCGTTGCCTCGGGATCCACCGTCCTCAGAGCATTGAGTAACTGCGTCCGCAAGTCTGCGAGTTCCGAATCTCGGGAATCCAATGCAGACTGCAGTGTGCGGACAGTCCCTTGCGCTTGTGTCCGAAGCTGCTTTTCCGACTCGATGGTCCGATTGGCCTCTGCTAGCTGAGCTGTGAAGTTGGACGACGCCTTTTCGGCGTTACGGCTGCTCTGCACCTCCCTGGCCACTTCATGGTTAAGATCTTCCAAGTTGAGCTGCAGCTTCTCCAAACGCTTTTCAAGGGAAGCAATTGTGACGTGTGAATCTCCGAGCTGTTTGTTAAGCTTGGTGTTTTGCTCTTCCAGCTTCGTCTTCTCACGCTGCAGAGACAGAACCTGGCCACGCGAAGCTTCGCTCGCCCGCGATGTTGACCGCGCAATTTCGAGTCCCTTTTGCTGTAGCTTGTTGAGGAGAGCACGGTTGTCATTTTCCGAGGCAGTAAGACGGCTCTTGACGGTGTGGAGTTCTCGCTCCATCCGCTCCTTAGCCTGGTCGTTTTTCAGCCCGAACTCTCCAGATTCCAGAATCAATTTGTTGAGATCTTCGACCTGGTGGTTGAGCTTGGTGCATTCCTCCTCAAACCACTTGAGGCGTTCATGCGCTGCAACAAGGTCTTTGTGCAGGCTCTCTTCGCGCTCCCGCGCCACTTTGAAAGCAGCGCGCTCTCCAACAACCTCGGCCTCACGGCGAGCTTCTTCGGCTTGAGTCTTAGCAACACGGAGACGGCGGATCTCCTCGCGAGCATCGTCTCTTTCTTGTTCTGCTGTCGTCCGTGCTTCCATGGTGCGACGCAGGGTGTCTTGTTGGGCATAGAGCTCCTTCTCGATGGTGATCTTTGACTCGTTCAAGTGGTCGTACTCATCCTTGAGGGTCTGATACTTGTGTTCGCCAAGAAGTTGTACATCATCCCGAGACTGGCGCTCCCTACTGAACTCCATTTGAGTGTTGTACAGCTCGTCCTTGAGGTCCTTGATCTGGGCTTCGAGGACTTGGCGGTTCTCGTCGGCTTGGGAGTCTTCTGAAAGCCTGGCTTCAAGCAGTCGCTTCGCATCCTCCGCTTCTCGGTGGAGTTGAGATTGTTGAGATTTCATGGCGGTAAGTTGCGCTTGGACTTCGTGCAGGCGCTCAGTCGCCTTCTCTCTCTCCAGGCTCAAGGATTTCATGTGGTCCTCGAAGTTGCGTCGCTCCGTATCGAGCTTCCTATTGTCGGAGCGGAGAAGAGCCAATTCGCTCTCCTTCTTCCTCACGAGATCCTCATAGTCGGTGGATGTCTTCGACAGTTGCGTAAGCTGCTGCTGGATCTCACGATTTTCCGCACTGAGATGCGAATTCTTGGTCCTCGACGATTGTAGTTCCTTTTGAGCAGTCATCAGCTTGACCTCGAGATCCTGGTCCGTCTTGAGCAACTTGGCTTCCAGATCGCGCGCCTTGCGATCCTTTAGGGAAAGCTGGCTTTGCAACATCTTGATCTCGCCTTCAAGCGCGGCCTCTTGCTCGCTGCGTTCAGACTGTGCCCTGGAGATGTCTTCAATGGCCCGCTCAAGATCCTCGACCCGTCCAGCGAGCTCGGACTTCTCGTTCTCCAGTCTGGCGATGATACCGGCTGCTTGCTCCAATTGGGTGCGGCAACGCTCCACGTCATCCTCAGCCCGTTTCTTGGCCTCGAGTAGATCGTCTAGCTGGTCCTCAAGCTTTTCTTGATCCTCGAGAGCACCCGCAAGCTTATCTTCGAGCTCCGATTCCCGGAGCTGAAGCCGCTTGAAAATCTCCTCCTTGTCGAGGGCCAGAGCCCGTTCGCTCTCCAAGGTTTGTTGGATCCGGAGCATCTCAGCATGCACATTCCTCCGCTCGTCTTCCAACTTTTGCCGGTTTTCATGTTCGAGAATCATCTTTTCGTTCAACTGGCGGATCATGTCATCTCGCTTCTTCACTTCCGCCGCAGTCCGCGTAGCACCTAGAAGAGGCTTCATGCGGACAAGAAGTTGCCACCAGGGATTGTCGCAAAGGTCATTGTAGACTTGAAAGTTGCGTTGAATGACTCTCGTTGCCTCAGCTCGGTATAGTCGCTTGAACGCAATCCGACGCTGCATGTAACCCCGTGCTACGGACTGGAATTTGGACATGATTTCACGGATGAGGGCGTCACGTTGTTCTTCAAGCTCGGCAAGGACACCGGCGCGGAAGAACACCTTGGTGAGACCGATGCGGTACAATGACCGGTCGAGGCTGAACCGGTCTAGCATAATTCTGGCGGCCGCCTGGCCTTCAATGTAGCCCTTCGGCATGTCTCGGCAAAGGACCTCATATCGCTGGCGGAACTCGGCAAACGGCAGCCTGTTGGGAAATCCTGTCCGGGCAATCCGGATACCCTCCAGCACACCGTTGCAGCGCAGCTGATCCAGAACCAGTGGACCGCTGAACTGTTTGGGCCGTTTCGTGTGATTGGGAAGAATACAGCGAACGAAGTGAGGATGGGTAAGATGCAGCTGACCCATGAGACTGGATAGTTGTTCCTTATGCCTTTGAGCGACGGTGCGGAACAGGCCCTTCTTGACCCTACTACGCATGCCGCCAGCCTCGTCGTCCTGGTCGGCACAATCAGCAAAGAGATTGGCGACATGCTTGTTGGTAGAAGACGCGAGCAATCGAGTAAGATTGTCGTTGAGAGGGTCTTTGTTTTTCTCTAGCCAGCCCTCGGTGGAATACTCCACCTCGGCGGCGTAATGCGTGAGGATGAATCCTTGACCTAGTCGAGATGGCCGATACTTTTGTGACTTCTTATCCCACAACGAGTTCAGCTTCTCCGAGAAGGTCTTGTCTGTGGCTTTGGGCATCACACAATCCTCGTCAAGGCACGAGAAGACACCAATGGGATTGGAGAGTTCAATCAGATCGATGGTTGGCTGCAAATCCTTGCCAAAATCGATGAATTGCCACTCGATCTGCTCCCTAGCGTACTCTTCCTGCTCCAGGACAAACATGTGGTGGTTGAAGAACTGTTGCAGCTTTTCGTTGGTGTAGTTGATGCAAAGCTGCTCGAAGCTGTTATGCTCAAAGATTTCAAAACCGGCTATATCCAGAACGCCAATGAAGCGAGTGTCGTCGGGTCCCGATCGAGATCGGTCGAGCTGACGGTTGATTCGGGTGACGAGGTCCCCGAAGCCGCGTTCGTAGATGCCCTTGGCAAGGGCGTCGATGCTGAACCGCACCTGCTCCGGGGTTTGAACCTTCTCGACCCATTCCCGCCCGGCCTTGACCTTGGGGTGCAGCAAAGCACGAAGGAACGGTTCGACCGGTACGCCTAGAAGTTTGCAAACTCGGGTTGCAACCTCCTTCGCGTCATTTGCGAGACGGGCTTGATCTGCGGACCTGCTTTCCTTGACCACTGAGATATTGCCGAGATGGAGAACGGCGGCAATGGTCCGCAAAATCGATGTTTGGTCCTCGTCCGTGAACCCCATCACCAAGAAGGCTTCCATCAGAGAGTTCCACTCGTCATGATCGGACACCCCGGTAATGATCTCTTGGCCCTCACGAGTGTAGGCGAAATCCTCCACGCCCATCCCCTCAAGCAGAAACTCTTGCTTCAGCCTCCGGTCCGCGCCCTGAAGGAGCTGGTAAAAGATATGATAGTTCCGCTCCTGGGCATTGATCCTGACCACCCGTGACTTTTCTAAGAGGTACCAGTCGATGAAGGCGCCAGCAATGGACCCGTCGCGGTCGAACTCGATTCTGATAAATTTACCGAATCGGGATGAATTGTTGTTTCGGACCGTTTGAGCATTCCCAAAGGCTTCCAGAATCGGGTTTGCTCGGAGAATCTGGGCGGAAAGGTTTGCGTGCTGTTTGCCTCTGCTCTTAACCGCAGCCTGGGAGTTAGCCACCGCAGCCAGGTACTGGATCACCTTCTTCGTGTTCTCGGTCTTTCCAGCACCAGATTCACCGGTGACAAGAATACTCTGATTCTCGTTCTCATCCACCATGTTCCGGAACGCCTCGTCGGCCATGGCAAAGATATGGGGTTTGTTGTCCTCCCTGCTCCTGCCTTTGTACATGTTGACATACTCGTTGGTGTATATCGGAATCGGCGCATAAGGGTTGACTGTGACCAGGAAAAGCCCGGAATAGGTGTAGATCAGGTCGGACATGTATCTCGTGAACAGATTGTGGACGACTGATGCCTCGTTGAGGTGCGTGAGCTCGGCCATATCATTTGCCTTGTCGAACTTGGCTGGGTTGACCTTGTCAACGGTCTCGGGGTCGGCCTCTCGTTGCTATTTCTTGTATTAGCGGGTTACGCCACTGAGTAACCTTCCTCCCCATCATACTTACACTCCCATCGTCGCATTGGACCAAAAGCTTCCCGCCCTCGAGCTCTTCCACCACCCAACCCTTCACAAAGGCCGTCTGCGGGTCCTTAAGCCAGACATACTTTCTGCCTGAAAAGTCGTTCTCGCCCTCAATTCCTTTGACAACGTCAGTGGGCTTTCGCATGTCCTCAGTCTTGAGGTACAACGGCGCAAATGTGCCGGAGCTCGGCGTGGCGTCTCTCGATGGGCCACGGCCATGGCTGCTCCGGATGGGTACTGGTGGCGCAAGTGCTGCTGCAGCAGCAAAATTCTGCGAGCTTTGGGACAGCGTCCTAGAATGTGCGGGGGGTGAAGGTGTCCCCGTCAAGAGGGATGGCGAGGTCGGAGACAGGACGGACTTGGGGCGGCCAGGACCGCCCGAGCCGGACGAGTTCGTCGAGGCGTTCCTCGCGAAAGGATTATTGCGGACCGACATGGGGCGCTCTTGGTTGGAGGCTCGAAAGTTATAAGGTCATGGAATACTGTCGGAAAACAATATCGCGGGGTCACCTGCACGAAAGTGCAAAGCATGTAAACACCCAAAAAGTGAAGCGATGCGCTGGCAATGCACACGCTATGAAGTTGGTAAAAAGAATAGGACCCCAACACCGCCGCAAAGCAAAGAACGCAAGGCGCAGGCAAATCCAGCTGCAATTTGGTCCTTTCTTGAGGTTAACTTTGCAGACCGGGGAGAGGGAAACAGAGGTGGGCCAAAGGAAGGTGTGCTTGGTGCCGCCCACCTTGCTCGTCGTTGCCCCGAGCAGATCCCAGTCGAGTAAACAAACCTGGACAGGGGCCCACCCCGATTGAGGTCCAGCGAAAGAGCCCAGCTGCTGACGGTTGATGCCACAGGCCTGGACCGTGCACGCAACACCGGATATAGACTAGCGTGATTCTGCAGGAAGGGCTGGTGCCTTCTTTGCATTCAGACTGACGCGCTTTGCAAAAGCCCCAAAACGAAAAACTCCATCGCAATCAACCCGGCGGTTCATCACCTTGAAACGCTGCATGGCATCACAGGACCAGGACAACACACGCCGAGAGTCATTTCTAAGTGCTGTTTCTGGGCCGCATATTCAGTTTCCCGTACGCACGGCACGGAGCGGGTCGTGAAAGCTGGCGCTTTGTTTGCATCATCTGAATTTCGACTTCACCGCATCACGGAAGGCGTGTGAAGCGCTTTGTTCCTCGGCCGGTGGTCTGGTTTCTCTATCGCGTGCGTTAATCCGCCGACGATCCACTTCATTCTCTCCTTCTTAAGTACGAGCGAGTTCCGACGAGCCATCCTACAATCATCGAGATGCTCAAGCAGTAGCGACATACCTTTTGCCTGGACTACCGCGATGTCGCAATATCCCAACCCGTACGGCCATGGCCAATACCCTGGTACATACCCGCCTCCGCCATACCCCTACCCCGCGACGGGTTATTCGGCGCCTGGTCAGAGCTCTGACCCTGCACAATTGCACCGGGATGCATCTCAAGCTGCATACAACTTCAATGCGGGCCACATCCCGGGGTTGGGAATAGGAGGCACAAGTGCTGCCGATGGGCAAAGACACCCCGCCTTGGGCATAGAGTCCTGGCCTCAAGTACCCCCATTCTTCATGCCAACACAAGGACCACCACAACCTCGCCTCGATTCTTCTACAGTCCCAATCCAGTCTCAATCTAGCGCTGCCCACCATGTAAAACCCGGACCGCAAAGCTCCGGTCAACCGGCGCCAGCAGTCGCACACCCCACAGCAGATGTTGATATGGAGGAAGGTGAGCTTAGTGAGGGGCAGTTTGAGGACTTGTACGAACCCAGAGAGTATATTCCTGCGACAGCACCTCCACCAACCTCCAAGCTCCCGGCAGCTCACCCGATCGCGGATCTCAGCCAACCCACAAGCGCAGCCGATACCCCAGACGGGGGTTTTTATGCTAGCGATGAAGAGAGTGGTGACAAAGCTTTGAATGGTGATGAAGGTATGAAATCTCACGGTTTGTCTGCATGATGTGATGTACGGCATAGCTAATCATTGTTCCCAGGTCGTGATCGCTCCGCGTCATATTCACCCTTCTTATCTCCAAAGGAAGGCCAAAGTGAGGGCCCGACCCCACAGCCCCGGACAACCAAGCCGACACAGGACACCGAAGTGACCTCGAAATCTGCTGCCATTCCGCCGCCCGTAGTATCCAAGGACGCTGGAGCATCTGCGCCCCAAGCACACGAGGGCCCAGGAACACCATTTAAAACCGTCCAAGAAGCGAAAAAAGAAGCACAAAAGGCAATTCTCCGGCTTTGGCCTCTTGGAGTTAAATACCAAAATTATCTGGACGAAGGATTTGACGAAGGGCTGATCAAGAGCCTTTTCGTGGACCTCCATCTTGAGTTGCCAAAGGTAGCACCAACGATCCCGCCACCTTCCCAGTCCAAAGCATCGCAACCGGGCCAGGATGGCAGCCAGCCAGCGAAATCTCAACTTCAGCAGACGGGGTCATCGGCCAAAGGCCCGGATGCTGCGCCAGAGAAGGGCGGGAAAGCAGAGGAGCGGAAAGACCGCATTGCGCGTCTCCTTGCCGCGAAGGCAGCCAAAGGACCAGCACCACCAAAACCTGTTGGTACCACGGTCTCGCAACCCAAGGCTGCTTTACCAGACTCACAGTCCCAAAGCACTGCTCCCACGCCTCAGGGTGTCACCGCCCCTAAAGCCAAGGCGTGGGGAGACAAAGAGCGGTTGCTTCAGCAGAAGATAGCGGCACTACAAAAGTCTCGTGAAGCGCAAAAGGCATCGGCCGACCAAATTGAGGCGTCTATTACGGCGGCCGCTACCACGGCGGGCCCCATCATTCCCACCGGTCCCAAAGCCGAGACCACGTCTGCCGTATCAGACGGCCCCAAGCCCGCTGCACCTCAGGCTGGTGTGGCACTGGCTGGGTTGCTGTCATCGCCTAATACCCCTCAGAATCTTGTAGCCCAGCGCAAGCGCCCGGTGGCTGCAGATTTTGTCGACTATTCATCCACCGCGGTTCCAGCGAAACGGCCATTCGCACAAATGCGCCAGGAATCGACGCTGATCATTGATGTTAGCGATGAATCCGAGGACGAGGAGATGGATGTAGAAATGGAGATGGAATCGCCGGTTGATGAGTCCTTGCCGACTCCTTCCAACGGCCTCACTGGACAACGTGGGCCCGCCATCCGTGACTTCCCGCCTCTGACAGATACCTTGCCACAACGCCAGTTCTCAAGCCCAGCGCCCTCCGTCACACCACCTGGGGGGCGCCCGAACAACACGAAGCGAGAATCAGAGTTGGATCTCAAGGAAAAAGCAATCCAGGATATGAGACGTCGGATTGCCCTAGCAGAAGCCAAACGGAAGGTAAAACAGCAAACGGGCGGATCGGTAACCCCGAACCAGCTGCCTCTTGAAGGCAAGGAGGGCCGAACTGGCCACATGAGCAATTCGGAGGGCTCTGAAAAGGCCTCGCCTCAGCCGACTTCGGAGCTAGTATCTGCTAGTCTCCCCAAGACAGACGAGCCGACTGGCGTGGATCCATTTCAGCGTGCCCAACGCCGGGGCCGCATCATGAGTCTAGAGATTCCTCGTGTGGAGCTGTCTCTCGCGGAAAAGATGAAGCGCCTTGAGCAGCTTAGACTTGAACAGGAACGGCTGCAAGCCGAGATTGACAACAGTGTCATTGAGCAACAAAAGTTGGCGGATGAGCTGCAGCAACTGGATAGTACGGCCGAGGAAAGCCCCCATACGAATGGGCAGGGTTCCGCAAAAGACTCCGGTCCCCTATCGGCACCTACCGTTGAGGAGCAGCGTGGTGAGGAGCTGGAGCCGGACCTGAACGAGCCACAAACAACTAGCACCACCACCGGATCCCGTGTAGATCAATCTCCAGCTGAGGTTGTCGTGGAGCAACCGTTGAGTCCCTCGAGAGCATCCGAACAACCGGTCTCGGACGCGGATACCCTACCTCGTGACGGCACGGAGGATGCCACGGATGCCGATGGGACCACGCCGATGGAAATTGATTCCAGGGCATCCAGCCTCGAAGTTGAGGAGCGTCTTGGCAGTGCTGAGGACGAGCCGGCGGGTGGTCTACCCGAGCAGATATCGGGGGCAGCACAGCCTCGGGAAGCGGTGCAGGAAATTGAGGCCGAAGTTACGGGAGAAGTACATATCGTTCCCTCCCTGGGGGCCCCCTCTCTTGAGTTGACACCGGCACAGGTGCAAGAACCTCGGATCACGAAGTCGACCGGTGGCTTGACACCCTACCAAAGCCCACTCCGTTATTTCCGCGCGTACCGGTTCCACCCGCAGTACAAAGACTCCGTCACGGGAGGGCTTAGATCTTTGACGTACAGCAACAGAATTGACCCCGAGCGAGAGCTCTGCCCCTACGAACTTACTGGACAACAGTGCCCGGACAATTGCGAGTTCCAGCATATCGGTTCCATCGGTGCCGCCGGTGAGTCTCCCCTATCCTCAGAAGGGGCTGCTAACATTGGACTTTCCATCTGCCCCCCTCGTGCAAGCTGACTCCTGGTCCTGTCTACTTTGCAGATGACCAAATCCTGCTGGAGCTTGGCAACTCGGACGACTACAGCAGCGAGCAGAAGGGCCGGTTTATCCAGGGCCTGAGAGAACTTCTCCAGAAATTCAAGGCCGATAAGGTTAAGGATTTCGACACCATTGCGTCCGGCATCATCAGGTACCGCTCAGAGTTTCTCGGGGACAACTCCAAGGTACTGCGCTTGGAAGGCGTCACCATTTGATTAAGGCTCATTTTTGCCCCGAGTCACAGCTGGAGCTCAGCATGGAGATTTGACAACCCCACGCCATCCCTGCCCGTTTGACATGCTCGCGACAGTAGATTATCTCACAACGTTTTGCCATTCTCTAATTCGGTCTCCCCCCTACCCCCCCGGACCCCCCCGCCGTACTTACGGTGTTTCCCTTATCAGGAACGATTCTTTTGTGGACCGCGCACATCACCGCGTTGGTCGTCGGCGCTGGCTTTCGGCGTTCCATTCTTCATGGGGGATCGTGCATGGGTCTCCCCAACGGAGGCCACTCGGAGAGGATGGGGACCTTGTAGGAATTTCGATACCCAGCTTTTTTTTGTCAAAGCTTGTAAGAGTTAGTTGAGGGGAGAGAGTGATGGGTTGGGAAATAAGATCATAGCAGCAGCAACATATCTTGAGGAGATGAAAGAGGAGGAAACAGCTGATGAGAGCCCATTACATGGCTCGTTGTTGAGATTTGTTTTGGGACTACCTGCCACACCCACATGGCCGAGGTCGGCATGACTTGGCCTGGCGAGCATAGCAGGACATGAGCTGTCCGCTTTGTGGTGCCTGCATTGCTTTGCTTTCGGGTGAGCAACAGTTTCCAGGGGATTAATTTACAAACCTGAACTTGCATCCTATATGTGGCATGTGACGGATAATCATTCTTGGGCTACTGCATCTGGCCTGGTGAAACATAGGGCGGCTACATGAGAGACCGTGGCCAAAATGGACAGGGTCGATTGTGGCCGAGGTTGTAACACAAGGTGTAGCTAAGTATTGGGGGCTACTTAGGTGTATTGCATTAAATGTAGGACAAATGACAAAAGTATCAACAAATCTATCCACAACTGCCTCCAGCGCGTATTGTTGCGTATTCCCTGTAGTGTAGACAAAATTGTTCTTCTTTTCTTTTCAAATCAGAGCACGAACAAAAGCCGCCGCCCCTCTCCCCAAAAAGTGTCCATTAAATATCATTCGAAAAAAAGGAGAAAAAAAAAAGACAGAACGAGTACCGGTCATCCTACAACTTGGACTCCTTGTTCTCTGAGGCCGGTTGTTGAAGACGAACAAGACCCTGCGGAGAAGGTAATGAGTCAGCAAACTTCTTGAGACTGGGAAAGGACTTAAAGTCAAGAACGGCTTACCTCTTGCACACAAGTAGCCAGCAATGTCCCGTCCTTAGCGAAAATCTTCTGCATGACCACGCCCCTCCCATCACCAGCCCACGGACTCTCCATCTCAGTGAGCATCCAGTCATCCGCGCGCACCCGCGTCGGCTCATGGAAATAAATCGTATGATCCAAGCTAACCATCATCCCAATGGTCGGGCGCCCAACCATCTCACGCGGGTCATCACCCATGCCCTCCCACCGATGCAGCGTCGTGACCTTCTCCTTCAAATCACTCGGCAGCTCATCCAGGTCCTCAGCGCGAAACGGGAACCGCCACAGCTTGTGCAGCCGTGTCAGCGTGCCGATGAAGTAGCTGTCGGAGACATACGCCAGCGCGGCGAGTTGTGCGGCCTGTCCGCCGGTGATGCGGCCTCGCGCGCGGACCCATTGGCGCGTCTTTTTCTCGCCGGGCTTGGAGCTGTTTCGGTTGACGAGGGTCATGGGGGAGCCTTGGAAGGGGCCTTGCGCGACGAGTTCGGGTTCGTCGGCGTAGTCGTCCGGTGGGGGCCGGAGGGGCTGGCCGTCCTCGCCGCGGGGGATTTCGCTGGCATGGCGGACGGCGAGTTCCTTGTGTTCTTCCTTTTTACTGATTCCGTCTTCGTTGGTGGTGTCTGAGGAGGAGGAGGAGGAGAAGGAGGAATCCCGCACGAAGGAGATGGTGGTGGTGAAGATGCAGCGGCCACGCTGTCGGGCCTGGACGGTGCGCGTGGCGAAGGAGCGGCCGTCACGGACTTGCTCGACGTGGAAGAGGATGGGCAGTTCGGACGAGCCTGCGAGGAGGAAATAGCAGTGGCATGAGTGGACTAGGAAGTCGGAGGCTAGGGTGCGCTGTGCTGCGGCTAGGCACATCGCGATCACGGCGCCGCCGTAGATGCCGCGAGCTCCGGGGGGGTGCCATGGCTGTCGGGTGTTGGTGAAGATGTTCTGCACTGGCGTGTTAGTGGGTGGGCGCTTATGTTGGGGGTTCTCAAGCTGGGGGCTGTGATGTCAAGGGGGATGCTGGGGGCTGTTCTTCTCACTCCGAAACAGCCACCATCAGACGCGATGATAGCGGAAATATGAGATGAAAACGTGAATTCAAGTCAAATAGCGACTTACGGGGCCAAGTACGGCCAGTTCCGTCACGTCCAGGGCATTCTCGATCTGCGCCTTGTTGGGGTCCTCAGGAGGTGGCCGGAGTAGCGTCGTACGGTCGGTCATTGTCTCAGATGGGCCTTAACAATGAGGTGTCTAGTCCTATGGCTTTGGCCTAAGAAGGGCCGTGGTTTTGCCGCAATTGGGAAGTCGGATGAAACCCAAACTGAAGGCTTCAAGGTCCTGGAAATGGTCGAAGGCGGCGGCGTGTAAAACAGTCTCAAACAGAAGCGAAGCGGCCCGTGGTAAGGCAGCGCTGATAGTTGATGAGTTTCTCGACTGGAGTCAATCTCACGACGGTGTAAAATTCTCGAATGGGTGTCCAATGGCAAATTGAAAGTTTGGCATTGGAACACTGACTCGGAGAACCAACTCTATTTCAGTTTCAGAGATTGGGTGACGAGCGCAATCCAGGGTGCCGAGGTTCTACGGATCTCGGCAGTGCCATCAGGGTCCCGGTGCCAAGACTCAGCTCTGGATCCAGGTTCTCATGAGATTATCTAATCGTCCAAATTTGAACACATGCAAAGACATTCAGTTACACGTGTAGAAGGAAGGATTATTGACAACCGGCCCAACAATACGGACTAGGTAACTATCTGAATACGCTTAGCAGCTCTCAACAAGAAATGTCAATTTTCCCTCTTACCTTGGCCACCTTAAAGACAGCTAACAACGCCGTTTACGGCTTATAGCGTTGGGCGTGTTTCATCAGTAACAATCTTTCCGCTTAGCTAAGCTCCAATTTTGCTGGCCCCACTCTTGAAGTTCGCCAACAGCACTGAACAACCTCGTGCACGTGAAGCGGCGGGTTGTTGGCAATTCTGTATCCATTTTCCCCACGGGCGTATCGAGGCAGAGCACCAACGTCATATCTCCCAACCCTGGCCCGCCAGGGGCCTGGCCAACCCGCGACCTGTCGTTTAAGCTCAATCCCCACTCTCCCCACCACATCGCTGCCTCACCCTAAACAACTTCCTTCTCTTCCTGCTGAAGGAGCCAGCCTAGTTGTCCCTCACGAATTCTTTTTTGGTTTGCTTTGTTTCCAAATCGTCTTTAGTATCCTTTTACACCTAGGTGCTGCGGCTAGGTCGAATCGGTTCCGATACCTGCTCTGCTATTCAACAAACCACGATAGGTCTTGGCCCGGAATTTGCTGGAAATTGTTGGCCGTCAAACCATGCCCGACGCGGGGGAAAGGTATACACCCCGTCCCGTGTTCGCTGTTAACCATCTACCCCCAGGAATGTGAATTGCATACGGGTGCCTCAAGGCTCTTCTGGGGAGGGCGTTGCTCGTTTCAATTCTTGCCTCATTTGCCTCATGTTCTCTGTTGCTTTTTGGATGTGCCCCGCGAATGACGCTAATGTCAACTCTCCACCAGTTCGCATCGCCGAACCAAATCCTCCGCCCTTTCTCTGCTGAGGCGGAAAGCAAACAACGACGACGACATGTCAACACATGAAGACACCGCGCCGAGCGCCTCCGGCTCTGGCACCGGCTTGGGCACCACCGCTTCAGCGCCCGCTGCGCCCGCCCACGAACCGTCGATCCACCCCGCACAACCACCGTCGGTCAAGGGTCACAGTTCGAAACTCTCCGTGTCGGGGAGTGCTATTGGTCGCACGATTTCCAACAGCCCTTCAGTCGCCGGCGGGAGGTCTCCCTACCTATCCGACAAGGGAACATCGCTTGAGTCTTCTGTCCGCAAGTTTCGCATCGTCGAAGCCCTGCGCAATGGCGACACCGCCTTTATCTCCAAGGCTATCAGGGAGAGCGCCGAGAATGCCCCCCGCATGAGCACTTCCTCCTTTACCACCTTCTCGGGGCCCCTCGATGACACAACAATCCTACACTTGGCTATCCAATGCGCCGAGCAACCCGTTGTCGAATACGTCCTGTCCGACGGTGCGGGTTCTCTCGACATCAATGCTCGTGACAGGGAGGGCAATACTCCGTTGCATATCGCCGCTATTCAAGGGAGGGCTCAAATTGTAAAACTGTTGCTAGAGAACAAGGAGATCAATGATGCCATTGCCAACCACCACGGGCGCCTCCCCATTGATCTAGCCCGGAACCCCGATATTTTTCAGCAGCTGCAGCTCTCTAGGTCGCTCTTTGCCGAAAACAAGGTTAGGCAGGTTCAAGACCTCATTCTCCACGGGGAATTGAAAGTATTAGAGCAGGTGCTAGAGGAGTCACGCTTCAAAACGGTTTTAGACATCAACAGCCCCGAGTTCGCGTCTGAGCCTACCACGGTCGAAGCTGGCGGCACCTTACTGCACGAGGCCGCCCGGCGCAAAAACAGCCGGCTTATCCAGGTTTTGCTGCTGCATGGAGCCGACCCGTTCCGCCGAGACCGCAAAGGGAAGCTGCCCCAGGATGTTACCAAGGATGAGATCACCCGTGCAATGCTGAAGAAGTCACCCGCTGCCGTGGCCGCCCAGAGGGGCATCCAGGAGAAGGCTGTTTTGGGGTCCACTACGCAGGGCGCGGCCACAGCAACGCCCGGTGATCCCCTTGCCGGGCGAGAGGCGCGAGAGATGAAGGGCTACCTCAAGAAATGGACCAACTACAGGAAAGGGTACCAGCTGCGGTGGTTCGTGCTCGAAGACGGCGTCCTCAGCTACTATAAGCACCAGGATGATGCGGGCTCGGCTTGCCGTGGCGCCATCAACATGCGCATTGCCAAGCTGCACATGAGCGCTGACGAAAAAACTAAGTTCGAAATTCATGGCAAGTCATCGGTAAAGTACACGCTGAAGGCCAACCACGAGGTTGAGGCCAAACGCTGGTTCTGGGCTCTCAACAACTCCATCCAGTGGACCAAAGACCAGGCCAAGGAAGAGGAGCGCCAGAAAGCCCGGAATGCAGAGCTTCTGAAGCAGGCCAAGGCGGAACACACCCACCTTGGCGACTCGCCCAGCGAAAACGCCAGCGTTGCCGAACAGTCGCGCAGCAGCATTCAGCTAACTCGGATGCATTCCTCGGCTCGCGCCTCTAGTAAGAGTGGCTTCCCCACAATCGGTAGCAACGAGGGTGATGACTTTGTCGACGCGGCTACCGAGGCGGACAACAAGACCGACCAGAACGGTGGCACCGTTGCTGACGAGGGTGACGAGGATGAAGATTACGACGAACATTCAAGCGGACAGGATGCCCCACCGGCGAATAAGGATGCCTTCAATATCACCGCTCAGTCCGCAAAGCTGCAGCTTGAGTCCATGGCTCATGTTACAGCTGCGTTGCTTCTAGAGTCCTCTAAGAACCCGGCCGCCACCTTAACCGATCCCAAGACCTCACAGGCTTTATCTACATATGACGCTGCTATCCGTTCTCTCACCGGCCTGATTGGCGACCTGCTTCGTATCTCGAAGGATCGCGACGCCTACTGGCAGTACCGACTGGACCGAGAGTCGGAGATGCGCCGGATGTGGGAAGAGAGCATGGCACAAGTTGCCAAGGAGCAAGAGGCACTCGAGGCCCGCGTGGGCGAGGCCGAGTCGAAGAGGAAGATCACCAAGCGCATTCTTAAGGAGGTCGTGGAGGGCGGGATGCTCGAGGGTGGCCAGATTCCTCTGTCGTCCAGCCAGGCCGCAGAGGCCGCCATCCAGGACGAAGCCGAGGTCCAAACCCCGCCTGAGGCGGTTGGGGCAAAGTCTCCTACCCTCAACGTATCCAGGCGGCAGACTGTGATGACCCAGATTGCGGATATCTCTGACTCCGAGTCCGACGGGGAAGAGTTCTTTGACGCAGTTGACGCTGGCGAGGTCGAGGTGTCGCAGTTGCCTCCTTCGGAGCTCACTTCCTCGCAGGAGGAACAGCAACTGGTCATCTCCGATGCCTACGATATCAGTAGCTCGTTTAAGGGTTATGAAAACGGCATCCGCACGCGGTTGAAGATGGACGCCGATGACCGGCCGAAGATTTCGCTTTGGGTACGTTTACTATTTAACCTCCCAGACGTGTACACTCCCCCCTAACAAAGCATCACAGGGAATTCTCAAGTCCATGGTTGGAAAAGATATGACGAAAATGACCCTCCCCGTCTCCTTCAACGAACCTACTTCTCTTCTCTACCGCTGTGGTGAGGATATGGAGTACGCCGACCTCCTTGATCTTGCCGCCGACCGGACCGACTCTGTTGAGCGTCTCCTGTACGTTGGCGCCTTTGCAGCCAGTGAATACGCGTCGACCATTGGACGTGTTGCGAAGCCGTTCAACCCACTTCTGGGCGAAACGTTTGAGTACGTCCGCCCGGATAAAAACTACCGCTTCTTCATCGAGCAAGTCAGCCATCACCCACCGATCGGTGCTGCTTGGGCCGAGTCGCCCAAGTGGACGTACTACGGCGAGTCGGCCGTCAAATCCAAGTTCTACGGCCGCTCGTTCGACATCAACCCGCTCGGCACATGGTTCCTGAAGCTCCGTCCCACTCACGGTGGCAAGGAGGACTTCTACACCTGGAAGAAGGTCACCTCCTCCGTCGTCGGCATCATCACAGGCAACCCGGTTGTCGACAACTACGGCCCCATGGAGATCAAGAATTGGACAACCGGCGAGGTCTGCTACATCGAGTTCAAGCCACGCGGCTGGACGGCTTCCAGCGCCTACGTTATTACCGGCAAGGTCGTCGACGCCAACGGCCGCGTGCGCTTCAGTCTCGGCGGCCGCTGGAATTCCAAGCTCTACGCCCGCTACACCCCCGGCTTCGAGGCCACCATCGACGACGCAGCCGCCGCCAAGGCCGACACCTCCGGTCCGCCCCAATCCGAAGCCATCACCGACCCCAACAAGGCTTTCCTCATCTGGCAGGCTAACCCCCGTCCTCAAGGCATCCCCTTCAACCTCACCCCCTTCGTGCTCACCTTCAACCACATCGACGACCAACTCCGCCCCTGGATCGCCCCCACCGACTCACGTCTGCGGCCCGACCAGCGCGCCATGGAGGAGGGCGAGTACGACTTTGCCGCTACGGAGAAGAACCGGCTTGAGGAGGGACAGCGTGCGCGGAGGCGCGTGCGCGAGGCCAAGGGCGAGGAGTTTATTCCGGCGTGGTTTACGAAGGCGAAGTGCGAGGTCACGGGGGAGTCGTACTGGAAGTTTAATGGTGGGTATTGGGAGAAGAGGGAGAAGGCGGGGCCTGGGGCGGAGGGTGCGAAGGTGTGGGAGGGACTGGAGAAGATCTTTTAAAAATTCTTATTAGAGTAAGCCTGGGGTGCTTGCGAGAGAGAGGGAGAGAGAGAGAGAGACATTGGTTGGATACACACAAGGGCGGCGCGTGAACACATACGGGAGGAGGGTTATATACGGCCTAAGGGGGCGGTGATGTGATGGGGAAAGGGCGGACGAGCGGTTAAAAGGGCGTGGCGGATTGTTGCTTGGATTGGCGAGACGGGCGGGCTTTTTCTAGTGGTGGTGGTGTTGTTTGTGCAAGTTACTGCTGCTACTGTCGCTCGTGGTAGAAGCGTTTTATGGCTTTGATAAAAGGACACACACGATAGACTCTTTTTGCTTCATGGTTATGCTCCGTCCGTTCTGATATGTGTGGTGTTTCTAAGTTGTATTTCCTCCATCGTTGGCCGATGGTCTGCTCTTACATTCTCAGTTTTGCCTAGCCCTCAACATGTTGGCTCGAATGCCGGGAAGTTGTGTTGCTCTCAAGTCGGGCTTACAGATTTTACATCCCATGTGGGGGGTATATACAAAGCGAAGGATGCACGTGAAATCCTCCATGCGAATATAGCAGGTGTCCCTTACTATGATTTTAATAAGCTAAGGGGTTCTCTTATTTTGTTGACTTATCACTTTGACATAGATTCCGTTGCCTGGGTAACCAGGGGCGAGATGTGGGTGGTAACCCCTGAACGGAGATTTGTTGTGGGATGATGTCGAGAATGGAAATACGGGTATTCTTTTAACTTTTTGTCAAAAGGAATTAAGGTGTTAAAATGTGAGATGGGTTTTATGTACTTAGATATGTTGGGAATTTTATGATATCATGAGAGTCGGGCGCATCATGTTCTACTGCTGTTCCCATTTTTGTTTTTCACCTCAGAACCCTTCTTTATGAAAGTGGCCCATCGGCTAGACTAGAGTCATCTTACATACTGCGGCCGTGGTTGTGAAAACCTTCTCGCAACTAACTATGCTCAATTTTTTCCATTTCATGTTGGCTTCAATGTAAAGGGGTAATAAAGTTGGATCCCATTATCGTCGACGGTTCTTTGGGGGGATCGTTTGCAATGGGCCATGGTGACCATCAGGCTTCTCACTAACCCTTTAGTTCTGAAGGCCGTGGCTAGGTCTCGGATAAGACAAATCATACAGTCTAGACCCTGCCCTCCGTACAACTTGCAATTATGGGAGTGGTCATACTCGAAATGGTAATTCCAAAATCATGGAATCTACGGACACCTCGGAAACGGTACCCGTCTACACAACCACAAGGTACTCCCCATCTGTGATACTCGTACGACCGTACATAGTCCGACTCTGAGTCAAAGTGTAACATCAAGACAAGGCTCGGTCATATATCATATTTTGTTTTTCGTCATGTGTTCCCAGCAGCACAAGTTGTGCGACCCATTATCCGATACCATGCCAAACAAGATATCGTTCTAAGCCTGTCTTGTCCCCCCACTGTAGGCCTCAATTAACCCATGCACGGGGCTCCTTACCCCAGAGCTCGCTCCGAGACGCCGACCTTCCGCCATGCGTGTAACCGCCCGATGGGACCACGAGGGCGGCTATCTGGGGTAACACAACATATGATTCGCACACACCGCTACTGCGAGGCCCTCCCACCGACGGGGACATGTCCATATCCATGTTACACGTGGGTTGAGACTAGGAAAGACGGGGAAACCCGCTCATGTGGTCGTCGCCTACCAATAATATTGGCGCGCGGCTGTATCACTTTAGAGTTTGAGTTGCCTTGCCTTGATGTGAGATGTGTGTGTGCAACTAATGGACACGGGGTCCTACGCTGGATTAGTTAGCCTATCTACGTGAACGATTTACTTTTGCTTTGCGAGGCTATGTTGCAGTTCTTCGTTAGGTTGTATCACGGCTATGTCCAACCGCTGCTGCGACTTATTGTCCTCCTCTCAACTAGTACTCGATTTGCTCGCCCGTTCGTCTTCCTCTCACCGGTACTCGGCAGCCTAGATGCAGGATAGAAAGGCGATGCCGTCATTTGCATGAAGCTGCGTAACAGAAAAGCTGGACTCGAGCAGGTTTCACAAGCCACCCACACGAGGACGGGCCCGAGTAGTGCTGGTGTGGCATGAGAGGTGGGGGGGGGGGGGGAAGGGGGGACGGCGGTTCTACAAGGCCGACGAGAGCCTTGCTATCCGTTGGTAGGTACACGGGCGCAACCGAAGTTAGCACGACCTTCGTCACGATCCTCGGTGTCTGCCGCGTTGTGCTCATCGCCTCGAAAGTAACGTGTAGATTCTGCCATCTTGCCCAGGGAATTCGAGAAGGGATGCAAGGCGACTGGGTGCCCGGGTAGTATGCATCACCATATGCAGGCCACCTTCAATGCGGGGTATGAAGGCATCTCTGCTGAGCCGCTCTTCAATGTGGTCTCTAGCTAAAGCTACATTACCGCCTGGCCTGTTTTCGCGACCAAGCTGAGCATTATGCTGAACCTACAAGTGTAGTTCGGCCTTTATATTGGCTGCCAGAGCTGGGCCGGGCGGCCGGCTGAGGTTGATCTCTCCTCGATAGGTGTTATGCCATGCCCGCCCTTGAACCGAAGTGCTCCAAGCAAAACATTGATTCTCTTTCGGTGAGAGAGTACTGCAAAGTTGAGCCTCGTCGGGTGATGAAACCCGATATGTGTCGCCAGATGCGCTTATGCGGCAGAACAAGCGATAGAACCGCTGACGTCCTGTTGGCGGGGAGAATGGACCGATGTGCCGGGACAAGGCGTTCTTCCAGGGCTTTCTTTCACGGGAGGTGGGGCAATTGCCCAATTGGTGGTCTAGGCCAGTCCGTTGTTGTTCCCGTGCGGGGTGTGTGTCCCTGCAGGTGGACAGTTTCATTTGTTTTTTTTTTATTCTAGAAAAGATCCCCTCAAGATAACCACAGACCTGTCAATTTCGGGCCAATTTTGGGCAATCAAATCGGACTGATGCCTTGCTGTTGCCTTGATACTCCTCAAAGTCGAATCCTCTGAAGGGAAATGAACACTACGTGTATTTAAGTAAACAAAGAAAGGGTCCGAGTAGAACAGCCGCTGCCGGAGGGCCTTCGGTTGCTGTGCACTAGATTTCATCGTGGTTTGCGTGGTTCGCCTCGTCGCCTTCTTTTGCCGATCACTCATACAGCACAGTGCACAAACTGTGTACAAGCTTTACAGGTCCCCCACTTAGGTAGAGGAACCCGCATGCATGATCAAGGTCGAAACATCTTCAAGACTCAGACGAGCTTTTGATAAATATTTTTAGTTGATACTCAGAGTGATACAAATTTTGGATCTCGGGTGAAGTACCCTGTGATTCGGACATCTAATGCCATAATTGAAAGCATGTTGGAGGCCATTTCAAGACCCGGAATGCAATTTGACGGCTAGCAGGACCTCAATCACATCTTGTGTCACAACAAACCCTATTCGAGAATGTGTGACAAGGACAATGTGACTGTTCCCCCTTTCGATTTCCGACACTGGGGTTAAAACGTGGTGTGGGGATGCAAGGCAGCAACAGACTATCCCGAAAAAGACATGGTCATGACGGTTTTAGCGTCGCAGACATTGCTCCAGGCTTTTCATCATCGCTGGGACTTGGGAGTTCTGACATCTTTTCATGTTCGAAGTGCTGAAGCTCTGATGCTGATCACCCGGCAGACAATCACGCGCCCCATGTTACCCAGGCCGGAGTCCGAAAGGGCCGGAGATACGGGCACCTAAGCCGGGCGAACCGGGGAACTCGGGACATGAAGCAAAGCCAGGGCAGGGCACCCTGGATCGACCGCATTGCGGCCTGAAAATAACTACACGACACTCCGTGACGACCATTCACTTATTGCATCGTCCACTAAAGCATGATCATCCTCAATGCAGCAAAACACTTCACGTAAGTGACCGAGCGGGCTAGGCTGGCTCGGTTCAACCAATTGGCTTGTGGCGCCTCGAATCTCCAAGACCGCGAGTTTGGAGGCTCAACAGCAAAGCAATGATTGTGGCACCTTGGTGGCCGCTTTCGTCTCTCGCCGCCTCACTGTTCTCAAAAGAGTAACCTGCTCTCCAGTGCTCACATTAAAGCTCCTACATTCGGAAACCTCTGAGCTATCTTTGAACGACCAGTTACCTACCTAGTCAACGTTGTAGTCAGGCAGACCTGCATTGCCTCTTGTGCCCCGTCCCCCGAGTGTGGGGAGAGCAAGAGGGAGCACACACAGACCCGCCTTGATCGTACACATCGAAAGGAAGGTTTAGCCCGAAAAATTCACACCTGCAGAACTTTACTTGGGATAGTTAGCCTTGATAGTGACGTGGAAAGAGAAGGATACTTTCAGGGTGAGCACCCAAGGAGAGGAGCGGTGAAGGAAGCCCTTGACCTCATGGGGACTGGCTTCTCTGTGCTGTTCACCAACCGCATTCACCGAGGTCAAACCATTTGTTGAAACGGTGGCCGGGAACCTGGCTCTCATCCAAGAAACCTTGTCTCGTGTGCGAGAGAGTTCAATTGTGCCATTCGAGAATTGGTGCCTTTCGTTCCCCTGCGGTGCACGTCAATGTCGATCTAGGATGAGTCCAACTCTTGTAATGTCCCAAATACACAATGAACACTTCCTTGACTGCCGAAAGGCAAGATTGCTAGCCGAGGAGTCGGTCTATTTCGAACCAGTCAAGGGAAGGTCCAAGATGCCAGAGACATCTTTGGGGCCTAACAACGGATAGTGTGGATAGAGAGGCTGTTGGCAAGCTCACAAAAGGTTCTAATACCCTTGAGATGGCGGAACCCAATGCCAAGCGTAGCCTAGTAGGTTAGGTCGTGCTGTATGGTGTCGGGTACTGTGTAAACTGTCGGGTCGCTTCCGCACACAAATGGTCGGTGAACCATGCCCTCGCTTGGCCCCTTCCTACAGCAAGGGACCACGACATCTCCCGGTGCCCGAAGGCAAACAGGCGACTAAGACACCGAAGGGAGAAAACCTAAAATTTCAGTGAACGGCCCGACGTCTCGTCGCTTTGTGGGGATCTGGTAGTGAAACGTGAGGACAACGGCTTGTATCACGTCCGCCACGAGACGTACGCTGCATCTCGAGCTAGGAATTTGTCGTGACGTTCGGTGACGCAGGTTGTTGTCTTGGAGGCCTTTGCCTACCCTGCTCGGCGACATCTTTGTTGAGGCGGCGACGGAAGAGGCCCATTCGGAGGCCTGTGTGTGTCGAGGCCTTCAACCTGGCCACCACCCAACAGGGCCACCAGCGGCCGCCTCAGCGTCAACAGCCCGGGGGGGCTCGTCCAACGAGCTCTTCGATGAGGGCTCCAAGGGCATCACCGCCGTAGCTGACCTTCCCAGGAACAACCAGCTCACGAACGCAGCCGCGATCAACTGGACTGACTCACTTGCAAAGCGCCTCAACCACAGGCAACAGCATCACTTCGAAAGTTTCGATTTCAACCCGGGGTACGCGAGTCTGGCGCCACAGACAGCCTCATAGGAAATGATTTGGCTTGCTCGGGTCCGAATTTTCCTTCCCATGTTTGCCTCCCGGCTTGCTTCACTAATCTCTATGGGCGTAGAGGTCTCGTAGACGAGGCGGCGTTGGCCCCCTTTCGTGATCGGACCGAGCTTTCGTTGTGCAACCGTCAAGAAGGAAGTGGCTCGAAGAGCGGAAGCCATTCGTAAGGTGGCAAGAGCGTATGAGGCCGCTGTGATGGATCAAGCGAGTACCTCGAGAGCTCCATTCGCTGTGAAACGAAGATGTTTAGGGGTGGGTTAAGAAGCAAAACGCATCGCCCTTCGTTTTGGAGGTAATCATGAGCTGAGAGGCTGAGAATGAATGCTGGTAGAGCTCAACAAGGCTAGATATGGACTAGGACAGTTCCAGTTTGTCCCTTCGCCCCAACAGCTCAAGCTGATTGATTTGCCACCCCATCAGCTCTAGTCAGTTCGAAGAAATGGCTCACTCAGCCGCATAAAGGGGGCGACGAATCAGCGACTCCTCTGCCAGGATGGGACAGGCCAACAGGGCACCTCGACGGGAAAAATGGAAGGAAGAGAAGTTAGTTGAGAGACAGCCTCGTTCGGGTAAAACCCGGGCAAACAAACTGAGTTTGTTTGCGTGAACGAACCTTTCGTCGCTGGTAAGGCGGGACCTCTCTGCATTGCTTCCATGGGGCAAAGGGGGGGGTTGGGATGGGTGCGAATCTCTGCTGTGTGTACGCTCCGTCTACCTGAAGTGGGGTTACAGGCAGGTGGGGGTGGATTTTACAATAGATTTCTCCAATCACCAGTTGATTTAACCTCTCTATTGTAGTAGGCCTGGCTCGTTCAGCTGCCCAACACCCCTGCTTGGTAACTCATCCTGATTTGTTTTGCAGAGCCGCATCTGTGGTTCGCGCACCAGGCGACCTGCGGGGTTCCACATTTGTGTCCCGGGACTAATGGTCTTCTGAGAATAGGGCGCGGGCCAAACTGTTTTTTGACTTAAGAAAGCAACAGGAATTATCACGATTTCCAATCTTCAGTAGCCCAGACACTTTCCCCCGCTTTTCAGTCCTCCCCGAGAAACGAATAACCTCGCAATTTGCGGTCTTGGCGATGCATGTAGCAACAGCTCTCGTCGCCGGACAAAACACCGTCTCGATAACCCATCTACGGCATTACGATGTCCGGCCAGAGTCCTCGCGATATGAACGTCGCCGACCGTTTCAATCAGCATCTGAGGCGTGAATCCAAAAAACCGAAGTCACCGGTGTCTCAGGTGAAATGTCCAGCCTGCAACCAAGTGCTTCCGCCATCTTCGAAAGCGGCAGCCTTCGAAAAACATTATTTAGACGAGCATCCCCAACTCCTCGACCCAACATTGACCGCGGCGGAAAATTCGCGGATTTTGGCTAATCTGTGGGATGCCGCGGCCCGGAATCAAAGCACAGAGAGGTATATCACGTCGCTCCTTTGTTTGGTCCGTCCGACTGTTTGATCCGCTAGAAGAAGAAAAATGAGCCATCTCGCGGGTGAAAGTGGGAGGAAACAAGAGGAAACAAAAGTCCCATCACTAACACAGAAATCAGAGATGTTATTAAGGAAGATGTCCCCTTACGCCCTGCTCGACCTGCTCGGCCCTCCCGAACAACCAGCGCCGCTGCGACTACTGCGACCTCCCCGCTGGGGGATGACCGCGCGAGTACGAGCCCGGTGCCCAGCATGAAGAGAGAAGGTTCCCGGAGTGTCTCTCCACCGAAACGGACTCGATCGTCTCGGCCCGTACCAGCCGCCGAAGAGAGTGAGTCTCCCGATGTGTTTGACCGGGGACCGTACCAGAAAGGGAGGCTCTGGACGCCAGAGAACTCCACGGCCACGCCTCTACCCCGCCCCTATGACAAGTCCAATGTTGCTAGCCAGCCACGCCAGCGCCCATCTTCTGGCTCCGCCGCTAAGGCGCATCGCCAAACTCACACGTTACCGTCTCGGTCTCAGCCCCCTCTTCCAACGGCCGTCAACGAAAACGGGGGCAAAATCCTCAAGCAGCCCGAGACCCGCCCCATTTCTCAGGAGCAGCTGGTCGCGGAGGTAAAAGGGATCTACGCTGGGTTAGTCATGGTCGAGAATAAGTGTATCGAGGTCGACACGAACCAAAGCAACCAGCCCGCGACGACGACCAAGCTCAACAATGATCAATGGCAGGCTCTGATCGCTCTCCACCGGACCCTACTCCACGAACACCACGACTTCTTCCTCGCATCCCAGCACCCCTCGGCCAGCGCAGCGCTCCGAAGACTCGCTGCGAAATATGCGATGCCCGCTCGCATGTGGCGCCATGGGATTCACAGTTTCCTCGAGCTCTTGCGGCACCGCCTGCCCGCGAGTCTAGACCACATGTTGACCTTCATCTACATGGCCTACTCGATGATGGCGCTGCTGTACGAGACAGTCCCTGCTTTTGAGGACACCTGGATCGAGTGCCTCGGGGATCTGGGCCGATATCGTATGGCGATCGAGGACGACGATATTCGGGATCGTGAGGTTTGGACTGCCGTTAGCAGGCACTGGTACTCGCGCGCCTCGGATAAGTCACCTCGGACTGGGCGTCTTTACCACCACCTGGCTATTCTTGCTCGGCCGAACGCCCTACAGCAGCTCTCCAACTACGCCAAGTCCCTTTGCGTCGAGATTCCCTTTGTCTCTGCCCGTGAGAGCATCATGACACTCTTTGAACCTCTCATGTCCAAGACCAGGACTCCACAGCAGAATAGGCTCTCGTCTACGGAGCTTAACTTTGTCAAGGCTCATGGGATACTCTTTAGCGGTAAACAATTGGAAGATTTGGACAGCACGATGAAGGAGTTTTTCGATGAGTTGGACGATCATATCAACGTTTCTACTCGCAGCTGGCTTGCTCCTGCGTAAGTCTGCTATTTTCATTTCCAGTGACGATTCTTTGCGATTAACTTGGACGCTTGTAGTTATCACATGCCAATCGCCAATATATGCGGCGTAGCAGGCTATGGTGATGAGAGCAATCCTATTTCCGTAGCGCTTAAGGCATTTATTCGGTCACCCTCTGAGGATCAGTCTTCCAACGATACCAGCTCCACGACCACCGGCCCTAAAACCGGATCATCTAGCAAGACTGGCAACCCTGCCACCACTACCACCACCGGCACCTCTAAACCCACAGCAACACCGCAGCAATTTTATGGCAGCCTCCGTTTGTTCCTATGTACCTACGATATTGTCTGTCGCCGTTTTGGCGACCAAAACATCCTACCCTACTTACACGTTACACTCGCTTTCATTTATCACTTAACGTTTCTACCAGACACCTTGGCCGCCTATTTCGCTCCCGTATTCCCATGGAAGTTGACAAAGGACGTGCTCAATACGTTGTTGGGAGTTGGGGGGCCAAGTTCTTCGTCTGGGTCCGAAGCAGCGCCAAAGACGGAAACAAAGAAGCCAAAGACCGAGGAGACAAAGGGGTCAAAGAAGACCGCTGGTGCAGACGGAACACCAGATGGAGAAGAGACAAAGGACATTCATTACGTTTCGGAGGAGGTTTTAGAAGCGTGCCTGGAGGGCAAGTATTTCCTCGGTGACGAGCAGCGCGTTCGGAACAGCGACAGCAGTAACACGGGTGAGACTCCTGGGGAGAAGAAGACTGTAGACGCCACGCCTATTCAAGAGAAGGGCGATGACGAAAAGACGACCAAAGTCGAAGATCTCAGCGGTGAGGCCGCTACCCAATCTCGGAGAACAAGAAACCCGCTGCCAGATGACTACGCCATGCGAGGGTTTCCCTGGGTAGAAAAGTACTTCCCCAGTGACTGGTTCACCGTCGACGAGCGGATCGACGACGATGAGAAGTACTTTGAGGTGCCCAGCATGCTGCAGGAGCGGCGTGGGCGTATTATCTGGCTTGGGTGTCGGATCGCCGAGTTTGAGGACGGCCGGTATCTCCAGTTCGACCGGGCCACCAAGCGTTTCGCCGTGCACCCGGATTATGATGTCGATCTGGATATGCGGAAGCAGTCGTTAAGGAGTGTGGGATATGTGGGGGCACCGGATGCCGGGGCGGTTGCGTGAGGGGTTGAAATTCGGTTACTAAGTTATAACAAACTGTATGGTGTGGCTCCCGGCATTGTCTTTCCTTTACGGCCGGGGGCCAGGGAAGGAGGGGAGGAGAAGGAAGGTAGATTGCCAGAACGAAGGTAAGTTTGTTTGCCGCCGTCGCTTGACCATGAGTGGTTTTTTTTCTTTTTTCTTTTTTTCATCTTTTTTTTTCATCTTTTTTTTTCATCTTTTTTTTTCATCTTTTTTTTTCATGTAAATTCGCCTGGTTTGTTGTCCTGTTCTTTTCTGCTTCGCCAATGTCCAAAGAGAAGCTGGGTAGGTACATATCATAGGAGTTAGAAAGGATCTGTCACCTAGGTGAATGGTGTAATGGATTTTCTCTCTAATTATTGGGGATATACCAAGTATGTAACGGTTCATAACTGTGGTGCAACGGCCGTGTCTTACTAACGCCATAATTCAACGACGGTGCTGACACGAGGAAGTAGTCTGCTGAAATTTATGCCTAGGGGTTCTATCATAAAAGCCCTGATTCACAACACCGAGATGAATGACGTCGTCAACTGTTTTATTTCTTCTGAAAACGTGAAAAGTTTAGGCACTATTCTGTAACCGGTGTTTACTACTACGGTGTCTCATCAGCTTTTCCTCCTTGCGTACCCGACGACGTCGTCGACTTGAATGGGAATCGCTCCTTGCGGGATTCTCCGCAAGGGAATGAATGATCTACCGCAACACCCGTCCCGGGACGGGCCGATCGTCGGGAACACCCTCCGGCCGCCAAACGCCGGTGTCCAGAGTTACACAACATCATCCAACGACACAGCCTAGGGTACCTTTCCCGGAACTTCGACGACATATACTTACTTGTAACTAACCCCCACGGGGCAACAACACCACCCCACGCCCATTTCTCCGCGGATCATTTCCATGGCAACACGTGTTTTTTCCCCTTTCTTTTTCTCCCTGACAACAATCGGGACATTATTTACCCCCGTGCCTCCCCCACGAACTGACAAACCGGCGGTGAAGGCTCTTTAACCCACCGAAGCTCTCAGTGATCAAGTGGCTTCGGATGCCGGCGGACTTTGGCAAGGCGCCGGTCTCCCGCCGGAGTTCATGCTCGGAACGGGAAAATTTTACATGCAAAATTGCCGCCCCCGCGTCCCATGCCCTTAGTTGATCTGATAAGACTTACAAATCTTCTCGTGTCCTTGAAGGCAACTATTCAGAGTTTTTCTTTGAGACAGGGGCGGAGTTGGTTGCCTTACGCCCATCAAAGCCATGAGGAATGTGAAGGGCGGGGGTAGAAAAAAATGCAAAAAAAGGGCCGGTATCCCGGGCAAAGAACGCCACGGAGCTCGTGTTGGGAAATCGTGAATGACTGCTTGACCGACGACATCTCCGAAGAAGAACGAAGTCAGGTGTCGGTCGCCTTACTGTGAGGTAACCAATATGGCCAAATCCGGCGGACAGAAGGTCGTCGCCGTTGCTGACCCCCCTTCAAACACGGGCGCACGCGGCCGTAAGGCTGAGTGAACTCACGTTCACAGGTACTGATGACGGACGGAGTGGGAGCCTTCACGGCACAGCGTATGCTGACATCCTTCGGTGTACAATCCAAAAGAGAGAGCAGTCTTGTCAGCGGTGATATTTGTGTCGGGTTACCTTGCTCACCTCCCGAAGGCTCCGGTGCTGTTGAGAACCACAAATTCTTCTAGGTCAGCCTTCCAGGCTGAGGAACTGACGTGAACATTCCCCCTGTCGACATTCTCAAGTCAACCCTTTCGTAGCCTGACATTCACACTGTCACTTATCCGCTCACTAGAAAGCCGATGCCGGACGTCCTAACAAGGCTAGTAAATCGGGCGCAGTCCTTGGAACTCACGTGTCAATGCTGCCCTGTGTGGTTCGATTTTGTGGCCTCTGGTGAAGGCATCAGATCTAATCCCCACTTTCAGTAAGCCGCCTGAACCGCAAAGCTGCAACCAGGGATCGGCTGCAGGCGGGATGCGGTAAGTGGGCTGCTGCCTGTGGTCGCCTTTTTTTTTTTAGACCAATTAAAATGACTACCATCACCGAGTGAACTTGCAGATCGACCTTTCTGGATACCTTGACCTTGCAGGCGACCCAACGAGCCAACCAGCCAACCAAAGCACTCGTTGCATCAGCCCGACACACCAACCTCCACCCAGCCAACCAGCGACCATTTGCTTACAAAAAAGTCGTGGCTATCGAACGCAAGAACTTCGTAAACAATAAAAATCTTGCAGTCACTGGGGTAAGTCACTATGATGACCAAATACAGGTTGCGATCTGAGTATCAGTGCAACGGCTTCCGAAGGCAGCAAGGGCAGGTAACGTGGTAAGGTATTCGTAATCTGTATGGTTATCAGTGTAATTCAGCGGGAGCGAAGGTAATTTTCTGTAGCAATCATGTGTATCCTACATGAATGCAGGCTACCTAACTATCCATTTTCTAACAGTCATTACTGAAACCCATCGTACTTCGCAGACTGCTGCATAATGGTTCAAAAGATGACGTCGCCGCCCCCGCTCTCTCAGATCACTACCTCCTATATGAGGCAGCCCTCAAAGATGAGATGCGGGGAACTCAAGATTCACGAGCGCCCGGCTAGCGGGTATCACGGGTTCATCACCATTAGAAGACGCGGTTCGGTGAGAGCGGCGATGCGACAGCCGACCTCCTTTGTTTGCCGGCCCGGCTGTGACGGCCTTGGTGACATTCCGCACGTTGCCTACAGTGTGCTCGGGCACCTCGGGTTCATCCCGAGAAGGCGTCCAAAGTCTAGATTCGCGGAAAGATGCGAGGGGGGTGATGAAACACCTCGGTGTGACGAGAGAAGGTTTGTGGATATTTTCGGTTCTCGTCAAATCTCTGTAGAGGACTTTTTGCCGAGCTTATTCGGCACAAGCTCCTCCACTAGGACATAAAACCTTATTCCGGACGCGGCTGTTGCGGCTGAGGCGGGTGTGCCTGGTCGCCTTTCTCCCTTGGGCCTTTTTTATCCAGCCTTACGGTTTCATCCCCCTTCGTCGCTGCATCGGCGCAACCTCGTGCCGCCCAAGCCGGCGAAGTCAAGACAAGGCGGCCGTTTCGGAGACGTTGGCGATGCATTCACCTTGGAAACTCCACTTTAAGGCGTACATACATTCTAGCCGTGAACACTGCCGTGGAGGTTTTGTTTACCCGGTGGTTGGGGCTTGGTATTAGCCGCTTGTAACCTTGCTGTGTCGGCGAAGGTCCCAAGTTGTAAGCTCAAGGAAGCCGGGCGACGATGCATCACCAGCCTCCCCTTTTCTGCGTGTATGGCCTCCACAAAGTGGAAGCCGTCGTACTCGGACAAGGCGTCCTCGGGATACAAGGTTACCTTGTTCGTGTTTGACACAACTGACCACGACAACGCCTCGGTGTCTCGAGACTTGAACCCCGCCTTTGTCGCCGACAACATGCGGTCTCTGTCTCGAGAAGTTGCCTCAAACGCCTAGTTGGGTATGAGTGTGTGTATTAGGGCGTACCTGATGCATTAGGTCGCAGAGGGCTCGTATTCAGACGAGCTTTCTCGAAGAACATCAGAGGTCCGATGTTAAGAATAGTTCATCTGTCTCCTACATGTATAAAGACAGCCCATCACATGAGAGAAGTATCAACCTCCTCCCAGACAAAGCTAGCTTGGGCCCAACCGAAACGAACACCTCAGTCCCGAATGATCACTCCAAGCAATTCTCCCAGCCCCCTCACCACCATCTCCCCCCATCTTACTATCCCCATCCACAACCCCCGGGCCCAAAACCTCAATCCCCCTCACCTCAACCCCAACCGTAACAACCTTCCTTATCCATCTGATTCGGCGGAAACGGTTCCGTCCCATCCACCCCCCATGTAAACCCCGACTGACCCGGATGCAGCTCCATCCACGCATCCCTCAACCCATTCTCCTCCACCAACGTCGCGTCCGAAGGGAGTACGGGGTTAAAGTCCCCCGCCACTAACCCCCGGCCGCCCCCGGCACGCAAGAGCTCCGCAGCGACGGCTATTTGCTTTGGTCGCTGGGAGGGCTGGATGGGGAGGGAGTCCAAGTGGACATTGATGAGGCGGACCCGGTGATGGTGGCGGTTGTGCATAGCTAGGTTAGGATTTTCTGTGGGATGACGGTTTGAGTGGTGCGTATGTGACGGAAGAAAAATGCCGGCGCAGAGTGCGTCCCGGCCAAAACGGCTCGGGTACGGAACTCGCCAGACTGGACCAGTGTTGGGTGAGGCGCTGAATCGAGATCTGGAGAGTAATGTGATGGTGGTGAACTGTTGGTTAGTCGGGAGGACGCCGTTTGCGTCGCTGAGCAACCAGTTGCGCCGAATGTCTGGACTGGCGAGGAGAGTGAGGTAGGCGTCGCGGGAGACTTCTTGCATGAAAATGACGTCGATCGCTGGGGTGAGGGAGAAGATATGGGAAAGAATTGCGGTGATGCGTTTTGCGGCGTATGGGGATGAGTAGTCGACGTTCCAAGTGACAAGGTTGAGTAGAGACGGCTCAGTATCGGATGCTGTCGAGCTATTCCCATGATCGATCCTGTGCGTTGTCGAATTCGTGCCAAGTTTGGAATTTCGCAGTAGTATTAGGCGGGAGAGGTGCATCCTGCCACCAGGACAAAACTTGGGTACGAAACCGTGAAAATAGGCCATATTGTTGCTCCCGGCGCTCTCTGCAAAGTACATGGGAAGGGGAAGAAACGACGAGACGAAGGCGCCCTGCATTAACGGGAATCAATTCAGCCCAAGCCACGTGCCGGGAAGCAAGCATGGGCCAACAGGAAAATGTTGAAGATTAAAAACGCTAGGCCACGTCTACAGCTTATGAGGATCATATCGAATAAATTAAGAAAATGGCTTAAAAGTCAAAAGCTCACTGCCCACTTTCTCCGGTGAGGTCGTGAACAGTTACGGAAATCCCGAAGGATTTTACTTGGGTGCCCCGTCCGTGAGTCAAACTCACGAGGCGGAGCAAGCGGGCACGCCGGTGCTGCCCGCAACCCCCCAAATGCGCCATCCGCAGTTGTGTGGGCATTTGCCGGATGGGGGGGCTGTTGGGAAGGAGTGGCGAAGGTTGAGGTTATAAAGGGCTATGTGGGATTTAGAGGGGGGAGGAAGGAGGTTAGTGTATGCCAGCGAGTCGGCTATTACCATTCTCTCTCGATTGATAGATCCTCAACACCGAGGCTGTCACTCAGAGAGAAGTTAGATACTTCTAGAGTCGATCGAGTCCATCTTATAGAAAGAGGTGGACTAACGTGTGCCGTTCCCGATCGCTCATAGACTCCTAAGTTCAACACCACAGATTTTGTCTGTTTTCCAACGGCGTAATCTGAAGTTGGAGACAAATGCAACGCTCCAGGGACCAAAAGGCACCTTTCAGCAAGACATGAGGAGGGAAGAGATGGTCAAGAGCGGACAACATACGCCGTCAGGGAGCCCGTATTATTTCTCCAGTCCGATTCGTCACTTGGTAAGACTGGGGCCACTCTTATTGGCTAAGAATGAGAAAGACACATTGTTCGTCGAGCGAGGCTATAGGTTGTGTTTATACTGGTAAATACTATGAACGGCGGTATGTATTGTGTTGCTTGGGGAAATCGGATAATTCTTGAGCAAAGGGTTGCGAAGCAAAATAGCCATACTTTCGACGAAGTTCTCGGGTTTTCTAACTGGGTGGTGAGAAGGATGGCTTTGGAGAGTATGGGAGGAGCTGAATGTATCAGAGGGAAATAAGGTGGGTGACTGACCACGCACGGAGCTAGTCTTGTGTTACCTCAAAATGAGAAAACCGCTATGAGGATCCTAGTATTCGTCGTGATTTGATAGGCCCCCAACCTGTTGACCTATACCACTAAAGTGTAGGTTGTCCATATCAAAATAGCAGCATAAGAAAGTCACGGAGCTGAAAGACATAGGGAGCATAAACACGAAACCAATAATAGGGTCCATAGAGTGTCTGTAAAAGCTGAGGATTTTAACAGAGCTACCCAATTAGCCATGCTTTCGTCTCCTAAAACATATTCGTTCTCAGACCATCATCCACCAGCGACCGGCGAGCACTTAATTGGCACCGAACCTATCTAACCCGGCATCTTACAACTTGAACACGAGGACCAACGTTCCAGTTCATGGATAGGTGACAGGAGAGCGAGTAGACGGCAAATCGTAAACCACTGTTTTACATACATTGGCTTACATTTGCCCGGTCCAGTCGGGAGGGTAAGGTAAGGCACTGTTTATGATGTGCGAAGATGAATAACTACAGTTCCTAACGCAACGCTTTTCTCGTTTGGCGACAAGGCCGGGGTTTTGTAACTCGCCATCAACACTCCTGAGATGCAGGGTCCACTGAATTCAACGCTCAGGGAGTTTGGGGTCCAAAATACAGAGGTTAACACGCCATATATACGGGTGTTACTACGTGGGCCTCATCCAACATGAATAGGTATTACGTTTGCCCTAGCTAGGGCCTGTAAAAGGGCTTTTTCTTCTATACCAAAGTTGGAAAAACAATGCTTTGAGCGAACCAAAGAGAATTGCCTCTTTCCCAACCGCCAATATACTTTGACCTGATTAACTTCAAACGAGGAACGGTGAGGTCGTTTCCTTTCAGGGCCACAATCCTTTTGAGATCATATTCATCACCACATACACTTTCAGCGTTTTTGTTCTACAGTCAGATTACTGAAACCCCTTGAATCTCTTTGATCCCAATTATGTCGGTAGTCCCCACCATATGGCATTAGATGATGTTTCACAAGCAATAATTCGTCTGCTAGTTACATCTTGGGGATACGAAGCCGACGTTATACGCTGAGGTCCCTTTCACGGATAGGCCGACAGTGACAGAGATTTTATTTCCGTTTCCTCCCCAATAGGCTATCCCGACTTTTCTTAACTCCCCATCCATTCCCGGGAATAATTCCTGAGAATAAGAAGAGGCAGAATTTAGGCCTGAAATCTCTGGTAGCAATAGAGAAACCCGATTGGTAATTTCCTAAGCAACGCAACCCTTCAAGGAAGAAATCGGAGCCAGAGGATATCAACCTCATGCTCTTTCTGTCAACGCACGTCATGTGGTGGGTCCACTACCTTGATAATGAGGAGTATGCCGACATCAACATCAGAAATAAAGGATGAGAAGACGAACGATAAGTTGACGAGGACTATCACACTACAGCCTCGCAGGAGTGGGTTCCATACCTAAGTTCTCTTCTCCAACCCGAAGCGGAAGTGAGGCCTTATTAATGTCTGGTGAGATACAACAGGACAGTATCGCAAGCCTGGATATTTGACACCCAAACGTCTCAAACCCGACCGAGGGAATACTTTCCCAGGTTAAGGGGTCAGCTTGGTTTCAGATTCAGAGTTGGTCTGGGCACGCTTCTTGGGGGGTGCCTCTGAGGACATTCCCAGAACGGACATGAAACGGCTGGGCTTTCCCCTTCAATTGTCTCAGCAGTTGGTACCCGCGAGTTATCCAGGGCATCATGTTTTTGTAAGAAAGACTTGGTGTTCGACTCGAATGTCGAACGGCTAGCACACCGCCTCCAGACAGGGATTTAGGGGCAGTGCTTTATAGCACTCTCCTTGCCAAAGAGGAGATCCTTGGCATTGTTCATGTATATATTTGCTTGAAGCGACTTTCCTTCAATAATTCTGTACTAGATACAAGACTGTAGGCAGGAGAATGAGGTACATACCATACTCAAGGCCCTAAGATAAACGTTTGACTTCGGTCCTCAGCGCGGGGGAGGACCATCCTAGGCTTTTCCAGATTTATTGCGCTTTCCGATAGAACTCAATGCCGTAATAGGTCTTGTTCCAATTTTGGATGTCTGGAAAGAAGATGTTCCGTGTCAATATCAACGTGTCCGTCGTAATACCACATGCACATTGACGTTGTGCAAACGCCGGCACCCGTTCAAAGTACGGCCCAATCCCAATTTCAACCCGACGAGAACAGCCAATCAGTCTGTCGCGTGACAAAATCTTGACACCAAGCCATGTCCATGCTGTCTTGGGGTTGCCAATGACAGTTGCAGCGGGAATGGGAAGAAATGCTTCTGTTGCAGGTGTAAGCAGCAAGTTCCGTTCTATCACCGATCTCGCCGCTGAAACGACTTGTTTGCCGTACCAGCTGAACGCCAAAAGCAATGCCAGCGGGGAACAGCAGGAGAATGACCGTTTGACGCCCAATTCCCCAAATCTTTTCCCCATCTCTTATAAAGTCAAGTTATTAATCCGGGGATGAACCCTGGACCCATGCCCATCTGATGGCGACTTAGCGTCTTACCACCCGGGGTCGGGCTGTTCCCACTCACCAATGGGCCCCAATCTTCCACAACATGACGAGGTCGATAAATGAGTCATCCCAACGCCGGTTCCGTCCAATTGGTTCTGCCTCGGCAAGGGCTCTTTGAGACCCGGTCAATCAAAGAAAGAGCCGGCAAACAAAGCCGAGTCCCCCCTTCCAATCTTTATCTCGCTCGTTGATCCCTTGGCGGTGAACCAGGGGAAGATGAGGCGACACACCCCACACAGCGGCTCGGCCCGCTGTTAGTTTGGGACTCCACGTGTAGTGGAAATCTCGACTGGTTGCCTGCCGCGGCGCTCCATCGTGAAGTTAATTCCAACGTCAAGGCAGTGTTTGGCGCGTATTGTCCCAGGTGAGGATTGCAGTTGAAGGTTCTCTGCTTGAGAGATCAAGCGTTCATGATGCTCACGCTAGCGGCTTTTTTCTGCTCATTGGTATCCCTTCCTTTTTTGCCACTTGATCCTTATTTGAGCAAGCGGAGAGGTGGATGCTTGGCGGACTTTCGAATCGGAGGAACGCTTTCGGAGGATCGATCGCGGCGAGGGTGTAACTGAGCAATTAATTTGCCCTTCATCTAATAAATGATAAAAAGTGGTTGTTAGTTGGATGTCCAGATCGATGTTCGAGTCTCTTGCCTTGGGGTCGCCTCTAGGGGCGTTAAGGATTCCGTGGAGTTGTAAAAGAAAAGCAAAAACAAAACAAAACACAACTCAACTACCGTTTACCGGCAGAACGTATCAGGCCCGTCCCCAGGATGATTTGGCGCTCCATTCTACCGTTCTTTTGGACCTCATTTTAAGGTTCAAAAATACCGATGTTCCTTCGTCGGCCAGGAAAACGTAGTTGATGGGGAGCCGAAGCATGAGGGGTTGGGGTATCGGGCGCTTAAGGCCTGCACGCGCTTCGCTTGATGGCGCTTGCGACACTGCAGAGTCAAGCCGATCGCTGTAGCAGTGTGTCACAGCACCATTCTTTGATTCACTTTGAAAGAATAGACGAGTTGTTATCCCATCCCCCTTGATTTCGTAGAATCGGGATCAAAAAGGTCAAGATTGTAGCCAACCGTCCATCAATTTCTGCAAGTGTCCCAGTGGAGGAAATTTTCCCGAGAACTCTTAAGGGGGCTAATCACAGGACATCGTAAGAGCCTCAATTGTTTCCCAAGCCACCAGTGAGCCTGACACCGTGGAAGTGCAACTTCATTCCACAGCGTGGTAAACGTAGAGGTAGGCGACGTGCGCGAACTTGCGGTCATGTGGACCGACCCCCGTCGGGGACATGCGGG